TCCTTGACTCCACTAAAGATAAAATGGATCAATTTATAGATGTCGGAAAATTGTAAGGTAAAGGAACCAGTCTAGCTGGCCTGCACCTGTTCATGAACATGTAACCAATAATTACATGAACATGTAACAAAATTTGGACTGAAAAAAGTGTAAAGTTGGAGCAGTAGTTGAAAAATAGTTAGGTTTTTCCAACCGTGGTCGGCCGACCATCGTTGGAAATGTATACAAAAATACCATTTTCTTGAAAATGACTTCACACCAGGTGCCATAATTTTACAGGATGCTTTAGATTGTCATTTACCAACATCCTAGTAAGGTATTTCGTAAAAACTTGGTAGTTTTATTTTTCGATGTTCTATTCCCTTTAATTAACATGTACATGTACTTGTGCTAGAGAAGAGCATACAGTATGAATTGTACATGTACGTGAATTCTGAAGTGCACTTTAGAAATTGCAGTAAGCATTGCCTGCATGAACATGTACTGGCACTGACAAAGTGATGTTGCCTTTGGCTTCATCATTGTGATTTCCTCTTGAAATAAACATTAAATTCTTCGGAGGGTGCGTGTGTTGAAGACCGTACATGTAGTTAATACATGTACGTATTTGAATCTCGGCTTGCTTCGATGCAACAACACACAGTACAACACTCAATTTTATCTTCAGTATAGTGTATCCACATGTATACATGTATGAGACGGGCCATTTATGCCTTAGGAGCAATATTGGAAGAACTTGGGATGCTTACATACGTACAACTATTTTTGAGATATGGTTTATTGAAATTGAATTTGTGAAATAACTTGTAAGGTTATGAAAATACATATTGGAATTCTTCTGAGGGCCTCGTGTACACATGCTATGTGCGTGTCAATGTATTACATTGTAGTTTGCCAGTCTCTTGGATTACAAGCATGGTAAGTTTTGTATGTATACATCCTACATGTGGTGTTCAGATGTGCATATTTACACACAGCATACAAAACAAATTAGTTAGGTAGTGAATTGCCCTTCATTTTCTATCCTAAACAAATTGACGTCCTTTTATTTTGGTGGCGTCATTAAAGGGAAAATACAACATTTGCAAACATCAAAAAATAAAACTACCAAATCATTTTGAAATACCTTGCTGGACTGTTAGTGAATGACAGTGTAAAGCATCCTGTAAAATCATGGCACCTGGTATACTGTCATTTTCAAGAAAAGTGGTATTTTTGTATCAATTTCCAACGCTGATCGGCCGATCAGCGTTGGAAACAACTGGCTTTTTTTCAAATACTGGCCCCAATTGACCATCACACTTGTTTGCAATCGATTACAAACCTATGAACGGGTACGAGCCAGCTAGACTGGTTCCCTGACCTTACAATTCCCCAATGTATGTTAAAGGCTCTGTTTCTTCTTATATGGAGTCAGGGAACCAGACTACAGGAAAATGATCGTTTTTCTTGGTTTTTATAGCATTTTCAAACACAAAACCTCAAAAAAGTCAGTGTAACTATATTTGCTATATATTTCCAACCCCCCAATTCCATCCATTTATGAAAATTACAGCAAAAGCAAATGATGTATATTCCCTTTAAACCTCACTTGAACTGGGTCTTGATTTTCGATAGACCTAGCCTGTTGGGTCTGTCCTTCGCGATAGAAGCCTGAAGGTTTGTGTGTGATGAAGTCAAGTGCCAGGCTTTCTATTTCTCAGGAATCCCTCTATATGCTAGAGCATCTCAGCGCTGCCTCCTTATTAACATCTCAAGAATGTTGGCTGGATGCCATCTCAACTGAACTTCATGAAGAGGTTAAAGGAAAGCCTTGCTGTCCACTCTGAGGAGTTGTGTATACACACAGCAGCCTTGGAGCTTCACTCTCTGACAGGCAAAACAAGTCTTTCCAGTCAATCAAGGACACTTCTATGGAAAATCTGATCACTGTGTGGGAAAGTTAGTTTTTTGACTGATACCCAAGTTATAGGGCTTAATAGAAAAACAATCAGTTTTCCGAGTATGTAGGCCTACTTGTATGTATGTTATAAGATGGTTGTGCATGAGTCAGTGCTTTTTTTTTAAATCTACATTCATGTACATTTAATTGTAACAAATGTGAGAAAAATGACTTGATGAAAGGCACCTTACTGATACGTGTTCCACCTGAGCATGCTGAGTGTCCTGACCCATACGTGTACGTTCCACCTGACCGATACGTGTTCATGTACAATGCGTGTACACATGTCATACTTAAATCCATAGAGGCTGAAATTAAAATGTGACCTCATGTTGAGGCTGAATTTACATGTAAAATGCTTCAATTTTGCTTCTTTTAATTAATGTATTGTAAAATACAGAACACTACCGTAGGCCTATCCGCTCCGTTCACAAGTACCCCCTCACAGGCAAAGAAAGCACAGTTGGGGGCAACCTCGTCCCCAGGGTGTCGAGCAGTACGCGCCCACCACTACCTGCTCTCTCACCCTGGTATTGGATCATTTGCATGTGCAAGATTTTTGCACACGTATGCAAATGAGGAACAGTCTGGTGCCTGGATATGCGTTACACATTAGCGTTTGTTTTTGTATGCGGTGTCTGGGGTAGAAACAGAGTCAATTCGTAGCAGCGTGAGCACGGCGTGAGTTACGAAAACACGATTTTTGAAATCAAACTGTTAAGATCTTATCAAGACAACATGCAGTATCATATTTCATATTAATATGAGCAAATTGGAAAGGAAATTAGTATTTTCGAGAAGGCGTGGACGAATGATCGCGAAAACACGTACTGCACGTTGTGAATATATAGCACCAAGTACACGATAAAAATCCATTACTAGCCAATAGCGGTATCCAATCAGGATACAGGAAGAAAGTTTCCTATCCAGGGTTTACTATTGGAAACGCGGTTGGAAATAAAGTAAGCACTGGGGACGAGGTTGAGTTGGGGGTGACCTACCGACGCCATCTTGCCTGACTGCAATATTATTTTGCCGCGCACGCGGCTGTACCATGTACCATTGTGTGTACATAGTACAAATCTGCATATGTACATAGTACAAATCTGCTGGTGTACATTGGTCACACACAAGGAATGGTGCGTGTCAACCAGCTAAATGGGACATCGTTGCTAGGCAAAAGGGCGCCCTCTTTGATTGGCGCATGGAGCCCATTGTAGAGTCAGAATGATTCAAGTTTACACTGTGTGGTAAATACATGTATCATTACATCAATTTGGTTGATTCACAAAATTTGAATAACGTGTTGTTATTACTGCATACAGATACCGGTACATTGAACATGAATGTATCGTACATACATGTACATGTAGGCCTATACATGAACATTCTATTACATGTACATGTACATTGTTGTATGTCAATTGGCAATCACTGTCACCGGAAACCATGATTATTTCAAGCATACAACTGTACATGTACCGGTAGTTTCACTTCTGTTTTCTATTGCCACAGTACCGACCGTTCATGTTTTATCCCTATTGCCCATAAAGCTGTGTATATTCCATCAGAGATGAGGTATTCCAATGCTAGAGGCCTCGTTATTTGTCTTGGGATTTCCAGACAGCGATGCTACGTATGTACGTCTGCATTCTTCATTCTCAAGCTAATTCACTGTCTTCGCTTTGTCGCGGAATCCACTTCTGTTGCTGTCTAGAGTAGCCGTGGAAATAAGGAGCGAGTAGTGGAAATTTACAGCGGAATTAATGAATAATCAGGAGTAAAAATGGGACAATATGTACATGTACATCAAATGATTATCTTACTGGGTTGTTGAGGAAAGAATTCTGATGAAATCTTGGATCCAGTTCAGAGGTTGATGTACTGATGTGCAGCTGATGAGAATCTCTCTTAGAAACATCCTTGGAATCTACCGGTACATCATTGTTCAAGGTTCTGACTGAGCATTGTTCCCTGTTGATTTGACACAAAAGGATTGGGAGACTTGCGGATTTAATTAAAAACTTCAGAGGTTCCTAGAGTGCAGTTGCGGGTCAGTGTGAAGCAGATGGTTTGCAGACACGCAAACAAGCGCATCAAATCTCAGCTCTGTCCTTGATTGTAAGTTATTTGGATATCTAGGAACTGCATTCTGTAGGTGTAGTTCTTGGAAGATGTACTTGATTAACTGAAATGTCTGTGATGTGAACTGTGATCGTGTGACCGACCTCCCTCCCCCGACCCCTGTTCTTGCATCAACCCTTGCTCCACCTGTGCTACATGTACACGTACATTGGTTACCTAGCTGAGATCTTCTAGTTCTACTCTGAATTTATACCAAGAGCATCTTATCAATCTGGGAGCTGAAGATTTATACATTTCAGCATCCCATTCATATGGATGGGACAAACTAACCTCTTGTCTGATGATTGGATTTCTGAGTGATCTGGTTCTTCATGCTGCAGCATGTACTGGTACCGTGTACATTGTGTACATAATTTACAATGTACATGTACATAAAAGTATGTACACTCTGTAAAATGAAAACCAAAACTTTGAGTTTTTTTTAACATGCAGAAACAACAACCCTGTCAAGTTCAAAGGGTGTATAATGTACATGTGTACGTACATGTGCATGTGTGTATATTTGTGTTCATGAGTTGATTGCGCCCGAAGCATGCAATTGCTCGCAAAGCGGGGTGTCTCGCCTGTGAACTGTGCGAGTCTTTCGACAGGCAGCGAAGCTGCCTTCCCCCGGAAGTGGGTGAGGTGAAACCTCTTTACAGTTTAAACACAAAATGTTCACAAGATTATCTCATACTTTTGCATTTTCTTGTACTCTGTTATTGCGTTGAGCCTCTAACGATGCACCACATAGTGGAGGACTGTCCACTCACCTGCCTGGAATGGATGGGGGCATTGCAGTCCTACACCAAGCTGAGAAATAGGCAATTGAATTGCTTACGACATTCTATGAGATCGGAAATAGCAAAAGACATTATCATCACTTGTACTTCATGATTTATTTATCGATTGTTTTCTGATTGTTTTTCTTCAGGATGGTAGAGGATAGTGAAGACAACCCAAGTCAACTCATGTGTCCATAGTCATCAAGACATAGTAGGAGTAGGAGTAGCAGCAATGTCCGAGGACCTGGTCCATCCAGGGGCCATTGTCAAGGACCGCTGGAAAGTGGTGAGTCAGGGTACTAGACCCATAGTCATTGTGACATGTAGGAGTACATGTAGCAGCAATGTCCGAGGACCTGGTCCATTGAAGGGCCATTGTCAAGGACCGCTGGAAAGTGGTGAGTCAGGGTACTAGACCCATATTTCTAAAATTCCCGGGATCCCCCTAGAAAAAAAAGCAAACAATTAATTAATTTTAGTGTGGTATCTGCCATACACCCATGCTCAGATGTGTTTCCTTCACCAATTGCCCACACACATACCGGTACACCCTAGCACATTTGTTTATGGTGTAAATCAAGGATTTTCTTTTGTTCCTCTTCCCTTTTCCTTTGTTTGTACTTTGACTTTTTTGCAACAGTTTTGTACACATTTTCCAATTGAGGAGTCCTCGATTCGGTTTCTGACCTCAATTCACCGATGATGTTGCTTGTGTGTGTCCCTGATTTACACCATCAACAAATGCAAGTGTGTAATTGCCTGCAATCGGGGACCGCCTATTGTCCCGCTATTGTTTGTACTTTTTAGGAAGACCTCCCATATGTTTTGTACACGATTCCAAATTGGGGACCTCTCAGGAATTGGGTAACCTATTGTCCTGTATTGTTCAACGTCCCCTATTGAATGCAGAAACAAACTCACATCTTTGCAAACACCGGCAATCATGGACCCCCAATTGTCCCTAATCCTCTTCCTTTGTTTAAACTCTTAACTTTTCAGCAACAGCTCTCATTGGTTTTGTACATGAATTTCAATCTTGGACTATCGGTCAATTTTGGACGTATTGTTTGTGAGGCTAACCCTTTTGTCCTTTGGGCCGAGATTGCCGGTGTTTACATACTCATACACACACGGGCGTATTCACACCATCGATCGTGGACGTCCTATTGTCCCTCTTTTGTTTGTACTTCAACTTTTTAGGAAGACTCCCATATGTTTTGTACACGACCCCAATCGCAGACGTTCTCTAAATTGTTCTCAGGCATTTTTCGTCCACGGTTTGAATGCCTGAGCACGCCCACATACCCCACACCATTAAGACCAGCTAGGACCTGCCCTGTTTTAGACAATTTTATGAAGAAGTTTTCTACCAGTATTGTTAATTAGGGAAATTGTGTCTTTCTAGCACCTCCACCATGTTTTTGGCCACCTTAAAACTCCATAGGACTGATATGGCTTTCAAAAACTCAGGAACCACATGCAAGTGCGTAGTGCACACTTACATTTGTAAATATCAAATGTGTCCTTTTTGTTTTGGTACGGTACATTGTATCCATACATGTACATTGTAGATAGAACTGACAGCCTCATCTGAACAGATTCCGTACATTTACATTCAGTTTTTTTTTTAATCTCGTCAGAAACAACAGATTTCAGTTTACATAAGATTTCAACTGGTTGTACACATGTACATGTATCCTTATTATTTTCAAGAAATCAGCTAAATGCTTGGGAACGATATTGTCTTCACTTGCCATGCTTGCACAGTCTTGTGTACATATGTACCGGCGGAGTACCGGTATGTTGAACTATTAAAACCAGGAATTTTGAGAGATCATACATACCGGGTAGGTTACATGTATGTTTACATCATTAGGGTCAAATGAATTTGTCTACAGTAGGAACAGTACTGGTTGGTTATGGAAATTTAAAAGAGCAAATGGTTCATTTTCAGTCACTACCATGACTACTCAATTTGACTTACATGTATGTACATAGTATGTGTATGTATGTACAATGTACAGGGTGAGTAAAAAAAAAGAAGGAAACCCAAATGTTGGGACCATTGTTTTATTGAAGTTCTGCATGTAGCACTTTCAAAATCAACGATTTGAAAGCCCCATTCATAAGCTTTCTTTTAGTACAAGAATAATTCAAATTCAAGTTACGGAATTTTAAACACAACCACCATTTTAAGGTTCTGTCCACAGATCACAAAAAAGTTCAGTGTTCTTTCAGCAAAATTGAAAAGGTACTAAAAGAAAGCTTTTGAAGTGGGCTTTCATGTCCTAGATTTTGAAAGTGCTACATGCAGAACTTCAATAAAACAATAGTCCGGACATTTGGGGTTTTTTTTTTACTCGCCCTGTATTGAACTGCCTGTTTTCAGAAAAAACAAAACGCACACACAAAACAAAACAAAAATCATCAACATCGATTCTCATACATGTACATCTGAGTTGATCCCTTTGGCTGCAAATCAAGTTGCCAACCTTTGATAGCATTTAGGGTGAAATCTTTGGCATAGTTTAGCATCCAAGGCACTGCAAATATACATGTGCACAACGTATGAATGCCTTATGACTATGCTACGTGTAATGGTAATATACGAGGAGAATTTATATCTGTACGCTGTATAAATGTTGGTGACATGTAAACACAATGGTAAACCTTGGCTGGTCTGATGTTTTGTGGGGCCTGTTGTAAAGATAAAAATAATTGGATAAACAAGGTCATAAAAATGTTGCATAACAGCTTACATGTACATGTAGAATGAACATTTTTATGAGCAGAATTCCATTGTTTTTTTTTACTGGTACAAGCAAATGATTCTCCATTATGTCAGATCTGGAAACCAAATTACTGTCAAGGATGTACTCATAAAAACTGACACACAGTTATGGTTTCTTCTGATGATTTGATGCCCAAATATAAAGCTACATTTGGCCACCAATTTCACTGGGTACTTTCAAAAGTACTTTTTTTTTTCACAAGCATGTGACTTTGACAGAAATTTTACTCTTTTTGTATGTTTACATTTGGGTCATTCTATACATTTGGGGTTCATTCTTCCTGCCATGTTTACATGTACATGTACACGTACATGTACCGGGGGTATGTACATGTACATGTACTTTGATGCTTTGTAATTTGCCATTCAAGTATTCTTTAGGAATAACATGTTCACTGGGTAACTATAGTACAGTTTATAAACAGTTTAATATTTGTCAACAAACAAATGGTACATTATGACAACTACTGCTACTCAATCTCTATAACTTTAAAATTTCCAACCCTGAAGAATCATACTTATGAAATATGATTTTCTTTATTGCTGTTACGGAGTGACACAATACCAGTATGAACGTGAGTTTAGGCCACATCACTCAAACAAATCACTCAAACTTTGTGCATATCAAAAAGCAATCATATTTTGAGCATAGTCATAGTCTTTCTGTATTCCTGTAGCATTGCTACCCCCGGTACCATTCATTTGAAGATTGGTAAAAAATATGTACATGTACATGCACATGTACCGGTACATGTACATGTACTGAGTACATGTACATGTTCCGTACCGGTACATGTACATGTACGTATGCAAAACATGAGAAAAAAAATGTCAACCAGTTAAGCATTATGGAGTGACTGTTACGGAATGACCAAAGTTTTACTCATACAAGTGTGTACAAAATGACAGCTTTTCTATACACTTTTGTACTAAAATCAACTATGAACCATTCTGTGTGCCTTAAAAACAAAAAGTCACAACACTTGCATGTGAAAACAAGATGCCAAAAGGACTACCTAAAATCCAAACATTTAGCCCCAAAATAATTTTTGGATTGTTTTTTTTTTACCACATTCCAACTCACTGGCACACCATTCAAATAAAAGGTTTTGCTGTTCCCTTTAATTTGATAGCATATTTGAGCTTGTGATTCTTGAAGTTCTCACGATGTTTTGTAAATGTTCCACTTTTCAGCCATGTCCACTTTCACGTGAAATTGCCCAAAAAAACTGGTAATTTATACCACAGCATTCTTGTACATTTATTAATACGGGAAATTTGTTGGAACGACTTTTGTACATGTACTGGTGCATTACCTACTATTGATGATGTCATGGAAAGTTCCTTTAGCTTTTGCTTCCATGAGTTTTGCTTCAGTTTGTTGCTTTTGCTTTCATGAGCCAACCTTCAGTTTGTTATACATGTAAGTTCTTTGTTCATGTATACTAAATTGTACAGACAAATAGATCCAAGTACTTTTCTTTGTCTGTTTTCTTTTTACTTTGAATAACACGGCCATAAATACTGTCATGCTTGCGAGAAATTGATTGATGCTGCTACATTGTACTCATCACTGGAAAGGTCATCAGTTGTCTTGTTAATTTTTTTTAACATTGTCCATAGTAAGTTTGTTTTATCCAAATCCAAAGGGATGAAAATCAAGTTGATAATTCACTGATGAGTTTTAATATTTGGTTTTTTAATTTTTATTTCAGACCAGAAAAGTGGGTGGTGGTGGATTCGGTGAGTTCCGTTATAAATTCAGTACATTAATTGCTTGCAGTAATTTGTGTGCATACATGTATTGAGTTGGCTGGTAATGCAAGACCCACTGGTAATGCAGCCCTCCACACTAACAAGTTGTTGTGTTCAGGTACCGTACTGTGTGATGAAATATGTGTTACGATAGAAATCAGTAATTTGCAAATGTGTACATTTAATAAAAATTCACTCTTAGGAATTTCAAATACAAATATTATTTTAAATCATCAAATACGGATGTTTGCATGATTGTATTTTCTCGATTTCTTCAAGATTTTGGCATAAAATGTAGACAATATTTGTACCGGTAAATGAACATTGGTTCAAGTTTAATACCTTTTTTATGCCATCACCACAGTGTACAGTGGTCTCATAATTCAACACTTGCTGGATCATATTACAGTCACAGTGTCAGATTCATTGATATTACATTTTCTCATTTAGTTTTGGCTAATATCCAAAAATAACCTGAGTATATTCATTGACATTGTTATTCAAATGTTCATATCTTTCCTTCGCTTCTCCCCAAGGTGAAATCTACGAAGCTCAGGATCAAGTTCTTGAGGAGGCAGTGGCTCTCAAGCTGGAGTCAGCCCTTCAGCCAAAACAAGTCTTGAAGATGGAAGTGGCTGTCCTCAAGAAGTTGCAAGGTAGACAACAGTTGCTCAGTCCAGTATTCCTTCCTCTTAGGCATAGAATACATTGACTACATGAATAACCTCAAATTGGATTTACATGTAGTTATCAGTTCATTCTGGTTTGAAAAGAAATAAACTAGTGCAATTTTGATTTAATTTTGAATCATTTAAATTGTAAATTTGATATTGGGTTTTGCCTTGCTCAGAGGTCTGTACTAGTAAGCAGGAAGTCGTTGGTTCGAGTCCTACCTGAGTCCTACCGGTAGTTTGTGAATTATTTCTCGCAAGCCATCGGACAGCACTGAGTAAATACATTGGCGAAGGGCAAAGCCCAGTATTCAAAATCTTGTGAACTGGTTTTACAGCCAAATAAGACTTTTTTTTAATTCAGGAGAAGTTTGAAATTTTGTGAAGATTTAAACATTCAAATTTGCTGTAATTATTTGATAGCTCCCCAGGAGAAAAAACCCTGTTTTTTTAGGGCAAGCATGGATAATATTTTGTTTTTGATTTCAGGCAAGGACCATGTGTGTAAATTCATTGGCTGTGGACGTAATGATCAGTTCAACTATGTAGTCATGTCACTACAAGGCTCCAATCTGGCTGAGTTACGTCGTAGTCAACCTAGAGGGACCTTTAGCATGACTACTACGCTACGTCTAGGTGTGCAAATACTGGAAGGCATTGAGAGTATACATGATGTGGGCTTTCTACATAGAGACATCAAACCAGTGAGTACACAAGTCTGAAACTTTTTAAATTGAATTTGACCTCACAGAAAAAATGAAAGTATTTCCATAAGTTAGTTTAGTTGCCTCAACTTATTCAGTAAAGTGTCCCATTGCCAATTGTTGGTTGCAGTAAAATATTTCAAATTGTTCAGGAAAAAACAAACAAAAACAAAATGGCTACTGAGCAAGAAAACTATTTCATCTGTCATCAAATCTTACACACGTATCTTACATGTACATGTATTTCTTTTCCTTCTTGTCATCTACAGTCCAACTTTGCCATGGGCCGTCTCTCCAGTAATTGTAGGAAGGTCTACATGTTGGATTTTGGTCTCTCCAGGCAGTACACTAACTCACAGGGCCAAGTCAGAACAGTAAGTACATGTATCTATATTATTGAACTCTAGCAGTTGTAAAGTGACGGGATGTGAGTGCCGTGGGGGGGGGGGGGGGTGTCAGCCTCCCCCATGATTCTGTAAATTAAATTAATGGCATAAAGTCGAAAAGGGTCCAAAACGTGACTTGGTACAGTTCATATTAAACTTGCAGGTCTTGAACACGAAATGTTATCCCAGTCTTCCATGATGCAACCCCCCCCCCCCCCCCCCCCCCCCGAAATATTTATCACTTCACTACTAAACTTTTGTCTCCATGAAATAAGGTCAAGAAAATATGACAATACCTTTGGCTATTAAACAAACCTTCATAAGTAAATCTACAGAACTTCACTGTGAATATAGGACAGTTTTCTGGTATTAAATGATTCTTGAATGATAATTTGTTATAAAAGCTCTTCCTGGCCTACATTCATAGAAATTCAGGAATTCAGTACCATTTGTCTTTTTCCCATCATGTTTGATGTGAATGTGTCTGTCTACTCCCACAGCCAAGACCTGTAGCTGGTTTCAGAGGTACAGTCCGATATGCATCGGTCAATGCACACAAGAACAAGGTAAGAAAAACATATACATGTATATCAAACTAAAGTTGCTCTCAATTATGTAAAGAACAAATACCTGCAGAACAAATACCTTACATTTTACATTGAATGAAAGCATTATGAATGGTTTTCCTTGATTTGAAATATAAGTTAAGGGGGGGGGGGGGTAGTGACATATATTTCCCTTGATCTGTTTTGGTGGAATCAAGGGTAAAAATGAAATGCAGGTCTTGTTTTCTCCAAATTTGTTTTCAAAGCTTTTTCTATAATTTGTTTGTAGCCTGTTGTTCTATGTCATCTGCATGAGCACTTATACAGTGTTTGTTTTTGCTAACAGGAGATGGGTAGACATGATGATTTGTGGTCTCTCTTTTACATGGTGGTGGAATTTGTCATTGGACAACTACCATGGAGGAAGATCAAAGATAAGGTAACATCTAGTTTCTGGTTTGATATTCACTTCTATAATTCTGATTGTTTTGGTTTATTATGACATGATTGAAAGAGAAATTACGCACAATATCTGTTGATTATTTCTCCTTCAGTGTCAAACATTGCTTGGTTGATTCTGTTTTGTGGAAAGAGTTTGATGGAGACACACATATGCCATTGTATGAAGTGGGATTTGAATGTTTGTTGAATGTCTTGCAACTACATGTAAGCGACAGATTTGGGGAAATAAAACAAACAAACAATTCTTTATAAGACACTAAGTTTATTTGTTTGACTATAACTAGCAACTGGATACCGGTTAATAGAAGACGAGGCAAGCTGAGTAAAGCTGGTCCCAAACCACACAACATTCTGTTCAATTTGATTCACAATGGCTGTTCACTGCAAGTCTTTTCATGCATCTGGCATGCCTGGTGTACATAGTGGGCAGGATTGAGCCTATTACTGGGGAATCTTATACAAAAACCACTGCCTGGCTCTCTTTAACAGCTAACAATCAGGCTGATTCACCAAGGGCAGTCAGTCAGTCAGTCAGTTTGTCATGTACAAAATCATCTTCTGATGTCACCCGGCTGGTTGTTCCTCATTCCAACAAGAAGGATGGTGATATTTCATTCTTTGTTGTTGCCCTAAAATTGTGGAATCAACTGCCAGTTGATATCAGGGAAACGGCTTTTCCTGCTATCTTCAAGCACCTACTCAAAACATTTCCCAATGTATGATTAAGTTGTTGCTGTTTTTTGGTATATAATTTCTTTGTAATTTTCTGTATCTGTTTGCTGTTTATTGTGAGGCGCTGTGATCTTTGTAGAGCGCCATATAAATACTTGGTATTATTATGATTGTTATTATTACAAAGTGGACTATAAGCTGGCCCTCTCTGGGATCAGTAAAATACAATGCATTCAAAGGCCACAACAAATTTAAAAAAATGAAAACTTTGATGACTTTTGTCCTTTTCCTGTTACAGGAGCAAGTAGGCTTAATGAAAGAGAAGCATGATCATCGATCCATGTTGAAGCACATGCCGTCAGAATTCAAGCAGTTTCTGGAACACATACAGGGTCTACAGTATCAAGACAAGCCTGACTACAAGGTATTGGTTCATTGTGTAAAGAGAGCTTCTCAAAACTCATATGTGTTCACTTCCTTGTGGAATTCATTTTTTTGGAACATGAGGATTTCTCAGTGGGAACAAGCTGAGTTCCCTTGATAAATCTCTCTGAACTCAGTTTCTCCTGAATTACCATTGTATTCTATCCAGGCTGTATTAACCAGGCTGTTCCATGTCTGTTCCTGATTAGTGTCCATTCCCGATTAGTGTTTGTTCCCGATCAGTGTCTGTTCCCAAATGGTGTCTGTTGCCAAGTTGTGTCCGTGACCTAACGTGATGGATTTCATTACAACTTTGCTACCTATTAGTGTTACTGCAAATACTTTGATTTGGTCCAGTCAACTGTCACAATCCCATTACTGCTCCTCTAACTGATGAATATTTCTATTCTTGCCCGCAGTTCCTACACTCCTTGCTAGACCGTTGCATGAACAGGAAAGGTATCAAGGAGACCGACCCCTATGACTGGGAGAAGATCTATGCTGATGGTTCACAGACCACCACCACAGCGTCACTCAGCCCAGCTAAGGAACCCAAACAAGGAGTGTAAGTCACAAACAACTTTTCTGTTTATAGAGCAAAATGGTTATTACAAATTCAGCGTGATGGAGCAGTACAGAGGTTTAAATTCTTATAGTTAAAACTAAGTTTCTCACTGAGCATTATACAAGGAAACTATCAAACAGATCCGAATTTTACCATTGAATAAATAATAATAATAACAAATTCTAAAACGCTGGTATCTGGATAAACCTGTTAACTGCGCTGGGTTCTAAGATAAATAATAATAAGCTTGAATAAAGAGGTACGTTTTGAGACAAGTTTTAATAGAGTCAACGTCAGGTTGTGATCTTTAATATTGGTAGACTGTTCTATAGGAGGGGGGCTGCAACAGAAATCTTTGTCCCCATTGGCCTTCAAGTTTGAAGATGGAGCCACAAGCAAGTGCGCATCACTAGAGCGTAGTTTGCGCACACGCTAAGTACATGGCGATATGAGTTGTTGCATGCATTGGGATGCTGTTTCGTTGTTGGTCCAATTGATTTCCACTTGGTAATCAAGCCTTTGAAGGCGAAAGAGCTATCTGTGAGAGGGTACACTTCCGAAATGTGCTTGTGAAAAATATCATAAACCATTTTTCAGTGATTTAAACATCATTTTGTGGTTAGAAAGAACATTATAATACTTGCGCAAATATATTCAAAGATTTTGAGCTTTAATGCATTAATTTATGGTGCTTAATATTTTTCGTTTTGTCTTTTTTTTTTTTTCAGTCCTGATGTCCCACCAGCAAACACAGACATAGTATTAGAAGAAAACATAAGCTTCCATGACAACATGAAGGAGGCCCAAGTGGAAGTGCAGCGCATCAACGCTGCGGATGCTCCAGAGAAAGTAGATGAGAGTCAAGAGAAGAGAGACGCGGAGAAGGAGATTGATGAGGAAGATGAAGAAGAAGAAGAAGAGGAGGAAGATGGAGAAGCAAATGAGAATGCTGAAGAGAATGAGATTGCAGGATCAGAGAGAGAAGGAGACTCACCTGAACAGGAAGGTGGATCCAGAGTGGAAGGTAGAGAACCACAAGAGGGTGAGGTAGTCTTGGACAATAAGGAGAACGAGAAACGAGACGTGCATAAGAAGTGCAAACGAGCCATGAGTAAACGACGTCGCATGCTGCATCGACGACAGAAGCCTAAGAGGCTTAGGACTCATGACAGTCATGCTATATTGGAGGGCGAGGTCAGTACCTTCAGGGAAGGCTTTGGAGTCAGTGAACGAGATCCTTCACTTCTGGAGGAGAACCTTGTACCTGGTCTCAACAGCAAGCTGCTCCCCGTTCGCTCATTTGCTGAGCCTGTCCAACAAGTGCAATTGCCGCCCGAGGCGCAGTGCGGTGCCGAGGGCAAACTAACCATGAAGACTATCCCTTGTATCAAGGACACTAAGCCTCCACCGTGGAGGACCAGTACCCCACCGCTCGTTGGAGCAACTATGCAAAAGCAGGATAACCTGAATCGCCCAAAGTCAAGTGCAAATGAACTCCGTCCGTCTGCCATTACTAGGCTTCAAGAAACCGAAAGGGACAGAAGCAAAAGCGTTCCTGAGACAGACTCCGGGGATGCCTTTCAGCATGACGGCTCCTTGGACGAAGTAGACAAGGACAAGTTAACAAGGTCTCCTGAGAGTGTGACTAGAATACCAAGACCAAGTCACCCCGATCATGCTGCAAAAGAACCACAGGTATTTGCGGCGGTGGTACCAAGGGAAATGCGGATTGGTATTGAGAACCCACCGATCATTAAAGTCAGCACTGAGCACGCTGGAGTTGAACAGAATCCAGAACAAATTGCTATCCCTCGGAAGTCTGCAAGTCCAGGTCGGCCAACCACACCCCCTCAGGAACTCCTTAAGCCAGTGGCAGTAACTATTGGTGCTCAAAGTCATGACAGACAAACGGGCAAAAAACCTGTTGCTGTTTCACACAAACAAGCTGGTGCTTGCCATGTAAGGGTTGAAACTGAAAAGAGGGACAAACAAGTGACAAAAGCAGCCTTAGCTAATTTAGAAGTGACTGAAGATACACAAACAGGCTTGCAAATTCCTCAGGGACCCATCACTGAAGCTCTTGCAAAAAGCAAGGAGCCTGTACAACAACAGAGCACAGAGAGGTTTAATGTTCCTGCAGACTCTGATAAACCTACTAAACTCCCTGAGCCCAAGGAACAGATTGTTCAGCCTGTGAAGAAGCCAAAGCCTGAGCTGCAGGCAAAGCCAGTTGAGTCTGTAGAAAAGGACAGCACCGAGCAAACAACCAAGGCAGAAGAGGAACCAGTCCCAGTTCCTCAAGAAGAACTGTTCATCAATGAACCATTACCTAATCTTGCCCATGAGCCCACTGAAGAGAACACCACCATCCAGAAGAGAGCAGACCTGGATGATGTGGTCTTGAATATTCCATTGGATATTGATAAAATAACGGAGCATGTTGACTTGCAGAACCTTGCCGAACAGAAAGAGAAGGTAGCTGATGTCCCAGTAAAGAATACGGGAGAATTAGTGAAAAACCACGATAAAGCAATAAGTGCCTCAAGTCCCAGTCTGTCAATTGACAAGGGTCCAGCAACACCTGCCCGGGCAGCCATGGAGCAGCTTCTTGGAGCATTTTCATGGGACGAGCCAGAACCGCCAAAAGAGGAATCCAAAACTGTTGCCATCCCTAAAGAGAATTCGGTGGAGAAGCAAGCTTTGAAGAACGGAAGGAATGAGAAGAGCTTGCAGGAAGAGCTCCGGGCAGCAAGACTATCTGCAAGAGAGGAAGCAAATGCTTCTCCAAAGCCCAACAAAGCCTTCGGAAACCAGAGTGATGTTATCACTGGGTCAGCAACCTTAAGGGATGGGAAGCTAGATCTGGAGCTCCCTGATGACAAAGATAGACAAAACCTCCAACAGAGACTCAGGCTTGAAAGTGATAATCTGGATTCTGGGCCACTGACACCCTTCTCCCTGGAAGAGGATGGTACAGCAGTGAAACCTGTACGGGATGGATGGGCAGTTGAGGGAGAGAAACAAATGGAGGAACACGAGATCCATGAAAGGAGCATATCTTCTATAGAGCATTCCTCCAAGGAGGCTCCAATCAAATCACCATCCATGGACAGAGAGGAAATGGAGAACATTCTGAATGGGTTTGACGGCACGGTCAAAATTCAGACCGACCACTGCACTGGAAAATCTGAAAACCTGGCAATAAAACCAGCTGCTGAGACACAAACTTCACCTAAAGGTACAAGGACAAACACAGCTGTCAGAGTAAAAGTAAGTCCTGGTGAGGACAAGGAGCATAAAAGGAAGGGTAGGTCAGGCCACAGAAGTTCAGAAAATGCCAGGTCTGCTACACCAAAAACAGATGAGAGTGAAACAGTGTCTGGTGGCTCTGGGAGGAGTGAGCGAAAAGGCCGAGGGCCTGTTCGAGCTCGCCAACTCCCTAGTATTCCGACACCAAAGAAGGAAGTACCTGCTGCTGAGGGAACAAGTGCGACACCTGTCATGAAACAGGAAAGTCCCACCAGCGGGCAGCCATCAGGGAGTCCCCTCCAGAGGAAAGGCTCCTTGGGCAAGACCCGTAAGCTTCCTGCAGTGCCTAAAATATTGCTGCAAAACAAGCTTGGTAACCGATTGCGGCTAGAAAAATCTCCAAATAGGACGACAGGAACCAGCGTAGAAGACAACCAGCAGCGATCCTCAAAGAACAAAGGACGTCAACGGAAAGCATCAAATCCAACATCGGATGCCATAGACGACTCCAGCTTCCAGTCTGAGAATGTGCAATCGATACAGCTCAGAAAAAACCAGGAGTTTAAAGTGACTGTTCAATCACCACCACCCTCAACCAGTAAAGAACCAATCCGAGAGCCAGAAATCAAGGTCGTGAGTGTTGAGCCTTCATGTACATTTGCAATCATGGAGAGCTTATCTCAAGAGGATTGTGTCATGAACGCTGATATCTCAGAGTGTGCTACTCAGCAGCAGGAGCCTAGCTTCTTCCTTGACATGAGTGCCTCTGTCAGGAAGGAGGAACCAGCGAAGACTGAGCTTCCAATCAAACAAACAGATCCTATAATTGCAGGATCCCACACAAACAAAGACTCAAACGTTGCCAGGGCTACAATGAAAGCACCTAATCTAATGGTCTTTACCAAGAAGCCTATCATCAAGAAACAACTTACAGGGAATGTGATTTACACTAAGACAGAATTCCAGGATAAGGCAGGCACACCAGCATCACCAAAAACAATTGGAAGTGCAAAATCAGTTGAGGAATCAAGATTACCTCCGTCAAAAGGAGCAGGTGCAATACCATCAAAACCAGTCAGTGGCACAGACACACCTTTAAATGATGTTGGAAATGCACAGAAAGGTGATAAATATGAAAACAAAATTGTGAATGATGTGAGGAAGGTGTCCATAGCAAGTTCCAACTCTACCGAATGGAACAGCAACGGCTCCTGTACTTCAACTCTGAAGGACAGTCAAGCTGGTCCTGCCACTCCAACAGTTTTGTCACGTGCTGAAAAAGCCCAGGAGTCTGTCTCCACTTCCACACCTAAAACAGCTGTGATGAACTCTGCTAAGGCATCGTTGGATAATCAAACGACACAGCAAGTTGAAGCCGCAAGCAGTACTGTGATAGCTGAGCAGCAAAAAGGGTCTAATCCTAATGTCTTACCAGAAGTAAGAGTATACGAGCCTTCCATTAACGGTGACGTTACAGGAAACAGACCTACGGACCTAACCTTACACCAATGTACCAGTCCTCCTCCTTTATCTTCACCCAGAGAATCTCCAAGGACACCCCTGCTATTTTCTGAGGATGAAGATCAAGCAAGAGAGGACCAAGCCAAAAACGGTGCCAAGAAAATGGCAGATGCTGCAACAGAAAATGCACTGACAAGACTGAAAGAAGGACTCTTGGCTCATTCTAGACAAGGCTATCAGAAAATTGTCAAGAGTTTATCAGATGAGCAAATTGCAAAGAAGGCAAAGGGGAGACAGGAGGGTGAACAGAAAATGGGAAGTTTCAAGGAGCCTGCCCGGCAAGGACATGAAGATGGCCTGAGTCCTCTATCTAGGTCAAGAACGGTCAGCTTCAACAAAGACCTAAATGTTGACGGGGTTAGTAGAGCTAGTACCTTGGATTCTGACTTAGATTTGGGGGAAATTGACAGAGCAGGTTCTCCTACAAGCCCCAAAGCTGGTCTCTCTCCGCTGGCATTGCGTCGCCTGCGTCACAAAACCGATCCTGATTTTGCCTCTCTCCGGGCTGCTTTTGCTAGGAAGCAGGCAAATCAGATTCAAGCCATGGAAGATGCAAAAGATGACGACCAAGCAGATGTCTTTGTTAATCCTCAGAGACGAAGCAGCTCATCTTCACTCCACAAAGCAAGTGATCGCTTGGCAGCACTCAAAGCAGCTGAGGAAGCTCATCTAATGAGTTACTTACATGGTGACCCGGAAAAGAGGAAGCGACGACGAATGAAATCAAGCTCCTCCGGTGAACACATTTCATCTGTGGATGAGGAAAGTTTTACAGACTCTCTCGCATCTCATGGCAGGTTAGAGGATGGACAACCAAGTGAAAGTTCCTTCTCTCAATCCAGACTTGCCTGGGAGGCGCTGACTCCACGACAGCGACGACGTCGGGAGAAACTGGCCAGTACACGAAGCCAAGGACCGCACAGCGGAAACTCACAGTCAGGATTACCTCCTACCTCACCCAGGAATGTTAGTCCAACGCATCACTCCCATCAGGGAGGAAAGCCGTCAATTCAGGAACGTTTAGGTGCAGCTGCAGCACCGAGCAGCTTGCATATTGCTTCTCAAAACAACCCTGAGATGTCCCACTCCTCATCCAGAAGCCACAAGTCCAAGAGCCAGGACACTGAGGCAAAGGCAGGTGGCAGAGCCTCAGCTGCTCAAGGTCACTCAGACAGACACAGAATTCATCAAGAGGAGCGTGCGTCACGCCATAGAGATAGACAAAAGAGGCACATCCAACCATCGCCTCGTGATACAGATGGTGCTGCAACGACTACATCAGTATCTCTCCCTGAGGATGCTTCACCAGTGGTAACCCCAAGGGACACACCAAGTGACACTCCTCGTGATGTATTTGGTGATAAACCAGTTTTAGCAGTCAGGAAGGGATTGATAGAGGACAGTCAATCCTCATCAGGAACTGGCAGCTCACAGGGGAACATCCAGCCCAAGCCACCCATGAGGCCTCCAGAGAAGGCTGTCTTTGCTGGAAGGTGAGTACACCTGCTACATCACACATCAAATACTGTCATTTAAAGGCAGTGGACAACATTTGCAACAATTTATAAAAAATAAAATAGCTTGGAAGCATTTTTCTAAATTGTTTTGCATCATTGGACAAAAAAACATTACATATAACAGTGGCGTGATATCTGTTATAAATGACTAGCCCCCACATCCATCATAAACTTACAACAAATGCGTATGTTGTCCACTGCCTTTAACCCTAACCCCTTCTGGTTTTCTGTACACACTCTGCTTATCAGCAATGTAATCCTTCATAGCTGACATGAGAATCATGCTGAATGCCACAAATTGCAACAATGGATTTTGTTGCATTATGTATTGCACCACATAAACAAGGGAATAACCTTGGCCGGTTTGAAACAAGTACATGCATGTTTAAAACCGGCTATGGGCCTGGTTGCGGAATCCGCGACCAGGCACAGTGTTTTATGTATGTTTGCAATGTTACAAGGCCCCAAAATTGTGCAAACATATTTTAATTTTTTTTTAAATGTACAGTATGCACTGAGCTGAAATTTCAAACGAAATTGCTATGCACCTTCTTCAAGATTTTGAGCAATTTTGTTGCTTCAAATGAGAAATGCACTAAAAACAAATGATCCTACTGTATGTGCCTTTTAAATGTACAATGTATGTATGAACTTGTCTGTGTGTCTCTCTTTCAGACGAAGACGTTATCGCGTTGTACCGTCTGATGTAGCTTCCTTACCTGACACTGGTGATGAGAGAGACCCTTTTGACAATTTGCAGTAGGCTTCTCATCCTTGATGCCATGTAGATGTAGATGCATGTTGGACAGTCTCAAGTGCAATGACCAGTAGATTGTGCTATGTGACCACGCACGAGGGTTCCTTGGGCAGACATGGTATGTGTATAGGATACATGTATGTATTCATCTTGGAAAAACTAGCAGGCCATATCACCATTTTGTGTGGTTATCACCAAACCTACATCTTAACCTTTTTATGTGAGATTCAGTTTAGCCATAGTGTGCCAGATGATATAACTACACAAAATGGTCATTAAATAAGCACATTTTTTCCGAGCTGCATACATCCCTTACGTGTACCATACATGTATCTCATGGTCCCTATAAATCAGGGCGCCAGGTGTATGGCGGCAATGCATTCTAAAGTTCTGCCTAACTCTCCGTTTGTAACCCTTGAGAGGGTCCTTGTGTACAGAGCCCACAGTACCCATGTGGGGACACCACACCGTCGACTTGATAACACCACATCGTTGATTTGGTAACACCACATCGTCGATGTGGTAACACCACATCGTCGATGTGGTAACACCACATCGTCGATGTGGTAACACCACATCGTCGATTTGGTAACACCACATCGTTGATTTGGTAAGACCACATCGTCGATGTGGTAACACCACATCGTTGATTGGGTAACACCACACCGTTGATTTGGTAACACCACATCGTTGATTTGGTAAGACCACATCGTCGATGTGGTAACACCACATTGTTGATTGGGTAACACCACATCTTCGATTTGGTAACACCACATCAGTGATTTGGTAACACCACATCATTGATTTGGTAACACCACATCGTTGATTTGGTAACACCACATCGTTGATTTGGTAACACCACATCATTGATTTGGTAACACCACATCATTGATTTGGTAACACCACATCGTTGATTTGGTTACATCACATTGTTGATTTGCTTACACCACATTGTTGATTTGGTTTTAGCGGTTTGACAAATTTAACCTCAGCTACAAATTGGAAGAAGTTCTCACATTTTAAGTTAAAAACTTAAAAATCAGAAAAAGTTTGAAATTAGACAAAAAAAGATGTGTTGTTTGTGTGGCGCTGAAATGTTCATGTACAGTGCCACTAATATTTATTTAAGTACAGAATAAGTTGAGCCAGAAAGTAATGACTATTGGATTCGTCCATGCTGTATGTGTGCCATGTTGAGAAACAGCCTACAGGGAAGTACGCCAAATGTGACCTAGATCAAAAACATTTTAACAAAAAATTGTATAAAGATGAACGTGCAGATACTTATAAGATACCAAAAGGAAGATACTTAGTTGGGACTTTAGCCAGCTGTGAATTTGGTCTGATGTGAAAATATTGTGTTGAGTCCCATCGGTATTGTAACATGTACAGTAATGTGCTTGCATGGTGAGGCGTTATGCGAGAGTCGTTTGTTAAATTCACAGATGCTGATTTTCTCTACAGTCCCTCTTCAGCATGCTGTGCGTGCGTATTGACCGTCCATATTGTTTTGTCAAGATTTCTTGTCAGCTTAGAACATCTATCATCTGCTCAAGTCTGCTTCTGCAGCAATATCTGGAGTGCATACATGTACATGTATGCATGTTCTGTCATCAAACTACACTCAGGCAGCATAAGTGAACAAGAATTACTTCAGTGTTCTTGCCATTTAGGGTGAAGCTAATTGGAAATCCAATTTTTGCTGAAGCCATCAGGTCTTGTATAGACTACAGGGCCCGCTAAGCTAGCGAGAATATTCAAATATTTGTTGTGGTTTTTTTTCGTTTAGATTACAAGGTATAAAAGAGGAAATGCTTTCAACTTACCATCTACCGGTACTTACTAGTTATAGAGTAAATATGTTAAACCAGACAGTGGATAAGGGCAGAGGGTTCTTTGTTTGGTTTGCAAAACACATCTTTGCAAAAATAATATTGCATTGTTAATGAAAAGGGCCTCGTAGCCGAGTGGTTAGAGTGTGGAGCTACAGATTGGAAGGTTGGCGGTTCAAATCCCATTCGGACCAAAAACTGGAAAACTATCTCTGACGACCCAACAGTAAAATGGGTACCTGATTCGTTCAGGGAAGGTAAGACGGCGAGAGGAGAGGACTGGGCCCCGCCACTCATATACCGCGCCCAAGACACAGTGGACCTCTAACATCCCACTGCCCCTACGGCCAGTAATGGCTATGGGATCTTTACCTTTTTTACTACACAATTTTACAATCTTGTATTAAAATAGATGGAGGGCAGCAGCATGACGTTCTTGTAACTTCAGTAATATTACATATATGTCACCCCCTTTGGAAGTGTGGCCTTGTGAGTAGGGTTTGTGACTCATGATCAGAGTGTCAGGGGTTCGAACCCTGCTATTGTCTCATGTGTTGTATCCATGGGTAAGACATTGTACCCCCACTTGCCTCTCTCCACTCAAGAGTTTAATGGATACTGGTAATGGCCAGAGAGTAACCTGAAATGGACTGGCATCCCATCTGGGCAAACAGAAATATTCCCTTTCCTTTCATAGCAGGCAAACCTGAGATGAACACTGGCTCATGAGATGTTGGCTTGGAACCGACTTGACTTCCTGCGTAGAGATTATGATCACATTAGCTGTCAAGACTACATACATATCATCCAACTTTCTATACACCTCACCAACCTATGGCCATGTTCACCCCTAGGTGGATCATGTACACTGGGTTTCAATTTCAAGGGTTAGCTTTATTTTCTATTTTGACTTTTAAACTTTTCAGTGGACAGGTTAGAAGCTGTACACTACATAAGTTTATCTACATATTTATTTGTACAGTGCGGAGTGTTGTCTTGAGCATTAAGCAATAACTGTAATCTCAGCTCAATTTGGATTGTTTCAAGACTGAAAACAAATCGACAAAAAACAATTCATATAGAATTAAAACATGACTTCAGATTCTTGATGTTTGCACTATCTATGCAACTGCTACAGAATGTTTTATAAATGTCTTGTCATTCTCATTAAGAGTTCTCCATCTCACCATAAATGGTTACAGTTAAATTGGAAGAGTTATCGCAAACAGCATCAAATTCAGTTGAAGCAAAACACTTCAGATTAAGAGGAAATAATGCTAATAAAGAAAGGCAAATAACTCTTCATTCTCATAATCCCTGATCAATGCTTCGATCCCTTTATCAGCTTCTGACAATTGTCAAAAGTTAATCGCCTTAAAAACAAAAATCAACCATTCACTGAGAAATTATATTGAACAAAAACCACTTCTCTATTCTGTTTGGAGTAGGTGTTTATAAAACTATACATAGTTGGTCAGAGTAAAATCTATTTTGCACTGTCATTTTTTCAGCATAGCGTTTAACCTCTGAGTATATTTTCTGCATGTTTTTAAACTCAGCTTTGTCGTTGCATTTGTATTTAAAGAAATAAAGGCAAGGCGAACCCTTGCTTGAGAGTATGGATTTTGGAAAATAAACTGAGTTAGTCTTGTAATAAGAGTATATTGTATTAATGAAGGAACAGTGTATAGAATTGTATGCAATTGTGAGATAGTTTTCTATGTATATGTAATGATATACGAGGAATTGAATGCACGCATGTTTGTTTTATAACAGGAATGTGGGATGATTTCAAACTTGATTGGAAATTTTGTTCATTTGGCATTAGTGTGGGTGCGTTTTGTTTGTGTTTCTCATTGCTTTACAAGCTGTTGCTGTGACCTGGAGACGTGATGTAGATTATGCAGGACTTTTTCTCTGCAAGACTTGTTTGTGTTACTTTTTGATCAGATTTGGATACATATTCCTAAACCCAAGTCTTGAGTTCTCTGCCAGTGCTCATTGCATCAGACTTGGTGCTTCTTGTAAAAAGACTTGAATAATCATAAACTCATTATGATCAGATGTTTATCACAGTCCAATTTGTGACAGTGGTAACCTTCATACAGTTCTTTTCAAGATCATTTGAAAATTACCAGAAGGATTTCTGTTCACAAAGGAATACCTTAACATTACAGGGTATGAGTTTTTTTCCTGACAGATTTTCTTGTGTAACATTTCTTGCTTTGATCTCAAGGATATTTTCTGGATATTGAGGCAAGAAAGTGCAAGAAATAAGCTCCTTGATTGGGGAACTAAGTTTGACTGGATATTATTTCAATTTTAAATGTAAACAATATTTGCATTTCAAATGTAAAATCTTTGGCAACTTGCATATATCTTGAAGGTCACTGATCTGTATCATGTATGTATGGTTTCATATTTATTTGTGAATTGAACTTACGCAAGAAACCCTTTAAATTCCCAAACATTTGAAGTTATAATTTATTGATTTCGTGTCTTGTAGTATAAAATGTATTTATTAAAAGAAAAAAGTGGTTTTAACAAAGCGAGCAGCATTTTTACTAATATTGTTCTATATTAAGATATTTGCCAATACCATTTATAGAATTTTTTATAAAATGGTGAACACATTAGAAAAAAAAATGTTTGTAATGCCTTTTTTTTGGGTCTGTTTTGTTTTTGTGAATGTTTACGTGTTAAAATGAGATAAATGACTTGAGTGCATCTCCAATGGCAAATCAATGGAACGTGCTTCTGAACGGGACATTGCTTAATTAAGTTAATTGGCAAAGACTTGAATTTGAATTCAGTATTACCCCCCCCCCATAAAAAGGGTAAAATGACTTTTGAGTCATTGTCAGAAAGTGCAATTGTGCTATTCATAAGATGGAATTTGCGTCGGGGTGATGTAAATCAAATTAGGTATTGCCCTTCACCGATGTATAAACACTGTATACTCAGTGTGTTACTTCCCGAGTGAAAGTTGGAAAAAATCACTCGGGTTGGACTCGAACCCATGATCTCCTGCTTTCTAGTGCAGACGTCTTACCACTCGACCACCAAGCTTGCGGGATCGGGTGGTTGGTTTGAATCTAATATACATTTAGCGGCGGGTACCGCAATTAAACTATTCATAAGATGGAATTTGCGTCGGGGTGATGTGAATCAATATTAGGTTTTGCCCTTCACCGACCTATAAACACTGTATACTCCAGATCAGGTGGCTGGTTCGAATGTGATGGACTATTTATAAGATGGAATTTGCGTCGGGGTGATGTAAATTGATATTAGGGTTTTGCCCTTCACCTACGTAAATTAATTTTTTTCCAACTTTCACTTGGGAGGTAACACACTGAGCATACATTTTGTAGTGTTTACACGTCGGTGAAGGACTAAACCTAATATCAATATGCAATTGTGCTATATTGCCAAGTATATCTTTATCCCCGTGAGCTTTAATCACAAATTAAAACGATTGAATCACATGATTCTAATATGAGGAAGGAAAACTGTGGACGAAGCGATTTAAGATTTTAAACTACATGTATAGAAACCAAAAATTAAAAATACACATCTGACTCTACTTTTGCCATTTTATTTGTTATTTATTCCTTCAAAAATGATACTTTATGAATTGCAATCACCTTACATACATGTACAAGCCCCTACAACAGTAAATGTACTTTGTCATACTGCTCACATATACACTTGTAGACATTTTTCTATACAAATTGCCGTTTTCTTGCAAAACTGGAAAAACATTCTAACCGTTTGCTGGAAAGATAAAGGTAAAAGCTCATCAATTAAGAAATCATTTTCAAACATCCTTAAAAGCCTGTATTTGTATCTGCATAATATACTATAATAGTTCTTCAAAAATTAAAAGACTGCTTGCATGTGACATCACATTGAGGGCAGGTGTTTGTTCCTCTGTCATACGCAAGAGTAGACACTGTGTACTTTGATTGCCACTGAATTTAAATAAGGAAAACTGCCCTCTGCGAGGGCGCTCTGTGCAAGGAATCTATCTTCAATAATTACACAAATCAATCCTGGGATAATTTGAACTTTAACCACATTTACCAAGGTTACCGGTACACAATATAAAAAATACACGAAGTGTGTTGCAGGATTCTTGTTTTGCAGGAAACCTAATTCTGGATTATCTTGGATTGTAACATAATTTTCGCAAACTTGTTCTCACATAATTAAAATAAGAAAATAAATCTTATGTTTGTTCATTGTCTAAGTTTGTTTCCTCAAACAACATAAAGTTGTAAGCGAAAATCAATGCATCCAGATAAACAAAAAGGGGAAATGTATGGCAATATATGAACATTATGCAAACTGATTACAATGGTAATATTATGTATGTGTTAATTCCTTTGTTAAATTCAGACTGTACTTCACTAAATTGTTGGTAAGACACATACAGTACATGTATGTGATTGATTTACATACAAGAAACATGCAATTTCATCTAACGAAAAATTGGCAAGCCTTTAGATATAATCACTGTGTCTTGTTACATCAAATTAACGAAGTGAGTGAAAAACTGATTGACATGCATAAATGATTGATGCGTAGGCATGTGCTGAATGCCACTCAAAATGTGACGTCTTGAATCTTTGTCTAAATTTGGTGACCAGCAGCCATTAGTGAGGCGGAACCATGATTTATATAAATACTAATAACAAAATCGCTTGCACGCAGGTGGTATGCACACACTCAATGCAACTTTGACCAGAAGGGTTACCCAAATACAAGAAGATCATTTGCATTTATCCCAAAAAGATTATCAAAAAGATTGCATGTATTTGGATTAAAGATCATACTGGTACTAAACTATGTGTAAAATTCCGTCTGGCTTGCTGTCATTTAGCAGAAATCAAAAAATGTAGGTGATTTCCAACAATCAGCCTATTTACTGATTTTTGGAGCAAAACAACGTGCCGTTGATGAAATCATGTTTTGTGATTGATCCAAAGTGTAATATCTACTGAGCTGAATCTTCAACAGGTTAGGTTTGGAACATTCTACGTTGGATTATGAGTGGAGTTATTATTGGAAACAAACAAAATGCATGAGCCTTTAAGAATGTGTGGAACATTCACAGCGGTAATGGCTTCTAATTTAGTTGACTGAATAAGCCTATGATCTTAAGCTGATTTGATAGCTACTAAGCGTACAACTGCCTGGGCATAAAGAGATTCTACCAGCCAAACTCTTCATGTTCTCAGCTGCATTCTTCTTGCCATTCACCGGGCAAGAGTTTCCGTGTTGCAGCTGCATTACTGTAACCACTCACCGCTAATCAGTTTAGCAAACGACAAACAAAACATCAATCTGCAAAAGTTTGAGAAGTATTTTAATAATAATAATATAAGGAATTTATAAAGCACCTTTGCCGAAGGTTACAAAGCGCTGAAAACAAATCAACAGAATCGGTAACAAATGAAATCAAAACAGGTATGTTTGCAAGAGTCCCTTAAATTTTGCTTCCAGAATATCATTCTGAGTATCATAAAATCAAGAAAAAAAGTTAGTGTGTACAAAAACTCTTTTTAAAATCATGTCAAATATTCACATACATTTCTAAGCGAGTACTTTCACCAAATTAACCAAAAGATTTGCATTGTTATATCTCAAACAGTTTAAACTTTCCAATTAGTCATTCTGTAAAATGAGAGTAAAAAAGATAAATATTTACAAGTTTATATTTACTATAAAAACAGCAAACTGTTCTAAGTTTTAATAAAATTACCTCGTGCTTTAGTACCGATAATTTTTTTAAATTTATTTTTTAAAACAAAATTGACACACTATTGTTTGGCATAAAAATATATATATATTCATAACTACACCATTTTCTTTTCAAAATATAGTATCAAAATAAGTACAGTAAAAAATATACAGCAATCTATGATACAAGGCCTTAAATTCCCTACAAAGCATGCTGCTGCATTTTATGGTTACTTTTGGCCATAGCCATGAAAAACTCCTGTATTGAAAATGAGTTCAAAGCTGCTAAGTGTGTTTTCACATGTCTGGCCATGTGAAATTGGACAAATCAAAACTATAACTTTTTTACTTAACTTTACAAGGCCTTTGATGCATTCAAATTCTAAAAAAGAACAATTAGTGCGTAGTTTTTACCCTTACCAATATCCAAATTTCATCTTAAGAACCGAAAGTCCCACACAATAACAAGAACAACAACTTATAAAATGTCATCAAAAAATCACTTCAAAAACTTCATTTTTTTTGCCAGAACCAGTTTCTCATCTGCAAACAGACTGCAATGATCTGTGGTTCACTGGTTAAGTTTATACACTTGTCCCAGAACACTATCATTCAGCACCGAGGCCCCCTTCAATGGCCCCCTTCAATGGCGTACGTATTGTGCTAGCTATTGTTCAGATAATCCATCATGGGGTGGTTGCTTTGTACAATATGCTGCTCAATACTTCTGCAATGAAGGAGGCATCCATGAATGTACAATGTACTGGCATTGGTCTACAGGCAACATTACAACCGGCAAGCTGCTTTGCACATATCACAAACATTTTAACGAACACACCAACTAACATTCCTTTCTGTTTTAAATTCAGCTATTACTGCAAGGCAAGAGTCTATTTTAGAAAATTACAATAAAAAAACAAACTTGTTGAGGCATGATTTATTTAGACTGTACATCAGCAGTTGGCAATATCATAATTCCAAACTTTTTTTGCCGTTAAAAGTTTATATAAGGAAGTTCTGAGCACATTGAAATGCTCTCCCATAATAAGTTTCACCCTTCCCCAATCCTACCTCATCCCAACTTACACATTTATTTATAATAATATGTTCTCTGTGATTTTCCCCAATACCACAATAAGAGTTTTCCATTTTGTTTTAAATATAACATTTAATATCTGACTACTATACAAATGATCAGCCTATAATTTTCATACCGCTCATTTCCCTTTTCCACGGAAGCCATTAGAACTGATCAAAACATTCCAACATGTTAAGGAGTTGTCTTTATCAATACAATATGGCTATAAAAACTGCTTTTACAATGTGAATAAAATGAAAATATCTGAGTATATATGTTTCCACACATAAATAAAATACACAGTGCACAGAAATGCACAACATGTTTAGAGGGGTACACTGTACAGAATCAGTAATTTTGCACTATTATTCAAAAGTTACAAAACATTTTACTTTCTGTTCTACTTTCCACTAAACTTTCTAAGTTTAAGGAGTTTTGAGTCTTGATGCATGCAAATTAAGAACTAAGGGAGTTAAAAAGGCAGGGAGATGTAGATAGTATGTATTTTTTCCTGATGACATGGAATATTAACTAATTAAAGTTGACGTGGTTCAATATATATGAGGTCAACTTTTACAATGCTACACCGTGACATAGTGTTGTTGTCGTGGAGTTTTAGTACCTGACCCAGGGACCTTAATTAGAAGCCATTATTGCAGTGTCATCAGTGGCTCATGTTTTGCAAGTCATATCTGTGTTCTCAATGTTCCTTCCACTAATACGGTTGCCCAAAATACAAGTGGATCTCAAATCAAAGAACGTGTACGACACTATATCGCAGCAGATCGCATCAGTAATGACTTCTAATTACGTTCAAGGATGTCTAAGGTTCTATTTTTTCACCTTTCCAGTTTTCTCTAAGTGCATCTTGACCACATCCGCTGCATCATCCCTGCCAAGAAGTCTCAGTTGTTCCTCCAACTCACTCAGAGGACGATTCATGATCTCAAAGGCTTTGAGTACCTCCATGGTTGGATTGATCTGCATATCAAAGTAGTAGATCATTGCATCTAGACCCAGCTGGCTGGCCAACATACGCCAATCGTTGCCAGAAGGTAGCTTGGGGTCCAACAAGAGAAACAGATCTCGCTTGATGGCAAACGGGAGCATGTTATGCTGCAAGCTGCCATCTGATGCCTTGAGTAGGAGGGCATCAGCAGCTCGGCTACGACTCGGCACAGAGCGTGCATGGGGTGCATCTCTAGGTCTATCAGCAACAAGAGATGGGGAGGCTTTCTGAGTCAGAGGAGCTGAGGAGACTCTAGAGACAGCTTGATGACATCTGACGGGGATGGTTGTTGGTGGTGGCATGTGGGTGTGGAGGAATGGAACCGGGGCAATCACCGGGTACTTTGCCTGAGAAAAAAAACACACACCAACAAAATTAAAATCAGTTCACTATTAAGTCTTGATAAGTTTGATGCTTAATTGTCACAGTTTGGAGCAACTACATAAAAACATCAACTGTTGTACAGTCATTTAACACAAATCAAGAATCTACTCAAAGAAAATGAATATACTAAGTTTGCCTTCCTAAAACGCAATTTATTTGGGTCCATGTGAATCGGTCCTCGTACTATTGTTCAGTGTGTCTCTGGAATGCCTATCTGATGAAATCGATGTAAGGGGGGATGTACAAAAGAAAGGGAAAAAACAGCAGTGCAGGCAATGTTATAATGGCAATTTCGGATTATACCCCTGTTTCTGTTGTCCACAAGTAGTTCTTATTTTATTTTTAAAAACAGATTGACACATAGAAGCATTATTTAGTAAAACCTGATAAATTTACAACAGACAATGCAGAGGCAGCACCCTTAATGCAGAGAGCAGCAAGTTATGTGAAGAGAACACGAAAGTTATCTTCCGTGAAGAGAATAGCAAGTTGTATTCTGTGAAGACTGAAGAGAGCAGTAGGTAATATTGCTTTATAAAAAAGAAAGTCATCTGACCGACAGCAACAATGTCCGTCAGGTTAAGATTCCTGGTGAGTGAAGCAAGAAAACAAGCTGGAGAATGAATGAATTCTTGACACCTGCTTGTGTGGATCTAATTCTACAGAGGAGAAACAGAACAACTGCTGCCCTAGCAATCTGAATGCACAAGCAACTGAAACCACTGACACACATATAAACATCATAGACAAAAGCCACTTTGTAGTATAAACAGGGATGTACAGAAAATTCTCAAATGATATTACTACATTAATTGTGTAGATTACTGTCCATAGGTAGCTGTATTTTCACAGATTCCCTTTATGCGGTTATAGTAAACCTATTACTCAAAGTTTGTCAGGTCTCATTGATCTACCGAAGTATACCTTGTTGTGTATAAAACCAACCAAACAAACCAAATTAGATCAATTTGTATTTTTAAAGTCAACTTCAATCAGCATTCATATATGTCTTTGAATGTTGGCAGGTTGTTTTACTTTAATTTGTTTTAGCGAAGAAACCAAATGCACGTTTCGGATAAGTTTATAAGTGCATATTGGCAATGGAGCTCAGAAGCACGAAGGATAGTACCTATAGAGGGAAAAGATGAAGAAAGTTGTGGAAAGTGTTGCAGTTAAGTTCATCAAAAGCCTTCACAAGTCCATCACAATCATCCAGTCCTGAGTCAAGTCACAGACTAGCCACATGAACTATGACAAAGACATTCTTTGTGATTGTCCCCTGTTAAATGTCACTAGACTTGTAGAGAAACTTGTGATTTACTTGTGATGGGACTTGCGATGAACTTCTGACAGACTTGATTCCAAAAGTTAAAGTGTAAGAAAGGAAGGAAACAACCCTGAAAGATATTCCAGGGAACACCCACAATCAGACAATCAGCACACACTAAAAGCACAATCCACATGTGGGCCTGGGGGGATGTGAACCCTGGTCACACTGTGCCAAACTGACTCCCTGATAGCCTGATTCCAGACAATTCTACCATGAAGAGTTCCATCAAATAATCATCAGCAAATTTGTTACTTTTTTACAAAAATTGTGGGGGAGGAAGATATATTCTGCCCATTTTTTTCATGAGTGCTATGGCCCCTTGGATTTGTTGCTATTGCTGCAAACATCTCAATATTATTTGTGTTATTTAGAAAAGTGTTCCTTTCTTAGGGCCATCCCATGTGGTGTATTTAAACAATGTTAGCTGGCACAAGTGCGATTACGACAGACAGTTGAACACGATGTACTGCTACATCAATTAGGCTTGCAACAACCTAGAAACAAACAACATTGATGGAGACAAACATCAGTTAATGGCATGTTGTTGTTGACACCACAGCAGCACAGGTTTATACTCCAGATCAGCAGGGCAGGGTAGGGATTGCCGGCAATTACGGCTTGATAATGAGGGGATCATACACTTACACTCTGCCAAGACGGGATGAGGTTTTGGATCTGAACAAGTCGTCTGATGGCCTTCCATCCAGGGTTACGCTCTGTGAACGGCCCTTTTTCTTTTGAAATTTATAGAAGATAAAAACCCTATGTATCTACACGCACTGATAATCTGATTAGTGATTAGTGTTGACAAAAACTGTCTTTCTTGGCTCAGCACCAACAAAGTCTTAGAGAGAAAAGCCCAGATTTTTAACAAATTCCAAGCCTGGATTGAATCAAATTACGGGACACAATTCACTGACCAGCCATATTACATTGGTATAGAGTAATTGGTAGGATGGAATGAAATGAACAATATAGTCTAAGTTAGTAAACACACCCACAGTTTTCTAAGTAATAAGGCAGTCCAGGTTTCAGTGGTGTCATGCTGCCATCAAAACAAGTGAAAGAAATGCATGATAGAATTCCTTTTCCTGAAGCATGTGTAGACATTACACTTCAGTGAATGATTCAAAGTTTAGGGTGATAATAATGACTTTCTATCACATGGAGAATTACTGAAACAGTAATGTATGATAGGACACCATGCATGCTTGTGGCATTAGGCAATGAAATAAAATAACAAGAATGCACCACATGCAGTTGTAATGATATTCAAATCAAGTTTATAGACATACATATTGGTTTGAACCCTGTTCATATATTTTTTACCTCATTGGAGAATTGCAGGTTCATGTGAACAGGTCGCTGTTCTAGCGCTGTGTTTTCCTGCCACACGTTGATAGTGCATTGACCTACTGGTTCCTTCTTGATGATTTCGACCATGTAACACACAAGCTGCTTGTGATACAGCTCCTCTGTTGTGATTGGCTGGCGGAAAAAAATAACAATGATTGGGACAAAGATAACAATGTAACTATAGTTGATGAACAATTGCCAACAAATAAATGTGAGGCGTTCTGGTAAAATGAGACGGAACTTGGCACAGGCAGTAGTGGAGAAAAATGCAAAAGACCAAATAGGGGCAATTTGTTGTCGATTTTCAGATTTATTGATATTTGTAATCTTTGATACGGTATGTCCACTACACCTTTTTAAAGAAATAGCATAAAAATTGTGGGGAAAAAAAACTTTTTAAGGACAAACAATCGGCATCTTTCATTTTCACTAATACAAAACTTTAAACTTTAACGGCATTTTTCTCAGTATTTTTTTTAGTACTTTTTTACATGTCAATAAATGCGAACTTTAAAAAGTCATAACTTGTCAACAGAATGTCCAATTGAAGTGCAACAAACAGTATTGTAAGGAGAATTTTATTCTCTTTCCTAATATCTGCAAATCTTCATTTCGACGTCTGCCCAGTCTCATTTTTCCTGAATGCCTCACAAATATACAAAGACTAGCAATGTTTTATGAAGTAAGTTTGGCAATTCTGTGCAGAGTGCAATTACTTGACGCTGATTGGATAAAGAAATGTGATCCTAACCAAAGTAAAGGCTGGCATCTGAAAACCGGATGTAAGACGAATATACCAGGTATATGTAAAACTTACAAACTTGAAAGCTGTTAAAGTGGTTGTAGTTTAAGCTTTGCATTAATATCAGAGTTGCATTTCAGTGGTCACGGATGACCCATTTGATTTTCAAAACAAAGCTGTAAAGCTTTTTTGGACACTTCCTGTGTATGACAATAATGTATTAGAGACCTCCTCATTAGATAATTTTGTTTCTATCTGGTTTGAGGAACGATATCGATCCCCTTTTTGAGTATTTGGATTCTCATACCATTGGTTCATTGCCTCCAAGGTACCTCTCCATTCCTTCAAGATTAGTCATATTCATCAAGACATTGTCACTGGTGTTGGATAAGAAGAAAGATCCAGAGATATCGCACAGTCGACCGCGGTAAGTGTTCTCACGTCGCTGAATCTCCTGCAAGGAATGCAGACTCATAATTACTACACAGCCACATTGGGTCAAATGTACAACAATATATTTGCAAACACATACATTGTAGCAACATTCATAAAATACACACTTAAGGCTCATATTCAGCTGAACTGGACTGACGAAAATGCACCTGTACTGAGGCAATCATCTGCCATAAGTTTGTTCCTCCATGACATATATGCTTGCAACATTTAGTTTGATGGTTATTCATAATTGATGCTTAATTGAACTCAATGATTCTGAAGGTTTTTTTAGAAACAGTCGATCACAAGTCAATCCCAAGTCTGGTCACAAGTCCATCACAAGTCCATCACAAGTCCGTCACAAGTACGTAACAAGTCCATCACAAGTCCATATCAAGTCCATCACAAGTCCGTCACAAGTCCGTCACAAGTACGTAACAAGTCCGATACAAGTACAATGTACATTACAAGTCAATCACAAGTCCATCACAAGTCCATCACAAGTCTGTTACAAGTAAATCACAACTTCATTCACAAGTCAGGTCACAAGTAAGAGGGAATGTACAAAGAAAATGGCAATATTACAGTTCATATGATGAGCCTAGGACTTATCCAGTGACTAGATGACTTGACTACAACATTGCATGGCATCTGTGAAATTTCAGGCTTGACTTACATGAAGGACGTCATCACTTCCATTGTCACCAAAGAAGTAGACCCTAGCAACCAGATGATCATCACTTTGCTCTGAGGAGATGTAGGTCATACATCGGATGATCTTGCCGCTCACACTGTCTGTGGGAACCATGACAGCGAAGCAGCCAGTCTTGGCTGTCTCGATGACAAAGTGACGATGAGATGCTCTACAAGCAACGCTGAAACTAGTCTGGTCTACCTTCTCCCACTTGAAGAACTTGCCTACAGGGTCAGGAGATAAATACATATACTTCGAATTATTCTACAAAATGAAGAGTACCATTTTGTTAACAAATAAAAATGATGATTTGAGAAAGTTGAGGCAAAGTCTTAGGTAAAAAATAGCAATGTTTAATCCGAAAGTGACCTTTATAATTTTTTTTACAGATGATTTTGTTTGAGGTTACTTCTAGTATATTCTGCGTTGCATGATTATTTATTGTAGCACTTCCTTTTTCCTCTTCTGGGCCAAGTGTTATGATAGAAAGCAAGGAAGAAAAATTTCGTTTTCAAATCTGGAGGGAAAAAACCCAACTAATATTACTAAACAGAAACTTACTGATCAATCAATCTGCTGTATGAGCTAGTTTGATCAATGACAAGTGCTCAATTAGTAACTCACAATCATTTCGATTACTTCAAGAGACTGAGTATAAACCTACCAGGTTCTTTGTTGAGATGCTCAATTAGTAACTCACAATCATTTAGATGACTTTAAGAGACTGAGTTTAAACCTACCAGGTTCTTTGTTGAGATGCTCCATTAGTAACTCACAATCATTTCGATTACTTCAAGAGACTGAGTATAAACCTACCAGGTTCTTTGTTGAGATGCTCAATTAGTAACTCACAATCATTTAGATGACTTTAAGAGACTGAGTATAAACCTACCAGGTTCTTTGTTGAGATGCTCCATTAGTAACTCACAATCATTTCGATTACTTCAAGAGACTGAGTATAAACCTACCAGGTTCTTTGTTGAGATGCTCCATTAGTAACTTACAATCATTTAGATGACTTCAAGAGACTGAGTATAAACCTACCAGGTTCTTTGTTGAGATGCTCCATTAGTAACTTACTATCATTTCGATTACTTCAAGAGACTGAGTATAAACCTACCAGGTTCTTTGTTGAGATGCCAGATATTCGGTGTGCAGTTATCAACATCCTTCAGGATAGCACTATGTTGGATCTCCAGCTGAAATGGTTGCAGAAGTGTGACATTCCTAGGCATGCTACAGCAACTGACGATGGGTGACACCAAGACGCAAGCTTCTGACTCTGGTAGATTAGGCAGCGTGTCCCAGACTAAGCTAACACACATAGTGCAGCTTGAAGACTGCGGCAAGGCCTTCCGTGGCACCTTAAGATGTGTAGAGAGCTGCTTGGTAGTCATCCCGATCATATCCACCTTCTGCATCATGACAACCTTCTCTCCATCCAGCTCAACATAAGGAGACTCCTCATCTTCATCAGAGCTTTCTTCTGTGTCTTCTTCATCTAGAGGCTCGCCTTCCTCAGTAGTAAACTCTATGTAGTTGTCTTCAGGGATCTCAACAGCTGGTTGATGTTTGAGCTCTGCTTGATTGTAACGTCCCTGCCCCCCGGCACCACGCCCACCGCCACGCTTGTGATGAGCGGGCAAAGTGTGTTGTGGGCGTGGTTTTGTGCTTGGCCTGATACCAGCAAATGGCGCGGACAGAATCTCAAAACTACCATCAAGCTCAGGACTGTCTTCTCCTGAGGTTCCTCCGGTTGCTCCAGCAGCTATGGGAGATGTCTTGACTGACTTGCTGATATTTGAGATACTGTCTCCAGGAGTTGATGAGGATACAGTAGCTTCAGTGGGTGGGCATACTTTTGGCTTAGATGTTGATGCAGTGGGCTGTGCAGGGGAGGATTTTGTCACCCATTTTTCATTCACAAGTTTGGGGCCTCCTTTATGGGAAATAACTGTAGAGCAAGCAAACACATTTTTAATTAGTTTCAATGTGATGGAAAACAGTTATATTGTACATTTTGTTGTACACAACAGTACAATGTGAGTGCAAGTCACTTAGTTATGCACTGTTTCCTCACACATTCTTCACAGGTTGAATCAAGTATCCCCATGCCTTTCCTTGACCCTTCCTTCTACCACCTCCCCTACCCCGTCTCTCCGTACCCTCTCCCCACCCCCTCCCCACCCCTAACCCTCTGTCGATATCCTCACCTCCACCCCCTCTCTCCGTAGACTCTCCCCCGCCCCCTCCCCACTCATCATCCCTAACCCTCTATCGATACCCTCACCTCCACCCCCTCTCTCCGTAGCCTCTCCCCCACCCCCTCCCCACTCGCCACCCCTAACCCTCTGTCGATATCCTCATCTCCACCCCCTCTCTCCGTAGCCTCTCCCCCACCCCCTCCCCACTCACCACCCCTAACCCTCTGTCAATATCCTTACCTCCACCCCCTCTCTCCGTAGCCTCTCCCCCGCCCCCTCCCCACTCGCCACCTCTAACCCTCTATCGATATCCTTACCTCCACCCCCTCTCTCCGTAGCCTCTCCCCCACCCCCTCCCCACTCACCACCCCTAACCCTCTGTCAATATCCTTACCTCCACCCCCTCTCTCCATAGACTCTCCCCCGCCCCCTCCCCACTCGCCACCTCTAACCCTCTATCGATATCCTTACCTCCACCCCCTCTCTCCGTAGCCTCTCCCCCGCCCCCTCCCCACTCACCACCTCTAACCCTCTGTCGACATCCTTACCTCCACCCCCTCTCTCCGTAGCCTCTCCCCCGCCCCCTCCCCACTCACCACCTCTAACCCTCTGTCGATATCCTCACCTCCACCCCCTCTCTCCGTAGCCTCTCCCCCACCCCCTCCCCACTCGCCACCTCTAACCCTCTGTCCATATCCTCACCTCCACCCCCTCTCTCCGTAGCCTCTCCTCCATCCCCTCCCCACTCGCCACCTCTAACCCTCTGTCCATATCCTCACCTCCACCCCCTCTCTCCGTAGCCTCTCCCCCACCCCCTCCCCACTCGCCACCCCTAACCCTCTGTCGATATCCTTACCTCCACCCCCTCTCTCCGTAGCCTCTCCCCCGCCCCCTCCCCACTCGCCACCTCTAACCCTCTATCGATATCCTCACCTCCACCCCTCTCTCCGTAGCCTCTCCCCCGCCCCCTCCCCACTCGCCACCTCTAACCCTCTGTCCATATCCTCACCTCCACCCCCTCTCTCCGTAGCCTCTCCCCCGCCCCCTCCCCACTCACCACCTCTAACCCTCTGTCGATATCCTCACCTCCACCCCCTCTCTCCGTAGCCTCTCCCCCGCCCCCTCCCCACTCACCACCTCTAACCCTCTGTCGACATCCTTACCTCCACCCCCTCTCTCCGTAGCCTCTCCCCCGCCCCCTCCCCACTCACCACCTCTAACCCTCTGTCGATATCCTCACCTCCACCCCCTCTCTCCGTAGCCTCTCCCCCGCCCCCTCCCCACTCACCACCTCTAACCCTCTGTCGATATCCTCACCTCCACCCCCTCTCTCCGTAGCCTCTCCCCCGCCCCCTCCCCACTCGCCACCTCTAACCCTCTGTCCATATCCTCACCTCCACCCCCTCTCTCCGTAGCCTCTCCCCCACCCCCTCCCCACTCGCCATCCCTAACCCTCTGTCGATATCCTTACCTCCACCCCCTCTCTCCGTAGCCTCTCCCCCGCCCCCTCCCCACTCGCCACCTCTAACCCTCTATCGATATCCTCACCTCCACCCCCTCTCTCCGTAGCCTCTCCCCCGCCCCCTCCCCACTCGCCACCTCTAACCCTCTGTCCATATCCTCACCTCCACCCCCTCTCTCCGTAGCCTCTCCCCCGCCCCCTCCCCACTCACCACCTCTAACCCTCTGTCGATATCCTCACCTCCACCCCCTCTCTCCGTAGCCTCTCCCCCGCCCCCTCCCCACTCGCCACCTCTAACCCTCTATCGATATCCTCACCTCCACCCCCTCTCTCCGTAGCCTCTCCCCCGCCCCCTCCCCACTCGCCACCTCTAACCCTCTGTCCATATCCTCACCTCCACCCCCTCTCTCCGTAGCCTCTCCCCCGCCCCCTCCCCACTCGCCACCTCTAACCCTCTATCGATATCCTCACCTCCACCCCCTCTCTCCGTAGCCTCTCCCCCGCCCCTCCCCACTCGCCACCTCTAACCCTCTGTCCATATCCTCACCTCCACCCCCTCTCTCCGTAGCCTCTCCCCCGCCCCCTCCCCACTTGCCACCTCTAACCCTCTATCGATATCCTCACCTCCACCCCCTCTCTCCGTAGCCTCTCCCCCGCCCCCTCCCCACTCGCCACCTCTAACCCTCTGTCCATATCCTCACCTCCACCCCCTCTCTCCGTAGCCTCTCCCCCGCCCCCTCCCCACTCGCCACCTCTAACCCTCTATCGATATCCTCACCTCCACCCCCTCTCTCCGTAGCCTCTCCCCCGCCCCCTCCCCACTCGCCACCTCTAACCCTCTGTCCATATCCTCACCTCCACCCCCTCTCTCCGTAGCCTCTCCCCCGCCCCCTCCCCACTCACCACCTCTAACCCTCTGTCGATATCCTCACCTCCACCCCCTCTCTCCATAGACTCTCCCCCGCCCCCTCCCCACTCGCCACCTCTAACCCTCTGTCCATATCCTCACCTCCACCCCCCCTCTCCGTAGCCTCTCCCCCGCCCCCTCCCCATTCACCACCCCTAACCCTCTGTCCATATCCTCACCTCCACCCCCTCTCTCCGTAGCCTCTCCCCCGCCCCCTCCCCACTCGCCACCCCTAACCCTCTGTCCATATCCTCACCTCCACCCCCTCTCTCCGTAGCCTCTCCCCCACCCCCTCCCCACTCACCACCCCTAACCCTCTGTCCATATCCTTACCTCCACTTGCCCTGTTGCATGCAGCATGTATGGCATTGAACCATGCTTTCCGCTCATGGTCACTCTCAGCAATGAAGTGATAGATTCTGCCGGGGGTCTTGAGATAGAAATGGAATCCTTGGTGCTCTGGGTCTAGCTGTCCACTCAGGATGAGGGAGTAACCACCCTTCATGGGAATGGTGCCTTTGGGATTGGCATCCTGCCAAGAAATCCAGCAACAAAACACCACACATTAGATTAGAGTGGTATTATACCATTATGGGCTCCGTGCACAAGTACCCCCTCAACGCCAAGAAAGGGAACGGCAAGAAAGAATGTGTGCTTGGGAGGTATTAAAACACTCTGTTTAAGACCAGTTGGAGTCTGGATGCTGATAATCACCCGAGCCGAAGGTGAGGGTCATTATCAGCATCCAGACTCCAACCAGTTTTTAAACATAGTGTTTAATACCAACCAAGCACATATATTTATTCCCATTCATAAACACCTCTTCGACCAAAAATCAAACACTTTTTGGTCCAAAAGTCAAAACAAGTTAAGAATTAATAATTTCCAACAATTTTGTTCAACCATTTCACTTCATGTTTTCGAAACACCCCTCTAGCTATATAAGGGAGTGTAAACAACTCCTTTTATGGAGATTGGCGCGCGCGTTGCAGAATGCAGCTTGATGGTATGTTGTGAATTTAGGACTAGGAAATACAGACTCACTGGTGGTATTGGACACGCCTACGTGAGGATTGTGAATGTTCAACCGGTACAACGGTAAAAGGTACTGGATTTCAAAAGGTACTGGAAGTCCAAATTTCATGTGACGCTGGAAAAATGTTTAAGACCAGCTAGCCATGTCTTTATCATCCGTTTAAGACTGGCCACGTGACAGGCTCTCAACCAATAGACGTGGATAAAATGTCTTAGGTATTTATGAATCATGGCTAATAATTAATCATGGTTAATTATAAGTCCTCTACTGATACTTCTCTTGATCACTTTACTGCTGTGGCCTTTGGTGCATTCATGACTGAGTGCACTTCTGGGTGCATTTACAAGATTCAATTAAGGGCAAGCCTTACAAATTTCAGCTTTTTGAAACATTATTATTCAGCTGATTAAAACAAAACGATTCTCACTTGTAAGATGTGATGCAAAAGCAATTAACTTTTTCAAATACACTTGAATTTTGAGTATTCTTTACAAAAAACTTGAAAATTTAAAAACAAAATGATTTCAAAACAATCTGCAGAGATTTAGCAGCGGGAAGCTGACATACCAATGGGTCCTTGAAGTACATGAGACACAACTTGTCCAAGACAATCCAACGTTTGCGGAAGGCTTCCTTGCCTTTAGATCCCGTCTTGAACAGGTATCCCTCCTTCAGAATGTCATACTTCAGAATACGAGAAATCTGTCCAAAGAGTAAGAAGAAAAATAACAGACGTGGTGAAATTTAGTAATGGGGATGCAGAAGAAGAAAGGGTGAAAACTGATAAAAAGATTTACTTGGTCCTTAAATATATTCACAAAGAAATTTGTTTATGGTGGTGAAAGTAACTGGGGTGAAACAAGTAAGGCGATAATTAAGGTAGGGGTCTAATTGAAAAAAATAAATTAAGAACCTTATTAATATTCATGAAGGTATTTTGACTATGTCATTTTTTAGAGAAAGGGGCAAGGACCAGTCATAATTAAATAAAAATACAAACTATCAAAGAATTTTTTTTTTTTAATTGGGTAAATTGGAAAAGAAATTCATGTCAATTTAAATACTAACGTGATGCTTTGGTGATGAAAATTGCTCCTCATTGAAGGCTATATCGTACATAAATTATGAGTAATTTGCATACATTAGAATATTTACTCACTATATTCTCATCAGTCTCTACGCTCTTCCTTTTCTGAATGAAGTATTTGAGGCATCTCACTGCTTGGAACCATTCCACCATATCCTGGGGAGATATGAATGTTCATTAGTTTATAATCATATGAATAATAAATGAATATTTGAGGCATCGCAATGTGGAATCTTTCCAATATATCCTAGAGGGGAATATGAATATTCATTAGTAAATTTATTCAATGTTTTGAATAATCATTGTGTGCACCTCACATACATTTATGCGATATGCCCTCCAGTTTTAATTACAACCACATTTTACATGTAAACTTATTTAATTTCAAAAGTATAATTGAAAAACCTGAGTACTTGGTCACATATTTTGCACATTTTATTTCTATATTTTCCAATGACTGACAACTAAAGCTCTGGTGTCAAACACTTTGAAGTTAGGTCGTTTGATGTTTTGAATGCTAGTGTTGGCTAAATATTCAAATGTAGCGTAAGAATTTCACCATTAACATTTAACTAATGTGGATTTGCATTCTTACTACACAGAATCAATAATCTGCCAACAACCCACCGTAAGCAAATATTTCAGACTGACAGACTTTTTTGTGTGAAGCAAATTTATGCACCACTCTCAATGACTATTGCCCCAGGATGTGGTTCTGTGTAGTTCCCTCATGTCTGACCAGTTTTATTTTGTGCTAATCTACAAGGTTATCAGTCTGATGGCTGTCCCTCCAAATATTTGTCATGGTCAAATTCGTTATTGAATGTAGCTATTTCATCTGTCTTGAGACTTTTTTAATAACTGGATTAGTAAATCCTATCATTGAAACGTTGGTCAATAGAAGTTCCAGAGAGCCTCAAGACTGACTGTAGTGTTGGCGTACATACCTTTATGTATTATGAAAGATTTATTGTTACTAACAATTGGGGGGATAGGAAACCATGGCACTTTTCACTTTGGGCAATGCCTTTTAAATTTGAACAAATAAGGCCTGTGATGAACTGTATGGATGTTAGAAATAATAATCAGGCTGATCCAACTGACTGAATTGAATGTACTTTGACATCAGATCACATTGCTATACACTCATCTACATGTAACTTTGGGTCATTCTAAATTATTATTTGGGTTCACTGTTTCCCTGTCCCTGTTATATCTGACATAAAAGATTTTATAATTCTGATGCACTCTTTAATGCAGCCATCCTCCAAGAGTGATTATGAATAGCAAACTACCTACATTGTACATGTACCCGACAAATAAAAAGAGTTGTTTGAAGTCATTCATAATAAATTACTTGAATGGCAACATACAAAGTACACGGGGGTATCGGGACTGGAAAAATGTCACACTTTGGAACCCAAATGTATAGAATGACCCACAATTGCTCTGATGGTTTAATTCAGACAAGATTAATATGTGAACAAACTAACGTCAAAAACAAACAAAGGTGGTGAGGATTGGGGTGATATTTTGTATGTAAATGGAGAGTTGGGGATCATCTCTGGGAGAGACATTCAAACATATTGCCGACAATGCCAGATGAACATACAAAGACGCTATGGCTAAGTGTACATTCAGAATAAATGAGATGTGCATACTTGGTACATCGATCCCGTGAACCAGTATGTGCATGCGGTGTGTCAAATCCACTGTGCTCTCAAAAGCAGTCAAAAGCCCCCTCTTTGGATTACCCACGGAGCTCATAAGAGATCACCCTCTGACAGACTCAGTGATATGAATGACATGTACCTTTGCTAGTTCAGCATAGAGATAGATCATCCGTGTGTTATTCTGTCCTTTCTTGTCAGGATAGACAATCTGTAAGCCATTAGGATGACCAATCTTCTCCGATGAGGCAAGGACCAAGTTCATCTTGAAGAGGGATATCTCGCCTCGCAGTGACTGTTCCTGAAAAACAAAAAAACAAAAATAAAGGAATTGGTACATTTATTCAAAGACAGTGATGTGTATAAGGGGGGAATAGACATTTAATGGAACAATTGGCCAATTTAGTTACGGAATAATCACTTTTCATATATTTCGAATTATTTCTGGCCAAACGATGATTCATTTCTTAACTGTAGGGAAGACTGGTTCCAACCTCCCTATCAGAATTAAGAATGAAGGGAAAAGGAACCAGTCTACTTATCAGTATATAACCAAAAATAATAGCCTTTTGCAGAGGGTTGCAGAGGCCAAAATTTAAACAATAAAGAGTATAATTTTTTTTTTATTGCAATGAAACATGCATATGAGTTAAAAAAAAACCCATTGAATTCGCTGAAGAGCATGGACAGGATATCTTTAAAACAAACTCCTCCAATTGCGTCCAATTAAGACAATAGACGTCTACGTTATGTCTACATGGGGCCTTGGAGGGCAATTAACTTCACTTGGATAAGCATTAATGATTAAAAAAATTAAAAAATACACTCTCTAAAATGGCTTCAATAAGTTTAACAATTAACAACAAAGTGTGCATCTACTTACGTTTGCATCCGTGTAGTATCGAAGAGTGCCTTTCTCGCTAGGATCTAAGACAAACCATCGTCTTTGGAAGACTTGACTATCTCGGCCCAGCTTCCACAAATAGCCTGACTTCTGGCCTTGCATGTACTTGGGCTGATCGTCTGCAGACACAAACTCCTTATGGGGATACTTGGACATTATCCACTGTCTACGGAATTCCCTGTAAACACAAAAATGTGGAAATAAACATTAAAACAAATCCTTTAAGGCCCCAGTACAGCTCGTCCCAAAATACCCGCAACATTTTTTTGCGAGGCTCTAGCATCGCCACGGAATCACATACCGCCATTATTTTTTATATCATTTTAAAGCTTGGAATCTGAACTTTATCCCTGGTAAGTATTGGTTTGATTTTCAAAAGGGTTTTGAAATAATTCATGTTCAAATAAAGGCATGTCAAAAACAAACTCAACTCATTTTTTCTAATATGGAAATACAATCATCATGTTCATGATGTGACGATCTCATTGCCTTTTACTTTCTATATGTGTTTCCTATTCTTTTCGATCCATGTACCGGTAGACTACACCTTAAATAAATTCACAAATTGTTCTTTGTTTTTCTGTTATTCTGATTCTCTTTTGAAATTCACATGCAAGTATGAACCTATTCAAAAAGCGCGCTCAAAGTGTGACTTGAGTTTGCATCTGATACATGTACCGCATCATCGATTGAGTTTGTTTTCAACATGCATTTTTTGAACACAAATTATTGTAAAACTCTTTTAAATATCAAACCAATACTCCCCAGGGATAAAGTTAAGATTCCAAACTTTAAAATGGCATAAAAATAACGGCGGTACATGTTTTGTGGCCGACGCTAGAGCCTCGCAAATAAAAGTTGTATTTGTCTACAGTGTACATTTCAATAGTAGAATAACAAAAATCACTATGAACAGGTGATTTTTGTTTTGGTTATGACTTTGGGCAGGGTCTGGCTTATACTAGGTTTAATATCAGTCATAAAAGCAGGTTTTTTTTGTTATTAGACTTGCAAGGGGGCCGGGGATGTACCCCAATATTTGGTTGATGCTGCTTAGATGTAGATCACTGGTAGTTTAACTTGGAAGTGATCTTTGTATTCAATTGTAATTGATTCATATGTGTCCTTGTCAAAACAAATGTATTAGATAATTTGTAATCACTGTATCAACTGCAGTATTTTATAAATACCGGCACATACGTACATGTACTGGTAGCTTGACAACATATGGTGCAATGGCTGTTCCTTTTGAAAGCTGAGTCCTGTGACAACACTCAACTATATCAAGTGAGTGACAGTCATATGGAGATGTCAAGAATGAAGGTGTAACTGGTTTTTATGTCACCAATGCATGCCACACCCAATCACAGCATGTGTTCTTGCAATGCATGTACTGCATTCTAGGACCAGGGGTTTCAACTGTCATTCATTGTGAACTAACCATTTACAGGTAGCATACAAAAATACATGTACATGTGCAACCATGCAATACCTGGCCCAAAGCTTTGTGCAGACATACATTGTAACTTTGATAATGTAGTTGATAGGCCTAATGGGAAATTAACATTTTACATGCAGACCACCCTCTTAAGCTGTGGTTTTGGAGTTGGTTTCGGTTTTGTTCCACTGAAGCTACGTGTTTTTATTTTTATAACATTGTGTCTATCTTATTGAAATAGTTGGCACTGTATATCCTGGTCTTTGTTCCTGTTTTTCTTTACAAAATGCCAAATGCTCTTCTCTGTATGCATGCCAACCAATCAGGTAATTGACCTTACATATGATATGGGAATTTCATTGCCGCCAACTCAGAAGATTTGCAGTGAAACAAAATATCAATGGAATAGTGATTGATGTAAATTGGGTGGCAAAAGAAAAAAAAAGTTTTTTTTTATAAGGAAAATGCCAAATGTACTTGATTTTGTATTTTGACATTTGACTTGGGCTACATGTAAATATTGAAAACGCTTAGCAAAAGGGCTACTTATATTTTGAAGGCAGAAAAAAATACATCAAACTAGAGGTTTGCTTTTGTCTTTGATAACGTCACCAGTTTAAATTGTGCATAACGAATTCAGACAAGTTATGCTGCATAAAGTAAAAAGAAATTCAGGAAATATGAAAATAACAGGAATGCATTAATTGCACCAACATGTGACTTCCGGTTTGATGATGTCACAGTTGCCCATCGTCAATAATGAGCTTTATTTTGGCAACAATAATCCCCAGTAAGTACCAAATGATAGATTATAATTTAAAAATGTAAAATATTGATAATTTACAAAGTCTCCCTTAAATAACTTCCGGTCTGATCATGTTATCTTTATGAAATTACGTGAAGTAATTTGTTGTCCAGACAAATCTAAAGGCAATGTGGTAAAATTTTGACAAACAGGCGTTACATTTAAGAAAATCAAAAATCTACTTTCCTGGACATGCCGCCAGAGGGCGTCCATTCGAAGGTGATGACGTCATTGTAACATTTTTGATTTTACCATTTCTCACTAAACATTTCTTGAATTAGTATTACTGTAGTAAAATGCCTCCGTTTACAAGTTACATTAGTTAATCATTGCACATTCGGTAACCCCGGAAGTAAAGGTCAAGCGGCATTTTGTGCCCGGGCATTAGAAATGTTGCCCAAGACAATTTCTACTAATATCTCACTAAAAATGAACCTCAGTATCAATTCAGTTCAAGAGATATAAAGTATCATGTCAGGTTTGACCTTAAATCGCTTGTATTTGAAAACATGTATGTGATGACGTCATGATCACATCAAAATTGTTGTCACATTTTTAGACAAGGTTGCATGTTTAGTTTCATAGTCATCCCTGGTACCGTTTGGAAGAAATTCCGTTTGTTTTCACATTCATACTTCTTTCGACATTTTGAATTCACCTAACTTTGACCTTCTACTAACCCCAGAAGTAAAGGTGAAGCAACTTCAAGTACATGAAATGTTCATCAAGGCATGATGAATTGGATCATAAGGTGTGAACATGATTCTTTGTTTTGTTCATGAGTTATGATTGAAACAAAACAGTAACTTTTTTAACAAAAATCGCTTGTAATTTGATGACGTCATCATGACGACACACTTGTATGCATGCCACGGTATCAGGATTGATGTTAATACCGGTACCAATTTTGAAGTTCATGCATTTTCTCGTTTGACAGAAAAGTTGTGGCCTGGAGACTTGTCAAGAAAAAAAAAACCCAAATGTTTAAAGGCTGCTCAATAGTTTAGAACCTTTGATCCACTAGATTGGATAAAACTAACCGGTATGACCATGCTCACATTGTTACTTAGTTTTGAAACAATACAGCGTTGTTGCCAGGAAGTCACAGAACAGGAAACTGATGTCCACCACAGGTCCATCATTTCCTATTCGGGACTTGTTTTTTTGTAGATAATGATGATTGATGAAAAATAGAAGATTAAAATGCACAGTCACAAAGGGTCCAATTTGGCTTATGGGGATGAATAATTCGGATGAGCTACTTTTCTGTATTGACTTTTGAATAAAGGATCGCATCAAAACTAATTTTGCATGAGATTGTCATTACTACATTGTCATGATTATAGATGAAAATGAGGAGACTACGGTGATCATAACTGGTCAGTGGACGGGGTAGGGAAGGAGGGATGGGATATAAAAAGCTAAAACAGCAAAAGTACAATGGGCTCTGTGCAGCAGTACCCCTCATTGGTAAGAAAGGGAGAGTTGAGGAGACTGCTGCAGATGGCTTGTGTGTATTTCACCCTACAGATGCACATACAGTATGCGCACGCACTGTGTCCTGTCCTACCGCGCGGCATACAAAGTGGTAAAAAAAGTCCTCTCAAACAGGACATGAATTGACAAAAATGATTATGTTGCAGCATGCACCAGAATTGTGCACAATTTTGTATACAATGTATCCAATCCTTTCTTTGTCGAGGTGTTTTACGTCATGCATGTACACACGTCTCCCAACCAATCATTTCTCACAGGATAATACAGTGTATGATGATGTCAGCAAGTATATTTTTACAATGTGGAAGTAGTGACAATAAAAAAGGGGTACAGAGGGCACATTTCAGGGCACCGGGATTTTCGAATCATGCATTTAAAGTGCATTGATCTTATGTTACCATTGGAAGACCAACAAAAAACTATTCACATTTTTTATAAATTATTTCTTTCAAGACTTTGTACATTGTAGAAACAACCAGCAAATTACCAATGGAATTACTCTAAACAAAAAGTCTTGAGCAGCTAAAGGTATCACAACAGTTGAAGAGATCCTAATCAGTTTTCACTGATCAAGTCATTCACAACACAGTCACAAGTCAATTACTGTGATGTATCATGTAAGTCAATCACCAGGTAATTACGGTATTATTCAATCACAACCAAATCACAAGTCAGATCACAAGTAGGCTAGGAGATGATCTGAGACAAAGGAATGATATGTCATAGTTTATTGTTTGTCAAAGTGGCTTGGGTGTGCTGTGTTTGACTTACAATGTACATGTATTGTGATTAACCATCTAGAAAGGACACATAGTTAATTTAGTGGTTCACTGCAGATCCTAAAAGTGAAATGTTCAGTGGATCTATTGTAGATCAATAGCTAATCACTTAAAAGTTTCAACCACATGAAAAATTACTTGGTTAAATTATGATTTAAACTAAAAGGGCCCACTTATGTTGATGGCACTACACCGGTACTCTACTTATTACACAATTCTGATATAACAAACATGTTGGCTAGGTCCGGCTGAGTTTGTATTAACGAGACTCGACTTTTTAAGTTTCCCTCAGTGCCCCCCCCCCCCTCAAAAAAAGAAGCTTTACCCTAGTAACACCCCTGTTTACATATCAATAATTCAATTTATATTGTGTTGTGGACTGTTTCAAACGATTGAGGAAATTAATTGGCAGACTGTTTGAGTTTCACTATCTCTTCAGACTGTGCTAGCACATAACTCAGTCCATCGAGGTCATTATGTAAAACATGTGACTGTTTTTTCGTTTTCTGTATTTTTAATGATCCTGGACTGTCAATACGGCAATTTCAAGTTGGAAACGAAGGACAGAGAAGGTCTGATAACAGGAAGCACTTGACTTTTCACAGGAAACAAAAGTCACATTGTCCTTTGGGGCTGTGCTACATGTGTATGTTGGCACTTTTGTCATGTTGCATTGTTGCGTTGCACTTTGAGAACGTTTTCTTTGGCTTTAGATGGTGTTTTGCTTGTCTCTCAAAAATAATTCGACAACAAAATGGTCGTCAAGTTGAATTTATTTCCTGGTTTGTACACTATACCGTATCTTCTGAATCCAGACAGAAATATCCTCAGTCCAAAATAAAATCCAAGCCCCAATAATGACAGAATCTGAATGGACATCATTGTGAATGGAGTTTCTTTAATTAGTCATACGCCTGTCCATTCATTGACACAATGTGCAGGTGGGGATAGGGGACTTACCCCGCCGTAGGGAATACATTTAACCCTTTTAAAAGGACAACCAACCCACGTACATAGTACACTGTACAGATATACAATACGCATTTACTTCCGGCAATCATTGTCAGGTACATGTACCGGTATACTTTACGTAAATCATAACAATTTACCTTTTTTTTTGAAATGCTAGATTTTGCTAAAACTTAAATTGAGCAATTCTTACACATTGAAGCATCGTGTGGGTTTCTTGTAGGCAGGACATAGGTGTTTCTCATAGTATTCGTTAGAGGCACGGTTGTTTTTTGATGCCATTTTCTGCAAGAAAACAAAAAAACAAGCTGAAATTATCAAAACTTTTTGTAAGATCCGTACCTTACAAAAAATGGAGGATTGTAAAAAACAGGCTTACACACTGTAAGGAACATCATACATTTATTGTCCAAAGGGACCTGTCTAGTTACATGTAAATAAACAAAGGGGATTCAGCAGTTCTGATCAATCTAAACCTACTAATTTTCTAGTTGACTTGCTTGAGGTTTATATGGTTATTAACTTGAATTAAGTACATCATGTTTTAAATAGCATGATACAAGAACATGATTTCAGTTTTTTGTTACCGCTGACTGGCAGGCTAGTCATTCCATGATCTCAATTAGGCATCTCAACTTACTCTTCACCAAAGCAATTTCCTAAGTGTATGGGGGGGGGGGGGGGAAGGGGGCAGATGTTGCCAAACTTGAGCAAAATAAGTTGCAAATTTGAGCTAATATTCCTCATGGAACTTATAAAGCTCTCACTGGACTTTTTTCTTCAACTTCTTAAGACCAGTTGCATTTTCAAACTTATATGAATCTGAAAACTACTATAATCACATGTTCAGAAATTTGAATTGTTTTAAAATATTTGGCACGTGCAGCCCCATTGTTTATTTGGCATCTGCTAGATTGTGGGCTTGGCACACCCCCCCCCCCCCACTGGTCATTATAGGGTCAGCAGTGTTTATGTTTCATCCGGTCCACAACAATACTGAACTTGACCCCCCCCCCCCTTTTAAGAAGTGCATGGATCCAAATATGAGCTCAATTTTATGGCCCTATCTGGTACAATTTATAATTTAAATCAAATCCAAAAAGTTGAATTAAATATTCTTTTTGAATGCTCTTTTTGAAGTTACCGGTACAGTAAATCACTCCCAAACTTAAAAGCAAACTTTAGGAAGGATTAATGATCTTCAACTGTGTGTCTAGAACTGTCTGGCATAAAGTGCAATTTGAATTTTGGATCCTCAAGAATTTACTTTGGTTTGTTAGGGTGACATGTTCCACACTGAATGTAAACAACTACACAATGTACTACTAGACCATGTAGACTGTGGACTGTGATTATAGAGCCAAGTTGAACAGTGTTCCAATGCCAGGGATTCACATGAGTGCCCCATTCAACGCAGAGAATAAAAGAGGGAGAATACATTTCCTACCAGAGAGCAATACGGAGCAAAGGTCAAAGCTGACTGAGCAAGGGTTGCTCTTGTTATTTATTGTGCACTTGTGTCTAGGTTTGCAGACAATGTGAAAACATCACATACTGTTGTACTTTATATTTACTATGGCAACCATGAAGAAAAACGGTAAAAACACTTCGAAATCACTTTTTTTTACTGATATATTATTTAAGAGGTACCGTTCTTTTTTTTCACTAAGGAAAGGTTAAATAAATATCATTTCACATGAATCCTTAAAGGGAATGTTTGCTCTTGCTGCAATTTTCAGTAGTAAATGGATTTGGGGGATTAGAATGTTTTAGGAAATATTGTTAAACTGACATGTTTCATGTTTTGGGCTTGAGAATGCTGGGAAAAAAACGAAGAAAAACATCATGTTCTTGGAGTCTGGTTCCCTGACCCCACTTAAGATGAAACGGAGCAGTTTGTCAACTTTAGGGAATTGTAAGGTCAGAAAATCAGTCCGGCAACTAATCTTGTACCCCTTCACAGGTGTGTAATCAATTGCATAGAAAATGCGGAGAAACTAATTATGAAAATTTAAGAGCGGTTTTTGAAAAAAAGCCAGTTTTCTCCAACGCTGGTCGACCGACCAGCGTTGGAAAAATGCCATTTTTCTTGAAAATGTCAGCACACCAGGAGCCACGATTTTACAGGATGCTTTAGAATGTCATTCCCTAACTTCCATTTTGTGATAATTTGATCATTTCGTTTTTTGATGTTTGCAAAGGCTGTATCTTCCCTTTAACCACTGATAAAAAATACTATAAGTCTGGGACAGAAAGAAGTCACCATAAATAATGTCTTGTTTTTTGGATACTAAGCTAATTTGAACCTGAATCAAAATTCCAGCCAATTTAATTTTTTTTCTGATTACAATTATTATTTATTTTTTGGCTTGCTTGGTCTGCCTTTTAGGGGAGGGGGCCGACACTTGTTACAAATTTTCCCCAAAAAAAGGTTGCAAAAGAGTAAAAAACATGTTTTATGTACAGTAATCAGTAGCCATTGTGTATATTTTGTATTCATTTGACTACCTTGTACAACAAGAGCACAATTGATGAAGCGCAGCTTAAAATATATCACAGGTTTTTGTTGAACTTTTGGGAAAATGACTGTAATATGAGACTGCAGGTCTTTCAAACTGGTAGTGTTGAAAGAACTAAAAATAGGCTCAATGAAAATGAAATAAATTGAAAAAAGAGGCAAATTTCAATAATGTCACGACCTCATCCAGAAATCTATGTTTATGTGATTCAACTTAAAAAAACTTTTTGAAATTTAAAAAAAGGGTGCCTTTTAAACTTGAATATGACTTTTTAAACAGTGTTCAGGTGATTATTTATAGAAAGTACTGGTACATGAGAATGAAAAGTGTGTCTTTAATTAGTGGACTGAATTCTACATCAGCACCGACCAATCCTTTGCCTCAGAAGACAAAATCATGCAAGCACAAACATGGCCAGAAACACCATGAACATGTAGCAGACAGACGGACCCAATAAATATTTTCAAAAGAGGAAAACAGTAAAACAAGAGATCAGTGAACGAGTTGAAAACAAACAAACTGGAAATGAACTGTTTTCTGGAAATAGCCCGGTAGTTTGGTCAGTTTACGCACGCATTCAGATAAAAAATAAGCACTTCATGGAAAGTCCAGAGTGTCTGGTTGCACACAGTGACATCATGATATGTCATGGTACAGCGCAGGTAATCCCCTGTCCTGTTTCAGACTGGACTTATTTGAACCAGGTCACCAATTCAAAGAAAACGTCCCACACAGGGAAACAACCAACATTTCCTTAACAGGTTTTGGGTTTTTGTTCAAAGCGGGACAAGTACTGCTTTTCATCAGTCTTCCTGTTTGAATGAATCATTTGCTACTCATTTATCATTAATACAACTGCATGAAATGTCTCATTTTGAAATAACCAGCTCTATTTCTGCAAAAGCCTTGTCATAGAAAAACTTGCTTTTCTCCCAACAAATATTACAATCAAGTTCAATCAACACAATCATTAATGAACAGAGAGAGAGAGAAAGAAACTATCATCTATATATGCATGAACTCACTAGTGATTACTTTGAAGAAAACTGATTTCAATCATTTGTCCTTGAAGTTTTAACTTGCGTACTAAAATACTATATAAATCGCCATTTCTTGGGACAATTGAAAAGGACCCCCCCCCCCCCCGGGCCAAATACTTCTGCTTCCGGTTACCCTACCAACCTTTTTTGACAGCCCGACTCTAATGTTGTTTTTTGGGGGGGGGGGGGGGAATGAGAAAAAAGACATTCAAATATAAACATCAATTACTACCTTTTACCCTTGACTTCATGTGCAGACACCTACATGATGAACACCAAAAAAAAAGCTATAAAAAAATTCCTACCTACCTACCTTATTTTCAAATGCCATGTAATCGGAAGCAGAACCATAATTTTGTTTGGCCTAATGTTCATTGCTGCAGTCTGATACAGGTGAGTCATTTGTAACATCATTGGACATTTGATCTTTATAAAATAAATCCACGTTTCTTTAAAATGATACAGACTTTAAGACCGAGTAAAGAAATAAGTAGTTTCTTGTCCGGTATTTTTGAAAAACTGAAGGAGGTTTTTTTTTTTTTTTTTAAAGATGGCAGATTTTAGAAGTTGCCAGATGGATTCTTTGATTTTCTCGACCATTGATTTTGCTCATACAATAAGAAAATCGTGTCCGAAAGAGCTATAACCCACTCTACATACGGTAGCTACCATACAATTTTGTTGGAAACACCTAAAAAGACAATAATATTGATGATATACGTGGAAAATGTGTGAATTAAAGAAAAAAAGTAAAACAAAAAGAAAACGATGAGGCCAGGAAAAAAGGAAGCGGTTTATTTTTTTTACTTGGCCTATTATTTGCACCTGTCATAACCTTTACTACCCCACAGAACCAGGAAAACCCAACTTCGAAGAATTTTAATTGATAGAATCTGCACTTTGATCCAGCCAATCAGAATGCCTACATGGGGCTTGGTGTCATAGTAACAAGAGCATTCCATTGAATCGGGAGCTTCTATTAAAAAAAGCATGGAAAGTGAAACTAAAGTTTGGGAGAATAATTTGAACAATTTGCAAATTACAGAGGATGTTAAAAGAACTTTTAAATTGCTGTCTACCTTGTAGCTGTCTTCAGTCCAATCTTGGCACAGGATAGACTTGAATGATGCTTTGTTCAGCATATAGTGAAGATCCATACATTCTTCACAGACCAGAATTCCTAGCTCCTCATTGGCCCATACTGGATCTATGAGGTACAATATCGAGGGTTAGGCCCTATTTGTAATCTTTATGAGTACAACAGCCATAAACTAAATAGCCCCATGACACTTGCAAGCGCTTTATTAGGCCAAAAAAAAAGTTCTGCTTCCGATTACATGGCATTTGAAAATAGGGTAGGTACCCGGTAGGTAGAGATTTTTTTTTGGGGGGGGATCAATTTTGTGTGTGTACGATATCACATACATGTATGGAGGCGTCTGCGCGTTAAGTCAAGGGCAAAAGGTAGAAATTGATGGTTTTGGGTGTTTTTTCTTTCATTTTTCCCATATAAAAATAAGGAAACCGGAAGCAGAACTATTTTTTTTTGGCCTTAGCATTGGAATCAATGAGAACTTGGAATCTATTGGTCAGCACATCAGACTGAGACATAAACCTCAATTAATATAGCTTCGTGACACTTGCGAGCGCTTGGATTAACTTCAATATGTGGCGGAGTTAAGTGGGGTGGTGGTGGGTGAACAATTGCCGAACAGAGAATTAAATCTGTTGACTCTTCGATTGGCTGTGACAGAGAGCATGTAAAATTCCGCCTGCCAAAAGCCCAGCAACCCAATGTGAAGCCCACAAATTTCATTGGCTAAAAGTTAACCAAGTGAAATTTGCATAGCTCTGACCTTTCACATTTTGCATAATTATCCCTAATATGGCAGTCAGCTGACTGGATCTATAAATAACTGGAACCCCTTGCAGCAGGCTAAGGTAAATGTTCAGTGAGTATTTAGACGAACGTGTGGGATAGTATAGCTACGCGCATGGATGCCAATTGACATGCTTGAGCTTTCGCCGAGTATAAAACCTTTTACCGTGCAAGGGTAAAACTAAAAGGAAGTAAACTAAAAATTATTAGTCATTTGAATTATAAGCATTCAGCTTGCGAAGCAAGCTGCATTGTTAATAATAAATGAACAAAAGCCATACAATTTTAAGAAGTCAGAAATTATACGAATTCCAAATTTGTTACCTGATTCCACATACGTACAACTCATTTTATTGAGCGGAAGTTACACTTCACAGTAAACAATACTAGAAATTTAATTTTTGAATGAAAACAAATTTCAAGTTCAAATATTCAGAAAAAAACTAGGCAGATGTTTCCCCAATAGAGGTCCATTATTCTTTTTGAAATTAAAGTAAGTGGTACAGTGTACCTCGTGAAGTTCAGCATTAAGAGGCCTTATGCCTATTGTGTAAATTGTGATTGGAAATTGTTAAGGCATCTATGATCTAGTAGATGCCTTAACAATTTCCAATCACAATTTACACCATAAACTCTGCAGAGTCTTTATTGGGATTTTCTGAAAGCCGTAAAAGAAACATTGACGTCTTTCTTTTCTTTTCCCTTTTCCCAAGTAGTAGTACAAGGCTTTAGACTGAGTAGAAACAATCTTACCAGGGAAGCCGCATTCTGGACAATCACAATCTTGGCAGTCGGCACACCTGTCATTGCCAGGCAGCTCCCGTAACCTTTGTGCACTGATCGCCATGATCGATACTCGACCGTTCCTCTATCAACCACACAAGTCGCTCAGTTCGCTTCTTCTGCTACTCACAGAATCGTTGATCTGTGTAGTTAGTATCGTAGTTAATGCTGTCCGTATTGACACGTATTTACCACAATGACGTGTTGTTTTTGGTTATCTCTGCATTTTTTCTGTCGAATCAACTAGCGCAATGATGTCCTCCTTCAGTAGTGATCTCCCGGACTGGTAACGGTGAACTCTACACAACTTTTAGTTTTGGGCATACCATGCCACTGGACCGCTGCGCTGCTGCAGAGAAGTCCACATTTCCGGGTACGGCAAAATGGTGTGTATCCGACGGCTGATGCATGACATTATGCATAAAATAGCCAAAACATGAGACCATAGATTCCCCAAATTTAAGAAGGAAATGGTTGGCGGGATTACTTGTGCAAATATTTTTTTTTTTACATGTTTAAGACAATCTATCCATCTCTTCCTCAAAGTGTTTTGCTTTGTTTTAATCGATTTATGACTTTTTAGGAACCGAAACAGGATAAATTGCTGGCAGAGGGCTGAGGCGGGAAATCCCCCGTATAATCACAGGACAATATGTACATGTAAATACGTTACGTAACGTACTGCGATAGCAAGTGTGACGTCATGCGCCTGCATACATTCAGTTATTTGTATAAATCCTCATTCCTCAGAACAACGACAACATTGATTTGGGCGATACCGCACCTGGTCCCGGATCGACATGATAGTTCCTTGAATGCCTTGTATATAGTACATGCGATTGATTTCGTAAACCGTTTGAATGCGAACGGTGAACTATTTAACGTATAAATCAGAAAATACACAAAATGATGACGTACTGATATTATGCACAGCTCTGTTCCTATTATCAACAAAATGGCAGAAATGATATTTTTAAAAAAAACCATTAACATAATGACGCAAGTGCGTATCATTATTTTTTATACCAAAAACATGCATGCAGAATAGGAAACAACTTACTGAAATTCACAGGAAGGGTAAAAGCAAACGATTTTTTTTAACTGCTTGACGAGCGAACTTAGGGCTAACCACATAATTAATAGTTCGCCTGTTAAGTTTGTGATCAACGGGAAGGCGTACATGTATAAACATGGAGCTACATGAAACCATGGAGCTATAGCTCCATGATGAAACAAGTGGTGAGCGTTTGATTTTTTTCAAAGGGTGGGCCGGTGCCTGGGGATGTGCATCATGTGCTTCAGTAAATACACGCAAAGACCAAAAGGCCTTGGGAAACGAACCACGATTTTTCGTGTACTGTAAGGACATACATGTAGTTTTCCTTTTTCATTCCCAGACATCCAGCACATGACCCCAACCTCTCGCTCTCTCCAGCAATCGGACTTTGGGGAAAAGAGACAAGAAAAACAAATTATGCAACAGTGAAACCTCGTTTCATCATTCTGCAATCTTCGATTCAAAATGTTGACCGATATCACAGTCCACTGAACAATTGAAGCAATTTACCAATGATGATAACACTCAAATTAATGTTGAACCATTGGGGCAATTTTGAGACTGGATTTTGTTTAGAAGCTAATGACATAATTTGAACATTTCTTCTGACAACTTAATCGTATGAATCCATTATAATCAGATCTACACTGACAAAAAAGACTCAAAATACTGCAGCCTCGTCTTATCAGTTGGTCGTGACAACTTTAATTCACCATTACATAATATGCCGATAATTGACAGTTGTTAGAATGAACATCCAACGACATGTGAATAGGGAATTGACGATACTGAGAACATAAATTACGGTATGTAGTTGGTCTCAAACATCATGTTCCTTACCTCTTGTCACTGCAACCACCAAAGAACAAACGTCTTTAATTTTTAAATTTATTTTATCATTATTCACTTGGTCTTTAAATGTAGGCTTTAAACTTTGCCGAGTTGCTTTAAGGAAACCATTGGTACATGTACATGCAGTCAATTTGTTTCGCGGGATAATCTAAGGCTAGTGGACATGGACCAATGGAAAAATACAAACCTTTTGACAATACATCACAAAAACTTGTTATGGTACATGGTGGTATCGCCCAAAATCAGTTTTGACATATTGAATTTCTTGAGGACCGAATGCCCTGTGTTTTACTTTACTTCCAATGTCTCCGCTGATGACATACAAGGGTAGTCGAGATATCGGGCACACAGTACATAAATGTTGCGTTTCTGAACCAATATGCATTAGCAAAAACGAATCTCCCCCATTCCTTTTTCACAGCAGCAGAGCACAAAATTGATAGCAATGTTACAAGATAAATTTCCATGTGACAAATGGAGAAAAAACCCAGAATCGTTTCACAAAAACCAAGTTAAGAATCCAGCGTCAGTACTTCAAATGTGTTCATTTTCCTACATCTGGCAATAAAGTTTGACATTCAATACTGTCAAGACGTTTTATGCCCACATAACTGCTAGATTTAACACAGATGATCTCAGCTGGACACCATTCAAAGCAAGTTAGTAGATCTTACGTTGTAAATTCCTGCATAAACCTGAATTCCACTGTATGTATTTATCTGTAAATACATTGCAGATTACACATCATATTATTAAATGTCAGTTAATCACAGAAATAAGAATAAAGAAATAACACCACCACTTTTGTATGCCATTACCCTGTTTTTTATAAATGATTACTCAAATTTATAACTGATTACAATAATGACAAAACATCCCCCTTTTATATTATTCTGGACCCAGGTTAATCAGCTTAAACATATTATTTTAATATTATGTAAGCATATATGCAGAAGGAAAAGAAAGCAAACAGACATAAAGAAGATGGGAAAAACTACTGACTTACATGTAACTAAATGAACACAAAAGGCAAATTCTGTAATATTTCTTTTCTTGTTTTGGTGAGAAAAATAGTTAACCACTTTGATTACTAAATGCAGTTAAAAAAGTAAATTAACAAAATCCCCCCCCCCCAAAAAGGGAATTTTGGGGGACTAAAATTGTAACAATTCCTTAAATTATAAGCCCGCAACCTAATCTTGTTAATGTTTTAGATCCACTGAGCAACAACAGATTGGAAACATTTGATTAATAAGTCGATCCATTTTTCGTTAGACTGGAATGTTGATTAATAAATGAGCATTTATACAAACATCATTGATGTCAAATTCAGAGCTGGTATTGAGCTTACATTGCAGTGCTGATATTACAATAACAAATACTGCAACTCCCTACGCATGTTGGAGCAATTTAGTTAAGCTTTACTTGAACGAGACACGTACATATAAACCACAAGAATTGAAGTTTGACAGGTACCCATTCAAGGAAAAAACAACTCAAAGTATTAAGTACTCAGCCTAGGAAAAAAAAAGGAAAACCAAAAAGATGTTGATCAGCTTCAGAGAACGAGAGGATACAACTTCTCAAGTTTTGAAATATTTCAGATTTGTCGATCTGTTGAAAATGAGTAGTTGGTGAACATTGGCCATTTCTTTTAATTATCAATCTCAACGGACTACTAAAAATATCAGATTATCCAGAATATCTTCCTCGTCCTAAATATAGGTGCTTCACTGATTCCTGTCTTTGGAAATTACATAAGAAGTACACCCTGGATAATGCAATCATCTGTATGTATTCACCTGTATACAAGTATGCTTATACATGCAGCAATCAATGACATGTCAGAATCTAAATTGGGGTCAGCAATGTCATTCTTAATGCAATGTCAAGTATTTACTTTGAAGCAAAAGAAAAAAAGGTGAATCTGTGTATAATGGAATAGGCAGAGAGGCACTATAGCTATGAAATAAAATCCAATTGCATAATTTACCACGGTAAATAAACCTTGCACACACATTGGACTAAATAATTTTTCTACAATTGATGCTGCAATTTATTATTTATACTTTTTTGAATCAAATGCCTTACCACTTTATTCTGTCCTCAAAAAAAAGTCAAATAACCCACAGCCATTTTCTGGCAAACAATCTAAGCCTTTCACTTCATACCGACACGATGAACTTTCATTTCATTTGTCTGTTCCAGTAAATCAAAAATCAATCAAATGTTTACATGACAAGGAAAAATACAATTAACTATCAATAGTCGACAGGAGAAATTTATTTGTTTTGCCCAATTTTAAATATCACATCTCTGGCTTGAGATCTCTTAGGATTAAGTTTAATGCAGCTTGCTTTACATCTTTACAAATAAAACTCTGTATGCCCACCCCCGACCTACTTTTTTTTTTTTTTACTACATCAACAGCGCCCTCATTCGATGTTGGAATGGAATTCTACGAAAGAACTACAGTTGTTAAAACTATTGGGCGGATTAATTGAATTGTTAGCTAAAATTGAGCAGTATTTGTATTTTAAATATTTACAGGTAATTTAAGCACTTAGAAGATTTAAGTTTTGTGTAATAATTTGACTGTTAGACAACAAATCTCAATTGGCTTATTTAAGTTGTCTGCCTGACCTGTCTCCATATCACTAGAGGGCGCTTTAGATGTAAACATGGGACACCATCTTACCATGCACGTATTTGTAAGCTACACAACTATCTACTTTGACTAGCCCAACAAAATAATTAAAATACATGTACAACAATGGAGCTGATGCGTTGAGGTGGAGTTAGAGGGCCGTGGTTTTGTATTGTTCCATACGCATGAATGAATAATTCCTGCATTCATTGTTACAAGATTACAATAACAAAGAACGCCCTCTGAGCATCTGCAACGCATGCAGGGATATTATTATTTTTTTGGTTACATTTTAATGGAAGGCCTTGTGATGATGTCACGTTGTTGCCTGATGCTACACTGATGAACCATCGGTTGGGTCTGCGGGTTTAACAGCAGGTTTGGCACTGGCACCCTGAGGAAAGGAGGACAAATAGCAGAAAAGAGGCAATAATTTATCTACTGAAAACTTCACACCTGCAAGTCCTTGTTTCTTCCCCACAGCTAACGCCTGCAACATTTAGCTTTTTTCACAGCTTACCTGTATTCCTTTTTCTGAACCTCCAGAAATAAAACCAACTTTCTTTTAATCCGAGCATTAAATGAAGTACTGGATTTTGAACAGTTACCAATCAATGATATGCTAAAATTGATTCAGTTAGCGTCGTTCACCTATAAACTCTTCTCGTGACTGTGCATAAGTTGTTTGTTTGTACTTTTACTGTGACAACTGTTTTTGAGTATTAAATAGGCATGCAGGGGCAGAGCCTAAGGGTATGGTGGAGGAGTGAGGTTATATGTGAGTGTGTAGCATAATCTAATACTACATACAAACATAGTGAACTGCATGCATAAATCAAAAGGAGTTAATAACTATGTCAGTCTATAACAGCTGTAGGGGAATGCAAATGCAAATTATATGCCAATGTGTACCATAACATCTAAAGTGAAAGTCTTAGTACACAAATAACTTCACTTTTGATACATTAACTCATAAACACTGAATGAAAGGTAGATCATTTGTTATTTGTACTTTTTTTGTTTGAAGCAACAAAAGTGCTTAATATCTAAAGATAGGTACTTAACAATTAATCTGATGAAATTTTAGCTTTGTGGATGCTGTATATTCCGAGGAAACAATATTCTAGGATCTCGGTTTCAATTCAAACGTTGCCAAATCATGTTTTGAATTGCACCCGAAATAAGCGTCTGAGACACATTCTCGTTCAGCTGATTGCAGTTACGTGATGTCATGCACAGAACTGATGAATAATAGCAATCTTGCGCGCGTATGCGTCATACCAACACTTGCACGCACCTATTCACGGATTTGCCGAATTACGAACCAACTATCAACTACTAACGGAAATTTCCAAAAAAGCATCACTTGACGCATCTCTGGAAATAGCCTTCTTTATTGTTTGCTTCAAAATGACTGCATGCCAGAAGGAATAATTTCACAGGGAGTTTAGTGTTAATACTATATCTAAACCAAGTAAGCTTTTTAACAATAATTTCGTTGGTAACTTTTTGGATAGCTGCAAATGATCCACTGACCTTTAACAACCTTAATTAGATGGAAATTAACACAAATGTCAAGATGAGATAACAACATGTCTTTAGTAGTTTAGTGGTAATATTTGGACCCCCAAAACAACCCCCCCCCCCACAAAAAAAAAAAGAGAGGAAAATTGAAATATTCTTGGATGAAATTTGTGGTTGGAGATGTAAATTTAATATACATGTAAAAACAAAACAAACCAAACAAATAGTTGGAAAATACCAAGTATATAGTTTTAATTAAAAAAACACTGGTGAAGGGCGAAATCCCAATTCATTAAAATGTATAATGTGCTTGTGTTTATCCCTTTTTCATCACATTTTATTGACGTCTTGGCATATTTTTCCTAATGACTTTGAATCATATGAAGAGGGACATTAACTACCACAGTTACATCCAAGTCTCATGTAAAGTCTTAAAATTTCATTTAATTGGAATTTAATGGGAATTGGTTTTTCGAGTTAAAGGGAATGTATACAACATTTGCTTTTGCTGTAATTTTCAGAAATGGTTGGATTTGGGGGTTTAGTATTTTATAGCAATTATAGTTACACTAACTTGTTTGAGGTTTTGTGCTTGTAAATGCTGGAAAACCATGAAAAACAATCATGTTCCTGTAGTCTGGTTCCCTGACCCCGCTTACAGACATTGGAAATTGTAAGGTCAGGGAACCAGTCTACTGGTAGCTGGGTTGTATGCGTTCATTGGTATGTAATCGATTACAAACAAAAATGCAGACTACCTAAATATGGGAAATTGGTGACCAGCGTTGGAAATTGATACAAACTACCACTTTTCTTGAAACTGACAGCACACCAGGTGCCAAGATTTTACAGGAAGCTTAAGACTGTCATTCACTAACAGTCCAGTAAGGTATTTCATAATAATTTGGTAGTTTTGTTTTTTGATGTTTGCAAATGTTGTATATTCCCTTTAAGAATCGAGGCCAGTGGTCATTGGATTCAAGGATATGTAAGTACTTTCTTTGTCTGTAGTACATGTATTTCTGTTCAAAATGACATCAAAAGAAGAAAAAAAACCTGAAAAACATACACAACCAAAAACAAAAAAGGTAATAAAACTCAGATGTCATTAGTGTCCTTACAAAAGGTAATTCAATCTTAATTAACAGGGCACAGTGCCTTACAATCAAAGAAACATGAAATTCCACAAGACTGGAATGGAACCGATTTTTCAAAGTTACTGTTTAATACCAAAATGGTATTAATTTATTTTGGTTAAGCTCTAGACTTTAATGACCAATGTGCCTCTTTACATGTTATTTGGTATTTAGGGAATTTCTCAATTATCAGGAAACACTTGTATTATTTAATTAAAAGATAACCGTTTCCAGTGTTAAAACATATAATTAATCTTTTGAGTGGTACAAAGTGACTTCCAAGTAAAAACTCCACCATACGAGTGTGTCTTCTGTATTGGTTAAATGCAAATGGTCTGATATTACCTTGAGGTATATACCCTAGCCTTGGTCAAGGCGCTAGTTGTTATTCATCCGGCCGTAACGCGGTAAACGATATCTTCGCTAGCGCTATGCATGCAGTCATATGTCTATGCATGCAGTGCATCAAAAATACAGCGCGAACAGCGACCTCAGGCGACCACTATTTTTATGCAAATCAGTTGGGCCCAATCTAGCGCCTTGGTTCAATCGTCCATGTGAGGTTTTGGGGGTGGTGCTCATTATGTTAATAGCCTTAGCTGACCTTAAATGTCGTTTTCTTATTGGTCGATCGTTGCGTGGAAACTTGCATAGTGAAACGTGGCACCGTACATAATCCATACACGTACACGTTGTGTGTCTCTGCACACGGCACCAATGCACAGAAACTGTGGTTCCTGTCATGTCCGCAAAAGGCGAATAGCTGCAAATAATTTGATGACGTCCGGATTTACCAAGGTGTGATTGGACACTCCACATATTAGCCCCGCCTACACTTATCTGTATTTGCATACGAGGTCGTGCGCTAGAAATCCAGCGCAAAATAAAGGAAAACATAAGCTTTTGCCGACGATTAAACCAAGGCGCTAGATTGGGTCCAACTGATTTGCATAGAATTGATGGCCGCGTGAGGTCGCTGTTCGCGCTGTACTTAGCACCGCATGCATAGCGCTAGCGAGGATATCGTTTACCGCGCTACGGCCGGGATGAATAACAACTAACGCCTTGACCAAGGCTATATATACCCCCGAGTACACTCACATGTACCGGTAACACTGAAGAACTGGTTACCAGTGAATCAGTACCCTTCATAGGATAAAAATGAACCATTCATGAACCATGGCAGATATGGATCTAGTCCAAAATTTCATCCATATTTCATTGAACGATGTTACATTTGGGTTTTTTTCCAGATGTTTGACAGTTCTGAAATTGATTTCAAATGATGGGCTTGGTTCGAAACCCTGGAATTGTTGCTGGTTTTGTACTTAAAAGTCCTGAACTGGAAAACATTAGGTGTCATGTTAACCCCATTAACTAATGTGAAGCTAATGTGCGTGTAGCGTGTGCTAAGAAAATGGTTGTAAGACATTCTATCGTAATAAGTGCAGAAAAATCAAGTAGGGTAACTTTGTTACATTTCCTGAATGAAAACAAAGAGATACGACCCTTTTAAACTAGGATTTCTTCTAAATACGAGAAACGAGTACAGATCGATCCTGACTGTTCATGGTATGTGCAGGTCATTTTGGGTTTCATTGCCAAATATTTCATGTTTCATGACATGAAAAACACAAAGCCAAAAAAAAACTGAAGTAACAAACAATCAACAAAATTTGGTGAGAACCAACAAGGCAACAGCAGTGCGGTGTAAGCTTAAATTCAACAGCGACACTGTGATCTAAAAACAGTAACTGTGCATACAAACAGATGCAAGCTGCATAAAAAGAAAACAAAAAGGGTCAATGAAACACTAAAGCTAATGGCCATGCACCTACACTACATGATATCATCACCGCTCTGATCTAGAATACACCACGAACCATTCTGAAACAAAAAGAAGTTAGACAACGGTAGGCAGCAATGTATATGTTTGGATCATTGGTTTAACTGAAATGAATACACTGAAATACCATCTATACGTATTTCAATAATATTTGCCTTACTAAGGCTTGGAAAACATTGAGTGATTTCTAAAGTTTGAATGACATCTCCCTGAATGACCCCCGTTATAGGACTCAGATCATGGCAAAATGCAATTGACATAGACCCCTTTGATCCATTTCCAAACTTTAAAGCTGCAAATAAGTTTATTTTTATTCATTTTACCCGTACTTCCCTTCCCCCCCCCCCTAATTTTCTATTTTTATGGAAGGGCACCAAAGTAGCTTTTGTCACCAAGGAGAAACTAATCTATCTACACGTGTACACATGCCTTGGAGAAAGATCCTGTGGGATCACACTATCAGACTCTCTAACTTGAAGGATTTCTCTATCTACATTTGTGTAAATGTGGTTAGTCCGACAGCAGAATGAATGGTTAAAGCTACAGTGGGGTAAAACAAAGCATAGGAATGCCTGAGAAGTCCATGCAAGAGCAATGATGATGGATATTTGGAATGGCTTTATGAATGCTTGGATTTATCATTTTGTCTTGAATCCAATGTGGCAGCTCAGTGGCCAATTTCTGTCTCTGCCAAAACAACATTAAAAATGTCAATAATGACTACACATTCAAAGAATGTGTCAAGTCAAATACCGGTATGTATGTGTTCGGTTCACTTGTGTATGCCACAAATTGAGATTGGGCAAACTGCATGTAAGGTTCAAGAAGATTCATACTCATGCAGAATGCATACAACTTCTTCTTGATTGAAATTTCTCATGCTTCTCTACTGAAACTTCTCTGGGCTCAAACAATAAATCCATGCACAATTCAATGCTTTCTTCTATTCAAAACCACTGCACTTCTCAGGCATTCTTTGTTTTCACATCAGAGCAAAGAAAAGAAGCAAATAAAACAGGTGTGCTTGGGAAGCAGGTGTGTTATACCTCCTCATCATCAGCAGCATCTAAGAGTTGAAGTTCAACTTGACTGTCGGTCAGCGAGCTATTTATCTCTGCCTGCTGTTCATTGGATGGAGAAAAAAACAAGGAGGGGGGATACAGGCAACAGAGAAGAATGTAAACCAGTGAGGTTAGGGAACTCATCACAGCTTCCCCAATTTTTTTATGCACCCAGTCACCGACATGCCACAATCCACTGGTACCCAGGTAAATATTAGGCTTCTGAGAAAACACGAGGGACCAGTTTGCAGAGCTGCTGAGTGGGTGTGAAGTCATGGGGGCATTTTCCAAACAATGTCTTCATCTGCAGCTTTGGCTACAGCTTCAGGTTAATGAATTGAGGTCAGTGACATCAGAGACACAGGCTCAATATTGGGTCCATTTTCTGGACATATGAGGCCAGCTGTTGTTGAAAGCCAGTTGTTGTTGAAAGCATGTATTAATTTGGTTCCAGTATTGAAGGTTCTTAAATTGTTTTAGAGGAAACAAAGCCGCAGTTTGGGAAACTCTAATGAAAGGCGTCTACAAAATTGGCATTTGTATCCAATAAAAGGGAGTCAATGTACTGTACAAGTGTACGTGTAGTCTTTTACTACTGCATAACTTTTTACGACTCTTCTCAGCCACTGGTGTTGATTTTATTTTTCGAAACAACTTTTCGACTAATATCTTTCTTCAGCAGCTCTGCACAGTCAACTCTGGCAAAATAAGCCAATGTGTCTGCATCACCAGAAACCCAACATGCATTGTTTGTGTGCAGCCAAAGTCAACCATGCATGATGCAGCCACGTGTGCATTTGTTTTAGCTACCCTCTACCTAGGACAACAGAAAACAAAATCAACATTGGAAATAATGATTGTGCAATATTGCTAAGTACAGATCTACATGTTTTTGTAAAATGAGTTAACACTATACTCATTTAGCAATCATAATGTTTACTTTCAATAATAGATACATACCGGTGCCGGTATTTGTACGTACATATTGGGTATATCAATTAGGTATCCTTGAGATAAGTGTAAGATTTCTATGGTTTTCTGTGACATAACACTCTTTTAAATCTTTTTGGGGGAGGATGGCTGGTCAGACAAACAATAACAACAAATAGGAAAAAGCACAACACCAAAACAAAAACCACAATTTCTAATGACTGTTAATGTATATGCCACAGCATTTAGTTTGGCGATAGATAGATTTTGCATAACACAGAATGAAACGCTGTGACATCTCCTGAAAGTACAGAAGAAAAAAAAAGCTTACATTTCCGAATGTTGCTATGATTATAACAGGCTTAGGCTTTGGTATAAGAATGTAAGTAATTTGTTCGATTTCAGGATACATTTTCAGATTTAGTAAGGGAAACAAAGTTAAACTTTTGAACTGCAACATGTTATGATTTAACTTGTCAATCATTGTCTCAACACTGCTCCTCATTCAATTAGCACCTGCCACTTATTACCATGGAATGAAGTCATCCAAACAAAGCTGTTCATATTCAGCTGAAAGTTGATTTCACCTTGTCATATTTCAAAGGAATTACAACTTCAATGCTCACAATATAAATCTTTCTTGACAGAATCTTCAACCCAACAGTTTAGTTATCTTACCTAATAGCTCTGCAAATGAAAGCTTGCTTTTTATTTATTTATTTTTTCGCTAAAAAGGTGCTTCTTTCAAACTCTGCTGCCAAATCTCATGCATGAGTTAGCTTGGGTCTACAATATTTTCATTTACAGATGTTGAATTCTGTCTAATCTTACCAAAGTCTGCGACTTATTTCCTCCATCACTTCTTGAGAGCGGTGGAGTGTCATTAAAAACCTTTTTTCCCCAAGCCATCTGTTCTCCTTTACACAACACTTTGCTGTAGTTTACTTGACATTTTTGTTACAAAAAGTAGTGTTGGTCATGCACCCGTAATTAACATTACTATGATCTGAGAGTGCAGAAGTAAAGGATTGCATGCACTGTGGAAGTTAACATGTGGATTAAATTTTAGTTGGGGAAGAGATTTGACAGGGCATTCCAAACCAATATAATGCTACTTGTTTCATGCATATTAGGTGCAATATTAGGATACAGGTAAGTCCGTATTAAAAATTACATAAAGACCCTTTTGGCTCAAACCAGGCAAAGTTCCACATGTATGTTGGTATTCAGAACTTGCTTTTTTGGGAATGAAAGTATTTGAAGATTGTTTGAATTTTGCACAACTTTTCACAACAAATGGCTATTCTAATATCATGCATGAGGAAAGGGTTGCAAGTATGCCTGGTTTCAATGTCATTAGTCCTTGTGTCATTTGTGTCAATGTCATTTGTGGGGAACTGTCGAGCACAACAATTGCTGAGCACAGAAAGGTTTTAGCTTATAAGAGTTATCAAATAGTACCAGCGCTAACATTTCATAGGATTTATACCAATTGTGACTGGTTTGCATACCTCGCGCAGGTTATTTCTAATACATTTACTAGGCAATATTCTCCGTTTCGTAAGTCCATGACATGAAGCACTGGACAATTACGTGTTAATAACGTTAATTATCCAGGTCACCATAGTCATGAAGGTGTGCTAGGATATTTGGCACCAATCTTATTGATGCTTCACATTATCACACATAATTGGATTGAATCTGTTTCAAGTATAAATCTCTATATTTCACTCACATGTTGTATTTGGGATTTCTTTTTGACATTACAAGACTACCTCTAGTGTACAAACAAATGTTGAAAACTCATTGACAAATCTTAGTCTTACAAATAGTTGGAAAATTCCATGCATTGAGCATAAAAATGTGTATACCGGTACATCTGTTTATGTTCTTTTTAAACATATCCATTTATGGTTGGTACTGCAAGATGCCTTTTCAATACATTTTCTCAGAACTGAACAAGAATATTTCTGTGCTCAACGATTGTTTCTGTTATCATCTGTCATGTCTGTGTGATAATGGTTTGGTGGGTAAGAGTGAGTAAAACCATGGAACATGGTGTTTGTGCCCTTGGGCAAGACACTTTATTACAATTGCCTCTCTCCACCCAGGAGTATGAATGGGTACCTGTGAGGGTAGAGGACGGAATGTGTGCTGATATCGGCTGTCGCGTGGTCTTGTGGACTGATGAACGGGGGAATAATTGTAAAACGCTTTGCGATTTTTGATGATGGAAAGCTATTTAAACATTACAATTTAGTTTATTGTTAACCTCTTGTGTTAGGTTGGAATTGTGTCAAGTCCTTTTCTTGTCTTCTATCTCTGTGGCCGTGGTTTTCCAACCACAATTTTTGAAAACTGAACGTTTTTATCATCTCGTCATCAAGGATTTCCTCTGGCTTGCAAGCCACAGGTGTTTTTTGGGGTAGAATCCTTGGTTTCATTACCAGAAATAAAGAAACTAATTGTACACACCTCCGGTGTTATGCCAGCTTTAGCTTTGAGTTCAGCAACGGTCTGTTTCTCTGCAGCCAATACAGTCTGTGTCTTCTTGAGCATAGCCTGCAGTTTGGCTGCTGCTGTGCCTAGGTCCTTGGTTAATCCTTTCTCCTTCTGGAGGCTTTCTTTTAAGGTGTTAATCTCCTGGGGAGAGAGGGGGTTAATGGGAGGAGGGGATTATAAAGAGATTAGGATTAAGATTACAAGTAGATTATGTGTGGAACTGCAGTTAAATTGAAATTAACCAATACATGTATATCTATAGATTTCTGCATTAAATAATAATTTTGTGTTGTCACAAGTGGAAAAGAATTGGCAATTTGAAATTGTTTTCTTATGAGATGTCTGGTCCATCATGTATCCAGTATCTTATCAAGTAACTTCAGTGGTTAGTGTGGCATTGCAAATCTGAAATCACAAGCAATTAACTATTCTGTAAAGAACACTTCTCAAGAGAAACCAATGATGACTTTTTGCACTTTTGTCATGAAATCAGATTTGCTGTTGTGCACCAACTACCTGCTCAGTGTATTGACATGGTTATGATAACTACATGTACATTACTTCAAAACTGGATTAATTGAAGAATTAACGGTCATAATATCAGTCAAACTTGTCCAATATGTCCAATATTAAAAAACAAATTATGTTAATTTGGAATAAGCCATATGAAAACCTCTATTTGAAGGCTAAAAAACCCATTTTTTTGGGTACTGAACAGGGCTTCCCCTGATGACTGCTGATTTAATAGTTTATCTCCACAGTAATCATTATGGCTACTAACGTCGATCTTTTTTAAATTCACAAACACCAATGAGGTTTTCACACAGCCTTTCCATTAGTTTAAGTTAAAATGACATTAAATTCTTATTGTTTTCAGAGAAGGATTTACACTTAATACTTACATTGATACAAGATAATTTCTTACTATTACCAAGAATAATTCATGATGAAATGATCACATTTCTTAAGCATGAGCACTATTCAAAAATATTTTTAACAGGAAATCAATTAGCAAATGAAAGTAAAAATATGATGGCGGATTAAAAGAACCAATGCCAACCAAAAAAAAACATGCAAATAACAGCTAGGTAAACTGTGGTATAGATTCCATGGTGAAAGAAAATAGAAATCAGTGACAAGCACTTTCATGAAAACTACAAGATTCACACATTCAACATGGTGCTGTGAGACTAGCATACTGCAGAATTGCATGCAATGTGCTTGTCATACATGTACTTGTTATAAAGGCATCATGCTTAACAGAATGTTCTTGCAGTTTTCTCCTCTACATACAACAAGTTACATGTTTGTAAGATATGACAAAGTAGGAATTAAGAATCCAAAATGATTAATGTTAGAAATGTTATAAAGTTGTTTGGTGTTTGTGAGGTAAATATTCCACCCCCTGGCCTGTGTAAAGAAGCACCAAATGCTTGGCATGTCCTGCTGAGAACACTACTGGTTCAGTTTTGGAATCACGCTGTCTTCCTACACAGAGTGTCCAAGGAAACCTAGTTTGCATTTGGCAATCCATCTGCAGGTTAAATTGAAAACAGCCAGTTCCACTAGCAACAGTTCTGGAACTGCTTGTTTCCACTAGGAATTATTCTCAAAGAATCGGAAACGTTTTACTATCCCAGCATGCTTGCTAGTCTGAGTATCACCCAATATATCCACGGAGCCAAGTCTCTGTATAATGTCTGATATGTCAAAGCATGCAGATTTAAGTGATCTCGCGCCTCAGCTAATCGCAATCGACTTTACTAAATCGTGACGTCATTTCATTCCCAAATCAGGACTAAAACTGTGATTGGTCAATTTGAATGTAGTGTTTTGTAATACAACAGCTGGTAAATACATCTCATAATGTACTGAAGCCAATCACAATTGTAAAATGGCATGCATGGGCCTTTTTCTTAGCACCGCTTTGCCCACAAAACACTTGCATTCAATGGCGACCATGAGAAGTAGCAAGCACAATAAAGACTGATACTTGTTTGGCTTTAAAATAACGCAACAATGGATTCTCTATGATCAAGCAAAAAAGGAATGGAGAAACACAGACATCAGATAAGCACTACATTTCTGCCAATTGAGCAAAGAATGTTCACACTACTATTTTGTTCAAGTCAGCAAAACTTGCTTGCTTTAGAACTGTTAGCTGCATTCTGAGTCTGTCCAGTCAACTACATGTACTTCTTTCTCTGACAGAACGGATTTCAATCACAACCAACACTTACTCGCCCATTAATGCATGTACTTCAGCTTTTCACACGACAAGCACATATACAGGTTAACCTATAGTATACATCAGTACTCTCAATTGTTTTACTGAGGGCTTTAAATACTATATCTTTTTTTGTAACTCCTCTCACTTGGTGTGTCATTATCCACATGTCCTACTGAGAACTGCAAGTCAGTCAAGGACCTATCCTCTTCAGGCATACTTTGGTTCTATGTTCTTGATGTACAATGTACACCATAAACACAACATTTTGCTTTGGAAGCTGCCCTTGCACACACTACTCCAGCAATGGTAAGCGGTGATAAAACTTTGAAAAGTACAGAGGATTTGCCTTTTTTGGGCAACTTATTTTCACACTGCTATACACATGAATGTGGTCATGAAATAACAAATGAAAGTGGCAAGTCAAAGAAGATTATAACAAACTAAAAAGCATAGAACAGAAAAAGAATAGCATGGAAAAGAAACACAGTGAGTGAAGCGCGCAAAGACAGGAATTTTGGTGCAGATGTGCAACGTCTATAACTTTTGCTCATGGCAAAGCGGATGATACACACTGACTTATCCGTTGACTGGAAAAAGATCTGAAAGGCAGAAGCTTTGATTCTTTCAGAGATCAGTCTCTTTCATGATTTCATTTGAAGTCTAGGTAGACATTGAATAGAATGGGCTATAAGACAGAAAAGATTGTGAGAAATTTATCGTGACATGTTAGTAGATGGGTTGGGGGTTAGAATGAAGTCTATTGCGATCGAATCAAAGCTTGTGAGCCAAGGTGATGTTATCATCTTCCAGTTTGCGGAAAAAAAAAAAAGCAATATTGATAGGATAAGGCTCGTACTTTCTGGAGAGTCTTGGTGGATTCTTCACTCTCTTGGAGTCTCTTGGAAGCCTCTGAGGCTTCCTGTGGGGCCATCTTGGATGCCTCTAGTTCCTCTCTCAGAGTAGCAAGACTCTCTTCAGTTTCTTCTTTCTTCTTTGTGGCATCATCCCGCTCCTCTCTCAGAGACGCAAGACTCTGTTCATTTTCTTCTTTCTTCTTTGTGGCAGCATCCAGCTCCTCTCTCAGAGATGCAAGACTCTGTTCATTTTCTTCTTTCTTCTTTGTGGCAGCATCCAGCTCCTCTCTCAGAGATGCAAGGCTCTGTTCATTTTCTTCTTTCTTCTTTGTGGCAGCATCCAGCTCCTCTCTCAGAGATGCAAGACTCTGTTCATTTTCTTCTTTCTTCTTTGTGGTAGCATCCAGCTCCTCTCTCAGAGATGCAAGACTCTGTTCATTTTCTTCTTTCTTCTTTGTGGCAGCATCCAGCTCCTCTCTCAGAGATGCAAGGTTCTGCTCAGTTTCCTGTTTCCCTCTCATTGCGGCCACCAGGTCGTTTTTGAGAGCAGCCAGGCTCTGCTCAGTCTCTTGCTTTGCCTTAGCAGCAGCTTCTGCGTTTTCCTCAAGCCTGGAGTTGCTTCGCTTGAGCTCTTCCATCTCAGACCGAGACTGAACTAGTCCCTGCTGGGAGGTCTGGAGCTGGGCTGAAGACTGGGCTAGCTTCTGGGAGGCTGATTCTAGATCCTGCTTGGTACTGGCTAGTTCTGTCTTGAGTTGTTGGGAGGAGGAACGTTGTGTCTGCAGTTCTTGCTGTAAGATGTCCTGGCTGGAAGTGGAAGCTTTGCGGAGTTGGTCCTTGGTGCGGTTAGCCTCCTCGAGATCAGCCGATAGTTTCTGACTCTTTTCTTGTTCAGCGGCTAAGGTGGCTTTCACCTAGCATTCAAGGATGACTAAATCATGACATACATGTACATGTAGGAATGTAGGGTTGCAAAAATATTAGAGCAGTGCAAAATTTGTTGGAACGGCACACGAATCAAGGCACCGGTATTAAATTGTGAGAAATTATTAAATAAATACAAATCACGATTTGTCTCTGTAAAGTTTCACTAAAATGAGGACACAAGTACCATCTCATTCTGATGATCACCCTTGTAAAAATCTTATCATTTCTCATCGACTACAATTCTCATATTTCTAAAATTTCCTGAAATTTATCTGCACAATTGCAACCCTACAAGAACATTTGAACAACAAATTGACAAACTATGACTGCAAGGTAAACTGAGCTGGGAATGATGGGTTGGGAGATTTTAGAAGTAATCGATTGTTGTCAAAAGCAGTTACTATACACATATGCATGTTAATATGCAAAAAGTGTGAAGAAAACATTCATAGTCCCATCAAAATTAAATCGATGCTAAAAATGTAATATATTCGTTTTTGATTCAAACCACAGGCATGCAGATTGTTGGAGGAATCATTTTCAATGCAACAAGATTCATAAAAAAAAAAGATCTGTCCCCATGAAAAGGCTGCCTCAGCACTCTTTCTGGAGTGAAAGATCACAAATAAAAGTAGCAAGAAGTTGCATTAAAGAGGTTGTGGAATGCTCGATGACATTTCCGTCATTTTTCGGTTATATGTAGCCTAAGGTGTGATGAAATAAAAACGACCATTGTGTCTGTCATGAAATGAGTACAAAAGGTACTTTTGAGAGCCGTTTTTCAGGTCCTGTTTCGACCCGAACGTGCAATTTGTGGGGGCAGCAAACAAAACATAGTAAATCGTGACGTAATAAACAGGACTCCCGATGCAGCGTAGTATGAACGAGTCCTGTTTATTACGTCACGATTTACTGTTTTGTTTGCTGCCCCCAACGACGACTTTTACACAAACTGCACGTTCGGGTCGAAACAGGACCTGAATACAGCTCTCAAAAGTACCTTTTGTAGTCATTTCATGACAGACACAATAGTCGTTTTTATTTCATCACACCTTAAGCTACATATACCCGAACAAATGACGGAAATGTCTTCGAGCATTCCACAACCTCTTTAAAACAAATGTCTATCATCCAACCATGTAATATTCCACATGCTTATGGACAGACTCAATGACTTTTGTATACCTTCTGCATTTCTGCAACATCTACGCTATTCTCTGCCCTCTGATTGGCTGTATTCAATTCCTCCATCAATTGTCGGAGTTGATTCTGGACATCCTTCAACTCACGGCAAGTAGACTCATACTCAGCTGCTGAGGCCGAACGTTCCTTCTCCATCTGACTCAGGCTGGTCCGAGCTGCTCCTAGCTCATTGGTCAATCTCTTATTGTCCTCAGATGCCTAGAATATCAATAGACGGGGGAGTTTTTAGGAGTTCAGTACATTTTGAGGTTTTGTACTTCGTAAAGAACTTGATATAGATTCATTATTAATGCTCAGACTATTACAAGTTTGAAATGGGTTGTATGTCAATTTTAAAATAACGCTTCATGAAAAAGAAACAGTAGTTAAGCCAGATGTACAGGTTATGATATCAATTGCTGACACGATGTTACGCAAATGCCCATTCTGCTTGTAATTAACGCACGAGCATCATGCAAACGTCTGTTACGCCTTCATGCACCTTTGATGAGCATTGGATTATCCCGAATGACCTGTGACCCAGTTGAAAAAGCTGTGCACATTTGAAATACCGAACTGACTTAGTCTTTCTAAATTGTACTCGGCACTGATTGGGCTTCAGAAAGAAAAAACAAAACACCACCAAATTCTCTTATTAAATTCATAGTGCCCTCTACTTTTTTGTGCTTAAAAAAGTGATACATTTGTGAGTCCGTTGGAGCACTTTATACATTACTGTGCTAAAATCAATTCACATGATCAAAAATGGGAAAAAAATCCATACTGGGCCACCACTCAGAGCTCCTGCACAAAGTCTATGGGCCATGACAGAACATTCTAAAGTATTATCAAAGAATTTTTGCACTCCTTAAACAGTGTTTCTTCATCAGATTTGCAACTTTCGGTACTTTTCAGGTCATATTACAGAATATAAGTGGTGGCCCAGTATGACAAGTTTTTCCCAAAAATGAATGGATATGAATTATTTGTAGGGTATATATCTACACAGAGTATTCACAAGGAAATCACACCTGTTTGAGTTGGTCTAACTGCTTTGTTTGGTCCTGTAGTGATGCCATCTCTTTTTTAGCCTGTCATTGTAATAACATGAACAAATATTGTTAGTATTATAGTATTGTTATATTAACAGATGGTTCCTTAGATAGACACTTCTAGTCATTTGTTTTACATCAGGGAGAAATTGGTCATTAGAGAGATATTTTAGTCTAGCTTGAGAATAGTATATTAATGGGGAGTGCGGGAGAGCATTTACAAATGGGGTTGTGGGAAGGTTATTGTTTGTGCACAGGTCTCTTGGAATGCTTCCCTAAGGTACCATTTTTGGCAAAAATTGTCATTATTATTACAATTATTATAATTACGGGAAATAGGTCGTTTGGGAGACATTCCCATAGACTTGTGCACAAAATTTTTCAAACTTCAATGTGCCCTAACCCAATATTCCCTTGTCCCACAAATTGCGGTATGTTTACTAATTAGACAACGAGCAACAAACATAATCTAATTGCAACAGCAAAATTTTGCCTCTAAAGGGGGGGATGTGACATTAAGGAGACAGAAAATGGCTCCCTAATGACCGATGTCTCCCATCGTGCGAAGAAAGTACGATAACGTGTCTCCTTAACGGTACCTTCACGTATTACTACTGTGTTGCTGCTAATAATGTGTAAGTCAATCACAAATGAAAGTGATGCAGCTAATCTTTGGTAATAAAAGACATTTTGCACCCCCACTAATGAATATTTTGTTGGACTTCAGCGAATGTTCCATTCTTTCTTTCAATTCATACATTCCTTTCACGTTTGCAATGACCTCACCGATTGTTAACCTCCTTGACATTGACCTTTGACCTACCTGTGCCAAGGCTGTGTCCTTTATTGACATCTTATCCTGCCATTTCTTCTCCTCAGATTCTACGCTGCTTTGCAGTTTATTTAAGATTCCTTCCTGTGGATGCCATCAATAGGTACAAATAGAAATATTCACAAGTAATGTACATGTATGTATGGTTACTCCTATTATTCTGACTGATATTAAATACAAACAAATAGAATCATTCCATCTACTCCAAACTCACATAGTACTACATCTGAACAATTTTACAATTATACACATTTTCTTGTGATTTGCTGGAACCAGACCCTCCATTTTTGTCAGCCAATTGCAAAGTGTTGTATTTGCTCACCGTATCACTGAGCACAGACTTGTAATGTTGACATTGGTTGGCTAACTGTTTCTTTTCTTCTTCCAAACTGGACATGGTGGAAGACAACTCAGCGACCTAGAACAAGAAATAAACAAAACTATCAAAACTATGACTCAAAGTGTAAATCTTAAAGGTTTTACGCAAGGCAATATTTGATCTGAATGCCAATGCACAAATCCACAATGTGCAAGCAAGCTGAGTCTCACTGTGTTACCGTTACGCCATATTTCACACTAAGGACCTTTCTTCACTTGAAATCTTCAACACAAAAGGAAGAACAGATGTTCTTGGTATCCATGCACATTTAAAGTTTGTTTATCACAGCAATTTGTAGAACACAGAAATACAGATGGATCTGAAAGGTGAAAATTATAACTTTTAAGTGAACTTGATTTCTGGTGTATCGCAGTTTGCGGTGTTTTGTCATGTTATTCCAGATTTATGATAATGTTCACCGAGTAACTGTCATTACTACCGGGTACTGTAACAGTTTTACAAGACCTACAATGGTTCCGATTCAAGGCAATCATCTGCAACTGTTTCAAAGCAATCTCATCTGTTAAGCAGGTGCTGGTTATAAAAAGACACTGCCACTGATTATATGAACACATTATAAACACTTGACAGTTTTATATTATCAAACACTTTGATGATTAGTCACTTAGTAAGACATTTCTAGATATGAATGAATTGAAAGCATATACTCTGGAAGAAAAGAACAATATTCCCCTTTTACCTCTAGTCCTGAGGAAGCTTTTTGTACGGCAAGATAATTCAAGGCATTCTTCTCAAATGTGGACAGCCAGTCTTCATAGCCCTGAAAAGAAAGTCATGAGTAGAATGATTTCCCAATGACAAAGACTTATGATTGGTTGACTATCCACTTCAATTTGCATAATGTTCTCGGACACTTCCAAATTGCACACGATCCGTGGTCCTTTGTGTTCTATCATAAGATTCTGTAAAGGCACAACAGACTTAATCAGTTTTCCTAGTTGAAATTGGTGGCTGAAAGCAAACATTCCTGATGTGGAAATACTATAAAGTTACTGCACTGTGATCAGGACTGCGTATCACAAGGTGGGCTTGAGAAACAATTTCAAATGGAACAAATCTGATATTTTTAGGGGTGAAGTTTCTGCAGCATTTGAAGACACACAACGGCTTATAGTTGAGATATACTTTACCGGCCAAAACGTCTTCCATGTACATTGCTTACGACTAGTTGAGGACTTGTTTTTTGTACAGCACATAAATTTGCTAATCATGTCTATGATACTACGCCAAGATGTGAAATGAATACTTACAAGACTAGAATCCACGTTAATGTCTGGGAATATCCTCATCAGCAAACCCTTGGATGATTCCTTCTCCTTGTATAAACTAGCATCCAGCTCCTCCTAGTTAAGACAAGTAAAAACAAGAAAGGTGTATATTGTCATCCATCACAAGGCTACAAGCTCAAAGAAGTATCATGGCGTGCTACTGAAATTGCAGATACATTTTTTGTATTTTTCTTGAACAGTTTCTGCATCCAACATAACCGACTTGAAAAAAGTTGCCAGAAAATTCTGCACTTATAAAGTACAAGTACATACATGTAGCATGTGTGCACACAAGCTGATATTCCTTACTTAATGCATGGTAATGGTTATTCAACATGTACATGTACCAAGGATTGATTAGCTTTACTTTAGCGATTACCCTTGATGTGAATTTGGTTACAGAAGTTTACCAAATTCGGAAAACAAAATTCTAGCTTACTGCAGAGACACTAATATTGACATCATTCCTATGATGTCAATTTTCCTATTGATGTAGGCAATGGACAAACAACTACCGGTACTTGTATCTGTGATGCTGACTGAATATCATATCCATTAGAATGTTTTATAATGTAGGTTCTTTTTTACACAAATACTCTGCTTGGAATGTTACAGTGCAAGCCACTTTTTGAGACTTGTCATGAGATAACACAAAAAGGGGGAAAAGAAATTTTCATTTTAAAACTATACAAAATTTTACAAGAAATGCAAGGGTTTTAATTTAGAGTTTAATTAAGAGTTCTCAATCAAACTTAAAATCAAAAGAATAAACAGCATACTCAGACAATTTGACAAAAGAGTTATCAACCCATAACACTGTTTAGATGAGATTTCTTGAAACATAAAACAAAACAATGCGCAAAATGACAGACAACAACATACATACATGTAGATCAGTTAAGGAAAGCAAGTTAGAAAACAGTTGTATTTTGGAATTATATAGAATACATGTACATGTATCGTCAATGCAACAAATGATTTCTCTATCTATTACTCAGGCTTGCAATTGGGAAGCAAGAAAAAAGAGGAAATTCAAAGCTTTACAAGACTTTATACAAGACTTTATGCAAGACTTTATACAAGACTTTATACAAGACTTTATACAGTGTTTTTTATTGGCAAAATTGTGAAGTGAACAAGCTCGAAATGATCTCGGAAGCTGCAGCCCAAATGTAGACCTGCTGTAGCCTATAAGTCATGTACATGATGTAAAAGTCTGTTCTTATAATGCACAACTACTCACGTGGTCATGACTGTCAATTGAAAAGATTCAGATTACTTTGTTGAACGTCAGTTGGTGCATGAAGTGTTTTACAGCATGTGGAATACCCAATTTGTGAGCAGTACAGTGCTAGCCCCAATGCGAAATGAGTGACCTCGTGACCCAAGTTTCCCTGACTGCATAAATTGGTAGCTCTGGTCAGTGGAGACCTGAAGCACATGTTGTTGCGAGGGCCTCAGGGACAAGGTGATTGATTGCCAAACAAGGCATTCGGTGAAGTTTGTTACTAACCAACCAACCAACCAATGGAGAGACATGAGTACTTGTAGAGCTGCTTTCCCACAGCTAACAACGAAATCAGGTGATCCGAGAAAATTTGCATGCCTGGTTACTGAATCTGCAGGTACACTGTAGATGTGTGCTCAAACCTTTAAAGCCCTGAATTCTTAATTCTCTGGCACCCCAATATGATAGTGGGGATCTATTTTGAAGGTTCCAGATTCCCTTATTCACCAATCATATAGTAATTGTATCTGTCAATCTTCTTTCGCTTGTTCAGATTATCCTTGCACAGGATAGTGATTAAAATAACAGACCAAGCAAAGAAAAGGGACTTTTAGTCAGGGTTAGACAAGACACAAATGAGCAAAAATAAAACATTTGCGCAATTAGTATTGTTACAATTAGCATTAAAAAAAACCCAGAAGTTTGAATCATGCAGAATGATAGACAAGCACATGCTAAAAAAATAATCAGAGCAAAATCACGTTACATCAATTTACGCATCATACGTGTAGCACATTTCAATTTAATATGTAACTGGTTCTGGAACTGTGAAATGGAGATGCTATGCAGTTCCATCATCCATGTACCGGTATAGGTAGCATTATTTTATTGATCGTGTGCTTACAAAAGATGGAAGCTGAAAATAAGCTGGTGTTTTCTTAACTTTTCTTGATTAGGAAGGTGAACAACAATGTAATAAGATTTTTTTGGCATAAAACTACAGGAAATTGACTCAGGAAATGAATGCACGTTTGGTGTTTTTTAATTAATAGGTTATTCTGAAGAAAAAAAACAAATGTAATGTAAACAAAAACATTATTCAGAAAATAAAACAACTACAGGATAAAACAAATTAGAAAAATGACCAACTACCACATTTGACAAACTTAGTTGAACTAGTATTTTATGGTGTAAATTATGGTGCAGCACTAATAATTGGGAAGTCTGTATTTTGTAATTAACCCAAAGTCTACCGAAGAAAACACATTTCCATGAACCATGTGACCATGTTGGAATTAGTAGATCCCTAACAACCTTAAAAAAATGACCTGAGCGTTACCTCGAGGCTCCAAAGAGCAACTTCTTGAAGACTCTTTCAAAATAAAACAAATACAAAACAAAAATATAAACTGATATGACTTTGCTTAGAGCTTTGTTTTGGTAGCAAGCATTTGAGTACATTTAGCATTGAGGCAAGGTACAGCATGCCACAGACAGTCTTGTTACATGAGATATCATCTAACCTTCTCTTTCTCCAACGCCTGGGCCACTTTGTCCTGGCTTGTTTTTTCGGCCGCCGTGAGGGCTTCCATGGCCTTCCAATTTTTCTCCTGAAGTTTCTGCTCGTTTGGATGGATACATAAAATGCATCGTTTCAGACAGGAATATGATGAAACTAAAAAAAAAAAAATTGTGCTCGTTTGCTTTTTATGTGATTTGCTCTCCTTTTGTCTGGTACCCAAGAAGCATTACCGTGGTGAAGTGTTTGGTGCAGAAACCAAAACATGAAATCACTAAAAGACATCTACATGTACAATGGAGTTCATTTCAAACCTTTCAAGATTTGCATCACAATGACAGAATCATAATGGTATTGTGTGGACCCTTTAAAACAATGAAGGGTTTTAAAGTTATAAGCACATTTTACTGGATGCATTTGGTTTGAAAGTACTAAGGGCAGAATAAACAAATGATCATCATTCTTTCTCAAATAATTAATCTAAACTTGCAATTGCTTTTGTCAAATACACTGTAGATGTACTGATTGTGCTTCATAATTGTTGAACTTTTCAGCAAGAATCTGTATTTTATTATTTCCTCAACATTTTGTGCAAAACCGTCTGGGAAATCCATGTATCTGATGTACATCATGAACATGTACATATATGCAATTTGGATGTTTCATTACAATATCCTACATGCATACATGTAGTCCCAATTAAAAACGTTGTTTGTGGCTTTGGGAACATGTACCCATTACTATGGCATTAGGGTTAGGCTCAATGTTAGTTATACCAACAAAACAATCCTGTTTGTTAATGCTAAAGGCAGCTGTTATCAAGGAAGGGTAGAGTGCATTGTGATCTGCAATCAAGGACTAAACAGACAATAACGACACATTTAAGACAGTAAGGTTAAACGAGCAGAACCAGAAATCAGCAACAACATATTACAGCAATCATTTTGCAGTTTTTATACAACAGAATCCAAAACTGCAACAGAACAAATCCCTCCTGAATCTGATCAAATCCATCAGCTTCATGTATAGAACAGATAGTCTTTTGATTTGGCTGTGTTGAATACAGAACTGTTGTGTGAGTTACCAGGCTACCTGTCTGTACATGTACCTCTCTACTTTCTATACAGGTCAGGATAGTGTATAAGTACTTAATAACCGGCGATAACAGGCAAAACATTGCCAAATAAAAAAGCATCCGAAAGCAAGAACCATTTCTTTTAAGAATGAAAGTCTGTCTGCAGGCGTAATTTACTTATGAAACCAAACACCAAATCCATGATTCTCATAACCTGCTAAGCAGATTACATGTGTTAGCAAATACTTTGCGAAGTAAAAAAACCCACAAACTATCAGGAGGATAATAACAATCAAATGATATGAAGTTGCTGCTTCACTTGGCACACACATTTTATGAGTTCACCAAATACATTTATTACACCTTTGAAATAAACCACCAAATTCTCCAACAATTTTGCTTTGAGAATTCAAACTGAATTGGAAAAGAGATTTTCTCTGTTTAAACAACAGAAATTATTTCCCCCTGATGCATTCTTTAAAACTCTCTTTAAGAACACACCGCACCCTTAAAGCAACCATGACAAAGAACTTCCAATGAATATGATCCCACAAAAGCTATGCATTTCAACATACTGCAATGTGTTGGATTCTTCTCTGATGCACCCTTTAACATACAGCAACCATGAAGACAAAACGACTTCTTCACAAAAGCCAAAGATGAACTTTTATGACAGTACCTGTATGAAAAGACGAGTCCAGCAGACCCACCAAATTCTTCCTGAATTTGACCCGGGTTTAAACGTTGATTGAAATTCAATTGTAGCTACTTTCAATAACTTGATGGAGATCTTGAGACATCCCGGTGATGTAAATTCCACAAAATACTGAAACAAGACAACTGGACTCGAACTTACTCGGTGGAGAACAGTTTCATGACCTATCTGGGTCACTTCCTCGGCTCCGAATGGGCGGCAGGAAAGGACTGATGCTTGAAATAGGCACTGCTTGAGCAATCAAAATTCTCCTATGCTACGTTACGGTGATTAACAGAGCAAAAAGGACGATCGCAACACCTCTTCAATCACCCGTCCTTTCAAGCTGCCCATTCAGATCTGAGGAAGTGACCCACATAGGTCATGAAACTGTTCTTCACCCAGTAAGTTTGAGTCAAATTGTCTTGTTTCTATATTTCTTTGAATGTACATGTAGCTACTTACATTATTTCGTTGTTTCTGCTGCTCTAATTGTTGCTTGAGTGTCTCCAATTCCTCGTCTCTGGATGAGATTTCACCCTGTAGCGAAGCCAAGGCCTTTTCTTTCTCATTCATGCTGGGAAGGAAACAAAACCCAGATTCATAGATGAATCAAGATAGGTACATCCTCACTGGAAGCTTACCCCCCCCCCCCCCCCTCCCAAATGATTTGAGCTTTTTTGGGGGGGGGGGTTATGATACCGATTCAAGCTACATTTACCTTGCTTCCAAAAAGTTGAAATATCACCAAACAATTACAAACATATGATGTAAGCATAAAGTTGGTGATAGAACCATGTTAATCGTTGTGTGACTTGATGGTTTGCACGCTGTGCTCTTTCCATCGTCACGAGGTCAACACGTGGTTTTGTTAATTACAGGGAAATATGTCCAAATTACTTGGCTACGCCTAGCAATAACACAAGCATCTATGGGAATTGGATTCAGCTTCTTCCATAGCTGTAAGACCTGGGCACAGGAGATCAGCGTGATGGACCAATGCTGTCTTTGTCGACGAGTGAGTGAGTTAACGAGCCTTCCATATGCCAAACCAAGTAATCCTGACACAGGGCATTCTTTTCTTAGACCTACATGACCTACATGTTTTCATGCTCCTTCTTCAAGACGACATCTTCCTTAGGTTCATCACTACCCATGTCACCGTTGGGTTTCATGGCCTCAGCTGCCTGAGCTAGTTCCTTCATCTTGGTTTGAAGCTGAGTCTCCAGTGAGGCCTTGGCATCTCTTAGGTTCTGCAAGTGATGAAGGGAAAAAGAAGAGGAACAATATCTGTCATACAAGTATACATACAATGATGGAGCAAAGGCTTATAAATCAAATTTCCGTTGCAAATAAAATTAGCTTTAGAACAAGAACAATACTTTAATTTGTATCCTGTTTATTCAATGTCAGATTTTAAATTCAGGCCTGATATTTGACCCTCAGAAAAATGTTGGAGAAAATGTGTCTTGCTGATCCCCGATGGTGAAATGTTTACCGTACAGAATACTGAAGTTGGTGAAAATAATAGGAAATGAAAGTAAACAAAAAAGGAAATCCTATTTTAAATAGCAAACCTTTCATGCCTATAAAATGTGCCTTTGTTTTAAATATTGCATCAAACAGAACAAACCAAATGAGTAGCTTAGTCTTAAATAGCTGTGATTACACATTCATTCCCGGAGTTTTGTCTGTTTGTTACTAACTACAAAGGTAAGGTTGCACACTGAACCCTGTTGATATAGTTGGGTGGAAACAAAGCTTTTTGCCCTATCTCCAGTGCAATATGCTTGTATCAAAACGTTTGGATGGTTGACAGTACAGTCACTCACCGTCATTTCCTTATCCTTCTGGGTGCATGCTCTCTCCTGCTCAGACAACTTGGCCTTGGAATCATTAACAGCGCCCTCAAGGTTCATCTTTTGCTTCTCATGATCCTAAAAACAGAATGGATAGATGAGTATTATACGCCAAACTTTTACATTCTGTCTCATGATGGGCAGATAGCACATCATATGATACACAAACACCTGTCATATTCTTTTATGTTCCGGTTGTAACATGAAAGAACAGAAGCATTCCACTGTGTTCTCAGAAGAGCATTTTTGTAAAAGAAATGTTGAACAATTTAAGCCAATTTGCAAGGCAAGACCAGTACACCATCATTGTGGTATAAATAATAAATATCTCCAATGGTTTTGGCAATAAATTTTTGTTTGCAATGACGTCAATAAAATTCCATATTTGTTTTTTTCCTTTGACTGACTCTTGTTTTACATGTTGGTGAAGAGCAAACCCAATATCAACCTCCCTAGTCTTTTTCACATCACAGTCTTGTAAGTGTTGCAAAACCACTTTTGCCCATAGACTTACATGTAGCACCCACACTTCAAATTCCTTTGAGGTAATCTTTTGTGGAGTATGGATAACACTTCAAATTCCTGCACAATTCTTTTGTCATGTTTGTGGTTAAGCTCGGGGCAAGCAGGCAGTTTCGGTCATGATCCACCACTCTCCACACTGCTGTACTTTGTGCAGTGACTCTCTGTGTGACACAGTTACTTTAACACTTCATATCCCTTCATCTGAAACTGACCTGCAGGATATTAATGGATTTGACATTGCTCTGAATATTGACCATGTTGATTTCCCACTAGAAGGGTCAAATGCACATCTCAAAACTTCATCAGAAAAAATAGACATGGAAATAAAATATTTGGAGTCAGTGACCGAGAGTCTGGTTTCAATGGCTGAAATTTGTGTATTCTTCTATAAGACAATAGGTGGGAGGCGGGGGGGGGGGGGGGGGGGGGGGGGGGAGGAGGATGGGATGGATGATGATACAAGAAGAGTCTGTAGCAGGTGAATGGTATAAGTTACTGACCCTGAGTCTAGTTTCCATAGCTGACATCTGTGTACTCTTCACACTATCAAGACAATAGGGGGAGGGGATGGGCTGGGGGTGATGGGGTGCATGACAGGGGGAGGTTCTCTAGTAGGTGAATGGTACAAGTTACTGACCCTGAGTCTGGTTTCCAGAGCTGACATCTGAGTACTCTTCACACTATCAAGACAATAGAGGGAGGGGATGGGCTGGGGTGATGGGGGGGGGAGGGAGTGTGATGGGATGGATGGATGGTAGGGGGAGGTTCTCTAGTAGGTGAATGGTACAAGTTACTGACCCTGAGTCTGGTTTCCAGAGCTGACATCTGAGTACTCTTCACACTATCAAGACAATAGAGGGAGGGGATGGGCTGGGGTGATGGGGGGGGGGGGTATGATGGGATGGATGGATGGTAGGGGGAGGTTCTCTAGAAGGTGAATGGTACAAGTTACTGACCCTGAGTCTGGTTTCCAGAGCTGACATCTGAGTACTCTTCACACTATCAAGACAATAGAGGGAGGGGATGGGCTGGGGTGATGGGGGGGGGGGGGTGTGATGGGATGGTAGGGGGAGGTACTCTAGCATGGTATGGTATAAGTTACTGACCCTGAGTCTGGTTTCCATAGCTGACATCTGTGTACTTTTCTCACTATCCAGACGATACACCTCCTGCAGTTGTTTCTTGACAGTATCGTTCTCCTTCATCAAAGCTTGCAGACGTTCCAACGTCTTCTCTCCCTCTCTGGATGATGTCTGGAGACGAGCTTCTGCCTTACGTAGCTCCTCAGAGACCTCGCTAAGACGTTTGGAGAGAGCTGTTTCATTCTCACGCTGAAGGAGAAGTATTGGAATAACAATTATTGAGTAAGTTAAGTGAAGGACAAAGGTTCTTTTCGATTATATTCTCAGGCTTCTGAAGATCGTTTTGTTGGAAATTGGTGTAATTTCTTTAACTTGGGATTTACATTTTTCTATGGGCTCTTTTCCAAAAGCCCAGTGGGAGGGCCGCAGGTGGTACTGGTTCGGGCACGTATGACCCAAAGCATGCACAACTAATTTCTAATTCTGAATTAGCACATACCCCAGTGTTCTGCATGAGCATCAAGCATTGCATGCAATGCATTCAAAATGTCCTCCAAGTGGTCTCCCACTTCCTTTGTTACTATTGAGGGGGTAGTTGTACATCAAGTTCAAATGGAAAACAGTTGGGTTTTATCTAAGCTTTTAAAATCTCTTACAAGTTAGGGGGCCCTTTCAAATCTTATAGTGTGTTCATGACAAGCAAAACTGGGCATACGAAACCATCCAAATTCAAAATAGATCATTTAAATGACAACACAGCATCTAGTTGGATAAAATAATGTATTACTTCTAAATCATGCTCATTAAATCACAAAAACCATGTTGCTTTTGAATGACTGGGAAAACTAAAAGCAGGTGATAGCCTGTCTACCATACACGTACCTGTCCAGCCTGGCCTGCTTCATACACCTTGATCCGCTGTTCATACTGAGTGAGTTTGGATTCCAGGCTACGTCGTTGATCATCACCCTGTCTGACGCGACCCTCATTGGCGGACATTTGGTTCTTTATCTTCTGGATTTCATTCTGGAAGCTAAGAGGTTCAACAAAGATGCATTCAAGTAAACCTCCAATCTCATAGCTTGTAATGAAACAACTCTGAGTCTATGTAAATGCTTATTAATAATTGTTGACTTACTGTTGTGCATTTCGTCCTGCTTCTGCCTTGAGTTGAGTGTTCTCATCACGGAGTTGATTCAATGCCTCTACCCCTGTGTTATCATTCCTGGCTTCTACTTGCTTGATGTGAGCCTGAAGATTCTGGGTGTCACGGGTATGAGCATCATGGTTCTGAAAGCAATCATGTCAACATCATCCAATTACTTTGAATGTAAACAGGAATTATCTCTTAATCACAAGTTGGCATCATCTGAAATGTAGGCATTTGCTCTGATATACAGAACATAATATGCAGGAGAGAGGAAACTCCTTTTCTGCAGATTTCTTGGCTTTTTCTTGCATGTCTGCCAAGAATAGAACAGTTGTCTCTCAATCCTACCTCCTTGCAAACTATTGTTCGAAAACTTCCTGAATACAAAAAAATCCAACACTGTGGTAAACTCCTTACATTTCAATTAATTAGGACATAAATCCAAAAGTAAAATAGTAGCTTAGCTTTAAATGCAAGTCCTGATTAATAAAAATGAACATATTTGACATTGGTACACTGGTGGGTCAGTCAGCGTAAAAAGAAAATCCTCTAATTTCTTCTGTTCATACATATTTATGTATCTTTCAATCCATGTTTTTCTTAGCTTTTGAAAAAGATTCTGCTAGGATCATAATGTCAGGCCCACTGACATGTGTGACTTGTTTACAACTCAAAACTGAAATTGAGTACACGTGTTATGAGATAAACAATGCCTGACCTGTTGCATTCTAGCTCTGAGTGCATCACATTCACGGCTATGGTTATGCACCGTCTCTTTGTAGCGAGACTCTACTTGGATCCTTCGGCTTTTTTCTTGGGTCAGTTCAGCGCGTAGTTCCTTCACCTTCTGAGATGAGGACTGGGCTAGCAGCATCTCTAAGAAATTACCAATGAGACAGGAAAAGTAACCATGAAAGTCAAACAGCTAATTAGATGTATTATAGTGACAAATGATCCAGTAGTTAATGTTTTGCCCAATCACAGCCATGCCTGCATATGTCTGGCAAAAGTCTGACATGCAAGTGTACATGTTGTTACGCACATGTCCCTTGAATCAACATGTATGATTGACTGAAGAAAGGTTCAAATTATTTGAAAATATGAAAGCCAAAATTACTTGCTGGACATGAGACTACTGCTTACCATTGTGCAAGGCTTGTTCCTTCTCCTGCAGTTGTTTTTTCATGGCTTGGACTGGATCACGTTGGTTGGCCTGCAAACAAACACCATCCCAGTTGTTATCTACAAGATCTTGGCTCTCATTTCAACCTCCGTAATTAAGTCACACCCTAGTATTAATTAGGGGAGGCTGCTTTCTTTTTGTACCAATGTACCATTCACATGTCAAAATCTTACGTCATAAATTTAACTTTGCCATAAATTTAGACATTCCAAACATCAAACAGTAGTTGGTAGTAAACCTTTTTGCCATGTGCAAATAGTACAAGGTAATTATTTCTTTTGCAACAACTTCTTTTGTCCTTAATTAATGATTTTTTGAGTTACTCTAAAACTTTACTCTAAAAAAGTGCCTTTCATGCTAAATTATAAATGAGTACAAACCAAATGCCTACTTTAATTTTAATAAACACAAGATGTGTTTTTCAAACTGAAATTTCTACGACTACATTTGTATTTTCGCTGGTAATTTTCTAATGACACATCCCACATGTCAAGTGAAGACAACTAACGTAGCCACCAGACACCCACCTTGACCCAGTTTTCCGATGTTGCAGCGGATCCACCATTCTTGTTGAGCAACACTTCCACAAGTTGCTGAACTTCCTTATTGGACAGAGTTGCTGTCTTGAGCATGGCGCTAAGATTCTTGGCCTTCAGGGCTCCAGTGTCCACAGCTACATGTAGTTGCAAATTAGCGAGAGAGAAAAATTACAAAAAAATATTTTCTGATAACATCCTTGAAGGATCTGCCCATACAATGGTTTCAAAAATGGTAACAATTCTTAAGAATATCGGTGTAACTTTATAAACATAAAAAAAATTATTGTCTCATTTTAAAACTAGTAATCATAAATGATTTCATGATATAAATAAATATAATACTACAGGAACAAGTGCACACTGTAAAGAAATTTTTTTAGACAAAAAGGAAGACATTTTAACTCAAAGATTCCTTTCATGACTATTTATGCTAATCAGATAATTGAAAGTGCTTAAGCCCTGTCCGCACTGGACTTTTTTTGGTCAAACTAACCGAGACTATGGGTACTTTTCCCATTTTAAGTCCAGTGCGGACAGCCTAGGACATTTTCCTCTCGGTTACTTTTCCCGAGTCCAGCGGTTACTTTTACTGGCCAACTGCTGCCCAGGAAAACTTCCCACGCACCCAGGAAAACTGACCAGGTCACTTTTCCCGAGACGATAAGTCCAGTGCGGACAGTGGGAGTCGGTAAAAGCTGCTCAGGAAAGCGTACATCCGGCCCGAGCGCCCTGTTATGCATACAGGAGACCACACGAACCTGCCGCGTGCAGTGGCCAAACATTTTGTAGAAACACGCTGCGGTGTATCATCAAGTTCGAGCGGTAAAATCTCGTTAAAATATATATTTCAACGGACAAATACATACACAGAGAAGAGAGATCGAGTTCTGAGAATTAATTTGCGGAAATTCTCTTTCTCTATCGATGTATGTTATTTTCTACGATCCAAATTCGTCCTGATACGCTACTGTAGTCATGCACGGAACATCATGGTCCGGTACCGTACGTAGGCCGTAGTCACTGGTTCCTGGCCCACATCATAGCTTTGATTCTGTAAGCATGCGATGGGAACCAACGAATACTGATGGCACTGCTGCCGCACGGAACATCGTACAGCGGCATGGCTTCGACGACGTGCATCACAAATGCGTCAGAATTATATGCCTTTTCGTCAAGATTTAGCATGTCAAGATGAAATAATATCGTGTAAACGATTATGTTGTGCATGCAAATGGCGTGCGTATCGGCGGCTGAAAATGTGATCGGCAATTTGTTTTCTGTGTACGGTGAGTCATTTTACTGACACTGTGACAGCTCGGTTACTTCTCCCACGCGGTCTGGGTAAATTTTCCCGTGTCGAAAGTCTAAGTGCGGACAGTGGTCACATTTGACCATTTCTCATTTTACCATCGTCTCGGTAAAACCTTCCAAAAAAAAAGTCCAGTGCGGACACGGCTTTAGGTGTACTTGAATTTATAAGCAGGTCTCAGGCCTGTACATATAGTCATGTACATGACATACCGGTACATTAGAACAGAAACGGACTTATGACAATGAGAACATGGTTAACAAAATAAAGGCGCACCCTAAGTACTGAATAATGTACAGCATGTATGTACATGTAGTACATATGTATGTAACTGCATGGCCAATCATGCAAGTCGTTTTTCAGAGTATGGTTGTAACATGACAAAAATTGACCATACAGGTTGATATTTAACAAAATCGCAATTCACACTGTATTGGTACTTCGGCGTACATGTCAACTCTAGTGCTGTCCAATATGTTTGCATTGTGTGACAGTTTCTAAACATTTTGAAAGGAAAGATTGTAATAATGGGCAACCCCATGAGGACAGAGATTTACAATGTATTGTAGGCCTACACTGTATTAAGAAAGCCATTGATGCGGTAAGGGCAACACCCACCGTACATGCTGTAGTCTAGGCATGCTAGGGGAGATGAGGTTGGAGATGAGGTTTGAGGAAAGCTTTCAAGAGCCAAAGATTAAGTACAGATAAATGTGTTATCAGTGAATGTTAATTGTAATTTAAATTCACGCATTTTTACTGCTTTTAACCATGAGAGGTAAAGTACATCTACATGTTTGTTGTAGCAATTCAATGCACACGCTGCACATGTACTTAACTATATTCCAATACAGAACAGAACTGTGCATCTATACATCATAGTAAATTTCACCCACAGCCAAAATTTCTATTCATTTCTGATGCGAATTTTCTAAAAAGTCTGCCGAGCCTTGAACCATTCAACCTTTTTAATAGGAATTGTGGGAGGCTGAATTCTGTAAAGAACCTGCTGCATTTGACCCTTTCATAATGGTATCAAGGCTGTAATACCGGTATGGCCTCCATGTACACGTACCATACAAGGAAGCCTTTATGGGACACTGTAGCGGAACCGAAACCTACATGTACATGTACCTACAAAATGTATCTTTTGTATGGCACACTTGAAAGAAAATTCCTTGCATGAAAGTTTTTAACACAAGGACATGTATATAAATTGGCAGAATTGAAACTGTTGTGGATAGGGAGGTGAACAAATATTCTGAATAAAAATCAAACACAAAACATGAAAAGTAGCAAACAAAAACAAAAACCCACACCCATAATATACCAAACAAAACGGAATGAAATGCAAAGAAAAGGAAAATATTAAAGGAAACCAAAACAGAAAGGATAACGTTAATACTCTCTTCCTGCATGAGAGACAGGCCGTTGGCTTTGGACTGTGTGGTTACATACAAGTACCGGTACATTGTACTGGTTCAGGTTTCTTTACCAAGTGTAGACAGGAAAGGCTAATTGTGTACGTAATTCCGGCGCTGATCTATTGTTTTTTTAACAGGCAACATCCATACTGTACAGGTTCAACTATAAAAGTGCCGGTACATACATGTATAGTGTACAGGTACAAATGTACAGGTCTGTGCAATGATGTACTCAAACTGTTCATGTGCAGTACATGTACCGGTATTGTGTACAGTACATTTTTTATGAACATACATGTATGTACATCATGTACACTTTGGACCTTTCAAGAATAATGAACAATATGGCTTACATGTAAATGGTTCTGACATTATCAATACACAACACACTGGGGTACATAATGGTGACAGCAAGTACCTAAAGAAGTGTTGACATGGTGACTCTCACAATTGCCCACTGCAACAATCAAATGTACATTTTTGTAAATTCATAAATTATGTGAAGCACCCAAACCAAAATGTTAAACACTGTGAACAGCTAAAACGTAAATTCTGGAATAGAAAACTATTGAAATTGTCTCCTTCAAGAACATGCAACCCCTTTAAATATGGGTGGTAAAATATTCTGGCTTAACAGGAAGTGTGTGACCTTTGGGTCACAGGTTTCTGTAGTAGAACAGTTAGCCATGTACATGTACATGTATGTACATTGCACAGACCACATACTGTGATCAATTTCAACATCATGGCTGGTTGTGTTTGTACAACATGGATGCATTATTTTTACCAACTGTGACACAGACCACAGTTTCTTGGCAAAGCATGTAGGATGTGAAAAATTATTTACATCCACTTACATGCATGTACATCCATGTACAAATGTACCCGTGTGTATGTAAGTGGATACAAATGTACGGTGCATCATGTGTACATCATTGGTCCCACAACGAAGTGGCGTACCGTTGTTGTTCGCACAAACTGTTGTTCGCACAAACAGACGATACATCACAACTTTTCGTGACGCACAGAAAAAAATATAAATTATTCCTGGAGTATGCTGGACCATAAACTTGTTATTATCAAATACCTGTAACTCATGAATTTTACAATACATGTACGTCATATTATTTTATATTTTGAGCAAAGGCATAATAATTAATATTGCACTTACATGTACATGTAGGATTATATGTTTGTGTGCATCATGAACAATTTTCTTCGCTTTATACATTTCATTTGAGAACATATCATTCTTACTTGAAGATGATTACAGTACATAATGATAGAAATTTACAGGAGCGAAATAACATTGTGTAATGCACAATGTACTGTGTTCTGCAGTGTACCGTACTGATTGCACTAGCCTTGAATACATTATTTACCATCAGTCATTTTACAATTCACGTAAATTATGTGTAGCGGGGTTTGACACCAAAGCTCAGACAACCGTAACATATGGTGCACTAAGATCGCACAATGTGGGAGGAATAAACAGGGTCACGTTGCCTCGTTTATCTTTTGTGTGAATGCAATCAATTACTTCTGTGGCCATGGGTGGTTAAATCAAGAGTGTTAGGGATACCTGTAACTGAACACGAAAAATAAACAGTGTACAAAATGTAGTAATCATAAAGAGAATTTCAAATCAATATGTAAAAGGGAACATGTTTCATGTGTACATGGTGTACAACTAGTGAAGTTGCTTTACCCATGCTTTTCAGCATATAGGCCTATGCATTATTTTTTTCTTCCGACAATTTTCAAATTTTTGTTTTATTATCCTTTTGATATTTGGACGTTTTCATAATGACCATAATGCATGGGCCACAAGTAATTCAAAATTTGTATCTCATTACTATGTGGAATTTATCACACGATGTTTCATATAAAAATGAATGTTACAATGTATGTGGAATTAGTTATGTATGGAATTTGTATGTGTATCATGTGTATGTGTACCACATACATACAAACAGTCACACGAACAACAAACACAACACTCAAGGAGCTGATTTTCAAACTACCCCGGTACTATTGACAGTTGAGGGACTCACCTGAACGATAAACACAGAATCACCCCTGGACAAGTAGCTAATCCTCAATACTATTAGTATTACTTGAAGTGATCCAACCGATTTCATCTTACCTGTATCCCCTGCTGGTCCTGCTGCTTTCTCCCCCGATGGTGCCCCAGCCTTGGCCCCTTTCTTGCTCTTCACTGGGGAACTCTGGGTAGCACCAGCCTCCTTCTTGGGTTGTTGGGGTGCAGCTTGGGCCTCTGGAGCCTTCTGGGCCACTATTGGGGCTTCTTTCTTCTGCAGTTTCTCCTCAACTGGCTTCTGTTTCTGGGGCTTCTGGCTAGACTTCTGGGTTGGTTTGGGAGAGGTCTGGGTCTTGGCTGGAGGAGGAGCAGATTTGGTAGTTGCTGACGCAGCCTTCTGGATGGGTGCTTCTTTCACAGGAGCCTCTTTGGGGGTCTTCTTGGAAGGTGCTTCCTTGGAAGGAGCTGAGGTTTCTTTAGCAGCTTCTTTCGCCTTGGGCGGTTGCTGCTTTTGTTGCTGCTGCTGTTGTTGCTCTTGCTGCTGCTGCTGCTGTGGTACTTTGGGTTGTTTCCCTTGCTTAGGAGATTTGGTCTTAGGTTGAGGAGCAGGAGGGGGAGCAGCAGCGATTGGTTGCTCAACTATCGGCTTGATTTCCTCCTCCACGGGTGGTGATGGAGGTGATGGGGGAGGTGATGGTTGGTCAATGTCATTCACTTTATCTTTCTTCTTACGAGGAAAGGCTTGACGACGTTTCTGCCGCTGATCTCGATGTTGCTGCTGCTCCTTGTCAAGGCGAGCTCGCTGCTCTGCAATGGCCTCCTCATATGTCTTCTCCTTCATGGTGAAGATGGAGATGATATACACTAAGGCAGACAAGCCGATGAAACTAGCAAACACCACCAGGGCTAAGACCTGGGGCTCATACAAATCCACAGCAATCATGGTTGATCTGGACTTCACCACTTAATCTATCAGAAACAAAGAATGAAAAACACAACATTATGCAGTTAAGCACTATTATTTTCTGTGGAAAGATTTCCATATCTGGCCATCACTTGTCACCCTTTGCACAAACCCTATGGGACTGGTCTGAAAATTTCGAAGTGTTTTCTCAGTAAAAATTCAAAATTTGTCCCTGCTAAATTTTACTTTTTAGGACATATTATCACTTTCTGATGGCTGATAGTGATAGGTCATTTAAGAGAAAAATTACTGATGGCCAGATATGGGAATCTTTCCTTTCTTGTAGCCGTGTAGGCCCTATGCGTTGATTAACCCTAACTCCCTAGGCCTTTTTGCTAGGATGTAGCCTCAATCCTGCAAAATCCTCCAATTGGCCTCATGGAAAAATAGCATATAACCTCAATCCTGCAAATTCCTCCGCTATTTCTTGAATATGGTCCATGGAGGGGTGACCACTGCCTGAATCCTGCAAAATCCTCCGGCTACGACTGTCAATAGGCTGAGGCAGAGGCAGTGACATCCTGGAGCAGTGCGGAGGATGTCAAGTATAATCAAGGACTAAATTTATGCACGGCTGAGCATAAACAACACAAGGTCCGGCCCAAGACCTTGACACAGTGCGTACTCCGAAATCAGCAACCCACTTTTGACATGTAACCTCAATCCTGCAAATTCCTCCAATTTGCAAAAAGGATTTTGGAGGATTCAGGGCGGTTAGGGTTAAAAATAAATCAAGTTTTAAATAGATTTTGTAGATTTTAGGCTACATCATGTGTATCCTACTCTTAAATTTTAAAACATCTTGGTTTCCTCATTTTCAAAAGGGTCATGAAACTCATGGTAAACTTCTCTAGCTGCTGCAAGAGAAGGCAAGGAAGGAGTTTTAGAAGAGCAAGTGATGGCCAGATACATGCATGACATGGGAATCTTTAACCGATGCTATTTTTAAAAAGTCCAATGCCCAGGTTTTTGCCAACTTAAATCCTTAGGCAACCAATGATGGGTGAGCGACCCTACATTATTGCTTTATGATTAGGCAGTGTATGTAATACTCTGCAAAAAATGTTTGAGACATGTTAAAATAATAAAAGAAGAATATTCTTATTTATTTGGGGATGAGAAAAAAAAACTTAAAAATGTGGTGCGGTCGGAATCGTACGCGAGTCATCCCGCTTACTAGAGGCTAAGCCTTTGCTTAACCATTACACCAAACGTGCTACACAACTTTTGGTGGGAATTTAATACATCTTATAATTCAGCCCTATTTTAAAGAGTACAGCGCCCTCTGTTGATATGGATTGCCGCCGGCAAACCTTTAGTAATCGTTAGTTTGCCGTCATTACCTCCGGCAAAATATCCACTATCTTATGATTATGATTTATTATTATTATTATTATTATTATTTATTCGACCTCAACAAACATGACAAAGAATAACAAACAGTGATACAAAACCAAACAAAAATTACACAAAAGTGGTTGAAACGCACAACAAAAGAAACGTATAAACATGAAATTTAAATTTAAATTACAATTTAAATTATTAAAAAATCATGAAGTAGACTAGATGGCATACAATGATACATTTATCAAGTTTATGGCAATAAATTATGCATGCTTTAAAGTTTATGCTTAGGCTTTTTTTTCAGCAAAAAATCGGCATTTAAATGACATATTCGATGAAGCGTGAACGGCCTTGCACAACACTTTCAAACATTCCTCCATGACCATTAATGACGAGGAGTGAGGGATCACTGCATGCACCGATGCAAGCTGTGCCAACAACAGCTAGCTAGAGCTCATGATGAGCGCGCAGTACAGCTGAAGTAAGTTAGTGATTTTGGCGATATTTTTTGCGCCTTAAACCAATCAGTCTTCAGTCCCATTTGTTGCACATTGTTGTAATCGTCTTTTTTGGGAAAAGCATGGAAATTCGACAAATCCAATTTTAACCTACCTCACAAACCAGAGACTTAAGTGTTTTTGACGATCTTTTCACAATCCAAATTCCAACGACGGCAACCTAAAGGAAAATTACACGCCTACATACGATATGCATGAGCGGGAAATACGTACTGTGATTGGTCAGTGGCTACCAACATGGCGACTTTTGGTCTTACAAGAAGTATTCTTACATTTCCGTGTGTTCAAATTAAGTTGATGAAACCAAGAAAATGTTGCAATGCTTTACAAATTTTTTTTAGTGCTTTAAAATTTTTACAAATTTAATATTAATAAATAAATTTACATGGATTTAAAATTGTTTGTTATTCAGATATTTTTATTAGAATATTTACTAAAAGGGAGTACCAGTAGTGAATTGCACAGCCAATTGCCAACTTGGCATTTAATCTCGGCGCCGTAAACGTGCAATTCCTATTAAATTGACAGAAGGCCGGATACTAGACCTTTGTGCGCAATCTTTACATTGAAGTTTCGCAACCTAAATAGCACCATGCTATCACAGTCGAAAAAAGTGGAAGTGCTTGAAAAGCACGTGTTAAATTCTCGCATTCGTTTCTTGTGAGTTCTCTGATGCATTGCAATATTGGAAAGCAAAAGAAGGGCCGAGTGTTTTATAAAAGGGGCAATAAACTAAAAACTTACCGACCTCGTGCTATGATGTTAAAGCATGGAGCTATAAATAGCTCCATGCATGATGTAAGCAAGCAGGCGCCATAATTTCAAGCAGTTTGGTTGTCCGATAACTGGGCGCCACATTAATTAATGGTTGGAAAAGGAACGGACATGACGGAGCCGGAGGCTCAGTGCGTACAGATTAAGTACACACGTTCATGCAGCTAGCAAGGCAGCAACCATGCAGCATTATATAATTTACAACTTGGCCTTTTTGAGGTCTAGGATCATGGATGTTTATAAAATGTTCTTTTTATCCGGGAAGGAAAGAAATTGTGGACAATATTCAGAAGTATTGTGGGTACTAATAGTAATACATGTACTAGTAATAAGTATAGGCCCTATATTTAAAAATATAAAACACAGAAATGTCGGTTGTGTGCATGTTGCCGGTGATCTGGTTAGGGCCATATAAATGCCATATGATATGGGCACGAATGGGGGGGGGGGGAGTAGGGTGAAGACCCCCCCCCCCCCACTGGCCCCAGCCCACCACCACCACCATGCATATCCATGCTTTGCTTTTCAGTACTTAGTAGTAGTAGTACTAATGGTGGAAGTACATACATGGCATTTTTAGGCCTAAATGATAAACATGATATTCATAAACAGGCAGGCAAAACCTGCATTAATCCTGGAAAAATACAATTTCCTCCATACTAATTAACAAACACTAGCTGAGCACGGAGAGAACTTGTATTGTCATGATTGTATGCATGAAATAGGCTAGCCCGGCAATGCTATGTACTCGCACTGAGTTTACAGTGCGGGGCCATCGTGTATAGGGCTAGAAGAAGAAGGCCTATATGTTTGCATGCTGACGCCTTGTTTAGTTTGTGTATTTTTAATGTGCATTTTCCATTTTTCCCCGTAAGTTTAAAAGGGTGTAGGCCTATACTTCTCTTGATATGCGTACTTGTCAATCACCCCTACACCGTTTGCATGTGGCATACACATGTTAAGAATGTGTTGCTCAATCCATGTTCCAGGACTGTCAATCTGGCAGTGACTCGATGATGTCGCAAGATTCAGACAAAAACACCAGTAAACATCCAGTCAATTGGCTGGATCTACTGCAAGGAATTGAAGTCATCGTACTAGATATTGAGGGAACAACAACCCCAATAACTTTTGTCAAGGTAACAATGACCATGTGCTTCTTCATATTGGAGTGTTAATAGGTTCAGTTACCATTGCACTTGACTTTGGAGAAATAGCTGCAAAGTGTCATATTGAAGGACACATTAAGAACTTTGGCAATATACGATTGCCAGGCAGAGTTAATCAAAACACAATTTAGGCCACAGGGATAAACATTGACCAAGAAATCTATACATTGTCACAGTTTGCTTGTCACTTTTATTTATAATGTACGGTTGAATGGAAGCTAACTAAATACTCATGTTAATGCAATCTGTAGCCAGGAAGGCCTACTGCATTTGTTAAAGAGTTGAAAGCTAAATACCATCTTACCCTGACTTCTTTTGTTAATTGTTTGGCATTGTTTTTGTTTGTGGCACATTGAGCCAGTGTTCGGCAAGTGAAACACTTTCTTAACCTCCTTTATAGAAAGTAGTCCTTTGTTTTCATTCAAATACACCCACCAGTATGAATCAAATCTTTCATTGGATTCAATTAATTTTTCTGTTTATTCCCTTTTTTGATAGGATGTTTTGTTTCCGTATGTCACCGAGCATCTGGAGGACTATTTAGATGATCATTGGGAGGAAAAAAAATGTCAGGATGACGTCAGAGCATTGAGGGACCAGGTAAGCTCAAGCAAACACATTACTTGCAATGATATTTCATGATACAACCTGTCAAGAATTTTGTACACAAGTTGAAATGTTTCTGAATTAATGCAAATACGTCACAAGTCCTCACCAGCCTTACAAATCCCAGCAAGACCATCACAAGACCATCACAAGCCCATCACAAGACCATCACAAGTCCATCACAAGACCATTACAAGACCATCACAAGTCCATCACAAGACCATCACAAGACCATCATAAGTCAGCCACACTCATGTCAACTTGTGACCTGACTTGTGATCACACAAGACCATCACAAGCCCATCACAAGACCATCACAAGCCCATCACAAGACCATCACAAGTCTTCAAGACCATCACAAGTCCATCATAAGTTATCCACACTCATGTCAACTTACTTGTGACCGGACTTGTGATCACAAAAGACCATCACACGCCCATCACAAGACCATCACAAGCCCATCTCAAGACTATCACAAGACCATCACAAGCCCATCATAAGTCATCCACACTCATGTCAACTTACTTGTGATGAACTTGTGATGGACTCAACTACAACACTGATATGAATATGTGCTGCAGGCCAATCTTGACAAGGACCTTGAAGGTGTAGTCACCATCCCAGAAGACATCCAAGGTGATTCCTCATCATCTAAGATGTCAGTGAAGGAAGCAGTGATGCAGAGCATCCGATGGCTGATGGCTGCTGACAGGAAGGTGACAGCACTCAAACAGCTACAAGGTCATATGTGGAGGTCAGGATACAAGGACAAGACACTTGTTGCACAGTAAGTCCATAGTATGCATCCTTACTGCTTTTCATTACTGTGGTAGTAGAGATATATTTGCAACCGCACTGATCACCCCATCCTTAACTGAGTGGTTTTCGATTGAACATGATATGTTTATGAGTCCCTTGATGCTGCACAAGTTCCCCATTCAACGGTAAGAAAGGGAAAGATGGGGGAGACCACTGGGAGGTATTCAAATGCATTGCTGATGACACCTGACGCTCACGCTAAGACGCCTCACGCTGTACGAGCGCGAAACAGTACGCACACTTGGAGAGGCCTGCCTAATGGGCTCTCAATAGTGGTAAAAAAAAGGCCTCCCTTGTTCTTGCACCGCACTCATAGCTCGTACCTCTACCACACCGCTCACGTGTACTTTGGGATACGATCGCAAGCAATCCTGTGTCCGTCTTTGTTCATATATATTTTGTAGCCCTTTACTGTGAGTGGTTTTCAGCCTTGACATAGGTGACTTTTATTTAAACAGTATCCATTGGCTGTCTCTGTTATTGGAAACTTTGAGAAGTTTTGTAGTTTTCTTCCAGCCCTAATGACTACCTGCCCGTCTGATTAGCAAGCTTCTATGTAGTGTTCTTGACATATGTTTTGAGTTGTGATTTTGTTTGTTTGTTAGAGTTTACAGTGATGTGCTACCTGCCATCAAACAGTGGATATCAGACGGTAAGAAGGTCTACATTTATTCATCAGGGAGTGTGGAGGCACAGAAACTACTGTTTGGCCACACTGACAATGGGAGCCTGCTGGAGGTATGTCAACGTCAAAGTAGAACCAACATCAAGGCCATTTTGTGATGACAGTTAAATAATGAGACTTCAGTGTTCAACAGTGGCTTGACATTTGTGTACTGCTTCCCCGTATCCTGCTTCCCCGCCACTTTTCTGAGCTTCTGATTTCTAGCTTTGTCCTCTCTGTGCAACCATCACATTGTGTGGCCTTCTCTGGGTTTTATGATGGATGACTTATTAAATACAAAATAATAATATACATGTACCGTAGTAACATCTTCAATAGATTCTTCTCTGACATTGTAACTATACTTCCTGTAGTTTATTGTTTAGTTCAGCCAGACGTTAACAACAAACCATGCCTGTAAAAGTCTGCCACATTTACCTGTATTTCTTTTGAAATTTCGCAGCTTTTCTCGGGATATTTTGACACCAAGATTGGATCAAAGGTGGAGAAGGAAAGTTACCTGAAAATAGCGGCTGAGGTTGGAAGTGAACCTGGACAAATTCTGTTCCTAACAGATGTCACCAGAGGTATTTCTTTGTACTATATTCTAGTGTGGTTTACTCTCCTTTGTCACTCCATAATGGTAACCAAAGACAAGAATATCAAATGCATTCGTGTGACCAAACTTGGTCACGTGACGGGTCACGTGAGGGCCTCAACAACACTAGTTGATAAAGACACCGTGATGGTGTCGCAAGCTCCTGATACGAGCTCTGTAACCAAAGTCTCAAAAAGGTATCTTTTATTTAATTGATATAATAATGGGACAGGAAACAAACTTTCATGCTCAATCAAATGCATTGTAAAGACATTGTACCAGTCAAAATGTTGCGATTCATTTCAGTAATAAATATGCTAGATTTGCTTGTGACAAAGTAATAACTGCTAGATACGCATAATGTGGCATATTTATTGCCTTTGTGAATACTTTTTATTAGACATTCTATCTCAGATGAAGGAAGTTCTGACAATTTTGTCTCCAAATAACAAAAAAAATGTACTTTTCGAGATATAAAAATATCGAAAAGGCAGAAGTTCTGTTTTTATGATGCATCACAATGAATAAATATTTGTCTTTATTGACATTGTTTGTTTTTGCATAATTAGAGGCACTACCAGCAAGTCAAGCTGGTCTGAAGACAGCGATTGTTGTGCGAGATGGAAACGCACCCCTGACAGAAGATGAGACGAAGTCATACCAACAAATCAAATCATTCAGTGAACTCTTACCGGATGACGGAGAACCACTGGAAAAAATACAGAAACAATGAAATTCAGGGATTTTTTCCCCTTTAGATCAAACTCTTATCTGAAAGCTAAGAGTTTTTTTTATATTTTTTATTGATAAAGATATTGAAATGTGGGCGTCGTTTTACGGTACACTCTGATTTGTTGTAGTTACAGGAAAATCTTCAGTATCATGGGTTCTGAAATTTCTGTCTTAATGATAATATAAGTTGAAATGTAATGTAATTAGATTTACTGTAATGTTTTTCTTTTGCCACATTATGTCTTACCAATGTTTAATTTTTAACCATTTAAGTTCATTCAATGCCTCTTTAACTGAACTGCTGGAACATGCAAGGTATGTAACCCATTAGAACTTGTACTATCAATTTTATTAGGTTTTACCCTTCACCAACATATAAACACTATATACTTGGTGTGCTACCTCCAGGTGAAATTGAGAGAAAAAATCACTTGGTGAGACTCAAAGCCATGACCCCCTGCTTTCTGTTACAGACGTCTTACTACTTGCCAACTTGTGGAATCGGTTGGCTGGTTCAAAACTTAATGAATCATCTTATGAAGAGAACTTGTTCTAAATTGTATTATGGTGTATTTATTTTCCTGAAGAATGCATAAAATCATGGAGTTATGTGGCAGTTTCAGGTGTTACAATAAAGAAATAGGCAGGGTGGTTTCAGGTGGTACATGGACTAATGTGCATAGTGCTTTATTGAAGATTGTGTTAACATTGGAGGAATGTGTTACATAGGAAAATGAAACTAAAAAGGGACAGTGTACATGGCATCTGATATCTTCACTGCTTGTGTAGATCTTGAGATGAATTATGCTTAGATTTTTTTTGCAGGAGATGTCTGCCAAGATGTAATAGTGAACTGTGCACACACAAAAACATTTTTACCCTTAAGTTGATAAGTTATTACACAAACTCCACTCACAGGACGATGTTAACAGTAGATACAGACCCAAAGGTTTATTGTACTACAATCCAAGTGATTCATACACAAATATGAAGTAATAGTAACACAGCAAATAAACCAACTAGTTCGTAAAATTACCGACTCGGTTCTGTATACAAAATTAGTTTCTTCTTTGTTTTTGAACAAATCAACCTTGAATTTAACCAAGCAAACACATCTCCTTTCATACGCATGATTCTGCTCTCACACTGCAGCGACGGCCGCATTCAACACATACAACTGTACAATTTGTGAAATTTCAATGACAATTTTCAAAATTTTTGCTCATAATTAAATGCAAATAAAGGAAACAAGCTAAATGACATGTTTGAATCAGGTATGCAGTGTCAAGTATTTATTTTTGGTTAATTTTTTATCTTTCAAATCAATGATGCAAAGGGAAAGATGGGAAGTAAATACTTCAAAATGTCGTCAACTTTAGGAGGAAAGTTAAAAAGTGAATCCTTGGTTACAAAAAAAATGACGAGGAAAGATGAGCACTAAACGAAACACTAAACTAAAAGTGAATTAGTTGTACATGTACTTGGTTTGTAGCATTGTTTGATTATAATAATGGTGTGAGCATCACCCTGTTGTATCTTACTAAAATCTGAAGAAAAAAGTTGATGCAAATATTTGCTTTCAAAAAGAAAATTAAAAATAGAAATGAATGGATTAAACAAAACTTATTTTTTCTGCCTGCTTGAACAATATTGAGCAATGCATACAAGACGTTTGGTGCTAGGGGAAACATGTGCAATACAGATATGTAAATGTTTTGTACGAAAACAGAAAAATCATAATTTGTGATGCGATCAAGCTAAATGAGTCGTTTGTCGACCCCGGTCAATTTTTTTATTATTACAGATTTGAGAAGAGCACAATCTCAGCATTACTGCTGTGAAAACCGCATGCTGATACCATCTTTAGTTCAAAAATTATGAAAGTCGGAACACCAAGAGATGTGATGAAGTGGCCCTATTTTGGCCTGAATCTCCAAATGCAAATTCCTGACAAACGACTCGTAGCTTGATCGCATCACACTTGTTGGAGGAACTATTGGACCAACGGGCTTACATACACACAAACGAATCAGGGCCGTTGTTTTGACCACTCGGCTTAACAACAAGGTGAAAATCAAAGTTTTTCATTATCTTTTCAATATTAATCCTAACATCACTGTACTTTTTTTCAATAAAATAGTCAAAAAAAGTTCTCTGTTATGCAAACTTTATTTGTAAACGATAGAACAAAAACAATATGTGGACCTAATGGGGTTGAAATTTCGTGGAAAGAATGGGGACAATGTAAACAAAAAATGAGTTTGAAATCACTTTCCTCTTCTCTTGTATTAGTGTTAAATACAGCCATACAGGCTTTATGCTTGGACTTACAGGTCTCTGCAGCCTAAATTACTGCATGTGACTCAGGGACAAACAAAAACAGGCACTAAAACATCTCTGTCACTGTAACATCATATTGTGTAGATACATAGCAGTTACTCAGGCACTAAACATAGAGATTTCAATAATACAATAAAAACAGTTGATTACGTAATCCATTATCCAACAACACTTGATGTGGAGTTATCAACCCTAAAACTCGTCAACTAAAAAAAAAATAATAAACTCATCGACCACGAAAATCATGTTAATACTCTTAGTCACCTCTTACTTTTTGAGTGAGAATTAACTCCCTAGCAAAGATAGCTTCCTACTTCCTCCAAACCAAACATTGAGAAAAAAAACCAATTACAGTTTCTTTGCAGTTCAACAAAATCAGGACATCAGGATCTAAAGTGGCTGAGCTGTACATTCTTAAAATCCAGGCATTCTGATACAGAAATCCATGTGTCAGATTTGGGTGGATTTGGGGTATGTTAGAGTAAAAATTGATAGTACCAAAAACTAACTAATGGCTTGTGATACTTTGTATTTACTCAAAAGAAACACTGAACACTGAGTGACTTATCCAAGTTTATCCTGAAACTCAGTGTTGCCTCAGTGAGTAATACTCACAAACACCGAATACTTGTTTCAGTTCAGATGGAACCCCTTCTCTTGAGTAAGCTCATCTGAGTTATCTCATACAGTAATGCTCACAATCACCGAGTGTTTGACTCAGTTGAGATGGAATCCCTTCTCATGAGTAGCCCCGAGTAATCTCTCTCTAAGAATCTCCTCAGTTGAGTACTCAGGCAGCTTGAGGTAATGAACACAGGTATTGACGGATGGATAAGTGCTGTCGTTAGCATCCACTTTCCGTACGATGGTCAGGCGTGGGTGCAGGTTAGCCAAGCCACCAGGAGGTAGGGATGAACAGCCTGTAGTGAACTGTAAGAAGGCTTTACGCTCATCGGGTGTAAGAGAAGCCATCACGTTGACAAAACGCTGGAATCCGGGACTGTTGGTTGATGGAATGGAAGGGAATAAGGGGAGGAAATACACATTTGAAATTGATTCTGTTCAGTGATGGTAACATAAAACACTTTAATAAACATCACTTTATTCTAGTACATTCTACAAGAAATCAACTCTTTTTTTTTATAGCTTTTTGTAAGTTCAGCAGTCTTCTGGTTTGAAGTTTCTATTCCATCATGTTTTTTTTTACCATATAATATCATATTTTGTATTAATTACAATCTTTTATTACTTCTCAACACAAATACTACTTGTTAACTGGTAAGTGCAAGCATCTTATTTCAAACACTCAATATTCCCATCATAAATTATGAGTAATGTCAAACTTAAAAGTACATCTCTCATTAAGAATGTGGCACACCCAAAAACCTTTTTGTAATTTCAAGTTATTCAATCCTTCTTCCCTGATCACAGATGCGCATTTGACTAGCCACTGTTTGGTGTTTACCTTTCTCTAGTGTATCCCAGTTTAGGATCCGTGTAGTTCAAGATGTCATCCCTGGTCCACATCGGTGCCTGGTCACCGCACATCATCGTCTGCAGCTCGGATGGAGTGAAGCTGTGTAGTTTCTCCATAGGAAAGACATCATCAAAACCCTCTGCAAGATGATATAAGAGACAATGACAGAGTCAGCAAATGACCTATCACAGTCTGAGGCCGTATCTGAATCACTAGGCCATGGCCAGGAATAACTCGCACATATATGGGAGCCACTGGCTAGCGGCTACAGCCACTTTCCATAGGTCTGTGTGTTATTGCTAGCCGTAGCCGAGTGATTAGCGGCTACAGCCACTTTCCATAGGCCTGTGTGTTATTGCTAGCCGTAGCCGAGTGATTAGCGGCTACAGCCACTTTCCATAGACCTGTGTGTTATTGCTAGCCGTAGCCGAGTGATTAGCGGCTACAGCCACTCTCCATAGACCTGTGTGTTATTGCTAGCCGTAGCCGAGTGATTAGCGGCTACAGCCACTTTCCATAGACCTGTGTGTTATTGCTAGCCGTAGCCGAGTGATTAGCGGCTACAGCCACTTTCCATAGACCTGTGTGTTATTGCTAGCCGTAGCCGAGTGATTCGGATACGGCCTGACACTAAGGTGACAAGGTGACAAATTGCTGCTACAACCTTGAACTCTTTACATTTAACTCTCTCCATATCAATCCTCCAAGATTCACTGTCATTATTCTTTGTACTAACTTTCAATGGGCATCAATATCCACATTCAATAACATTAACGGCTATAGGAGAAAGAACCAGGAAACTAGGGCCCTGGCTGGCAATCTGTCTCCAGTTGAAAAGTGATAAAATAAGGATAGAAGTAGCACAAATATTACAGACAAAAGACGGCATCAGAACGGACTATGGAAAGTCCTTGATGTATGCTATCAATGTGGGTTGGGTGTTTGTTATAGTGTCCTGTGGTGGGCGAGGTTTGCGCCTTGGATCTTACCTTTAAATGCTTCAATCTGTTTTCCTATCCCGGTGTGTAGACAGAAGTCAGTCACTAACTCAATGTATTCCTCAGCATTGTCTAGCGTCAAGAGTTCTTCACTGCCTCCTGGTTTGAGATCATAGGCTGAGTAGCCATAGATGCTGGACGATGGGCTAAACTGGAATGTCAATCTACAGGAATACCAGAGGAAAGGGAATGAGGGATTCCAATGTTAGGGGATGGTACATTTGAGGTGATTAGGACCTTGTAGCCTATGTCTAGACTGCAATGGACATTCTTGGCATAACCACTAGATGGCACCCTTTTGACTGTAGACTCTATGCACAAGTTAGGAGGTACTTGTCCACATTGCCTCCATCAACCAGGTACTCATGTGAAGATATGGGCTGGTGCACATGTGTACTTCATACCTTATGTGCCTGAACTAGTGTGTACACACAGTGTGAGCTCCTATGGAGCTCTCAGTAGTAAGCATCTACTGGTCATGCACAGAGTCTGACAATCAGATGTCTGCAAGAACTTTGCAGTGTGTCTAGATTGAGCGAAGGTTTGATATTTGTTTCATACTCACCCCAAGTCCTCAAGTCTCACAGGAGGTCCAAGCTTCGATTCCTCCTCCAGGGTCAGCATCTGAATCTCATTATTCCTCTCCTCTTCACTCTTAGACTTATCCTTCAAGATCTGTCGCTTCCGATCCACCAAGACTTTAAGCTGACGTAGGAAGTGAGCTCGATGAGGAGCTACTATTTCCAGATCATCCAGGGTCAGTAAGCCAGCAAACCAGGCCGGGGTACGAGGCTTAGGTGGGTCACCCATGATCAACTCTGCTTTAGATTCATACTCATCAATGGATAACTCAGAGATCAAATCATGGACATCATCTAAGGAAGCTTCTGACTGGGTGTCATTGGACAGCTCCGAGTCTCGGACTGAGGATTCTGGTGTAGTGAAGGCTGGCCGGACACCATTACCTGCCTCCCCCATACACATGAGCTTGAGGAAGGGACGGGAGAAAGGGAAATCTACAATGCGAGTATCCTGCAGGCACTTGGCTAGGAAAGTACCAAGAAAACGGAAGAGTTGGATAACACGATCGATGTCTTCGCTATCCTGGACTAATGGAGCTGGGAAGAGACCACAGGTACGTTGGATGTAGAAACCTCGTGGCTTCACGCCTTCACCAATGTCAACCTGTACAAAAGAAATCCAAACATTGATATAGAATCATCAGTACAACACACAAGGCATTGCTACATATGCCTTATCAACCAATGTTAAACATGTGCAACTATGTGAAGTACTACTTCAAAAGGGGAAATATTTCAGAAAAACGGTATATTATAGCACTCACTTAAGTAACCAAAAACATTTCAATCAACTTTTACCTCGTGTTTTATACACTAACACTATCGTATTTTGTGTTCTTCATAAAACTTAAATATCTTTTCATTTACTGTTTACTTCATTTACTTTTGCTAATTCCACAACTGTAAAGAAATAATGTTTTATTCCGTATAACTTATTCCAGTTTCATTATTTGCTCTATTAAAATAACTATTCAACTTTTTTCGCTTAAAGACGATTACCTAGAAGAATCAATTTGTTGTACTGACCTCTCTTGCCATATCATCAGGAAACTCATCATCACACAGCCACATGCCAAGACTCTTACGTTGTAACTCAGCAGCTACTAGAGCATAGAACTCTAGAGTAGGGCCTAGACCAGTACCCTCCTCACCCATGAACTCAACCTGAAGACAAGCAAAACAAAAGGCATCAAATATTGCAGGAATCCATAGACAAATGTTAGACCGGTTCATACTCGGTGCAAAAGCAAACTCCAATGCAAGTCTGGGATGTCGAGGCAGGTATTCACACTGTGAATTTGCACAGGTTGAACACATTTCAACTCTGAAGAATTGGCAGCACACGTTTCTTGTCATCATATTTGCTTTGCAATTGCATTTGCCTTTATTATGAATTTGTTCTTAGCCTTAGGTAAACAAATAGAACAGATTTGGGTCTTGAGCCAATACCACCTAAATCCATACAACCATACATGGTTTGGAGCTGTGGTAGGGTGGTTGAGGGCTGTACAGGGAATGACAGGTAGGGTGGTTTGGAATTTGGGGCTGTACATGGACATTATCATCGCAATTTCAACTAGTGTCTTTGGAAATCTGAGCATGGATGAACAGAGTGGTGAGGATAATGAATAACGACTCTGTCCATTCACCTTTAGATCTCCAAAAGCACCCTTAATAATCCAAGTCTGAATGGTGACCTGCTCAAGCTCAGCCAAAAATGTCTGTTTTCACACAATCTTTGATTGGCAGATCCATAAAGTTAAGCCTGTTCAAAACCCAACAGGAGTACATACCGGGTATGTGACCTGTCACAATGAAACAGGAGTACATATGTGACCTGTCACAATGAAACAGGAGTACATACATGACATATGTGACCTGTCACAATGAAACAGGAGTACATATGTGACCTGTCACCACGAAACAGGAGTACATATGTGACCTGTCACCACGAAATGAGTATGAAGTCAGAAATTATCGTTTTTGTCCATCTGTAAGTCCTGTTTTTCCCAATTGATTTATGTTCAATCAAACTTCTTTAAAACCAATTTTCATCCTGTTTCATCAATTGACAGTTCATTCACTGTTATCTGGCATGCAACTGGGAATTTAGAAAAAAAACGAGGAATTCCAAAGTACACAAGACTTTGTACAGTGTTTTTCCATTTGTAATGGCATTCAAGAGAAGTAAAAAGGAGGAAATCAGCGGATCAGAGGAAGAGTTGCATGCCTGTGTAATACAACAGCAGGATTTGTTAATGCTAGTTTCTCAAAAATTACTTTTAATTTAGTTGGTGGTCTATAAAGGGACATTGGGTCCTGGAACAGCCCAATTGGGCTACAAAACGTGCTTTGAATGAGATGATGTTTATCTGAAAAAAACGTTTAAAAGTAGGATATAAACATCCACACAACTATCCTTTCAAAACTGGGCGTTTTTGTGTTATTCCTGTATTATACGTGCGAGAACGAATTTCGGGGTCCACTTAGCGATCCCATAAATACAGCTGTTTGGATGCTAGTTGTGATTTCATTCGCAAAGTGTTCGCCTTTTGCGGACGTTGAAGAAACCACTTTTTTTTTGCATTGGTGATTGGTCACCTCTGTTCCCAAGACACACAACGTGTATATCGTACAATGAGAACGACATGAAAAATGTATTCGTACTCCGTCGTGTCTGATGTAAACAAGCAGGGTTTTTTTCGTCTTTTCTCGGGAACAGTAAGACATTAAGTTGGTTTCCTTTCAACCAGATGTTTGAAATAGGCTAAGTAAACAATCGAAAACATGAAATTTTCGGGGATTTCAGGACCTAGTGCCCCTTTAAATACCATTAGAAAGTTCTTGCTCTGTAGAATCCAGAAATTAAAATATATCATTTTGAGGTGAACAGTCAGATATCCTTTTCACTTTGAAAAGCAAAGATGATCCAACTGATTAGTACTAACCTCTAAGATAGACTTTCTCCTGCTGTGAAGTCTCATGACATTGACAGCCCATTCCAGTAACTGCTTCTCATTGCGTGGTACCTTGACTCGTTCATGCTTTAATCTGCCTACTCTGAATTCATGTTGATCATCCCGTCTAGTGCTTGGTGTGCGTACTCGTTCAGTGTTGGCATCACGTTTCTCCTGAAGCCAAGCAATAGCTCTGTCAAGGAACAAAAATGACACTTTAGTTTCTGGGGTTTATTACGTAAACTCTTTCTCTCCACTTTTTTTTTTTATAAATGTTTTTCCTTTGCCATGTGGGCTCTGTCAGTGGGCTCAAAACATTAAACCTTCCTAATATTTCAAACTGATGTAAGACAGTCATTCCAACTGACTTATCCATTAGGTCTCATTCACTGCTGACATGGGTAACAACAGATTTGCATCAAAAGCAAAGGCAAACATGTCACACTTTGTTGGACTTTGTTGGACATTGATCAAAGCTGTGATTGGTCCAAACATCATGGGGGCGGAGCTTAATGTATCAGTCTATTGGTATGCAGGTTGCGTTTACTTCTACCTGTAAAATGTCTGGTTTCCCTAAACTGGCTTCCCTACCTTTTCAGTCCTGACTTTTCAAAGCAGCAGCTTTTGTAACTTGACTTGAAGGCAACTATTCTTACCTGGAGACACCAAACGCTGTGCATGAGAAGAACAGATGTCTGGTCTCAAATGGGAACAGCATGGGGCATCGTTTGGTGAGTTTACCACACCAGCTGGGTAAGGATAGACTAGCTAGCACCAGTGGGTCCTGTAACAATCAATCAAATGAAAATGTATAAAAAATACTGTCAAAAGTTTAGTATCTGAGTCAGTTATGTTTCAAATGATTTTGAAGTCTTTTGTCCAGTCATTATCCTAAACTGTTTGAAGTATTTTGGCTAGAAAGCCTTGTCAAGGAAGAAACATACAACACTTTCCAACGGGCGAATCCTTGCTAGTGTAACGAGATCCCACAGGTCAACCATCGCAAGGCCAAACACCTGCCAAGTGTGAGCATGCTGGCCAGTGCAGGGTTCAACAGTTGCATTGGTCAATGGGATAACATTTAACTCCTATTGTCTGAGAATTGGCAGTTGATGCTGCTGCTGTTGATGACCAATGCAAGGTCTCTAGGATCGATACACATGTAGCAATCTGTTGTATTTGGCTGGCTTCAGATTAATAATATATATTTCTCATTCTGGAGATATACAGTCACCTTAGGAAGATCTAACAAAACATGGTTCACGTTTCTGACATTAACATGCCTCAAGTTTCTCCATTGGATCTACCAAAGCTTACCTGGACCTGTTGCACCAGTTTATTTGTTATCTTTTTACTGCAGAACTCATCAAGTGGGACATTGTAATAGTGAAAGTCACCACCTGCAAACAAAGACAAATGTGTGAAAGACTGAACCAGTCAAAAATGGGTACATTTTTATGACAAGTTTCGGACATATTCACATGATAGTTTGAAAGAACCATAATACTTTGGTTATCAATTCCTGTTTAATATACATTGTACGGTTGCCCTAATGGCTTTATAATAACTGTACCAAATACATACGATAATTAGATACCCAAATAATTCATGCAAACTGATCATCCACTTGAAATGTCTGTCAGTAAAGCTTCTCATTACATTTGACTGTATTTGTTTAATAGTTGAACAAAGAAATTGACTAGTGTGGCGTTTGAATCTATAAATCTCCGGATTGCCATTCCAGTGCTCTACCAACTGAGCTATCCAGCCCTATGTTGGCAGGTTCCCATTTGACAATGTCTTTGCTCAAGGGGTAATCAATTTTACGCTGATATATTTCAAGAACAAGCTCAAATAGCTGGTTTCCAATCAATTCTCCATCAGATTAGCAAGTCAACAACCAGCCAACCAGATGGCCAAACTAGGTCAGCTGAGCAAACTATGAGCAAACCAGCCAACTTTGCAACCAGCAAACACAAACCATCTACAATATGCTTACCTCGTAGACTGATACTGCTGACATCACTAGCTACTGTATACAGTATCCTAAGTAGCTGTAATACATCACTGACGGTAGAAGCTGAAGGATCAAATGGATTGGATGAAGGTCCACCACAATCAGTATCACATAGGAGATGACTGGATCCGTGTCTACTACGCTGGTGTGCTGGTTTGGCTAGACCTAGATGAACAAACTCCTGTGGAGGAAAGGGATGATTTACAGGTTACTTCAAGATAATTCAATGATTGCGATATAAAATGGTTTGTGATGTAAAAAGCTGTATCCTCTCTGAGTGATCCCGATTTGCTATTTCCTGGGTTTGCAGCATTGCTCATGTTGATGGCATCATGAGTTTGGGCATGATCCCTGGCTACATGGCATATATACAGCTGGACCCTGATAAGAAGAGCACGAATAAGCTATAGTCCATCATTTGCAGCCATCCGAAAAAGTAACTGGCGTATTATTGTTGAAAAACATACTTGGTTGAAAGATAGTAAGTGGACTAAACTCCCTGTGAAATTAATCTTTCTGGCAAGCTATCATTTTGAAGTAATCAACGAAAGAAGGCCTTTCCAACGGTGCGTCTTAAGACGCACCGTAGGAAAGTTTAAATTAGTAGTTCGTTTTGTTATTCGGCACAGCACGCAAGCATTGGCACAACGCACACGGTTGCTATAATTCGTCGGATCAGTGCGCGACTTCGCGTATAGCTGCAATTCAAAACAATTCAAAACATGATTCAGCAACTTTTGATTTGAAATTGAGATCGTAGAATGCTGTTTTTCTCTGAATATACAGCTGAAGCTGAGCTGAAACTTCATCAGGTTAGTTGTGCAGTATCCTTCATTAGATTTTGAACACTTTTGTTGCTTCAAACGAACAAAATGCACAAATTACAAATGATGGACTATATCTTTAATACAACATACTGCTTATAACAAGCAAACTTTTAGGTCCCAAGTCTTTGTTTTTCTTTGTTTTCCATTACTGTTAATACAAGGTACCTGTTATAACAAGGTAATTTGTAAAGTACCAAGGACCTTGTTATAAAGGTGATCAACTGTACGGGTTTATGGCTTCTGACTAAGAACTTTGAACAAAGACATTGACCAACTGGGGTTTTGCCAATATGGGGATGCACAGCTGAGTTGGTAAGTGCCGGGAGGGTTGTAGAGATCGCAGGTTCAAACCCCGCTCCAGTCAATTTCTTTATTCAATTTTATAATTATATAAATACATAAATGTTGCAAGTCAGTTTTGCTTTTGTGGTTTATCAGAAGGCTAGAAAATAAAACTGTTAAACACAATTTGAAAGAAAATAATTTGTGACTGTTTTGATGCAAGACTGGGGTTTTGATCTCTGATGAACTCTGACATGATGTCAACATTATTTACATATATTTTTCAAAAACACGAGAGGCGATGCTTGTGATTGTGGTTATGCTACGAAGTGAAATAGGCCAATCAGACAACAAGAATCATTATCATGATACACAGCAACCGATGAAATCACAGAAGCTCAGAGGTTAATGCCTGCTCTCGTTTTATAACTCAGGTCTCCAATCTAGGTCAAAATATTATCAATCTTGACTCGTGAAAATGAAGCTATATTCTTAGTATAAGATGTTTGACATTCTAGCCATTGACTCCTAGCTCCTACCTTGTATGCAGCTATAAGCTGAGAGCAATTCCTTGTCTTGCGAATATTCTTAGCTGCTCCAGACAGTTTCCAACGTCTTAAGAAGTTAGCATCTCCGTTGAGCTGTAAGTAGGAGATCAGCTCAGTCTTAGGGAGCTGATCTGAGCCTAGATGCCGCTCCACAAATGGGATGGACCATCGACCCTGCAAAAGAGTAACATTTTCAACATGAAATTGTTTGCCATTGTAAAGATTTGCAACATTTGATAAACACACAGCTCTTGTGCTTAACCATGACTATAGTATAAGCATATTTTTCTGAAGGCAATTTAAAGGTCTACTGATAACTTTCCGGGTGCGCTACAAAGTGACGTAGTGTCTAAGGACTTTGTGCACATGATGGAGGATGTGTTTATCACTGATATGCACACAATAAGAAGTGCTATATACCTAGAGATTTGGAATGCATGTGTAAGGACAATAACAATAGCATGCAGACATGTTCATTTGGAAGATATTATATATTGTATTAAAAATTGGTTTAAACCCTCTAACACCTACACATTTCCAACCTCATGAAAAGAGACTGTAAATCTCCCTATACATGGGAAGATATCAAAATTGATTTGATGGGGCCAGACTTACCTCTGTGTTCTGGGTGAGTGACATGGATGCATCTCCCTATACATGGGATGATATCAAGATTGATTTGATGGGGCCAGACTTACCTCTGTGTTCTGGGTGAGTGACATGGATGCATCTCCCTATACATGGGATGATATCAAGATTGATTTGATGGGGCCAGACTTACCTCTGTGTTCTGGGTGAGTGACATGGATGCATCTCCCTATACATGGGAAGATATCAAAATTGATTTGATGGGGCCGGACTTACCTCTGTGTTCTGGGTGAGTGACATGGATGCATATCCCTATACATGGGAAGATATCAAAATTGATTTGATGGGGCCAGACTTACCTCTGTGTTCTGGGTGAGTGACATGGATGCATCTCCCTATACATGGGATGATATCAAGATTGATTTGATGGGGCCAGACTTACCTATGTGTTCTGGGTGAGTGACATGGATGCATCTCCCTATACATGGGATGATATCAAGATTGATTTGATGGGGCCGGACTTACCTCTGTGTTCTGGGTGAGTGACATGGATGCATCTCCCTATACATGGGATGATATCAAGATTGATTTGATGGGGCCAGACTTACCTCTGTGTTCTGGGTGAGTGACATGGATGCATATCCCTATACATGGGATGATATCAAGATTGATTTGATGGGGCCAGACTTACCTATGTGTTCTGGGTGAGTGACATGGATGCATCTCCCTATACATGGAATGATATCAAGATTGATTTGATGGGGCCAGACTTACCTCTGTGTTCTGGGTGAGTGACATGGATGCATCTCCCTATACATGGGATGATATCAAGATTGATTTGATGGGGCCGGACTTACCTCTGTGTTCTGGGTGAGTGACATGGATGCATCTCCCTATACATGGGATGATATCAAGATTGATTTGATGGGGCCAGACTTACCTCTGTGTTCTGGGTGAGTGACATGGATGTATCTCCCTATACATGGAATGATATCAAGATTGATTTGATGGGGCCAGACTTACCTCTGTGTTCTGGGTGAGTGACATGGATGCATCTCCCTATACATGGGATAATATCAAGATTGATTTGATGGGGCCAGACTTACCTCTGTGTTCTGGGTGAGTGACATGGATGCATCTCCCTATACATGGGATGATATCAAGATTGATTTGATGGGGCCAGACTTACCTCTGTGTTCTGGGTGAGTGACATGGATGCATCTCCCTATACATGGGATGATATCAAGATTGATTTGATGGGGCCAGACTTACCTCTGTGTTCTGGGTGAGTGACATGGATGCATATCCCTATACATGGGATGATATCAAGATTGATTTGATGGGGCCAGACTTACCTCTGTGTTCTGGGTGAGTGACATGGATGCGTCCTCTGGTCTCAGCTCTCGGTAAACAACCCTGTTCCAAATAATGAACAAATGACAATTAGTACTAAGCTATTCTTTTGTATTTCTAAAATTATATCTTGAAATCTAAGTGAAACAAAACTAAAAACATGTCTCACTAACCACAAGAATGATCTTTTTGGTTGATTCCTCTGTAATATTGTTCAACCTGGAAAACAGGTTGAAAGAGAAACAACTGATGCTGACTGAGTGTTTCTTCTTCTTTTTGTGTAATTAAATCAAAACAAGCTTTAATCAAACAATTGTAAGATAAGACTTTGCTTATGACACCAATTATATCAACATTTGTTTCCAGTCAGATCTAGTCTTTTTACATTTGACTGGTACCAAGACTGCATCTAACCAAGATCCCTAAGCACTCACGTATAGGTAGGTTCCCATATACGTCTGAGTTTATCCTGTTTAGTACCAGCCGGCGTGTGTTGGTATAGCATCTGGATGTACTTGAAGACTGTAGAGTTAGGATCCTCACAAAATACCTCAGTCTCTGGAATCTGTACATGAAATTGATTATACAAATTCAAATTGGGATATGTATCGATGACTTCAAATTGACTTTCAGATGGCAGTTTCTCACTTCATCAAAGTTCTCATTTCTCATTTGATTTAATCAAATTTGGTTTCAATATGAACAAGAAATCTGAAACTGTATCTCAACCTGTACTTTAACAGCAGCCTGCAGAATCCAACAGTAATTGAACTGTAACAAGTTCTGCAACTCACAGTAACTGAGAGGTAAAACAAGACAACTTCTGTCCTGCATTGTTTAGTTCATTTAAGTGCAGTTTCAGCATGGTTGGAGTTAAAGCACAACAAACAATTTAGCTGGGATGAAAGCCTGTAATGAACAGCGCACACTTTTCGGAACGTTGAGTGTACATGGGTTCTTCTCAGAACTGAACATTACTCACTGTGAGTGAATGCTGCACTGTGTCACTGTAAACATCCACTTACAGCTGAACCTCCTCATGTACACCTTCAAATCTAATAAGCTTCTGAATTGGGAGTTGGCTTACCCCAGGCAGTCCTGGTCCTCTGATGAAGAGAGCTAGATGAGGACAATGAGTAGAATCGCCTTCGTCTCTGAAGGAGGTGTCTGGAGAACCTGTCAAGTAGAAACAGAAACAAACTATGATTTCAAGGACTTACAAGCTATGGTTCCAAACCAATTTTTTCAAAGATAAAAACTATTGATGTTTGTGTCAAAGAAGTTTGTAAAAAGGTTACTTATTTGGGACATTTACAGATGCACCATGTGAAATGACTAACTCAAAAAAACTGTAGGTCTGTTTTTTTTTTATCAGAGTCCGAGCACACTGGCCTATACGTTAATATAATGCCTACTGATTTCTTATTAGAAACACACTTCTCCACGCGTCGGTCCTTCCACATGGTATTACTGTCATTTTTGTGAAAGCTTTTTCCAATTTCTATTCTCAATCGTGAAAAGCTTCAAATCACATTTTGGTCTTTTAATGTTGTGGTTATAGACTCTGTGCACAAGGGTCCTCTCAATGATTGCAAACAGAGAGTTGGGACAGACCACTGGGAGGGGTCATAGACACATTAATAATGCTCCTCTGAAGACACTACGGCTTTGTGCACATTCACAATAAATGAATCTTGCGTACTTTACGCAATACGCACCTGCACAAGTGTGCGCATGCGATGTCCCTCTCACTGGAGATCGTATGAGTGCTGGCAAAGTGCCATTTATTGTTCATGCATAGAGTCCATACTTTGTTCCTTTTCCAATGATCTTAACATACAGGGCACATACCTGGAGGTGGGATTTCAAGGTCAGTCGTTTGCTGGACATTGGTCCTTCCTGGCCGAGGGTCAAATGCTGGCACCAGGGCTGAGAATTGTCTCTTAAGGACATGTTCATCATCCCAGGTACGTCTTCTGCTGCCTCGTGGATCATAGTCTTCCTCCTCCTAACAAAGACAAAGAGTGCCTCCATCTTAAGAATTTGCGTTTTTTATCATGTTTTGACACTTTTCTTACAAGAAAATGTCTAGTTTACTAAAATGATCTTGATCTTCAAGTGGTGCAGTGGTCAAGTGGTGCGTCGATCATATCAACTGAGTCAAACATAAGCACAGTACAGTTGACTTTTCAGTACATTTTACTTGACATTTAGCTTGTGACTAGACTTGAGACTGGCTATCTTATAATTGACTTACGATGAATTGTGATTGACTTTTGTTGACCTGTAGTGACTTATGAGAAGTTTTAAGCTTGTTGTTTTGACTTGTGATTGTATTGTGATGCCTTGTGATGATATGTGAGGATTTGTAAGCCTTTCAGGACATGTGATTGCCACCTACCGTGCAATCCTCATAGTCATCCCCTTCACTGTCATCTTCATTTTCATCATCCAGCTCCTCAGGCTCAGGACAGAACTCTTCATCCTCCAGCTCAGCCAATAAGGAGCTAGCTCGGCAATTCTCAAGGAACTCATTATCACTCTCGCTAGAGTTGGAGGTCATACTGGATGCTAGGACTGAGCTGAAGGTGGAGGCAACAGTAGCTGCCGTAGTGCTACTGGTTGTGTTGGCTAGAGACGTGGTGGCTGGCAGGTTGGGAGCACTCTGAGCGCTGCTAAGGAAATTACCTAAGGGTGGATCAAAGAGGTACAAGTGATGTGAGACAGTGTTGTAGTGGTGGATAATGCAAACATCACAAGTCCGGTCATAAGTAAATCACAAGGTCATTCACAAGTGCAGTCACAAGTAACGGGGGATGAACAATAACAAAAAGAATACAAATTGCTTGTAAGTACCTCAACTACATTACTGATGTTAAAGAGGCTACCTGATTGATAACAGACTGAATTGGGACTGAATGACTTGTAATTGACTTTTTAAGAATTGTGAGTCATCACAAGTACTTCAACTACATTACCGATGTTAAAGATGTTAAAATCTGATTGATAACAAACTTCGCTTCAGTGTGTATCATATCTTGCTCACAACTAAAAGTTACTTTAATCAATTGCCTTACACTGAAATTCTACAATGCTGCCGTGCTCACAACAGAAGCATTATTTGTCTTAAATCTGATTTTAATAACATATCAAATTCATGTCAACTTAGTTACTGCAGACTTTGTCTACAGCGGCTATTTCTTTGAAATTATCCCATCTCAAACACTTTCTCTAGCACAGTGGTGTCAACCAAAGTAACAAAGGGATCAGTAAATTTTCTTGTCAATCCTCTCAGATGTATAAGTTTGCATTATGATTTCTAAATCTTGACATGCATGTGCCAACAAGTACGCAGCAATCGAGACATGCAGACAGCTCAATTCATTTGCTTCATGTCAGGGATAGGTGGAAATCCTTACATGGAAATGATTAAACAGGGATAGGTCTATATAATGCATATCGTATGACTTCTTCTGGAGAAAAACAATGCCAAAATTTAGAAATAATCTAACATTTTCATTTTATTTGATATTTCATTGTGAATTATTTATGTCTAAAACTTCTATCCATAAACCTTATTTTTTTCTCTCATTAGCATAAACTAGGACATTTTCACTGATCAATTTGACAAGGAAAAGTTCTTCAGAAAAACAGATGTGCATTGCTTTCTGGTTAACCTGCCAAGAAGAGCTGAATAGCGTTGGAATAAATAAACACAATAGCCTGAAAGCCCAACTCACTGCTAGAGAGTCCAGATGAGAGAGGAAACCTTACAAAGCTGGAAGCAAAGTTAGTTCCTCTGCCTGACAGCACGGTATTACCACTACCACCGCTACCACTACGACGCATCAATGCTGGGAACGATTCCATCAAGCCAGCCACAACATCACGCGTACTAGATAGGTTGGGTACACTAACACTCATGCTGCTAGATGTGCTGCTACTAGTGCTGTTAGGTGAGCTAGTGGTGGAGGCTGGGGTACCTAAGCAATGTGGAATGGGGGAATAGGAATAGGACCGGGAAATAGCATCAGGATCACATTGCTTGCTTGTTGGGTTTGAAGTGCATTCAAATGGTAACATTAGCTTCACAATGGGTGCGTTTGTTGCTTACTAGTAAAAGCAGAAGTTCTGGTTTCATTTGGTTTGAAATACACCTGACAATGTTGCCCATTACTCAAGATAGCATTCAGCGACAGAAATCAGTGGACAGCCAATGTTTGTAAATGACTGTCACCTTTCTTGAAAAGCTGTCATGTAACTGATCAACTTTCGACTTTATTACAAGAAACCATTGTTCAGGTAAGATTTGTAAACTTACAGTAGATGAGTTAGAAATGCAGCCATAGTTAATGTTTTCAAAGCACATTCTCCCAGGGGGAAACTGTGCACATACCAGACAAATGATTGGAAGACTTTGTATACATCAAAGGTTAAGAACTTCTGAATCTAACATGTGCTAAGAGCAAACAGATGAACATGCACAACATGACATGCACCTTCACTCCAAACTCTGGCAACAATTCCAGCAAGAATTGCTAGCAATCTTCATATGCAAGACTTTCTTTTACATTTGGGGTCAGCGTTTGTGAGGTATCAGTGGTGGCAAGCAACAACGCCATGCTAGTCTAAGCAGAGCTTTCAAGCCAACTCAGTTAGCTCTGCACTAGGTTTCAAACTTTCCATGAAATGTCACAATTTTCATTGTTGATTCTTTGAACTCTCCAAATACATGAAGTTTCACTCAATAATGCATTGACTTTGGATAACAGTATAAATAAATTTAAAAAATATATACATACATGTAACATAAACAATGTGAGAATATAAAATTTGCAATTAGATACTGGTCCATTAATGAGAAAGAGATGTGACCTGCTCCCATAAAATATAAGTCAAGTTGGTAAGAATTGCTACTCAATCGTTTCAAGTACTCAATGCCCTTCATTAAACTCTTTTAAATTCCCAGATTTCTCTCACATTTCAAATGATACAACTCCTTTACCTAATGATATTAATTCTCATTATCTAATTTTTCTAGTTTGGGTTTTGCCCTTCACCGACGTCATTCCATAAGCACTATGTAATCACAGCTTGCGAGACAAAATTCACAAGACTACTAGCATGAGACTCCAACCTATTTCTGCAATTGTCATTTTGTGGGAGAAAGTCCCGAATGGATAGCAGAGTAGAGTCTGACCTGTTGCAGGTGGGGGTGGAGGGGGCTGCAGCTTATTGGCTGCGTTACATTCCATGGTTGCCGTAGCAGCTTGTTCCATCTCAGCAACCAGCTCTGGACTCTCAGCAATGTCTTCAGCACCGCTCAGACGACTGCCTCGCATGGACATGAGGGCGCTCTCTACCATAGAGGTTGTCATGGTGATATTGGCGGTCAGGTCAGAGGTGGAGGCATGATCCCGATCTGATCCAGACAGACAATAATATTGTAGATTTGCTATCTTTGGATATTTTCAGAAGTCTTTACCTTTTTTTAACCATAAGTAATCAATACTTTTCCCCTTTCAAGAAAACCAAAATCTGAGACTTGTCCACGACTTTTATGAAATAGTTTCTTTCAACTGGTATTTTACTATGGTCAGTTGTAGTGTGCTTGCAGTCACAATGTTATATAAAGCTGGTTTTATATTCCGTTTTCCTTCCTTTTTATGAACCCTAGATATTAATAAGAAGTTTTGTCAGACCAAGATAACATGAGAAGAATAGAGCACTTATTCACAACTTGCTAGAGCCAAAGTTTGGTTGTATCTATGAAGGGCCTACCTTTAGAAGTTGTCTTGTTAGTCCCTGGCATGGATTCATTCAGACTTGGTGTAGAGTTACTCTTCCTGCTGACAAGGCTTGTTCCTGACACCCCTCCACTACCCCCAGTAGCACCTACTATAGATCCTTTATCTGTTGGTGTCTTATCTCCTGAACGTGAATGGCTGGCTGCACTGGCTTGCTTGCTACTAGCGGCTGACAATGCTAAGAAAACACAAGCATTCAAGTGGTACATTATTGTGTTTAAAAAAAGAAAGGAATACCCAAATAATTCAGCCACAGCCAATCTGAGCCTAACACTCTTGAGTACTTTACATCAAGTCTAGTTCCTCACCTTCTCTGTGTTCAGCCAGCATCACTCCCTCCAGTAACTGAGTCTCCTGCTCCCTCCATTTCCAGTCCATGCCCCGCCCCCTACCGATGCCACTGACCATCTGACGTAGGACTTGAGAGCGCATTAGACGACGCTGCTTACGTAGGCTGGCTTCTGTCTCCTTAGCAGCCTTGCCTGCCATACCAGCGTTGGGTAAACAATGAAATGAAATCATCATTAAAACCAAGTGAAGCAAACTTCTAAGACAAAATGTTCTCTTCAATGAGCAATTGACTGACCGACTCAAAGCCAGCTATGACTGGAGGTGTGTCTGACAGATAGTATTCTTCCTAACCATAAATTCATTGGATACTCAGTGATACAAACTTAGATCCAAGAAGTAGCTTTAATAATGAAGGTACTTACTACTTCCTAGTGATTCCTCTACAGCCCCAGTCACCGTTCCGTACAGCTCAAAGCCAGACAGTGATAAGTAGTGTGTCTGTCCGCTAGCGTTCTTGCCTGTCTGTTGTAAGCGGACGTAACGCCATCCTTGCTTCTCATCTTTGGAGGGTTCTACTGGCCATGTCGCAGTCGAACTGACACCATCAAGTGAACAAAAATACAATGTTAATCCAAATCTGTTCTCTAGAACTACTGTTTAAATTGGGATGCTCGTTGTGGATATGGCCTTAGTTAAATGATGGGAGTGTGGGAAATATGGAACACGTCGCTATTAGTGCACATGCATAATTTACATCACAATTCAATTAGTAGTCAACTAATGGCCCAGATCAAACATGAAAATAATGTGTTGGGAACTCCTCCCAGTAGAAAGGGTGCATATTCAATATTGGGATGGGTAGTAATCAAAGTGGAATATTCAAAGTGTTCTGCGATTTTTCCTGAAACACAAACTGCTTACCCCGGCTCATTGAGCGAGCTATCATCAGCATGAGTCATCAATGTCAACCAATTCTGATTATCCTTAGAGACTTGAAACAGCCAGTTTCTGAGCGCTGATCTGCCGTAGCCTCTAGCATGACGGAGAGTGTAAGCTGAAGGGACGACCCATAACCCAAGGTCAATGGAAAACCAGGCTTTCCTTTTGGATAACAAACAAATGGATAGAAGTTATATCATGGTGTTCAATTGTGAACATTTAGTGGTTGAGAAACTGTTCACATGACATACATTGTATTTCAAAAGCTGATTTATAATGACCTCATGGAAATCACCTCATTTTCCTCAGATACATGAACTTGATCTTTTAATTATTTTCGTCTGCACTTTTTTTTGTGCTAGAATAAACCTAGCCCCAGTCTATGGCCAGTCACTGGACCAAACTCAGTGCCTTGGCAATAACTACATACATACATACATACGTACAAAAATATCAAAATCATTCAGCCTGATGTTCTGCATACGGGTTCACTACCCTAAGAATTCACTTTTTTTCTCATAAATTACAAATCCCCCTTTCTCCTTTTGGTGACATTTGCCTCTTAAATTTCGGTTGCACAAAACCATCATTGGGCAGCTTTGGGATGAACGTTAAGAAGCAAACTTCACCAGAAGGAAAAATAGGTGAGTTTTGTCCAACGATTGGACCCTGAATATACTCTGATGTTACCCAGGGCCTTCCCATGTCAACACGCACAACCACATGCATGTCAACACAGACATGCATTATAAGCAAAGACCAAAGCATTTGTGAGCTCTTGTGAATCCGTACAGAGAATGCCCAAGGCAAACAGTGTGGTACTCACTTATCATCATTGGTGTGACAATTCAAGGCAGAAGTGTCTCGACTCAGAATGTCTTCCAGTCGTCCGTAAGGTAAGGTACGTCCCTCTGAACAGTTGACTACTACCAGGCCGTACTGGGCTGGGTTGACCCACTCATAGCCAGTTCTGAATGGGATAACAACAGATTAACATTGGCATCAGTCAAAGGGAAATACATGTAGGGGAAATTACAGGAACAGGGAAAAATGTCATCATCATACGGACAGTCAGAGAAAGCTTCACTTTGAATCTCACCCACAACTAAACAATCACAGACAATACAATACCCCTCGAACCTCTCGGCTGAGGGTTAATGACTGCTAACTCTACTGCCCAAATGGTTTTTCTGGGCCAAAATCAAAATAGAGAATAAATCTTTCACAGAAACTGGAGATACTGATCCTAGTTTAATAACGCTACCCACCAAGTTTAATAACTTCCACCACTGGGGAGACAAAACTCACAATTTGACATGACTTAATCAATTGCAAGCTGGTCTCTACAAAGTGCTACATTAAAAAACTTGTCCTAGTCTTGATTCCAGACTATAATCCTAAGCCCTGCAGCTCACTGCGCACTGATGTGCCTAGTCTGACAGAATGCATAAAGATCACAGAGCAAGAAATCATGAATGAATTACTTTGCATTGGTGCCAACCCAGTAGATGATTCCATTCTCATCAAAGTCATGAGTGTGTCTGAAGGTGACTGAGGAGCCTTCTTTCATTCTCTTGACAAAGGCAAAGCTGGAACGCTCGTAATCATACCACTGCTTAGCAACCTGAGGTAAGACAAACATAAAGAGAGGACAATATCAGGTTAAATAGTACAAATAAAGCCCAATTCCATGTAAATCGCACTTTAAACTGCAGAATATCGCACTTACATGATCATTATTCTGTGCTTACAGTGTTATCACAGAAGATATGTGCTTATCATGAAAGGACAGAATACTTAGTGCTGGTACAGTGGAATCCGGCGACCAGAATCAGAAGCTTTTACTGCAGTGGTGTCACGCTTGCGCGCATGCTGCAAGGGTTCTTAAAGATGAGGTACACACGCATTTTGGTATTCCTATTGGTCAAAGGAGCCCGAAGCGCGTGCCCTCTACCTGAGTGCGATCGCGCAAGCCTTTTGCCACGGCAGAAAATGGCTGACGCCAGATTTGTCTATTTACACAGCAAGAAAAGTCTACTTTTCTGCTCACTGGTAAAATCCGCAAATTATTAGCGTAGAATTTCTTACTATAATTAATAACGATTCTTTACTTACTTTATTAAAAAGCAGAGCTATAAATTTTAAGCTACTCACATGTAATCTCAAGAGTAAACACCCTTACACCCAACTCCCATTCATTGATCATGTCCACCATGCAAACCCTTAATTCTTATTTAACACCCTTACAAATATATCTTGCCAAATAATTTTGTTTTCCCTAGAGCAATGGGTTCGCTTGCTAAATTTCTGTCCCTGATGAAGCATTTTAGCCATTTGTTTATTGCTAGGAGTAGTTTTTCAAGAAGCCATCAGGCGATTGTACAACACATGACTCATTTGATGTACCATTTTCAGGAGATATCTCTCAAGGCTTGCTACAGTAGTAAGTGGTTCCATCTTGAGTGTACGACCGGTGCGATCAATCAAGGAGGTTTCCCCAGATGCCCTCTCTAGACGAAATCTTAACCTCCTTGTCAACACCTGCATGAAGAAACAACAAAATGATGAAGCTGTGTCATATATGGACGTGACTGATCAATTTTCTTTGAAAAATTATACACCTAGACACTACTTTTATTTCTCTGTTACGTATTGTCTTTAAACAAAATATTTAATGTTTTCAATTTTCTTGACTAATAGGTAATTGACTGTTGCTTGAGACAAAGATCTATTATAGATTGCCTGACTGTGTTTGTTAAGAGGAGATGGTTTTATTATTTGAAATTGTAGAACTTTTCAAATCTTGTGTGTGTTATGTAATTTCAACAAGCTTGTTCTAGACTTTTATTGAGCCATGTACCTGTAATCCATAGCTGGATCCTGGCGTATCATACAGAAACATTGGAAGTCTCTCAATAGATTCAAGGACAGCAACCAGCTTACGCACCAACATGACTGCAGGAGTCACCATGCTGTGTTGGGACAAGAAAACACATGGAATGATGATATGTGATGTAAGATATCATTTGTAAGACGGGTTTCACCAAATTGCCTACAAAGTGTTGGTGATAGGAATTATGGGGATACTTTTCTGAGAAAATACACTAAAATAATTTCCTAGTCGGGTGCTTTGACTTTAATCTTTAATCCTTCAAAATCCATAAGCGGAAGGTAAGACCCCAAACACTTACTTCACACAAGACTTGATGATTCTTGAATGTTGAAAACGTTTGGAAGGATTTACATCAGTCTACTAAGTTTACCAGCACAAGGTGTACCAAGTAAGAGAGAAAATTAGAAAACTCAAGACTGTGAATTATATTCCAACTCTTTGGATTTGTCTTGAATCTGGAAGTTGTAGGTGAACAAACACCTGTTGCAATGCTTAGGACAGGAACACTCAACCTACCCTTGGTCATCAGTGGTGTCTCGGAACGCCGCTTTGAACAGGCTAATCCTTTCCCTTAGATGTCTGTCATGACATGCAACATGCTCAAAACCCTGAAGCAAAGAAAGAGTAATCAGGTACTTTCAAATTGCAATAGTGAAATCCTTTGAAATATAACAAAACATCTCCTAAGTATTACTTTAACAATGCTATTGCCAGCACAGCCCATTCATGCCACATACGCTTCATTAGAAAAACAAAACAAATGCTACAGCATTATGATGCTATCGTGGGCCACATTTCATGGAGTGTACTTTGAAGATTTGTGCTAAACTTAAATTATATCAGAACCTGTCACCAACGATATAACCTACATTTCACTGAGCCTGGTAAGTTTTTTTCAATTAAGCACATTATTTCTGTTTAGCAGGGTTTCTGTGCTCAGCTGAATGCCAGGTATAACTTACATTATTAAGACAGTACAGCAAGGCTTGCACCAAACCACTGCTATGAAGCTCATAGGCGGAGATGTTGTTCTCATCCTTCAACAGGAGAGTCAGGGATTCTAGAGTAGTCTTCAGTAGCTCAGACCAGCTGTGTTCTCCTTCTGTTGGCTGGGTTCAAGAAAAAGAAAACACAGAAGAATTACTTGTGATGGACTTGTACTATGAAGTCAACTACAACAATGCTTCTAGTAATCTATGGATAGAGGGTTAGGTTTGTATGATGTCCACATTGACGGTTCTAACCTTAGATAAGTCTCCATGCATCTCACAGGCTTGTTCTATCTGCTGGACGATGGAGTGAAGCTTGGCTACAATGTCACGAGGATGGGACTCCGCTGCTTTGAAATGACAATCATACAACTCACGAGCTAGATTCTTAACCTAAAAGGTCATGGCGGAAAAGAAATCAAAATATGAAGTTACAAAACATGAAGTTACACTTGCGCTGGTGGGATAATGAATTTATCTTCAAGCAAACTTGACACACTGTAAACTTGGAACAAGCACACTGTACACACACTTATTAGCGGTTATCTGCGTGAGCAGTAGGAATGGCGTGCACATCTTGGAATAGCGTGATATGCAGAGTGCAGTAAGGACCGTGATATATTGGATAATGTAGCACAGTTTGTTGCCATGGATCAACCACTCAGCATCGAGGATTCAAGTTTGCTTGATGATAATATTCCATAGATGTCTCCACTTGTGTTTCTTGTTGACAAACCACAAGCCTAAAATAAATGTATTTAAATAATAGCTTCAACAACTAATAAAATTCCAGAGCTTAGGCATAAAGACAATAAGATTTGTGGCTTTTACCACTGACCTTTTGTTTGACTTGTTCCACCTTGGAGCGTAATCTCTTGCCTCGTTTGCCAGTCCAGCTTGTAGAGAATTCAGGTCCTAGAGACGTCTCAGCAGTGAAGGTGTGTTTAGTGCCACGGTTGGACTCAAATACAAACCCAGCCAGATCCTCACGCAGTACGGTTGCCTAGTCACGAACAAGATTCTTCAGATAAACTGGGGTCTACACTGTAGTTTGTCTGTTATAAATCTCTTACTACAAATCCTCTGATTTGTTTGTTTTCATTTTCTTGATGACTTAATGTAATATGGCTGAACAGGCCAGTTGTGTTGCTCTCAGTTTGTGGTGTGTGTCCAATTAGTGCTACGCTTTCTCGCGACTCTGAAATTACTGTATTAAATCTAGAATGAATTTGGCCTTTCTATCAACATTTCTAATCTCTTACCTGTTGTCCATCTGAGTTGTGTACGATCACTTCACCATCTTTCTTACACTGCAAGGCCCAGTTGCCGACTACTAGCTTAGTAGGCCCAACACTGCTCAGGATGGGCTGACTGCATGTACCAGCTCTCACCTGGCTTCTGGCTCGCTGTAGCTTCTCCAAAAACTCTCCACGACTCTCTGAAATATACATATCAGAAAAAAATTGCATCCCGTTTCAAACGCAAAACATCTCTTTTCTTTGCACAGTTCTTTACGTCAACCATCAAACTAGTGATGTAGTAATTCTTTTGTGATATGTAATTCCTCAGTGTAAGGCACTAATGGAGGTGAAAAAAAAATCAACCTTTTAAAGAGGGTGTTGATCATTATCTTGATTTGAATCTAACACTATCCACTCTCATCAACATCCAATTCAGCTTCCCAAAAAGAAAAGAATTATGGGAAGGAAATTCAAGTCAGATTTTATCCAGTCCAATATTATGTGAGGAGAAGTCAAATTGCAAGACATTGGAGAAAAGGTGTGAGGGCAACTACTCAAAGCAATCAGTGTGTGAGACCTCTGAATTGAGGGGGGGGGGGGGAATGTTGGAAGGGGAAGGCAGACGTTGGGTACCTATCCTACCTGAGCTATCACAGCCGCCCTCAGGGCTCCCACTGGAGTACATAGTAGCCAGTTTACCATCCAGAATAAACCTGAACCAGCCATTGCTACCGTTAGATAGCTCCAATGCAGCAGCGTCGCTCCATATATATAAACAATCTCTTCCTCTAGCCATACACCAATCCTTCCAGTGATAGGGACGACCGGCAACTATCTCTTTAGCATCTTCTAATTCTTGGTCTCCCGACTCCTGAGAACAATACAAGGCCAAACCATTATATTGGATCATATCAGGAGGACTCAAATTAAAATAGAAGTACATGTTAATTGGATTTTGTTAAATTAATCAGTTACCTCTCAAAATCAAACAGAATCTGTGGATGAGGCGTTATAAATTAAATGCGAAAAAAAGTAAAACTGCTGCAAACTGCTTACTGACTGGATGGACCTGAAATATATAAATCTTAAAATTAATGTGGCCTGACGTTGCGAACTTAGCAAGTTCTTCTTCAGAGGCTAAAACAGAATTAAATACGACGGCTTTAACTCGTGGTGTAGTAAAATTACGTTCCTCTGTGATCCATGGAACGTTTCATATCCCTCGGCTTCGCCTCGGGAAAACAGAACGCTCCATGGATCACCTCAGGAGGCTAGTTTTACTCCACCACTCAAAGCAGTGAATATTGGTTTACTAATCCATTGACTTAGAGTGGGTGCATGGCAGCAAAGTGTCCTTCGATGTATTTACTGTTATACTTTCTGACCAATGAGGGCGTAATAAAGCATAGTTATCCCACTGACTTACCTGCTTCTTGTCATGAGGGAGTGGTCCTTCCTCTTCAATCACCTCAGGTGGACCAGCCAATGATGACACTTTACTGAAGATACCAAGCCTAGCGAAGTGATCCAGGAATAGATCCTGTCCTTTACGCATGATGTCCTGAATGATCTGTAGAGCAGTCAGGTGCCCGTCATCATCATCCTAATGGGATACAAATAACCACGTGCACTTGTAATGCATGATACAGAAAGATATGTCTCCTAAGGAATGGTAAGATCTCAGTACCAGCAAAAGATGTTGCTTGGCAGACCAGAGACCAGTTTGACTGATATTAGAAACTAGAAATGCGGATAGATACCAGTATGGGGGTTGTGTAAATGATTCTAAATTTTATTTGCATCGAGTAACTTAGGGTAAAAAAGTTTTGCACATTTTGCAACTTGTCTTGTGCCAAACCAGGCCAAAAATGTCTAACAGTGCAAAGCTTGATTTACCTCATGATCCAGTACAGCAGCCAAGACTTCCACTAGGACCTGAGTGAAGCTAACTGCCTCCCCAATGCACACCTCACTGAGTAGTGAACATGGGGTGTAGTGGATCATCTTACGTATAAGAGCTAGACTCGCTTTCCTAGGGATGACAAAGAACAAAATCAATGCAATTAGATGAGAAATGAGTGTCCAGCTGACTCTCCAATGCACTGTTCACTGAGTAGTGAACATGGAGTGTAGTGGATCATCTTACGTATAAGAGCTAGACTCGCTTTCCTAGAGATCACAAACGAATAACAAACACCAAAGTTTGTAAAGGCAAAGAAATTGGATAGGAAATAAATGCCCAATTTATGGTGGAAGTATATCATCTGTCTCAGACTGGTGTTGCCAGAATTGAAAACTTTAGTATTTGAAACATTGACTGCTGGAGTCATTTGGAACGACTCCAGAGTCTAGTCAATGGAAAATAACACAATAAGAATGTCTGTCTGAAACCAAGATCTATCAGGTGGGACTAGGGTTGCTCCTCTCATACTTTTGGTTCAGCAGGACTCTTGGGGGAATGATTTGCGCAACAATGACTTGTAAGTTGAAGTTTGTAATTCAAACTTTATGAGATAACTGTTACATTTTGAGTTTTAACACATTAGCACCTGTACTACATTGTATTACATTGTGTTTATTCACCCAAGAATAGAGTGCTGGGGCAGTTTGGGGCGCTACAATGAGTAATAAGCAGGGCAGTTTCGGGCGGTACAGTGACTAAAATGTTACTTGAATAAAACAATAAGATCACATCCAGACATAAGACTATTAGGTTCAAGGGACATTTAACAGTCAACAGTGAGGGCAATGTATCCATACCTTATAGAAGGCATCATGGTGTTATTGTAGACCTGAGCAAAGATTGGTAGTAGCTTGCGGAGGTAGATGGGTGCCATCTCTGGATCACCTTTAGGTTCAGCAAAGTCCAGCTCTCCTTCTGGTTTGGTGGCCTCCTCTGGGCTCGAGACTGCAGCATCTGCTGTCGGAGTAACAGGTACCATCCATTCACCTGTAAAGACAGACAGAAATGAGACAGATGCTTTCTCTTCACTTTCCAAATCTAACAACCTCCAGTTGCATTCCCAGAGTCTTTTGTTTTTCTCCAAAGTGGTGTGTGATGTTCTTTGGTCAATGCATACTTGTAATAAGTCACATGACAATCTATACCGTAATTTCCTGCGGATAAGACGCGTCTTATCTGACTTTCTAGACCACAAAAACATCGCTGCGCCTTATCTACAGGTGCGCCTTATCTGGTGTCGCTTGAGTTCAAAGTGACGGTCTTTGTGTGAAGAATTCTTTCAATGCCGCAATCAATAATGCGGTCAACCAAGGCTCAACTCTCCAGACATTGTGACCGTATTTTCATTCCAACAATGCCGCGATGTGTTGATCCCCCATGATCGTGCTTTCATTCGAACAATGCCGCAATGCGTTGATCCCCCTTTTAATAGTGATCGTGCTTTCGTTCCAACAATGCCGTCATACAAACGTTTTTCTTTGTGGCCGTTAGTCACCGGTAGAGGGCGCAACATCTGGCTCGGAGGGACTGGGCAAGTCTACGAATCTGATCCAGCGTGCGTGTTGCAATATCTTCAGACAGCGCGTGGACCATCGTTTCTGGCCGCTGATTGGGCCACACTGCATTAACAAAAGGCCAAGGAAGGCAAGGATCGGAAACCGCAAGCAAGCATGCACAGCGCGCGTTGGCTGAATGGATGAAGGTCGGTATCAATTTACATTGGTCTTTTCTTCATGGCTCTACATGTGACCAGCCAATGTGGTTACGGTTTAATTCATCCTCCGAATAGTGTGATCGTTCTAAGGCAACACAATGGCCCCTTTGTGGCGATGTACCGACACCGGGTGACGCCTGGTGTTCTTCTGTGTGCGGTCAAACATGCGTCTTATGCGGCGGTGCGCCTTATCTGTTGGCGTTTGAATTTTTTTTGGGTGATTTTAGGGACCTGCGCCTTATCCGCCGCGCGTCTTATCCGCAGGAAATTACGGTAATGTTGATTTCAATATCTGCATGACCTAATGACGACCATCATCCGTGCATATTTGTAATTTGTCACATGACCACAAACTCACCCGGTGATTGGATCTGCATGACCTCATGGTGACCTTGGTCATGGGTAATGCATATATGTAATTAGTCACATGACCACAAACTCACCTGGTGATTGGAGGATCTGCATGACCTCATGGTGACCTTGGTCATGGATACTGTATATTTGTAATTGGTCACATGACCACAAACTCACCTGGTGATTGGAGGATCTGCATGACCTCATGGTGACCTTGGTCATGGGTAATGTATATTTGTAATTGGTCACATGACCACAAACTCACTTGGTGATTGGAGGATCTGCATGACCTCATGGTGATATTTGTCATGGGTAATGCATATTTGTAATGTGTCACATGACCACAAACTCACCTGGTGATTGGAGGATCTGCATGACCTCCCGGTGACCTTCATCATTCCTCTCTCTTGCCTTGTCTAGTGGTGTTTTACCGTCTTCATCACGTAGGTCAGGGTTGGCACCATGCCTTAGAAGTGTCTGATATTAAACAATATGGATACAAAACTTGTAATAGAGATCCTTTCCATAAATTAAAAGATTTCACAAATATTGATAAAGTTTCTGCTTTTTCCAAAATATGCTAAAAATCATGACTGATCTTAAAAACCATGTTAAAAGTTTTCAAGGTTTCATTTACCTTCATTTTTTGGGTTTTCTAAAGCAATATTTATAATCTTCTTTACAATCTATAAGATTCGATCAAATCCTAATACTTGTATCACCAATTCCGTTTTATTTTGGCTATTTAACCATATTTATTACTTTACGGATGAAATATTCTTTTTGATGCTAAGCATACCTTTGCAACCTGCGGTCTACCAAAGCAGGCAGCATAGTGCAATGATGATGACCTTTGACCTCGATTCACATCTGCTCCTCGCTCACACAAAAACTCAACCTATTTACAAATAATATTTCAAATGAATCAAGGATTATACATCTTATGACTGTAGGAATACATACAATTCTGTGGAGTTAATTCTTATCTTGCAGTCATTATTTTCTTGTGCAGTACTCGGACGTCAGCCTTCTTGTGATTCTATAGACCAATCCAAGTACACTGTCCATTCCATTATGAAGGTCTCCTGTAACGGTGACGGCCTTGTACTGCCATAGGGCAATGGATTTGGCACAACAGTTTGCACAATGGTTTGGCCAGTGAAGGGGGCCTCGCCTCCCGTGTGTACAGTGATCCCATGCCTGGATTCATCTAGAGTTTCATTATCTTATCATTCCAATTTCTTAAGCACAAAAACATATAAATTAGATTGTTTGCAGTGTTAGCATTTTAGATATCTGTGTTGATGCTTAGGGAGTTATGGTTAAAGCATGTGAGAATGTGTTTACCATTTCTTGGGTTCCAAAAGCAGAGGCCCAGTTCAGCAGTGTTTGGCCGACATCATCCATATAGTTGACCTCAACTACAATAAAAAACAAACAATTACTGACTGCCTGCTTCAAAGTTTAAAAAGAGAAAGGTTCTTTCATAATAAAAATAACGGAAATTTATACCGCGCCATTATCCACCATAAATGATGCTCATGGCGCAAAAAAAAATTATATCAAATCAGAAATAACAAAACAATTAAATTTAACTAAACAAGAATATTCTGAGTGGTCTGAAACAAATAGGTCTTCAGGGCAACTTTAAATTCAGAAAGCGATGAGATATTGCGAATGCCGAGGGGTAGTTTGTTCCAAAGATGAGGACCTGCGTTATGAGGACCCATGTTATGAATTGTGACCTTTAAATTGAAAGGAACCATCATCAACTCCTGTTGACAATATAAAATAAATGTACTTATGAGATTTTTTAGTATGATTGACGAAAAGTTGCAGCTATGAAAGGCCACAAATTACCAAGGTTCTGTAAAAGAATCACTTTCTATATACTACCCACAAACGTACAAAAAGTGTAAGAACACATTTGATGGCAGCATAGAATATTGCTGAAGGATTTCTAAAAGGCAACCCAATACATTTTTTTTTCATATTGGTTTTCTTGTTTTACCAGATACATTTTAATATCTGTACTCAAGAGATGTATCCCTTTCATTAAATGTATATTTTCTTACTGATAAGACAATGGATCAACAAGATTTCCTACCTCCAGTATCTATAGCATCTATGAGTGCATCGGTATCCTTGCTACGTATACAGTCAATCAGATGACGATGTGACCGTTCACCAGCGCTATCCAGACGACGTAGACCACTCATTGTACGAGCTGTCGTACCGATGTTGGATTTGGGTAGGGCAGTACGTCCCTCAAATAACAACACTAAGAGAAGATCTACTAGACGCATAGTGTCCAATACACATCTGAAGAAACAAAAACATTTAGGCAATTCCATGAGAATGTGGACATTCCTGAAAATGGAACATTTATTAAAATCTTCAAAATTACAAGCATCATAACCTCAAATGTGGTATCAAATTAAAGGGGGCAATGAGACCTTTCATTTGAATGATGTGCCAGTGAAATTGACTATTTTGCCTTAAAGTTTGGATTTTAGGTAGTCATCTTAGCAAATTGTTTTTACATGCAAAATGCAAGTGTTGTTGACATACATAGTACGACATAGTACAATCAATAAATTCATGATGATGTTTAATGGGTGTATAATCAAGTCAACAACTTATGCCATCTATTGTAAAGGGGAGCATGATTTTTGTGGAATTAATTCATGAATATTTTTAAGAAGTGTTCTACTTCTAATGGAGCATGAACACATGAACAGTTAACTGCAAGCAATATTTCCCAGAAGCAAAGCTGTATTTTTTAGTTTTGTGTTTCCACATGTGAAACTTGGAATGCAGCTTTTGGTTATGATGGACGGACATAGACTTGATATCCGAGTTGTATAAATTATGAATGGGATTTCTGTAATCAAGGAAATTCCACAAACTACTAGTCCCAAACCCAAGCCTGTTATGATGTTATGATGTACAAAAGCAATGATGTCATGTAACATCCTCATATTTACAGAAATGAAAGTGTACTAGATACACTGAACTTTGTTAGGGAAAAAACCCACTGACAACTGTTGATACATGTTTCAACATACGTGTCATTTTCATTCCAAATAGTAATTCATGGAAATTCTACCAAGCCAATGAAGAATGGTTGGGATATGTCCAATGTATTTGTATGATAATTTGTCTCAGGATTCTAAATCCACCGAGACGGTTCTGCAATCCTACCTCTCATCGCCTTGCAATGCCTTCTCAATGGCACCAGGTAGCTCAGATCGCAGTAAATCCTGACCAGAAATCAACAGGGAAATCAAAACTTCCTTTAATATTAACTAAAGGAAAAGGCACGAGTTGACTGGATGACCACGTTTGTATAAACAGTTAAGCATTTCAGGATCATGCACAATTTCCATTGAAATGTAATGTACCGGTACATGCACAATGTACAACATGTTAAAGGTCAAAGAGATTCTTAATTCAGGCACCTTTGTTGCCGACAGCTAATACATGTATGTAGATTTGAAAATGAATTGTAAGATTTCAGTTCACAATAGAGAGAAACTATTCAAAAATAATGACCATCATGTACCGTTATACAACTTTTTCTGTAACCCATCTAACTTTGTTGCATAACTGAAATTATCCAATTGATTTTGAAATTATATTTACTTATCCCATTGACAAAAGAAGAAATTAAATTGAGTGGATAGCAACCCTCTAGCACTGTCTTTGATAACTGTATTATTTTTTCGTTTCTTGATCAATCTCTGCACTCTTGTTTTGTAGTGCAAATCACAGGCTTACATGTGTGACACTAGGAGACCCCCTGCACAGTGTAGACAGTAGACTAATGACCGTTGAGATGTTAGGATTTCCTTTAGAATCTGGAGTCGTTCCTGTGGCGCCTGCTGCCTTGGTACCCGTTGCCATGGCAGCAGTCATACCACAATTAGCTAATCGTTGTAGTAACTCTTCTGATAGGCCATGTTTAGCCAATGGGAGGGGGTCAACTCCCCGCCGAGTGAAACGATCGGCTAATGACGCAAAACAGCGCAGGGAACCATCAGCGACCTGTGGACATGATTGAGACAGAAAAGTACCATGCAATTCTTTATAATATAAAAATTGTGTACAAACAAGAAAGTATCCATTCAATTGTTCATTGACATAAAATGTTCTGTCTGTAATCTACACACCCTTTCCCTTCTTCTATTCTACATTCCCTTTTTTCTTTGTCAGTTACAATTTCCTTTTTATAAATCTTCACAACTAACTTTACAAAGATGCAACTTTAACTTTTAATAACGTACCTGAATCCATCAAAATGCACACCCCTGTTTTGGACGATTTCAGTGGATTGAGGATACCTTCAAATTGAAAAAGTTGGGGGATTTTGATGGATTCAGGATACCTCCATTTTGAGCAGTTGGGGGACTTTAACGGATTCAGGATCTCAACAGTTTAACTCCTAGGCTATAGTTTGGTGTGTACAAGGTTAATGTACTACACTGGTGAATATTGATGGACTCACTGGTGGATTCTGATGGACTCAGGAGTCAGGACACCACCGTTTTTTTGCATGACAAAATGGTGGATTTTGAGCGGATTCAAGATACTTTCTAGTAAAGGTGCTCAAGGGAAGTAGACTTACATGAGAATCTTCGTGTTTGAGCAATGTAGACAGTGATTCCACACACGTCTCCAGTGAGGAGTCACTAGGTTCCATCTTACCACACAGTCTAGACACCACTGCCATAGCTGAGTGTAGCGTGTCCTTGTGTACTTGACTACCATTATCACGTATGAAGGACAAGACACAGTGAAGACCACCTGCTTCAAAGATAGAGCCTGACTCTCGGGTACACATCAACTCCAAGACCTGTGAGCACAGAACCGATAAAAAAGACAACATTTCATTTATAAATACACATGTAGGTTGTCATGTCAATCTTGATTTGAAGTTAAGGTTACTGGGAGATATTCTAAAAAAATTATTCTTATACATGTAGTTATTTCTGCATAAATACCGGTATTTGTATTTTGTACATAAACCGGTTCACAGTATGAACTGTATAAAAATGCATTCAAATTTTCGGTACATTTATTTAGATAGGTACTGTACATTTGTAGGATGTGATCTTTAATTGTCACAATAAATGTACCGTATGTCATTCTCGCTATGCTGTCATTATGGCACGTGCATTTTATCTACATGAACGCCTCTGCTCATAGGCCTACCCAAGCCATGTATGGGTGTGTTGTACATCAGCATGTTTAATACATTTAGATTGCCAAATGCATACTGAGCAATTATAGCGGTACATTTACATGAACATGTACTTCTTAATATTTTATATAAACGAAGCCAGACGATACTAAAAAACCAAGTTTCATACATCAAAAAGGTATAATGTGAAATTTAAGCTGTATGTTATTGAGCAGCTCATAAACATGATAAATGTACAGTGCTATTATGTATACAACTACATGTACATGTACCGGTACCAACATACAAGTGCAATCCTTTACTGTCTTATTGAAATAATCTTAAGCATCGTCTTTGTGTGCGGCACAATGGAATCTTGACTGAGCTGCTATTTTGTTTGTAAGCATGGACGTATCCATTAAACCTCTTGATGGGAGAATGTCACAATCTGTGTGCAATCAATTAAGCACTGTCAATATTGCTGGTGGACTTTGGCGGATTCAGGATACCTCCAGTATCTACACTGGGGGATTCTGATGGACTCTAAGGACACCAGCATTTTTTGCATGACAAAATTGGTGGATTTTGGCGGATTCAGGATACTTTCTAGTAAAAGAGCCCCAGGAGTTAGGGTTGATTAAATAATTTTACGTTTTACGTAATACATGTATTTACATGTATAAAAAAAAACCACAAAATATATGTACGATTGTACACATGTAAATTAAAATTAACACGATTAATGGCATTGAGCAAGTAAGAGAGGGAAAACACATTATTTTAGCTTGAACATGTAATAACAGTAACACAGGAAGTCCTGTACATGTATCGGTACATGTTTCTGGAAAATGTGCAGAACTATTTTGGCATGTGATCAATTGGCAAGTGTTCAAAATAGCAGAAATAATATGGCATATGGGAAATCGTGCTCTGTGTGTACACACATGTATGTATACATTGAACATGTATGCAAACATCATGGATCACATCCAGGAATAGATGTACATGTGTACCCGGTATGTACATATTTATACAAACGTAAATGATTATGTAGCCTAGTTATTTTTACTAGTACTGTAGTAGGCCTACGTGGAATCCTGCAGATACATGTTGTACACAATGTACATGTACTGGTTTTTATTCACAAACTACAAGCATACACGTTTGCATCATGATAGTTGTTGCAGAAATATTTTAAGCATCCACACTTCCTGGATACAGCAAAGACTTAACACTTGGCACAGAGTGGTGTGTACATTGTGTTGTACAATACTTGTGTTATATATTGCATTGTACAGTAATGGGATGCATCAAATAGGAGAGATTCAGGAATTGGTTTCCTGTATTCAGCATTATCTGTACATGTAGTTGTTTTGTGACATTGTGAAATTCTACTTGGAACATGTACATGAACATTTATGTACAGTGTACATTGCACACTGCCTTGATGGGTCAACATGTACCGTATACATACCGGTAGGGGCCTACATGGTGCAGATTTATAGTACATGTAACAAACATAACACTTGCTACAAAACATGTACCGGTACATATACATGTGTACATGTACAATGTACGTGACTAACGAGTGATGACTCAAATACTCAAGTTTCATTTTTAGTTACCGGTACATGTATAGTACAACGTAGGTCATGTACACGTAATAGCATCATGTCAATTCTGATTGAGGCTCAATAGGACTGAGTGTTGCAACATCTGGAGACTCAAACTCAGATATTTTCTGACAGCTTGTGCATAATTGTTGGCAATTGAAAGAAAATCTTTCCAAACCGAACCTTGAAATCATCTGTGTAGAATACATGTGTTTTCTAAGAATTTTTCCACAAAAAATTTCTACGGCAATTTTACAGCACATACGGTATGTCTATGTACCGTTACACCATTCTTCAGTGTATGAGCATGTCAAAGAAAATTCAGTTGTGCATAACCCAATTGAATTCTGGGCATGAACAATAAATGGCGACTTCGTAACTACCGGTACTCGTGAGAGCTCTGTGGGCAGGACAAATGCCCAATGGTTTGCGCTTGCACGTACGTATACTGGTACGTACTATGGTCTACGCCTGGGTGCCAGCAGGCAATTTGCAGTTAAGAATCAATCCTACAATGCAACTCAGATGTATAAATACTGAGGAGCTACTTGAGCAGTATCCTTGGTACAATTTGTTGTAATTTGCACAATACATGTATTGACCTATTTTCTCTGATTTGTTAGTGCTCTTCTGTTACCTATTTTAATAGATGAAAATGGGCCTGATGCAATGTAAGCGCACTACACAGCGCTACACTGCCCTCTGTAGGTCATGCATGAAGCCTATATACAAAGCAACCAATCCAAACTCCACACAACATACCTTGATACATTGTTCAGCAAGGTCTTTACTTGTCCTAGAGGATAGTTCCACCACTACGAGTCGATTACACAAAGCCTTGATTGCCCCATCTACAGCTACGATACGCCTGGTACATTCTGCCGAGACATCCAGGTAGTAGGTGATTGCACGGGCTGTGACTTCCAAGACATTGTCAGGAGCATGCTCATCAAGGAAGATACGGCAGAGGGCTGGTAAAAAGGTCCTTGGTGGGCAACTAAGAGGAAAGACAAGAAATGATTGAAACAGCAGTGAGGTTTATGTCTCCAAATTCATACCTTGGGAATAGGTGCACCTTGTGCATGTACATGAAAGTATATGGGTTAAGATTCTGTAATGAGGTCTTACTCATTACTTAATCAGAAAATTGTAATACTTGCATGCACATATTCAGGCTACCAACAATATTTGTGTGTGTAAGTTTGATATCAGGTTTTGAGAAAGTTGTCTTTTATGCCGTAAAAACTTATCACCGTTTGTATTTATAAACAAATTTTGACTAAGTGCCGATATAGCAGGGTTAGGCATAATTCCTTCTCTACCTGTAAATATTTTCCACAAAATGGTAATTGAAAAGGACACAGAAGTTATGTCCTTCCTGTTTTCTGTATTTTGTTCATAATGTGTGATTTAAGTGTTATTTTTTATGACGTTAGTGCGTCCGCAAGATGGCGGCCGGCACATGCAGAAAATGGATTTTGCCCCAATTGTTTTATTTCTGTGCACACGTGAAGCTTAGACTTCATTATATTATTTCCTTTAGAACATATTGAGAGAGGATGTCAAAGCATTTCCTTTATATATTTAATTTATTTATTGGAGACAAATGTCGAAGATGTTGTCAACCATTTTTTATTTTTTGATGTGATCGTCGAGATCATTGTCCATGTTTATAAATATTCTTGTATTGATGTTATATAGGGGCCTAATTTAAATGCTATGTAAATTATTGACAATCCGCTTCGTCAGAGACAAGTCAACTGACTGCCAGTATGGATGTTCTCATCTCTTCCGTTACAGAATAAAATCACAGATAAAATTGCAGATGCCGTTGTCCTTCTTCTTTTATTCGGCCTCATTTTCTGAGTGTCACACGTACATGTACATGTACAGATGAAAATTGTAATTTAGACAATTTATTGTGAAAAGAGTTTTGTTGCATAGAAGCCTCAAGTTCAAGTCTTACATTACATAGGCCTATACTATACATGTGTACAGGTCTCTTATTTTGATTTCTGAGACAGTTGAGAAATTCAAGTTACAATGAATTATTATGGCCTACACATTTATAATGCACTGCATGTTGTACACAATATACTCGTGTACATTTACTACCGATACGTATACATTTTGTTTGTGTATTTTGCTTGAGGTGTCTATGTGTAGCGTGCATAGCTCGCACAAACTGTAGGAGTCTGTTTTCATAAAATATTTTCAGTCAAATATAAATGGTTCACGTAGGGTTGGCAAAGTGCACACCCAAATGTCACATATGCCCGCTAGGCATGTACGGAATCTGTGCTGGATATATACATGTACATGTAGACCTATGTCACTGTAGAATGAAGGAGAGAGGGTGAGATGAGACATTGATTGGAATACAACATGTTTGTGATTCATAAACATACAGGTCTAGGGGATACAGACTTGGTTTATTTTTTTATTGGTTAATATATACTAGGTAACAGGTGAAAAGAGTGTAGTAAGTGTACAATTTTGTTCCTATACCGTACATGTACATGTACCGTATGTGTATTTTACATACATGTACCGTTACACTGTAGTAGTACATGTACATGTACATGACAGGTACATGATGTACAGTGCAGGTTGTGTACGCAAAATACAGGTCTGATGTATGTAATGTACTGATAAGCTAGCACTCAGACTGACATGATACATTGTACAAATAATGTACATACCGGGTAAGTAGAAGATTTAAGGGAATAATAAATGTGCTTGGCTGGTTTTAAACTTCATTACTTTTAAAACACCCAGGTTCGGCTCTGGCCATTATAACTATAACTACTTACAACATTTATAATGCGCTTTCCTCCATGTTTCAAAGCGCACAGTCAGCGACTGGCTAGGCCCCTACCGGTAGCTGGTTTTTAATATTAATTAATTAAGGCAAGCTTTTTATCACATTTGAGGGTCACTTTCGATAGCTTTCGTAGTGCAAATGAAATTAATTCAGACCCATAACATATGATTGATTATTCCATTCAATCAGCACAAAACAAATCTATTGGCAAAATAAAACTTTTCCCCACCGACCGTCCCTATTTTGAAATGCATGTACCGGTAATCAGAAGAACTACCCAAAGGTTGCCATTGAATAGTTCATAGGCCTACTTCAATGGATAAAACAACCTCAAATTCAAAGAAACCTACATGGATTTGTATTTTTTTCAAAGTTGAACAAAGAAATTGGCCGAGCTGGGCTTGAACCTTAATGTGTAGCTAGGCTGAATTTTCTATTAACTTTGGTAGGCCTATATACCGGTACATGTACATGGTTAGACAATGTTTGTTTCAAATCTTGATAAGAATATAGGGCCTATATGTATTGTGTGACGATGTTATTAATCACAATGTATTCCTTTACAAACTCCTCATCTATGGTCAACGTGCATGATGTGTGTACTGGCAGACTTCAACTGCGTATTGACTGCAGGCCAACGTGAGTTACAAGAATGCATTCTCATGTCATCATGGTCACGTGACAACTGCTCAGGTAGGTCAAGCTAAAAATAGAAAGGAATTGGGACTATTTAGGATCGGTTCCCTGACCCCACCAAGTATGAATCTAGATTAAATACAGAACATGTAAATAGGCACCTTGCTAAATGTTGTGGTAATGTGTCATTTCCTCTACATTATTCACTAATAGAGACATGATTATGTAGGGCCTACTGTAAAATAATATAAAAATATTATATTCATCATGTACAGTGTAAATTTTATTTTCATATATCTAAGCAAAGTTGAAAATAATAATGGAAGGGGGAACATGTTTGTTTAATATGTAGAAAGTACAATGTGTAATTGCCCATGTTATCTTGCGAATTATTACTGCAGCACTATATTACTGCAGCACACTATACCGGTACATACATGTATGCACATGTACATTGTACATCAAACAGCTGTATGTGCAGTATGGTTTATAATGACCTCACGTACATGTACATGTACATGGAACGTATTGTGTACACTGAACCACAATTTTGTCATAATGTACAACGTACTATCATGGAGCTACAACAAAGGATTACCAGTACGCACATTAAGTATGACTACAATTTGTACGGTTGGAGACTTACAGCCTGTCTGTTAACCTACATACAGTGTAGAGGGGCAGGTAGTGGCAGGACAGGGGAGGGGATAGTTTTTTTCTTGCCCCCCAGTTCCCCCGCCCCAGTGTTCTCCCAACTCTTTATCAACAAATAGATAAGTATGTTTTTTACTTCGCTGTTAAGATTCATAAAATGTGGACACTGTTTTGCCAACTAAGCATGGCTCCCTGCCTAAGAACATTGGTACTTTGGTATGCATACGTGTACATGTACAAAACATGCCATACATGCATATTTATATAGCCGTAGATACTGTAGTGACAGTCATGTCTTTGTTATGAAGTTTATTACATATTTGTTACCTTTGTAAACACAATTCTGCGGTTTCATACAAATTTCTCATTCATAAAAATGACTACACTTCTAAGTTGCTCTAATGATGACAATGGGCTGCGCGCACACAGGCTTATGATTCTATTTTACCTGCCCCCCCCCCCCCATTTTTGTTCCTTGCCCCCCCCCCCCCCCCCCCATTGTCCCCCCAAATTTTAGAGTCTGGCGCTGACATCTACATGTAACTGCAACACAAAACGTACATCATTTGTAAGCGGATTTTGCTCAATAATTATTGCCTGCATTGTTATGTTTGCTTTTGATCTGTTTGTGGTTCAGTGAACATACACAGCACTGGTACTTTCCTTGAACTGGAACACAAAAATATTTTACTAAATTGTTAACAATAACAACATGTACTACCTGGTGATACTGATTTGTGTAGTACACTGTATATACTTCCTGAGTGAGATCATTCATGGACTTCTGGCCAAGGTTTCGTTTTCAGTGGTAGTGGCAATGTAGTGCGTTGGTCAAGTAAACACAAACATGTGTATGTGTTGTGCTGACAAGATTTAACCTTTGTCTTCCTACTAGTACATGGCCATGCTAAATGTGTGATACTCCATGAGTCACTGTAACCATGCCCAAAATGGTTACACAGTCCAATGTTTGGACACCCCTACGCTACGGTATGTTCTGACTACTCAGCCTACCCCTACCAACATCCCTGTGAACTTGTGAACGACACCTCTATGTTTCCGCACCCCTACAAACGTACACGTACATGAACTGTACGGTAGGCTGTTCTCTGACAGCCCTCAACACACCATTTTAAACAGGCCAACACAATATTTTGTGCAGGTTGTCAGAACATGGGGCATGTAGGGATGTTGGGACATAAGTGTGTCAGAATAAAGGTTTATCAGAACATATGTACGCAAAAGTTGAGCAGTCGGAATATAGGGGTGTCGGAACATAGAGCAGTCACCCCCAAAATATGAATTAGCATTATTGAATTGTACTGTGCAGATGGTCGGATTGTCTAGTAGTCTCCTCAGGTAGACAGGTACGCACACTAACATTTCCTCTACAGATATCTCTTGAGGACATCTTGTAGGCCAATGGTTATAATTGCGACGTTCCGAGAACTCCCCTTGGCCAGATATACAATGTATCAAGAAAAAGCACAAGTCCCCCTCCTGTACTTGCCATGTGCCAAGTGGGCACATTCCCTGGAGGGGTGAAATGTCACTTTGTAGTACACACAACACAGTAAAAAATACACATACTACCGGTACATCAAATATATCCCAATCGTTTTTTTTACACAAGAGAATAGTCGAATCATGTAAGCTCATGTCCCAAGAAGATGACAAAAAACGTCTGTGATGTACACTTAATAATTAATGTTATTCGCACAAGTTGAGTGGTTTTTACTCTTTTCAAACACCACATTTTTGTAAACAGCCACATTCCATGCAGAGTATTAGCCATAATTTCACGTTTAAAATATTTTTGAAAAGGCCATTTCTGCAACTACATGTACTGTAACAGTTCAATCAGAAACTTAACAAAAAAATGTAGGCTACCCCTTTAACCCTAACTCCCTAATGTCTTTTATTATAGGTACTGGACCAAGTCTGCCAAAATCCATCACTAGGCCTAGAGTGTGCACTTTAAACTATGCTGCACATGTTTATAAACTTGTAAGTACATGTCTCTTTAAAAGTATGTTCTGTACTTGCTTGAATACAATATTTCTGGATACAATTTATGAACATTAAGGGTACGTTCTGCACTAGTGTTTCCATAATGACCCACTTCCTTTGTTTACTTAGCCTTCTTCCTGATTATGGCAATGTTTATCATTTCCACTTCTATGACTGTGCAAATGTCTTTGTTTTTGTAAATGCATGTGATAGCAAAATCTTCTGAACCCAGAAGCAATTTTTCAAAAGAAATCTCTTAATTTATGAGTGTAGTTGATGTCTATGTGTAATAAATCAAGCTCCAAATGCACTCTTTAAAGGAAACTAGTTTCACTGCCAGTAGGCCTAATAATTAAGAAGAAAAAGAAAAAAACTATTCACCTTTCGAAGCATCGGTCCACATTGTCAGACATGAGCAATAGCATACAGAGCTGTTCTAAGGCAATGAGTTGCATATCTCGCTCCTCTCCTTGGCCCATCTGAAGCCATTCTAGTAATGTCTCTGGATCTACGTCCGCCATCTTGGACTACTCCCATCCAATTATTCACCTGTTTGCAAAATAGAAATACATACAGCGGGTGTAAGAATTTGTTCATAAGTGATAGGCCTATAGATGCATGTGTACATTTTGTCCAACTAAATTTAAGAGGTCACAATCGGTCAAAATTTTCTTCCTCACCTAGTACCTCTTGACCCAAGTAATAAACAAGGCTGACAATGCATGTTTCCATAGGAGGGTTAAAGAAAATGTGTGCTTGCCTTTATGAATCCATTAATACACGTAGCGCAAATATTTCCTACAAATTATTCTGCTCAATTTGAAGTTCTGTTACTTCAAAATTGTGTCTTGAAAATGTTTCCGCGAACATGCAACAAGTTTACTTATTTTAAAGTTTTAGAGTTCACATGACAGCATAGAATTGTGCAGAATACCCCGCCACTTGATCTCTCCACGTCAGAGCCAGCTATAGTCGTGCTTGAGTGCCCTCAATTAACGAAGTCATGGATGACTGCCCTCAGTAAACCTTCTCACTCACACTTCAAATCTGCGTATCCGCGTAGCCACTCCGGGGGACATAAATTGGACCTCGTTTTTTTTATCTTTCCTGTTTAATATACGCTGTTAAGTACTGATTCATCCCCTTGGAGGATGTCTTTACAATGGAAAAAAACGCCCTCTTTTGCCCCTTCACAACTCAATCCCACTATTCATAGCCACTCCAGAGGACCTACATTGTACAATGTACGTTAGACTTTGAATGGAAAGAATGGTGCATCCTTACTCCTAGAACGATGATGCTCTGCAGTGCGGAGCCTCATAGACAGAGAACCCGCAAAATTGTTTGCTTCTACAAAACACCAAGTACAAAAACATCCATCAAAACACAGATATTTCCCACAGAACCACTGCACAGTTTGCCCTAGTCCGAAAATTTGGGACTCTCAATACTGTGTATGAGACTCCCAAAACTTAAAGTATTGAAAACATGCAAAACAAGAAAATAGACTGGCACCTAAAACAACCAGTCCAACACAGCTTCAGTACTGCATCAATCAACCATGCCAACTAGAATTTAAGAAACATGTGGCATGAAGTGGGAACTGGTCTCAATTAACTAGACATTTCTCTATAGTCAAGCTACCAGACTATTGACACTGAGTGAAGAGGTCAGTCTTTTCAAATAGTTGGACCATGGTTGGACATGTACCAGTCTAGTATTTAGCCCCATTTTGAAATCATTTGACTTCCCTTTCATGTGCAAAATATTGAAGAAAAGTCTCCTTTAAAAATTGAATTGAGTCTGCAAACTTGGTTGGTGAAATACTGAGGACCTTTTCTTTGCCCCAGTGGAATTTTTGGAGAAATTTGCTGGCTAAAGTGTGAGTAAAGTGGGCCTGATTTAGTTTTGCATGTTTCAGAGCACTCCAGAGCCCTGTCTGAGTTTGCCCCTAAGGCCAAAAAAAAAATAGTTCTGCTTCCGATTACATGCCTTTCAAAAATAGGGTCGGTCGGTCGGATTTTTTTTTTTTTTGCCATTTTTGTTATGCAGATTTAATGGGGTATTCAATTATATGCGAAGTTTTTAGCCTGAACTATTTCCATTGCACTACGAAAGCTATACACGAAATGGCAACAAAGAGTGAATAAAAACCACCTTTAATTATTGAAAATATATTTACGTTCGATAATTTCGGAAAATAATGGAAAATTCAGGTCGTTCGCACCATATGCACAACGCTAGTCAAGACGCGGGGAGCTGGCCAAAACTCCGAGGTGTGTGATGCGTGCGTGTGTGGCGAGCGGCCCACCATGGGCCGACAGACCTGTTTTTAAGGTCAAAAATTTTGGGAAACACGCGGCGTGTATCACTCCAAATACGACTAGTGCGATCTCAAAATGAACTCTTGAACACAGAAAATACATACACAGACAAGCTAGATCAATTCTGTAAATTAACTTGCAAAAATGTTCTTTCTCCATCGGTGTTTTCTTGGCATTTTTACGATGTCGAATCCGACCAGTTGACAGTGGCCTGCACTGCTAGCGTGCTATCGGTCGCATAGCTATGGACTGGTTACCGCATTTTCATCATGTCTTCGAAATTGGCCCCTGCGCGGCGCGGCGGGAACCAGTCGTAGCCACGTGATTATAGTCGCCGTGACATCGCATTGCGAAGTAGCTATATCGCGAAGCGAATTTGTAAAAATAACGGAGGTTTCATTTGAAAAAAAGCGAATGTAAGTAAGAAAACAAATAAATACAAGAATTTTTTATGCAAAAGGGTTGTTGAGAGGTATTTTGTGAAGACAGAAAAGACAACAAAATTTTATTTTTATTTATTTAATCTTTCAATTTTCTTTTTTCTTTTTAATTGCCGATAAAAATTTTAGGGTCGCAGCCTAAAAATAGGGTCGGTCAGGTAACCGGAAGCAGAACTATTCTTTTTTTTGGCCTAAACTCTGTGCTATATCTCATCTCTTGACATACTCAAATAAGTTGCGCCTAACAAACATCGATGGATTCTGTCAATTTTTAGGCCAAAATGATGAAAAATATGCCCTTTCCGCACTGAGCCAACCTAACACTTGAAATGTGCCACAGATACGATCGATCGATGATTTTTGGTTTGCTACGCGCACGTCGCAGGGGTACGGTACTTGCACTTGTACGCATGCGCATACATGTACTATCATTTCACTTGTACCGTACCCCCCGCCGCACCAAACAAACCGAAAATCAGTTGATACAAATGGGCTACCGAAGTACCCTGCTCGAATGGGCGTGACAGGTTATTACTACTACATTTTTAATAGATTTGCAATGCCGGGGTGTTTTTGCAATGCCGTGCCCGTAGTAAAAATGTTGGAACATGACGCCACTTATTTCCTTCATATATCATCTCAATGAAGGTCATTTATTGTAAAAATGATGATAAGACATGAATCTGGGACTGACAAATATTTCAATTTTGTTAGGAAATAGGCCTAGGCTTGATGCCCCATAGACTTTGTACATGTACACAATCGCGGAAGTGGCGTCAGGTTGCAGCATTTTTTCCAAAATTGTGTTAGGCCTATGGCTGCAGTAACAACGTTACGACAGCCAGCAGTACATTCAGGAAATCACCGAGTTAAAGGTATAGTCCATCATTTGTAATTTGTGCATTTTGTTCGTTTGAAGCAACAAAAGTGCTAAAAATCTAAAGAAGGGTGCTGAACAACTAACCTGATGAAGTTTCAGCTCAGCTTCAGCTGTAGGCCTATATTTCAAGAAAAACAACATTCTAGGATCTCGATTTCAAATCAAAAGTTGCTGAATCATGTTTTGAATTGGGCCTGAATTCAGCGTCCGAGACACGTTCTCACTGAGCCAAATTGCAGCTACGCGATGTCGCACAGTGATCCAACGAATTATAGCAACCGCGCGCGCGTGTGCGTCGTGTCAACGAATAAAAAAACAAACTACTAACAGAAATTTCCAACGGTGCTTCTTAGGACGCACCGTTGGAAAGGCCTTCTTTTGTTGATTTCTTCAAAATGACAGCTTGCCAGAAAGAATAATTTCACAGAAAGTTTAGTCCCCTTACCATGCTTACTATCTTTCAACCAAGCTTAGTTTTTCAACAATAATTATGCCAGTTACTTTTTGGATAGCTGCAAATGATGGACTCTGGCTTTAAAGAAAAAAATACAAGCATGATAAATCCTTTATGAATGATGCACGACATCAACACGTGATGTAAGATAAACAAGGAAAGAGCCACAAAAATCATGAAAATGTAACAAAAAGTTTCGAGGAAGAAAGTAAAACCAGACAGGCAGACAGGGAAAACAGAATAATAAACAAGCCCAAAATTCAAACAAAGAGTTTATCAAAGCAATACCACGCCAATGACGAATTCCCAACTACAAAGGCATGACGAAAATGTGACAAACAAAGACCCATTTTGGTATCACCTTGTGAAGTTTGGAAGCGATGACTTCTGTTGTTCATCCAAATGCCACGCAGTGGACACGCCGACTAGACGGCTAGGCAACACTCGCTTGGTGACCAAAACACACCGCCAAAATGTCGTCTTTATCGACCACTGGGGTCCAACAGACACTAACTGACGACTTGTTCACGTCAAGTCATAGCATAGCCGCGTTATTTTACAATTTTTATGTTCAGAATAATGATAATATTGCCCAAAAGAGAAGTGTTTTTGTTTGCGACGTGGTCACTTTTCTGTTGTCTCTTCCTTGTCTGCACGCAAAAATCGCATGAATGATTTAGTGTTTTTAATTGATAGACTCGTGCAAGTCGCCGGGCGTTCAGCAAACTGTGGTCATTAAGGGCGCCCTCAAGTTTATTAATTTACAGAAAAAATGAGGGCGCTGTAACAACAATAAATGATAATCGGACTTCGGCCCGGGACTAGAGGCCGAGGACGCCTGACGATTCCCACACAATTTTTGTTAATAACAAAACTGGACGTATCTTTGATACGTAACGAAAAGGCTCAAACAAGAGAAATCGGTTGCGATCCCCACTTTGGTGGGTTGAGTTTAGAATTACAAATGATGGACTATACATTTAATAAACAAACGGGGTGTGGTTTATGGTTATGGTGTTCGACTCGTGTACCGTGGTATATTTGTACATCACTGAGTTCGAATCCTAACGGGGAACATGCTTGTGCTCTTGAGCAAGGCACTTTACCATTATTGCTTCCTCCTTCGGATGGGATGTAAAGCCGTAGGTCCCGTGTGTTGTATTATGCACGTTAAAAGAAACCAGTAACACTAATCGTTAAGAGAAGGGGTTCGCCCCTGTGTTTCTGGCAGTGGCTGCAATATGCGCCGCAGCACCTTTGCTATATGGGTCGTACTTCATTCACCTGTCTGTAATATAGGTTTCCCAATATTTTGCCAATTTCCTAAAATGTTCATTCACTTTTGAAAATCAGTCATTCATTTTCGTCTGAATCTGAGAATCGTTCTGAACACGCGTTTCATCTTCGCTGCCAGAGAATTCGATTCCATTTTAGTTCAATCAATTAAATGATTAAGCAGCACCTTTCGTTTATGTTCATTCATATTCGTTTACAATACTTCTTTTTCGCTTTGAGAGGGATATTTCAAACATTGACTATTCTATTTCACTTTTAGTCCAATGTTCTGTAATGCAATCTGCTATTTTGAATGAGAAAAAACGTACTTTTGATTGCACATTCACGAAATTGTCTTCCAAACTCTGCGCGAAAAGGTATGCTTGCGTAAATGAATGCACAGGTAACGTAATTGGCCGTCTGTTTCAAAACTGAATGCCAGGCAATGAAAACGATTGAACTTTCGTTGAATTGAAATGGAATTAAAGGCGTGCATTCAAATTAAGAGGAAAACGAATGACCGATTTTCAGAAATGAATGAACGTTTCAGGAAATTGGCCAGAAAACCTATGATAGACATAACTCCCAGCACCTTGAGTACACTCCGTTGCGTTAATGCCTGAATAGGTTTCTGCAACGTAGCCATACAGATACAGAAACAGTCGATCGTTTAGTCGGTAATCAATATGGCTTGGACACAATCATCACCGCAACTTGAGACGGGCTTGGTGTGAATCAATCATTCTAAACAATATTGGTTGCAAAGGCCAGATTTGAAAATATCCAACGACGACAATGACATTTCTAATGATGTTGAATAATTACTTCAGTTGCAAACTTCGAAAAAGTACCTGACAAAAATGTTATGGTGAGTAGAGGCGCCAAAACATCCAAGGCTGTGCGCCGAAAATATGGGAAAGATGCTTCTTGTAAAAAGCTACATGCTGAAATTTCGTGAAGAGAGAAAAGTGCAACTTTTTATTGAAGTACACGGAGAGTCAGTTCAAAGTACGGTATGAAAATTAATGTTGGGAAAAAATAGGACTAACTTGAGCAGCTGTAAGAAAGAATCAAAGTAAATATAATACATGTATAATATCGGAAACGAAAAGGGAAAATTCAAACAATTTCACATAGTAAACGTTGCTGATCTTGGTATCATCGTTTTTGGTTACATATAGCTTGATCCTTTTTTGGTACTCCATTTTAAGTCCATTTCAGGACGACATTTCAGGACTTTCGTCAATTTCTTAACGAGACGACTTTTCTAATTTGTGAGATTGTGACTATTTGATTATGTTTGTTGAAATACGAGGGAATTTTTTTTTTTCTTTCAGAAAATTTTGAGAAATGTTTTATTTTATCATTATTTTCTTTTAAGTCGTAAAACTTACAGGATTTTCTCATTTGTTGTGGACATTTTAAAATCTGTATAGGCCCACATTGTATTTGAAGGGGAAAAAACACTTGTTTTTTTTAGCAGCGACAAACTATCATGTACACGTAGACCAGCGGTCTGATCCCTTGCCTTTGAACTGCACAACCATAACCTCTAAAATCAACATTGCTTGAATAGTGTTTGCCTTCAGCTGATGACGTAGTACAATAAAGGGCAATAGTCGATACGGAAGATTACCGCCTATTCACCACTATGTAAACTCTGCACTCTCGTCCTATTGTTATGTCAATCAGATCCGGTAAACTCTTTGGTCATTGCACACAGAAGAAAAGCCTGTGAATAACAGCTTTGTGCAGATTGAGTCCGAAAATACTGTCCCCTTATTGATAAGTTGGTGGCAACGGGAGTAGGGCTATAGCAACTGCATAATACCAGGCATGCGGGACTATCTAACTGCAACAGTAAACATTCTGTAGTCGGTGATTTTTCATTTCTGGTCGGACTATTGATTGTTGTCGTCACCAAACTTCAAAGAAGAGTGATTCACGTCCATTTTGTATCGGCGATTGGCGATGGTTTGTAAAGAGAACCACAAACCGAACTGAACTCTCAAAGATACTCGAGTGAATTGTTGACCTCAAAACAGAACATCGGGGACGGAAATACCAAGAGGGCTTGCATGTACAGTAGGCCTATTCAACTTGTGTCTTACTTCACAACAGAGAAAGAATACACATATCTTCAGAGGAATCTCATTAACTGTTGGAAGAAATTTAAGTATATCCGGGATTTTTGTTACGGACGATACGGCATGACGGACACGGCAGAAGTCAACGGTGCCCAGCCCGACGGGGTTACGGATCCCACCCGCTCACAGAAAACCTCGGAGTTTGTCCTCTTACTCAAAGACAGAGAGGCTCTGAAAGCATCCCTGGAAGGGAAAGAAAAGGAACTCAACAGCACAAAAGCAAGGCATTTTGAACTCCTTCAGCAAGTCGACAAATTAGAAAAAGAGGTATGTTTGTAAGCAACCTGATGTCGAATCTATACCCGCTGAAACAAGAAGCCAATCTGAACAAATTACATCCAGACAATGTGTGTGATACGGATCTGTTTGAGGTTGTATTTTAACCCCTTGTGCTTTTGTGGCACATAATAAATGACACGCCCATTCTACACCACTAAAAGGAATTTTCAAACCTGGTGTTCCAGCATTAATACAATAATTTGAAACGTATACTGCATGGGTGAGTCCAGTTTAACGACAAATGGTAAACACATTATTACATTTTAGTGGCGTTGTTTATTTTTGTTTAATCGTTCTGTTTTTTTCTTCACACATTTGCTATAGAACGTTCAGAATGCACCACACATGTTTTTGCAGTCCACATTTCTTTTTTTGTTTCAATGGTGTGGCATTTCTGACATAGACTCCCTGAGCCTCGTCTAGACCAGAGACGCATGATCACAACAAATCGATGGAAAAATCCAGTGAAATTGCTCGTCTAAATCTGTTTCTGCTCATTGCACTCACATCTATAATTTGTCCTAGGTCAATGAAGTTACAAAGGTCACGTAGCCATTGCATTGAAACACTCAAAGATGATAGCAGGGCTTAGCAACAACAATCTTTTAGTTGGTTGGAGTCGTTATTACCGACTTTATTATCACCGACAACATCGCATTGCTAATATACTTTTTATTAAACTATTATTTCCCCAGTATCATCGGCGTTTTGGATGTATAATTTGTTTCTAAAAAATATGTATCAAATAAATATGTATTAATTCCTAGTTTAATTTATACTTAAGCGCACGAGGATTGATCTTTGCTGTTTCCTACCCCTCAATTTGTTTATTTTGATGATTTTCCATCGTTCAACTTTTGTTTCCCCCAGCTTTCGGAGTTAAAGACATTGAAGAAAGCTGATAAAGACGCTAGGAAGTTATCGGTCAATGCACAGTCGCAATCTACCAGCCCTACTGGCACGCCAGTCTCTACGCCCAAGGTAAACAAAAATACACCCAATACATTTGTAGTCATAAAATAGTCATCAGGAGTTATGACCAGCAAATGTTTGCAAACCACCACAAGTAACTCACTATAGTCAATTAACAAATGAACTAAAACAAAGGGTTGCCTTTGTCATAATTCATTTGAATAGCTCCTGACTTGAATTGGGACTGAAAGACTAAATTTATGACTGACTTGTAGGGACTTTTGATAGAATCGACTGCACATTGCAAATAAGTGTTTTTATATCCACAGCCTAGATCTATATCTACATGTAATTCACAAATTCCACCTACATTGATATTGCATCCTGGTGGTCTAAGGTCCACGGGTAGACGTACATGTTAAGATGTACATGTCCATACAGGGTGAGACAAAAAAAAGCGGAACCCAAACCTCAAAAAATATATTTCTTATTTAAAACATATGTAGCACCAAACATAATAATGACTGCATGGAAAGCCAATTTCATAAGCTAGTTTTAGATGAAAAAAATACTCAAATTGCTCAATCCGTTCAAATAAGATTCACCATTTAAACGCAATGAACCTAAAACCTGTTTTGTCCAAAAAAACACCCATGATTTAGTGTGTATTCTGACTGTTTGGAACAACAAAGAAAATGACACAGAATATATTTTCAACAACAGTAGTACTGTACATCTTTATTAACAACCCTGGTTTTTTTAAGACGGGCCTTCAAAAGGACTGTGAAAATGAAATCACATTTTTGGACGAAAGAGGTTTTAGGGTCATTGTGCATGTTTAAATGGAGATATTCTTTGAACGGATTGAGCAATTTTTAAATATGAATTATAATTTTGGGGGTTTAGGTTCCGCTTTTTTTTGACTCACATTGTACATTTCTGTCAATGTGACATTTCAACATGTTTGTTAAACAATACCTTTCTTGTTTTTTGGTAACTTGTTATCGTCATTCAAATTTTGGAATCATTTTGGATTCAGGGTGGGAGGAAAGTTCGACCGAAGACTGCCAAACACGCCAACTCAAGACAGAAACCAAGAAAGGCTGGCAAACCTCCCACGATAGAAGTCACCTCAGCATCAGAAGCGACCAAAGAAGCACATCTCAAAGATACATACAAGTATTATGAGGTTAGTCACAAAATCGCAGTAGGCCTACAATGTATTTGTTTTTGAAGGAAAGAACAAACGTTTTGCATGTAGGGCCTATAGGCCCAAGTCATGTACAGTGGTTTTCACGTCCACAAAAGCTACATAACTGTCCAGCAGATGATGCATGCACCCTGCTTTTACGAGAATTGAGTCCGTTTTCTATAAATGTTACGTCTTTGATAACATAATTTTGACACACAATGTACAATATTCTTTAACAAAGTCTCCGGTTTCTGGTATGCGCGCGCGTCGCCGTAGCCATGCGCGTCGGCAAAATGAAAAAGTTTTTTTTCAATGAAAGATGATGTCTCAAAACCGCCAAACTCACTGGTTTGACTGGAATTCTGTTGCTGCGCAATTTCAACGTGTTTTTAGATGGGGTTATGATCGAGAATAAGCTTTATGTGGCCTCTCTGGACTCCCATATATTTGCACTAAGTTTAGTCGGGCACCATTTGCAGTCATCAGTCAAAAAAGTCGGTTAAAAAAAAAAAAAAGCCGCATCGCCGCACCACTTTTTGGACAAGCTCCATACCAGAAACCGGAGACTTTTTTTTTTTGGCCTTATCTTAGATTTTTTTGTGTTTATACAAAAATGCTATTTTTATATGTAAATCAGAGAGTTTTATGTATACACGCATATAAGTAAATTTTGTTTAATAGCATGAACGATGTAAAATCTGATAACTCGTATTGTTTGCATATTTTATTCCAATGCAGGAAATTGCATCGACATATCCACATTTAAAGTTGTCCGTTTTACTTGCCGCAGAGAAGAAATTCGTTGAAGCTGATGTCAACAAAGATGGGGTATATAAGAGTGGGAGAACAAATATCATGATTGATCCAATATGTAATTTATCATGGATGCTCCTATCACATACATCTAATTTCTGCTCTTTATTTTGGAGACGTTATTAATATTGTCCTTCCATATATAAAATGTTGAATCTTTTTCGAGTAATTCTTTGCTCTGAAATCCAGAGTTGTAATTGTAACCACTTGAATAATTTATTAGTGGATTGCTTGCAAGTGGAATACACAAAATTAATAGTTTGTTTGTTTCCTGTTTTATTGGTTTTTTTTTTAGACCATTGACGCCGATGAACTAGAAGCGATATTAGAGTCCAGCAGTTTACTGTTCACTAAACAGCAAGTGCGAGATATCGTGAAACAGATCGATAATGATCAGTCCAGTGATCTGGATTTCATGGAATGCTTGGCGGTGAGTAGTTAATAGAACTTATTCAAAGCAATAAGAATTAGTACATGTATTGTTATTACGAAAACCTTGTTTGTTTATGGGGCGGTTCAATGCACTGCATAAAGCAATGTTGGAATTACGGGTGAATTGGTCTACATTCCCACTGAATTAATTGATAGCGTATATTTCGCTCTCCATATATATAACTGGGGTGGATTTTGTTTTAATTTCAGGTAATTGACCGGTTACATCAAAACAAAAAGACGAACTTGCCGACAACACTTGAGCAAAATAAAAGCACAGTGTGTGTCATCCAGTAGGCCTCATCATGGCGTGTTCCGTAGAAGTGTGCCGCCTGTGGTCGGGTGCAGGAAGTTCAGACTCTGTGGTTGAGCCGAAGTGTTTAAAATGCCGTTTAGTTTTGATATAATAACAAGAATGGACGATCAGGTGACTACGTGTCACGTGGTATGTGAACACTCGCATACAGGCTGCTTTAAATGTAGTAAAAATTTGGCATTTGGCATAAGTCCAACGCCTCATAGGTCCGACGCCTCATAAGTCCGACGCCTCATAAATCCGACGTCGGAAAAACGAGGCGAAACAGTTTTTGGGGCAAGGGCCGGGTCGACGCTACGGGCGTAAATTGGGGGGAGGAGGGGGGGGGGGGGGGGGGGAAGGGGGTGTCTGGTGCATCCCTTAATGTCAATGTGTAATCGCTAACACTATTAGAGGCGCTAACATTCTGACATTTTACGCAATGTTTGTAATTAATAATGGATGTCGGACTTATGAGGCGTCGAATTTATGGACAGAAATAAAAGTAAATGTAATTGTCGGACCTATGGGGTGTGGGACCTATGAGGCGCTGGATTTATGGGCCTTTATTTGGTTGGGGATGCGATTTTGTCAGACTTATGCATATGAGGAGTCGGACTTATGAGCGGACCCCCCCCCCCCCCAAAAAGAAATCCAACCATCTAGCCGTTCGTCAACCTCAAATTCGTGATTGTTTACAAGGAGCTTTCTTGAAATGCTATGACTAAGGAGTAATCTACCTTTGTAATGTTTCCAAAGTTGTAGGAACGCAAAGATGGAACTATTATATAGATGGTGCTCTCTTTTGAACTCGTTTTCATTTAAACTCGACCGACAAGAGCCAATATGTTCCTGTACAGACTGCAGTGTTTCCACGCGTGCACGTTTTCTTTAGAAACTTTGATATGCACAACGGTTCCATTCCAAGCAGCATAAATTTGTAAATAGTTAAACATGTACATGACTTACTAAATATGCATATGTAACAAATTGTTATTATGTACATTGCTCGACCTGGCACAAATGTTTGGTTTATAATTTTCGAGGTTTTTCGAGGACCTTCGATAAAGTTATGGACCTTCAATAAATAATGTTAGCCAACTACATGTAGGCCTACATGTAATAGAGATAGCAGGACTAGTCCTGTACGTGTACTTTCATTCGTTAGTAAAAACACGTAATGAACTCAAGTCATTTTTTTCAAAAGCAAAATATGAAAAGATTTTATTTGTATTGAAAAATAAAATAATTGAAGATTTAGACCACGTCCGATGAAGCCTCTATATTTTTTTCTCCATAATTTTACGATATGCTTTCCCTTATAAAACCACACGGTAAACCCCACAGGCACTTTATCAATTTCTGGCTGTATCCTAGAACTATATTAAATTAATATAGCTCTATGGGCTGCACATGCATACATGTACATCCAGTGCAACATTTAAGTTATTTTATACACATGATGTAAACACGACTCAGATTTCGAATTTGTCTTACAATGGCTTGAACATGTCGGGCAACAGTTTTATGGGAATAAAGAAAGATGGGATTGCTGTTATTCGGATTGCACCCTTAATACATGTATTCCATAAGCAAAAAGTAACACCCCGTAAAAAACACGTAAAAACTCGCGCATATCATACAGTCTGTTTAGAATGGGCCAGGGATCTAGAACCTGCTATTATCTTAGGATATGCATGATTCTGAAATCACTACACTGTATTACATTGCAAACCAACCGTCTAGTCTTAACAAAATACATATGACACTGAAAAGTACAAAACAATTTGCAACCTTATAGGCCAAAGTTGTAATAAAAGCAATGTAACTACATTCTGTACATTAAAATATTCTATGCATCGATTACACGCGCATGTATATCGAAAGAATTGGCCAAATTATAAAATGCATTTTCATTTAAACTCTTTTCCCTCTTTCTTGCTACAATAGGTTTACATGCGAGATCGTGCTCAAATGGTGTCCTTGTACATCATGTATTCCTATGTCGTTCCAGAGATCTATGCCAACACTCGAAATAGCAAAACCAAACCGCACTTGCTCATCAGTAATCAAAGCCTACGTGTACAAACAAATGGACTAAAACGCAGTTTTTTAATGGCAACAAAAATACAGTGAAATAAAATGACAAACATTTTGGATAAAAACACTGTTGGGCAAAGTAATTTACCCAGCATTGGTATGAAATGACCTCATATTGGGTTGAATTGGGTAAAAACTATCAAACTATTGGGAAAGAATTTGCCCAAGAGTGTAGGCAGTTGATAATTCGACCAGCATTGGTCGAATTATCAACCCATTTTGCCCAACTTTTTACAGTGCAGTATATGCACGGAAAGCTATAGTGGTAACGATATCATAAAGTAAGTTATCAGTAAGTAATAAGGCAAGAGTAATAGTATATATAGCGCGATGCAATAATTGAAGGCTTTCTTAACTTTTGGCACCAATGGCATACATGCCAAAAGTCACATGACAACCAGCAAGGTTGACATTCAGGTTGTTGGTTTATCATCGGCGGCAAGCCGGTTGCCTAGATCTTGTGCTCAATGTGGTCTAGCTCCCTGCTCATCTGGGCCAAAACACAACATGGGCAGAACGTCAGCTTCAAGCAATCGTCGCAGATAGATCCCTGTTGATTACAAGAAGTAAAACTGACAGTTCAGTCATTCTACGAAACTATTCTACGAATAAGGTGACAGCATATTGTCTTGATTTCAAAATTAAGAATATAGCTCAGCCCCATCCATAGGCCAAAGGTCTTAGGCCCGCCTCAAACGTCGAACTTCTGCCGTGTCTAATTCAAATGATGGCCCAAAAATTGACATTACTTGAATTAGACAAACACGGCAGAAATTCAACGTTTGAAGCAAAAGCCGCACCTCTGCCGTTTTTTGTCGACTGCAGTGAATTGAATTAGACACGGCAGAATCCCTTACATGTACATGTATTTACTGAATTGCAATACATGTAAACTCGATTTAACGATCAACAGTGGTAGGCTTTCCGCTCCAAGAGGTTTTATTATCCCTTTAGTACAGTGAAATGTTTATGAATGAAAACGTTCTAAAGGCGATAGCTAATTTGAGCATGGAGCTATTACTAATTCTATGATTTGATTACAAAATATACATGTGTATCCTCCTAATTTGTTGGTATACATGTACATGTACTATCGACAAATCTCGCAGATTCCTTACGTGAATATTCTCCTGAGTGCGAATCTTGGTGCGCATAGCAATCTCTCCACAAGGCACGCAGAGGGGAATGCAACAGAACTCCTTCAACCGAGACGCCAAGTAACAATCGAAGCATGGCAGGCAGAAGAAGGCCAATAGACCTGCAAGAGGAGTAGAGCAGTAACTTCATGGGTAATGCAAAGTTTAAAGCTGAAAGGTTTTTCTTTCAAATACTGAAAAAAAATCATGAAAATAGCACTTTGGGTTGATTGAAGTAGTCATTTTTTTCCCATTCTGTACACAAGTACTTCGAGCAGTGAAACACTGTAAGCCTATGCAATTATCCTTCATTTGTGCAATTTCTTTGTAGTTTGACATATTTATGATGCTGAAAGGGCTTAAAATAGGACTTAAAAGGATGAAATACCTGTTTAGGTGGAAAATAAAAGGTATTTCCATCAAATTCATTTGTACTCTTGTCACAGTATGTGCCGTGTTGTTTGTAAGGATTAAGACATGCACAATGCTAATTTTTGTGTACAGGATGAAAAAATGACTACTTTTACATAATTTACATTTTCTCAGCAACCCAAAGTGCTATTTTCATGATTTGTTCAGTATTTAATAGAAAAAGCTTTCAGCTTTTATCTCATACCCAAAACATAAAAATCCTTGATCTTTTTTTAAGGCAATGTTTTAGGGTTGCATTGAAAGTTTTGAACGCTTTTGATAGCTAGCCTTCAGTGTCATTTTGGGATTCCTTAAATGATGTCGCCAATGAATATCATAATGGAAGTACATCTATCAAAATGAAGACATAATTGCGGAACCTTCATGGTTCTACATTTCCAACTTTATCGCTCCCAGCCTTGTTTCGCTACGCTAGCAAACAATCATAATTATGTTGTCGTTTGCTTGCTCAACAATTACCAGTATTCTGAATATGTACTTTGAAATCTGAGAGGTCATGCTTAATTTATTTAAACTTACATGTTTTTATGTCTTTGGTGCATTCACACAATCCGCTTGACCAATCGTGTTCAGTCATCTGGTTCTGCATATTAAATTGTGCAAAATAGGATGATAAGGCTTGCGAAAGGAGGGAGCGAAATTGTTTGAAAAGTGAAAGATAATTGCGAAACTGGAGAAAAGTCCTGTAAAGTTTCAAAGCAAAGAATTAAGGTTCGAGGAATGTTTTTAAAATAACCTGTCACTGGATTCATATTGTTACGATAGCTTTTTTCCGAATCTGTCCCACTCCAAAAACGTGAAAAAAACCCTTGAAATCAAACAAACGTAATTGAAAAGCAGCTAGGGAAGACGCGAGGATAGACTTTTTATAAATTTGGGTTTCCAATGGATCAAAACCGATCACCACAATTTAAGAACTCTTTTCTTACGCGGACGACGACCGTTCGGCTTTCTCCCACCATAGGCTGTGTAGACACCACCGTTGTGGTGGTCGTGGTCCTTGTGACATTGCTACTCTCATCCATGGCAATTTGTCTTCAAAAACTGGGGGAAAAAGCATTAGAAATCAAACTCCATGTAATACCCGCAGTCTACAGCATTTTGGCACTTCATATCGGATTATTTTTCTTTTGAAAAAGGTGTCCATTACTTTTAACTCGCGTTTGAGTAAGTTGTGGTCAAAACCCGGTTCAGGGCGTTAGGAAGTGCGGGTAAGAATAATTTTCCTGAAAAAAGTGGTAAGTGATCAAGGTATTTGTAGAAGCTACCGTCACGGGTAAACCAGAGCAGATGTATGTTCATTTCGTTCGGGATGATGGCGCTTTAAATTATCATAAAAAGAGAATTCGCTGGGGTACCAGTTCACTATCCCACCCCACTTACTGGATACATAAACGCGACACAGTTAAGCGGGCATTGGTTGCATTCATAAAGCTAACCAAAATTAGTAGCCTGCTCTTTTCGTGCGTGTGTACATGTGGATTGAAACGTCGGACACAGATGGCTGTTGGTATGTGGAGTAGTAAACAGAGGCGCAGAGTAATGAATGGCAAAGCCCAGTGTTCAAGTGTCAAGTGCCAAGGCCGCGTTTGCCAACTGGGCATTAAGCAGGTGCGCCTCTAGCATAACGCAGTGCAGTCGCGGTGTCACAAAAACTGAATGCATGCAGAAATGCACGTGCGCATTGAAAGTTTTTGCATTTTATTTTTAGCAATAAAGATATAGCCTTCGTCTTTGTACTAGGTTAGATCTTTATTTAGATAATCAGACTTTCGATTGCAATCAATCAAGCTTTTGAACAAGATTAATCGAAGCATAATGCACTCCGAGCAAAGTTAAAATCATTTTTAATTGAAATAATACAATTAAAATCAAAATAAATAAAGTTAACCCTTCAATCATGCTTTAATCAGCTATGGGGATTCGAGGTAGCTGAAGCCCCCCCCCCCCTCTATTAAGCTTTATTAGTCTTGCACTAATTTCCCTAATTTATATCCAAAATAATGACATTAGCTCAATCATAGAGCAAGGAACACTCAAATGTCATGTAAATTTCAGCTACGACTATCCAATGTCACCATAAAATTTATGCACGTAGACCAACAATCCGGGCTCTGTGTCTATTTTTTTTTCACGAAGCCCCCCCCCCCCCTTCCCCCTTCAATGGTGAAAGCATCGTGCAATTATTGTTCAGATAATCCGTCACGGGGTATTTGGTAATAGCTTGCACAATACTTTCGCCATTGAAGGTGACCTCTTGTGCGTACAGGCAACATGCACATGCCCGGATTCGTCTTGTACCCATAATGTTGAGATCCAGGCTTCAGATATCGACAATTTTTTTTTTCAATTGGAAAAAAACCCCGTCCATTCCTTTCTCAGTTCCTCCACACCCTAGGCTATCGTGTTCACCAATAAGCATGAACAGAGCACCGTGGACAGGAGCAAGGGCGGATCCAGAAGACAATTTTTGGGGGGCCAAAAACATTTTTGGTCCCCCCAAAAGTGGGTCAAAAAATTACGGCGTGGGGTTTTTGGATTCTAGATGCTCTGTGGTGCGATCTGAGGCAATTTCTGACCACTTTTACCAATGTTTTTTTGAGGAAAAGATGGTGGTGTACTCATTGCCTGCCTTTATTGCGACGTCACATAAAAAAAAAATTGGTTTCCTTTTTGGGGGGGGGGCATGGCCCCCTTTGGCCCCCCCCCCCTGGATCCGCCCTTGGACAGGAGAATTAATTTTGATGTGAATTACTGATCTGATACACCGTGCCCTCTGGAGACGTGCACACATTAGGGAACAAAAGATTGTATACGTCTCCAAAGGGCAATTTCTATAGATGAATACATCTTCACAAGCCAATTTTCAATTTTCACGAAATTATGGATTTTACTCAAAAACTAGGAATTTCCAAGGTGGGTTGATCAGTCGCTAATGGAAGAGTTTTAGAAAAGGGATATTAAGTCCGAATTTCAGCCAAGGAAATTAATTCTGTTAAAATAAGAGCATTTTGAAACTTCACTTTCAAACTCGAAAACTTTACTACACGGGAACAAAGAAATGTCTCCACAGTGATACAAATTTCAGTATAAGTGACTACACATATTGGAAAGATTCCCATATCTATCTACATGTACTTCGGTACAAAACGCCTTCACAATCACCCATGTATTTAGGTTATTATTTTGTGTAACTTCTATAAACGTTCGTTGACTGTACAGAGGCCTTGCTCGATGCTAGAATGCTCAACCATGGAGGAAGGATATAGCTTGACACACTGACTTAAGACACACACACACAAGGTCCTGCAGGCCGTTTCTCGTGTTGACAGTGTACATGTACAGGAACATGACAAGAACAAGGCATATAGGCCTAGGTATGCATGTACATGTACATGTATATATGTGCTAAAGGAATTGTAGTAGTTGTACGTACCGAGTAACGAAGAAAGTAATCGGAGAATCAGGGCTCGACCAGATCCCAGCAACAGAACTACCAACGGTATAGACACGCCCTACTACATGTATATACTATGGCACTGTGTGTATTAATGCACCTTGTCAAATCATACAGTGTCTGGGATTTATTCTATGTCACAACAAGGTAAGGCCAAGCCGTTAAAGTTCTGCACAAACCTACGAGTGATGGTTTTCACACGGAGCAGCCAACCATGATGAAGATTATTGATATGGTAATAGGGGTCACTATCGACATGTGTACATGTCCTTGGTAAGGTATTACTACAAGCTTGACGGCACGCGGGAATTTACTGTAGGCCTACATACACTCGGGTTTGGGCTCGTGTTTTATAGTACGTGTATATCATATCATAACATGAAAGATAGACATCATACAATGTACGGTAGGCCTAATGCTCATAGATAGGATAAACGTATAATAAACTGAACAGGATTACTCAGTATTTGAAGTTCAAATACCAAGTAATCCTGCTCAGTTTATGGTTTATACTGCTGACACGAACTTTGTCAACTCAATGATGGAATTCTAGATCTGTACGAAAATACGAGAGATCAATATAAACAAGGGAACTTCCGACACCGGCATTTATAACTCGCCTCAAGTTTTAAATAATGCCATAAATGGCAATAAAACAGAGATAACTTTTGTGACCAAAAAGAAAATTGATGCATCCATCATGCACTTATATATTGTACCAATCATTGAAAACGATTGAATCGATCAGTTTTTATAAATGAAGCATGTTATTTACCCTCGCGTCACACAAAAAGGTTTCTATTTACAACAACTTATCTAGTAGAATTAGAAAAAAATGCTGCTGCAAACTTTATACGCAGTCTAAAATCCCAGATAAATCTACACTTCGGATTGAATAGAACCTTGCTCGCGAAGCCATCGCCTAGGGGAAGCACTAATGCACGCTCTCGTCACTGAAAGATACATGTACTGATAAAACGAATATTGTGATATTTTATAAACGGACGTTGAGCCATCTTATTGTTATACATTTGCGTTTTCTACCTACTTTATTTTCAATAACAAATGAAAAACAGGTGCACTAAAAGAGGTTTTTTTTTCTTCGTTTTTATTCACAGTTAACTCACGTTATGAATTATTTGAACAAAGAACTACATTATGAACGTGATAAAATCTGCCTCTTAATAAAAAGTTGGCGTCCCACCAACTGAGCATCAGAAGGGACCGTACAAAAGTGCAGATTTCAAACCTGAACCAAAGTTCAATTTGTTCAACTCAAGTTTGATAGAAGTAAACTGTTCAATTTCATTTTTTTTATTTCTATGCAATCTTAACTTTATTGGCGAACTTAAACAACACAGCACAAGTGATGTTATCGTACAAAAGTGAAATTTGAGCAACTTAGAGGCAAGTGGATTTAGGTATTACGAATCGCAAAAACGCGGTACTGCTGAACACTCTAATGAATCTTAATGCATTTAAAGCGAAGACAAACTCGTTATCAAAAACAAAAAACAAACAACACTAAAACTATATTTGCTGCGAACATCTTATTTTGAAAAATGTACAAATAAACAAGTCTACATTTTGCGCATCAAAACGACCCCCTGACTGAATTGAACAATGAGACGGCGATAGCTGGAACTGTTCAAATTTCTGAAATCCACCCACTCATCACCTTGGAAACGCTTCCGTGTTTAGTCGAGTACTCCGCGTCACTGAGTCTCTGGGACATGACCGGTAACCAGTGGCGGTTCTAGGGGGGGGGGGGGGGGGGGGGGGCTGGGGGGGGGGGGGGGGCTGGGGGGATCCCCCCCCCAAAAAAAAAATCCATAAAAAAAATGCACTAGCAAAATGTAAGAATGTGACGTACATGTGAACGGTCTCCCCCTAAATGAATAGTCGTGAGGAGGGTGCATTTGTACACTTTTAGTTAATATAGTGTGCCTGATTGTAGGATTTTATCAGCGCTCCCCATTGAAAATATGGCACGAGCCCCCCCCCCCCTCCCCCCCCCCCCCCCCCCCCCCCCCCCCCCCAATCACCACCACCTATTGATATTCGGAGTCCTAAGTGTCCGGAGAAAATAACCGGTCTACATTTCAGCAAGCCTTCCTGAAATATTGGCTCTAGAACCGCGCCTGCCGGTAACTTCAGTCCAAATCAACAATGCACAGGTTAGTGATGTGCAAAGGGGCGTAGTAATACTGTAGCGTTTGAAATGTGGGTTTCCATTTTTGCGAGTTGAGCTACTACTAAACTGTTCATCAAAATATACTCTTTTCAGTATAAATGTCAAATTAGTCTCTAATAGTTTACGAATAACCGAGGAGAGTTGTCTACTGTTTTGCATGATCAGTCGAGCTAAACACTACATCGACCAACAGATATCGCGGTACCCAAACGTATATATGCCATCATAGTTACAATGCATGTATATCCAAACATGTATATCCAAACTAAAAAAACACATAGTTTATATGAGTAGCAGTACATGAGGTTAGGCTATCAGCTTCAGTCCGAAAATTGGGCCACCAGTATCAAATGATCAAAAGGAGCAAAGTGTGAGCGGTGGCAGTTAGTTTTTGGTGTTATCACTTTTAATTTTGTTTTTCTTCAAAATGGCCGTCAATATGCTTGTTACCGGATTAGTATGTGGAAACATGCTGCCACCGCTGCAATGCTATATTTTCAAACTACATCGGTGCAAAGCTAATTGCAGAAAATCACAATGAGCATTATTCCCCTCATTTGATACCGCCCAAACCCCCAGGCTTATGGCCTAGGTAGCCCTCTGTGTCTCTTTCAAACACTATAACCTAATTAAAACAAGCAAATAATGTAGGCAATATGTAGTAGGCCTAGGCTTAATATGATTACAAAAATAATTCTACAGAAAAAAGCGGCAGCTTAAAAAGGCAAGAGTATGATAGGGCGATGCACATATTGAAATCATTTTAAACTTTCGGCATTTTTCTATTCAAATCTGACAAAAGGTCAACTATTCATAGCCATAGTCGTAGCGTCCAGCGAAGACATACAAGATGTGAGTCGCGTGTATGTGATATACCAATTATGCAAGGTTGACACTCAGAGACAGCCAGTTGTCAGTCGGTATTGTGGCAGGCTGTGACTAGATCTTGTGCTCGATGTGATCTAGCTCGCTGTTCATTTGGGCCAAAACACAACATGGGCAGAACGTCAGCTTCAAGCAGTCGTCACAGATAGATCCCTGTTTCAACAAAACAAATCAACAAATATTACCTTCTGACTTAAGACTATTCATGCAAATGAGGCGATAGTATACCATGCGTTAAGTTAGAAATAGAGATTGTGTACTGGATCCCTGGCTTCGGCTCGGTAACTAACTAACTTAATAAATTTACATGCACCAATCACAAAATCATGTATCAAAGCAGAAAGTTCTACAAGATGCCAGACCGAGCTGGGTTGGGAGTAAAGGGTTCCTGTTGTGAAAGTGTGCCCCCTGATAAGCTAGAGACGATAGCATTTTAAAGACTAACTAAGGCTAAATTATGGCTTAAGCTTTCGTAGCTAAAGCTACTTCATCATTGCATCTGATGAAGTACCGGTAGCTGTGTACCGGTAGCTGTGAAGCTGTAGCTACGAAAAGCTTATGCCATAATTTCAGTTTAGTTAGTCTTTAAAGTGCTACCGTCTCTACATATACATGTCACTGTATCTAACAGACTAACACGGCTGATAAGTGATAAACCTCAGTGATGCCTATATATTATTTGAGGGCAAATTGGAGAGTTTCCTTACACGAATGTTTTCCTGGATGCGAAGCTTGGTACGCATAGCAATGTCACCGCCGCAGGGGATAAAAAGAGGAAGGCATATGAATTCCTTCAATCGAGATGCCACATAGCAATCGAAACACGGCATGCAGCAGAAAGCCAATAGACCTGACAAAGAAAAAAAGGGAGTAGTTAAATAAGGCCAGAGAAATGAGTTTTCTTCAGGGTGTTGGATAGTGCTTATCACGTACAATTTTGTTTTAGTGATTTTTATAAACACGGCAATTTCAAAAATCGACGGTTCCTTTTTGCTTTTTTTTGCGTACACACAGTGCTTAATTTGTCCTCGAAATTAACATTGCCACAATGTTATAATACAGGAATTAAAATGAATACACAAATAAAAAGATAAATAAGTAATACAAAATGAAATACGATATAACCCATACGGTAACCCATTCAATATACAAGATGCATGTCTAAATAAACCAACCATTCAAATGCGTTTTTTTCGCCACCACTGCAATATATATCCCAACATACTTATGATGTGGAATGTGTCTCATGTTCTTTAAAATTCAAACGCTCTGAGAGGAGGTTGAGTCAGAATATACTCACATGCTTTCTTGTCTTTGGTGCATTCACACAATCCGCTGGACCAATCATGTTCAGTAGTGTGGCCCTACATACCAAATATGAGAAATATACCATGCAATTAAACAGGCAATTAAACACAGAGGAATTGATAAAGCAAACGTAACATTTTGTATTAAAACATATTTCTCAGCGACTTGGTGTGGGAGCTTTGAATGTATGTATAAACCTGGGTACTCAAACATATTCCCAAGAACTAATTTCTTACGCGGACGATTACTGTTCGGCTTTCTCCCACCATAGGCTGTGTAGACACCACCGTTGTAGTGCGAGTAGTCTCCGTTACGGTGCCACTTTCCATGATGACTTCCGTTCAAATTCTATAATACAAAAGGACAATGTTGTATGAATTACATTATTTAATGCTATCTCTCTTTATGGCGTTTTTTTTGTAGTACGACAGAAGGTAAGTTTACTTCAATAGACCATTACATGTATCATCATGATGCGGCCAACTTGATTTTCCCCCATTCAAATCAACGTAACCAAAGCGAGGCTGGAACTTCGGAAAATAGTCTGATTCCTTTTTGCGCAAAACATTATCATTCAGTACTGTTATTGGATACAGGGAACATGACTGAAATGGTGGTAGCATGATAAAGATCATTCTATTCTATTTCAGCGCGGCGGGGCTAAATTTCTGAATATAATATATGAGCCGACCTACTCAAACCATCAGAAGATCGAATTATGTGCTCACCGCGTCATTCCTAAAGAAATGGGCATTGAAAGGATGCAACTTCCATCCAAAAACAAGATGCATATTATGTCAACGCGTCATTTATTAATCTTGCACCATATCTGATTGCTACGTAATTCAAACGCTCTTGCTGTTAAGTTGAACACCGCCCTCTCGTGATCACTAGTTTGGCCCATAAAGTCTCACATTTTTGTGTTGCCCTGTCCCAGTGTTGACTTATTGGCCCCTTTTATGTGTTCACGTTCAAGTAGAATGTAGACCTAACAACTGAACAACGAATGCCAACACATTGTGAAATATTGTCGCTGTGTCAAATGTCAAGGACGCACTGTGAGCCTCTCCCGCGCTCGGCCTGGTATAGGCACGCGCAGACGGCCCCATGGGAATGGGGACATTATCGGCGAACCGTGTCAAAAGGAAACGTGTGAACACGACCTCGATCGCTCCTCGCAAAGGTGCGCCCCAGCCGGTTTAGCAATGGCATCTATACATGTATTCAGATTTGTAGGGGGGTTCTGGTTAGCTGTGATGATCGAGTGAGCAAAGCTCTTTTAGTGAACTACTCAAATTAAGTTATTGTTTCATTGGAAACCTAATTTATTGTATCACTTTTGGGGGAATTTGCAAGTTTAAAACTGCTTTTTTTTTTTTTTAAACGATTTAGGCCTACTCATTGCTACATTTTCTTCACCAATAAACTGATGGTTAAATTTGTTAGCATGCCTTCTAACGATGGAAATTCGCAATGCAGGAATCTCGTCTTATAAAATTCTTAAAATTGTGGATATAGTTGGCAAAATTTTGTCGGATGGTCAAAGCAACTTTTGAATCACAGGTGGTCGGATAATTTCATGAAAATGTGTTCATATGATTGAATTACTGCAAAGGCTTAGTGCGCCCCTTCACGGAAGCAAGTTCGATCTTCACTCATGTAGCGTGTGTCTCACGTTATCAAACTATAAGGTCTGCCCATCATATTTCTCATCTCACTGGGTGTCCTGAGTTACAATCGTTAAATGTACATAGGATGATTTATTACTATTTTTTTTTTTTGGTTTGAAACAACAAAAATTCCTCGAAATTTTAACTTGCATAACAACTAAGTTGTTGAGGGTTTCAGCTCAGTGCATACTATATATATATTGAGAAAACAGAGAAAACAAATATGTCCTGCAGGTCTCATAAAACTGCATTCCGGTGCTACGTAGGTTAAAACCGTTCTTAAGCCACCTTTAGTGATTGTTTTCTTCCGAGTGATACTATTTCAGGTGGAGCAGGTCTATCTTCACTTCAAGGATTTTCTCGTTAAATCGGTAGGTACATTTCCGGGTAATTGCAAATGTTCCTTAGCTATATTAGGCTAAATGATCAGATTTTGAAATGCAGTATTTATCTCCAAAATCGGTTATCAATAGGCTCAACGGTTCATAATAGGCTCACATTGTAAAAAGATTGCGAACAACGCCAAATGTGCATAGAACATCAACATATAACATTTTGTGCGTGTGTACACATTGAATAATTATTGGCAGCAACTCCAGACTCAGAACAACTTTTCCCAGCCTTCCGGGGGTACACGCCACAGCCTGCCCCTCTGTCGCGTTGACAGAACATTCCAGACAGACGTTTACTTGTAGTGAAATTAAGGAATGATGTTACTTACTCGATATCGATAGATGATGATAAAAAATCTCTTGAATCTGAGCAGCGCTTCAAGTACGGAGACACGCCCTACTCTGACACTGTGTGCAAAACTACAATGTCCTGAATATACGTCTACCTGATACCTGAACGACGGAGCCAATCGTAAAAAAGTTATACACAATCTCCTTTATGAGTGATGTTTTCACAATGTTCAGCCAACCATGGTGCACACATTGATATGGTAATGGGGTCACTATCGACATATCCATTGTGTACATGCCCTTGGTAAGGTGTTGCTTCAAGTTCGATGGCAGTAGCCCGGATTATGCATAGAATCGATTGTGCTCGACCGTTTCATGGGAAATTTTTATAACTCATTTGAATATGGTTGATCTATATTCAGCGGTATAGATTTTAATCACGTGACAAAGGGAAAACTCCATACACCAACGTTAAAGCTATACTTTTGTCTTGAAATCGTCAAAACTTTTTTCTTTTTCTAATTGTTTACAAACCTATTTTCAAAGTCCCTGGTAGCAGCAAATCCGCATGTGACATTTTATTGTGGGAAATAACGGGTGCACCGTACCGATAACGATAGCACACGTGTTTGAAGCCTCAACAAGAAATATTTGTGATTGGAATCAAGGCTAGCACTGCAACGATTGGAATCAAGGCTAGCACTGCAACGATTCGGTTTTTAGGTCCAAACTTTTCTACCCTAAAATCCCTTCGGGCGAAAATTGCCAAAATCGGCATTTTTTTCCAAAGTAGGCTATAGCAGTGCGCACATATTTCACCTCAGTCTCATTGATCATTCCAAGTCCAACTGTCATATTTTCGTGTGAAACGCGTTTTAGAGCCCTGAAGGGTGCAATTCAAACCGAAAGTGATCCTTTTTTAAGCATAACTTTTCTGAAATTGATAAAAGCTGATACGGAAGGGGGGGGGGGGCATCCATTTTCCAAGGGGACGCTAAATGCAATGGGCCGAGGCACGGGGGGGGGGGGGGGACCCGGGAAAAGGGAGGGGGACCACGGATATCCGCTTGGGGGCATGGTTTTAGAAAGTGTACCAAAAGAAAAACCGAAAACGAAGTACATGTATTAAAATCACTTTTATTCACGAAGTACAAGTATACATGTCTTGAAATTTGCACAAAATATACATAGAGTAGAGCAACAGCGTGCAAGAAATACATGTAGTAAAGGCCTTAAATTTTCAAAGAAAGGTACATGTAATTGTTTGTTTCGTTCCAAAATGTATTACAATTGTACAGCGGATCGCTAACAAAGTACATCATTAGTGATTTGTTGAAGAGACGTTAGAAATCCGCTGGTCCTCGTGAATGTGTCCTATTGATCCTGTGTGCAGAGCCACTGATGCATTTCGACTCAATGAGTTGATATTCCGCACAAATACACGTGACGAGAGAATTGAATATTCTTAAAAATGTGGCCAATGTGACAAGGCAAGAGTTTATAGCAATTTCGTGTCCGTAAAGACTTGATTTTCCTCATTGTACAGGCCGCGTTCAGAGGTAGCTAGGTACCCCCTCATCGTTTGAAAATTAATATGAAACATCATTGCGAATGATACGGAGCATATACACCTCGCACATGCGAACCAGCTCAGAAGTGCTCTCACTTTTAACCTGGTTCCCGTCCCTCCAATTAAGTCTACAATGTAATTTATGATACATAGAATATAGTTTCTGGAACATCATATGCATGTTTGTTACTAAGAATGTGTAGCGAAGGGAACCGGATCCATTATATTGTATTTGTTCAAATTCGCTCGCGCTTCCCTGTGTACACATGTCAAAAGTATTCGACGGAACAGTGGCGTAAATCTCTGCCGGCGAGTTAGTGGGATGGGGGATGACCAAAATCTAAAAATTGCCCGCCCGTGTGGAAATTCGAAGGGGGGGGGGCTGGTGCTGGACACCACATTACACTAGGGGCGCTCTTCAGGAAATATATCAACATGTATACTCGCGCTTACATCAAAATAGCGCATTTTAAAAGTTTTTGAACTTTGTTTTCCCACTTTTCAGTGCTATTGAATACATTTTGGATGTTGGGATGTTCGAAAAATACCTCAAAATCCGCATTTTTTTTCTCATCACGAAAAAGTAGGGGGATGATTCAATGGCCCACCCCCGGTCTAAAGGGGGGGGGGGGTATATATCCCACCCCCGAGATTTACACTCATGCGACGGAAACACGTATCACCGATTGCCATCCACTCGCCTTCCTGCATAGCGCCCCCACTCCACATCAGTGTCCGTTATATGACCCAAAACTAGTAGGGACAGTTTTTAGAGGATCAATTAGAAGCGAGCAGGTCTAGTCTAGTGGTTCACTAAAGCAACTGCAGTAAGATTACTTCACTAAAACAGTTCCCCGATTTTTCTTGGGCCCAATTCACTGGTTCCGGAGTTCAGATAAGGCTGTGACCGTTTCCAATTCGCGATAAATTGTGGATGGCTAGCACAAGTTTATCTACTTTTACGATTTAAGGAATCTACAGAGCAATTTCATAGCAAATCTCCAGCATCTCTCCCAGATCCGTGTTTATTTGTATGAACCTCTCTAGTCCATTGTCTGAGTAATGTTCCCCGCTAATAGTTCTAAGTTGATTGGTTCCAGTCACGGGTCAATATGAAGTTCCTCTATGCTTGGAGTAACGACAGGTGGACTACAGCCACATGTTTGTTGATGCACCGCTAGGATAGACATCAATTCCTGTCTCTCAGTCTCAAGTTCTTGAATCTCTGCCATTAGTTCTTGGTTGTTAGCTTCCAGTTCATCGGTTTCCTGCAGATCAATACCAACAGGGGATTCAATTATTGGTTTCAATTCATAGTAGAAGTTCAAAGGGTCCATGGAAATTAATCTTTCTTAGGAAGATATTTTGTGCAACTTTCTACACTCCTCTTAAAATGCATGAAAACTATTTGCCATCACTTTTGGTTAATTTGTATTGAAAAGTGCACTTCTTTAAACATAACAAAAATCATGCTTTTCCGGAAAACTGAGGGCGCTGTTGCTGTGATGTCATTTCAGGAAGACACTGTTCAGTGGTTTCCTGTTCAATTATTGTGAACCTAAAATTTGCTTCTTGAAAACATTTCTGAGAAAATTCTACTCACTACTGCCATACTGCAACAACTAATCACAAAAGAACAGAAAATTTACGACGGCAAAAATATAGTTTTGGTGCTGAAATAGCTGTAATGACGTCGCACTGTTGCTCGTGATATTGCAGATTCGTGTTACCATAAAAACCAAAATCCCCATTACAATGGCCAAAAAAAAATGCAAATAAGGTTAAGTGGGACACAAAGGTGTATTTTCACTGCATTAAAACCACCTTGCATGGGCCCTTTAGCAACCGTACAGCTAGCGCTGTATGAGTAGTACGGAGGTCTTAAATTTGGGCGCAATGTCAGTACACAGGCGATAATTGAATGAACAGATTCTCGCACGGATATAATTATTTTTCTGTCCAACTGTCTAACATTATTTTGAGAATTGTCGCAGTGCTCTGAACAGCAGCGCCTGAAAGCGCCTGAAAGCGCCGCCAAGCGCCCGCAGGAATGCTTGCAATAACAACATAAAGATCTTGTTAAGGTGTGTGCGGGGAACTTCAGTGAGAAATGATTCCAAATATATCACATTTACATGTTCCCCGGCGGGTGTACTGTATACGCGACATTTTCCCTCATCCTAAAAGCGCGACGTTTCGTTACGCGCTGTTCTTTTAAAAACTGGACACTTTCATAACTCGAACTGGTTGCAAATAGAGTACTGTTTTTACTCAGTGAATGCTGATGAATCAACCTCCTATACCTGAGCTACATTGCAAGCCACCAAAAATAGACGATTTTCATTTCTATCAAGCATCTATCACAAAAAGATAACGACAATGAATCTGACCAGAGGTCAACTTCATCTTCCAAGTCCAAAGAATGAGTATGACTTTCTACTCACCGTAACCAGAACGTATGTCTTTTCTCGCCGTCTCTCTCGGCATCTTGAGGCAGCGACACGGTTCCTCTCTCGTCGAAGTCTCCTCTTGCCTTCTTCTTCTGGTGTGAGCTGTAAACAAGGTCAACAAAAAGTCCTTAAAATGTCATAAAATCACTACAACTGTCAGGGTGGATCTATAGCTTTCAGGAAACAGGAGGATTGATATGAAGGGGGGGGGTGTAAATTGAGTTGAATTGAGTAAAAGGCGTGCCGATGGCATGCCTTGCTAGTGGGGCTGGGGAATTGCCCTCGGGAATATTTTCTGCATTCTAAAACAATTTGAGAATAAATTTAGGAAATGTTACACTCTATTTAATATATTGTGGCCCAATTTAACTAGGTCTATAGTCTCATAACATTACTAAGCGGCTGAACGGGGGGGGGGGGGGGGGGGGGGGTTGCCTAGATCCGCTACTGTAACTACAACTCGCCAAGTCGACAACATATAAAGATGCGGCCATATTGGTCTGGTGTCTGGTTTCTGGAATATGTTAGATCATTCAATCTTTCCTTATTCGGCACTGTCACCATGCTGTCTGATCCATTTTGATTTATCAGGCCGCGTCCGAATTACTTGGCTACGGCTGGAAATAACACAACGGGTCTATAAGAAGTGGCTGCACCCGCCAAACGGACACGGCCTCAGTTATTGGCCAAAGGTGGTTCAATTGGGATAAGGTTGGGCTGTTGCCCCAATCACCCCGATCCCATCCTCGGAAACTTTCATTTAGGTATTCGAATTTGTTTCATTCCAACATTAAATGCAAATATTTTACATAATCCAAAATACTTGACAGATCATTTTAAACTAAAGGGACACGGCTGCATACGGACGTACAATCCAATAAAATGCTTAAAAAGGGCAAGCTAACATGGAGTGAAGAGTTAGCATGGTCGGTTTTACAGACCTTATCTTTCTTTGCAAATCTCCACTCAAGTTGCACAGCACCCAGTCCTTTCTGTAACCGTCTCTGCATGATGTTAACTCGTAGTTCCTCTCTCAGCATGGTGTGGTTTAGTAAATCTTCGTCCGTCTCAAGTCCCGTAAGATATGATGGACTGGTCGGTGGTTCGAACCCTTCAGTTGTCATTGTTGCTGATGTAGTAGTAGTAGTGACTGCTGCAGCTGCTGCTGCTGCAGCGATGGTGTTTGCTGTTATCTCATAGTTGGCTTGATTCCAAGCTTCGTCAACACCAGGCATGATGATTGGCTCCAGACTGGTTCCCGTATCCATGGAGACTGAAATGTGCTTTACTTTCTGCATGGCGAAGCAAAAATGGTGAGTTAAAGACAAGATAAGATCGTGATGTTCTAATCATAGACGATCTCAGTCCTAACATAAGCCTTCAGATCCCGCGTTGATCCAGAATCGAGTAACGGTCGGTCACTTATAAAATCAGCTGCACATGATCTTTAATGCAAGAAAAAACTCGTCGATTTTCTATTGGTGTATTTTCTTTTAGTACGTCCATGCCAATGATTGTGAACCCACTAACATAATGATAAATCCAGACATGCTGTTGTTTTCTAAATAAGGTATACTCATGCAATTTTACTTTCTTGACGATTTGATCGCATTTTAAAATTTAAAATAGGCCCCAATTATGGGCCCATCTTTGAGCATCTTTGACCTGAAATTGGTATCGGAATGCAACTATATAATCAACTTGGGAAGAGAGAAGAAAGAACATGCTCACTTGCACATGTTTAACCATTTTCGCCATACTTTTAGCAATATTTAATGAAAACCATGCCTTAATTGCACTCCAATCTTTATGCCAGGGTATAGAGACCGATTTCCTTCCCAACTATTTTTATTTTTCGAAAATCATTAAAGGGAATATACATCATTTGCTTTTGCTGTAATTTTCAGAAGTAGATGGAATTGGGGGGTTGGAAATATATAGCAAATATAGTTACACTGACTTTTTTGAGGTTTTGGGTTCGAAAATGATATAAAAACCAAGAAAAACATCATTTTTCTGTAGTCTGGTTCCCTGACTCCATATAAGAAGAAACAGAGCAGTTTATATACATTGTGGAATTGTAAGGTCAGGGAACCAGTCTAGCTGGCTCGTACCCGTTCATAGGTTTGTAATCGATTGAAAACAAGTGCGATGGTCAATTTGGGCCAGTATTGGAAAAAAAGCAAGTTTTTCCAACGCTGATCGGCCGATCAGCGTTGGAAATTGATACAAAAATACCACTTTTCTTGAAAATGACAGTATACCAGGTGCCATGATTTTACAGGATGCTTTACACTGTCATTCACTAACAGTCCAGCAAGGTTTTTCAAAATGATTTGGTAGTTTTATTTTTGATGTTTGCAAATGTTGTATTTTCCCTTTAAGTATAGGTCACCTTAAATCATCCTGAACTGAATAATCAGGTCAATATTGTACTTCGCATGCGTTCTCGCACAATAGTTAACAAACAGAAACCTATTTTTTTCATCAGCGATGCATGGGCGAAAGCGACTGAGATTGGAAGGGCGTGTTTAGATTTGAAACCCACGCAATCACATAGGCGAGGTCACATTTTGTGCATCAGTTTGCAACAGAAAGTCATTAAATCGTGCAAATCCTATGTTGCAAATGAACTTTTAAGTTTTCTAGACAAAGTACCTTATTAAGTTAATGAATTTGACTCAAAATCCATGGCAATTGTTACAGAAAAACACCCTCCAGATCATGTCACATTTGAGCATTAAATTTGACACGTCGCGTAAAAAATAGATAATAAGCCTTGTATGTAAGCGAATACAAAACCAAACAAATATGTTTGTTTATAGTGATGATTCTGGGTTGGTTTTTTTGCATGACACAAACATCAAGTTTCAATTCAGAGAAGGACATATCCACACAATTTAGTCATACATTTCATAATAAACACAAACAATATTTCCGTAATTAAATAAGCACAATAAGGTTTGTCAATGACTAAGTTCGTTTTAAACCACAAATCGCGTAGTGAGTCGGACCCGGCCGTTATTTAATAGAAAGTGCTTTTAAACTTTGAACCAGATCCAGGGTTGGGAAATGTAATCACTGAGGATGAAACAAACCTGGCACATGTTTTTAATTGCTTTTCTCGAAAGTGAGAGCTTTTTTTTTAATGTCCAGCTTTCACCTCGCACAGCCCAATTTTTGTGTTCTTGATTAACGGGAAAAGAAAATGCGATGTATACGAAAAGTGCTGAAACCATTAGAATGCTCAGATTCATTCTAGGCTCCCCCCCCCCCCAGACTTTTTTTTTTAATTTCCTGACATTGCAATCAATGTCCTGATATTGCTATCTAACGAAAATGCGTTGTAAGTTTTTTTGTTAAACGCTTAGAAAACACAACGTTATAAACGTGAATTATATCCGTCGGATATTAGCTAAGGTAACATTTTACAATCTAACAATACAACTTTTCAATTTAACGATCCGTACTATAATTCAAAAATGCTCAGTCCGATTGTTTTATTTTCAACTTACCATTACTTATACTCTTGCAAAGACAATGCTCATGATTTAACGTAACTATGAAGGTGCTAAGACAGTAAAGTTTAAATGCATGATAATTATCCATTGTGACAACGTTGAGCTACCTTGGAAATGCTGGATGAAGGAAATCGAAAGTTTGATATTGCACTAAAAAGACAAGTGGTTTGATAGGTAACATATCCACCTGTTAACAGTTATACTAATACACTGTAAACCCGGAAATATATGTCCTACCTTGGCCCTAAAAACGGAACAGTGAGGCCAGGTTGAAAAGGTACATGACACATCGACACACAAAACGTTTAGGAAAACTGAATGAACTGCACTCAAAAGGCACAGGACATACGAATAGTGTTAGGTTTTAATGGGTTTTTAATGTATGATTTTCAGTGTACCTCCCACTTTTTTATAATGGTAAAATGTTCTTGCACCTGTTTCTAGTAACATGTTTACATGTTTGGTAATTCTAAGATTACTTATAGCGTGTGACTTGCTTAGTGTGTGACTGATCTCTGACCATGAAGGTGTGTTTCTTTGTTGGCTTCCTTAGTCTGTCTGTTTCTTTGTTGAGGTGTCTGAATGTTTGTTTGGTTTGTTTGTTTGATTTCTCTTTCCTGTTTTGGTTGTTTGTCAGTTGCTTTTTTTGTTTGTTTTCTGTTTGTTTGTGATTGTTTGTTTGTTCGTCCTTGTTGAATTTTGAACGGTTAATGCTTGTCATGTTGTTGTTTACCCGGCGTAAATTAAGTATATTTTTAAACATAATTTTGACTGTATACTATTATGACTTATTTTAATAGTTTTGACTGTCAAGAATCCATTTTACCTTGTAATATAACTGGCCATATTTAAATATGAACGTTTTACTAATACCAACCTTATAGTTTCAATTTTATTCGTATAAGTTAATTAAGTTTTGTTTAAAAGTTTATATGATGTATTTTGTCACTTTTAGATGTTGTAATTGATAACGAATCCAACCCTTTAATGGTTGCCAATAAAATGATCCTATAACCTTACTTTCCGTGAATTTGTTTCAATTTTGGGCGTCTACGACCCTCTGAAAAAGGCTTTTATATTGGGTTACTTTTGCGCACCAGATCTGCCATACGAGGCTGGTTCCCGACCCCACATAATCGATTTGAGAAGGGGGGGGGGCGGGAACAACCCTGCAAGAACTGAATTATTGTCAGTTAATTATTCCATATTACTGTTAACGTTGGCCGATGTTTTTTAGTCCATGTCTATATTAACTTTTATAGGTTAATTGTAATGTCCGGTTTTTGGGGGATGAACCCGCAAATAGCACGAACAGCATTTTTAATGTACAATAATTATGTGCACGGTCAAGGTATGTAGCTGGGATTGGGGTCAGCCAAATCTAACACAACGGCTTCAATTTTAATATAGAACCACACCAACCAACTTGTCACTAGCATTATTCTGCCAACGAATGTCCATCTCCCGTTAGAGGCATAACCGGGGGGGGGGGGGGGGGGGGGGGTGGCTATACCGATCGAGGTCTGTACCCGCCGTGTATGCCCAACCGCAAAACCATCCTCCGGAAATATGGAGTAAAAAATAACAAAAACAATAGCAATGTGCAACGAAATCTATTGAGTTCATTCCTGCCAATAGATTAGGTTTTCAAAGGCAAATTGGAGTCGAACTTTTTCTTTTTGGCGCATGAATCGGCCGAGTTGTGTGCCTGTCGTGGATCAAAAGGTGAGCAAGATTCTTAATTCAAGTCAAAACAGTGTGTTAACACCGTGTGGCCTCTGTACATGGTGTCCCAACAGCCCAAAAGGTAACCCACAAACAAACAGATATGATGATAAATCTATTAACTCAATGACCATTTTATGGTTTTATCATTTATTAGGCTGCTTGGGCAGTAGGCTTTCTCTTGATATCTTGGGAGGCCATTCTATCACGGCATGATGTCCCCCAAAAGTTCCCCTATACGATTCCTCGCATTAATGTGTCTGTGTGGTGGGGCATTATCTTGTGCCAGCCAAAGATGCCAGAAGGGTACCATTTCCTTTGACTTTCAAAATGCAACTCAGCAATTTAATGGGTTGGGGGGGGGGGCAAATGTCCCTGCCCACCCTCGAGAAATGATAAATCGAGAATATGCTGGAAAAGTACAGGGATTTTTTGGGGAAAATGTGCATTGCCCCCTCTAGAAAAATTGTTACTCTACAATGTAATGTATCCCGTTGTGGTTGAACACTATACCCTGACTGGACGGGCTCAAAATTAATCACAAAATTATGATCTGAATGGAGCAGAATGAAACCAAAACCATCAGTTTCATTGCTTAACTTTTTGGGGGATCACATCAATAATTTCAAAAAAGAACGACGAAAGCGAAATGTTATCATTTGTAAAAAACAAAACAAAACATTATTATTTTAGTTTCATTGATGAAGGAAATAAACAAATATCAAATATAAGCAACTTTAGACTAAATATCTAAAATACGTTCAACTTTTGGTTATACTCCCATCAACTCTACATGCATTGAGTAGACCTTAAGTGCTCCTGCATAAAACGGTTTGAATCAGCATTACTGAGAGGATTTCATTAAAATGACTGTCTGGTGAAATGTATCGGCCGCATATGCCAAAGGATGTGTGTTGGTCAAAGTAGGTTTCATATCCCAGTTACTAAATGATCGGTAAATTTTACTGGAAAAAAAAAGGTTTATCGAATCTTCGACTACCAACATTATATGGAGTTCATTAAAGTTGCTCTCTTATTTTTGAGTTTCACTTCAAAAATATTTTGTTTTAAAGTTGCTATCTTTCTAGCTAATACAAACGTTATTCGCGTTTTAATTATGGATACCGAACAAGAAAATCATCCAAGGTCTAAAATAAATAATTATTTAACTTTTGAACTATTTGTGACCCAACAGTAAATCAAGAATATAATTGTGTGCGTTATGGGCGCGGAAGCAAACCCCAAATAAAAGCATGTTTTCAGAGAGTTGTTACGAACACGTCCAAAACAGACAAATATGTTAAGGAGCATGGGTTGTATATTTATTATGCATGTGTATAATTCATCATATTTACATGTAACATCTCTGGTTATATTTCTTGAACTATGTTTTTGCATCTGATGTTGTTTAATTTCTCATAGAGTAATAGTTTTTTCATAAAACTGTTTTTGGTGATAGAATAAAAGAATTTATTTAAACTCTATACCTAGTGACAACACCCTTGTAACCCCATAATAATGTACCACATGCAGATTTATATCAAAATTATCATGAAATTCATTTGATTTCGTTTAAGCAAGTTTTTGTTAAGGGATTTCGCCTGTCGTTCCCTTTCGCCAGTCAGCAAACTAAGCATTATCCATTTTAATTCATTATTTGGACAAAAGCCTTTGTCTGAAGCAATTTTCAAATTAGCACACAAAAAATAAACAGATGAAACACGATCGTCATTATCTCATTCATTTGAAAGAGAAATAGAGTTAAAACCGAGACTTCTTTTAGTTATTTGATCCAAATAAGAATCAAACATATGATACCTCCTTGTTTATAAAGAACCGAGTTAAACGAAATAATTGAAAAGTGAGACATTGCCGTGATCTCGTCACACAAAACGTATCTGACGTAGGCCTATTGATATTGATCAAAATAATTTATACGAAGCCGAAAGAATTCTAATATATATCTAGACCAAACGAAGCGTGTTTATATTATAGATGACGGCATCAATCGAAAAAAATCCCACCGATTTAGTAATTGCGAACGAAGTGGGAAACAAAAGGAGACGATGTTATGAATGACATCCACGGTAACGAAATCAACGTTACATATAGGCCTATATAATCCCTGATAATGAAAATGGATTATGGGAAATGAAACCTGTCTCTGTTCGGAACTTTACAGGGTTCGGAAAAGTGGACCTGTGTCAAAAAATAAAAAGTAAGTGGCTCCGTTGCTTTTATTATTAATAATTTCAATGCGATTAATTCAATGTCTCATTTATGTCATATTTTCGAGAATCTCAGAGGCGCTTATGCGGACTCTATCCCAAAGACGGAAGGATTTAAAATAAGGAATGAAAATGCATCAACGAACACATATCTTGAGAAAGATTGTGCATGCTAATATTGAATGGTCGTTAGTCAATGTTCAAGTCGTTAAGCTGTTACTTTTGCCGCAAGTTCTTTTTATACATTTCTAGTGAGGCTCTCATAAAAGTTAGAAATATCAGAAAAATCCATTATGTTCAAGGCTTGTTTTATAACGTCGAAATAACAAACACACGCACGGCATGCATGGACACTTGGACAGATATTGAGAAATCAACATTTGAAACTATGATGTTCATTGAACTTTACCACCGTGACGCCAAACAATGAACATTCTGAAAATAGACTTCGACATTTTTTTTTCAAAAAGGATAAGTTCCAAGTAGTTGTTGAAATTTGAACTCGGACAGCCAACAAACGCACAAGAAACCATTCGATTTCCAGCACCTGGTCAAAAGTAGGATATCCTGGGTAGGCCTAATATCGTTGCCAAAACTAAGGAAAGTAAATTTGATTACATGAAATAATTCAAACAATATGAGGATATCCCTAAGATTACCGAACAATTCATTTGAATAACATAAATCGAACTCACCGATTAAAGAAAATGACTGCTCAACTACGGCTGCTTTATATCGGGAACAATTCAATCACCATGCAGTGAAGGTCTACCAGCAGAAAGACAACAACTCTACCGGGGTTCAGTCCCGGTCGGCCTTTATATATTAGCCCCAGGAATATGAGCGGAAGTCAGGAAACGCCCGGCACTATGGGTTTGGCACGTGGTAGAAATATAGTAGTCCACACTGTACTTTTATTACGCAGATTCTTTGATGAGTCAGAGGTTTTTTGTTTTTGGGATAGTCCTCTGAGCTAGATGAGTAATACTTCCGAATGAGGATTCCCTTGTTGTGGTGTGGTGACCAATACGATTCTAATGATTCTAACAGCCAAACGGAATCCCCAAAATAAACCGCATTCAACAAAAGGATGAGCCGTTTATGGCACAGTTCAGATTGCAAATGTTCACATGACTTGGCAAAGATAATGCAGCGAATTATGACGAACTTAGGCCAGGCATTGAACCCCGGCCTGATTGATCGAGATAGGCGCGTCACGCGCTGACAGTCACGTGAATAGCGTACGGTTGCTGGCACACTGTTTGCAATACTCCCTTTATATACAAATTTGTGCAAATGAACTATAATGTACACGAACCATTTGTTTTTGGTCAGTGCAATATCACATTCGGCTCATCCTACACAATCCTGAATCTACGGCCCAGGGCCTCCTACAAATAAGGTTCGATAAGAAATTTCGACTCTAGTAAAATTGATAGAATTTTGAAGTCCGTTATTCAACATCTAAACTAGCCTCTGCTTTAATAAAGACTCGTATTCAAATTGACACCTGAAGATCTTGTCTTTTTGGAACAGTCTTGTCGACTTGACGTTTACTCCAATCAACACCCATAAAAACAGAGGGTTAAAAGAAACCACGCACGTATGTAGTGTTGATCGGACTCAGAATTCAACTCAATGAGCCACCACACCTCCATTCCCTGCCCATCCATAACCTGAAAGGCAAGCACCAAAGAAGGGAGGGGACGCGGCGGCAGCCTAAGCTTAGCTGCCGAGAACAGCCAGACGAGCCTCGTGTACCTTTACGGAGACAGGCTAACCTGGACTTCGCGGACTGATGTTCATGCCGTAATTTTACGAAATTTTACGGAAAAAAAACGTGTCGACATTTCGGCACGGATGTGCCCCCCCCCCAAAAAAAATGCTGGATACGCTGCTGCCCCGACGGAAGATGCCTTTTACTGAGCAAGTGCCCCTTTTTGGTGATGCCCCCCCCCCCCCCCCCCCGTTCGAAAACCGTTCCGCCGCCGCTGGCTGAAGTCCGGTAAGCGTTGGTAGGGCGAGAGGGTTGCAAGTACTATGAGCAAGTCCGGACGTGAACTAGTTCGACTAACTTCGCTCAACGAAGGATGGTCTAGTCGACTATTTGGAACCAACGCCTGGTGCACGTTTGTCGCTGGTCACCAATAGCTGCGCACATCACAAAGCACAAGCAAAAACGGGGTGCCATGACTTTTGACCAGCGTTTGACTAAAATTGCGCGTTGCTACTAGTGCGCAGGGCCGCAGGCATACGTTACGTCACAACCCACTAGTCGATGGTCCTTGTCCGAACTTACTCCATGTTGACGGAAATGCAGCATTTAACCACTGAACGTTTAACTTTATCTCACCGTTATCTGAATTTTTACAGGGTTAAATAATGTTTCCATGTTTCTTCTGTGATTTTCAATTACAATTATTTATGAGGAGATAAGAATATAGGCCTAATAATCTTGACGATGAGTCATTGGTATGGCCTTTAATAAACCTCGCACATGCGCAAATCCGTACCCCATCACGTGATGGAAGATTGTCTTAATAGTTCTGTGTATAGGTAGAGCCTACTTGAAATAGCGCCTTTGAAGAGAACTACCAGCAGGTTTTCGAGATGGAAGTTACACAGGCCTCTTTTTCGGTACAGCCACTTGATACCTTTTCGGGGGATGACACATCATCAGGATTCCTGTACCAGGCCTGCCCTGCCGTCTCGTGTGGATGGTTTCGACACAATCAACATCCATAACTATACAGCTAAAGTAGGCCTACGGGCGCGGCTACGACAGATAGGTGACGGGACTGTGCCTTTGACGATACAAGCAAGGAATTTGGCACACAGTCGAAGTATGTCAAGACAAAGATATTTGGCTATAGGGCCATTGTCCTTTGAAAAATATAGGTAGAACAACAAGCAATGGCAGCCATTTTGACAATTTCGAAAATTGCTAGTTATTCTACCTATACTTTTTCAAAGGACAAATCTGCGATGGCCTATATAGCCAAATATCTTTCTTTAGACATACTCTGACAGCGTTCTAAATGCCATGTTTGTATCATCGAAGGCTTATTCTCCCAACTAGTTCCCCTATCTGCCCCACTAGGATGGGGACGTATCATAAGTCCGACGCCTCATAGGTCCGACGCCTTATAAGTCCGACGCCTCATAAGTCCGACAATGGACAAATGCTGTTTCGGACTTATGCGGCGTCGCCGTCGGACCTATGAGGCGGAATTAGGTCCGACGCCTTAAGTCCGAAATTTCGGACTTGTGAGGCGTCGGACCCATGAGGGTTACAGTATCCTAGGTTACAATCGGGTTTTCTCGTCAGCCCCACTCCCGCACCCATCCCTATGAAGTTCGGCCGAGGAAGTAGGGAGGGAAGAACGAAGTCATTGGACAACGAAGTTTCAATCTTGCCAAAGTCATAGTCCCCCCCCCCGTTCATTACCCCATGAGACAATACTAGCCTCAAGACACTGCATAAGCTGCATGAGGGGAAATTCCTTTGCAATGCAGTCATCTTCTCAATGATGGCTGCTGAATGCAGAAGCTCTTTAAAGAGGCTAACAATGCAAAGAAATAAGCCTATAGTTGACTCTACTAGGCTCTATCCACCAATTTTTAATTGATTAAAAAAGTAAAAACAAAGTCGGACCTTTGCAGGGGATTGGCACGCGTTAAGGTCATCAAAACCGCATAAATAGCCTGATGAATCAACTGACGCAACTTCCCGCCAAATTCTGCCAGTTTTGATTTGTTTTCAATCAAGTATGAACCACCATGGCCTGAACTACCACAAGGTTTCTAGCTACAGGATGTACCGAGGACACGATTGCTTCCGGAGATGTACCCACAAAAGCAATGACAGACTGGAATGTAAGTGACTCACGCACTGGATGCAAAAAGCATGTATAAAAACATGACATAAACAAGAGAAACAGATGTGAAGGTGGGTGGCTCCTGTGATATGGGAGGGTTTTGTTATGGCAACGGGCCGAGGTAAGGCGGTTTTCTTTGAGTGTTTTGTTGGACTGAATCGAGGGTGTATTGTTGGTAGCGATAATGATACAAAAAACTCTGATTAAGCAACTTTGGAAGTATAAAAAAATAGAAATACATGTACATGATAAATTATAGTGATCAACACAGAACGCCCAAATGCAAACGTTAACGTTTGCTCTTGAGGGAATGCGTAAGCTTTACATGCTGTGCAGTCTACTCTCACGTTAGTTCTACATGTCTTGAAGAGTTTCATTACAATATTTTTTGGTCACCTGTTTATGCGGATTGTTTAAAAAGTGATTCCAGAGGTTGAAGTCCCGCTTCAGTCGATTTGTTTGTCCAACCTTACAATTCTATTATTTCAAATTCCGTATTCCTATTTCATTATCCCTTGTGTGGTGGATTGAAAAGTTGACGTTTTAGCCCAGTGGATACTTTGGGGGAAGCGCAACCCGTGAAAATGTTCACCCCTCCCTCAAACCTTTCAGCTGAGATTACCAACACAGTCAAAAGACAATTACCAAAAAGGTCAGACCAGAGTAATTGGAGGGGTGCAGGTTATGTGCCTCATGTTCATATACGGTACAGTAATCGCTTTAATGTACCGGTATGTGACGCATAAACTACCAAGTGGCAATGTTTTTTTTGCATAAGTTTACATTTATTTCATAATTTTTTCGACAGGATGCTAAAACTTCACAACGACTTCTCTTGACCCAAACCCTACTAGATCCATGGGCGTAAATTCCCCCACCCCCAACACTTTTACCGGAGGGATGGGCCATTGGATCATCTTCCCATATTTTTTGGGTGATTTAATGACATTTGATTAATAACTCCACAAAATCAATCGAGTTTGCTTCAATCAGGCATTTTGATTTTATAATCCAGATCCTTCCGACTTTGAATCAAGTAAAAAAAAATTGATTGAATTGTAACCATAATGTGACAAATAAAGTTTTCCAAACACTGCTTTTAACCTCTCACACGAAACCAACCGCTCTGCTTGGACATTCTCTTTTTATTCTAACAGAGCAAAGATGTTGTCAATATCTGATTCCTGGTTGTTAGATTTTACAGGTTCTCTTCTTGTTATCTGGCCGAGATCACAAACTAGCGACGACTCCGATTGATGTTTCTTTGATTTCTTGAAAATCCCTTTCAAGCTGACACCACTTTCTGTCACTTCTCTTTTTCTTTTAACTGCCTTCTTTTTGGTCTTTATTTGGTCCTGATGTGGTGCCTGTGATGGAGAAGTGGGGAGAAATTTCTCAACAGGCTTTTCTTGCGAGTTTCTGTTCTTCGATTCTCTCTCATCGTTATGCTGTTTCCGTTTGTTATGTTTTACAAATTCCTCAGTTATATTGCTTATTCGATTGCTCATCTCTTCACAAATCTGGGGATGTCTGTCCTCACTACTACTTGATAATTTCTTGGATTTCTTCTTGTCTTTGGCTTTCTTTTTGAGTTTCTTGCTGGTTTTGGATTGACTAGTTTCAGGCGGACAAAATGTCAAAGTGAATGGGTTTTCCATATCATGAGCTACTGATGAGACAATCGGGTCTTTTGCTTCATGTTGTCTGTCTTCTATCTCCTGTCTCTCCTTAGATTTCTTTGGCAGTTTCAAGCGACTTTGAAATCCTTCTGCTTTATCCATTTGATCTTTATGCATCCCTTCAACTTGTCCTTTGCATGCACTATCCTTGCTGTCAGTTGCCAATGCTTCCTTGGTAACTTTCCGTGTGCCTTTCAGTTTCTTCCTACCATGGCCAACCTCTGACCACCCTACAGAAGCTGCAGATCTCTGCTCTTCACCTACTGGATTCAGTTCATCCATCGACAGTTCTAAGTCTGGATTTGTCTTGTCATTGTTAGCCGAAGGATTCTTAGTCAGCTTTTCAAATGTCTTCTTCAGACTCTTCTTCAGGTTTTTCCTCCAAGTTGTTCGTCTCCCCTCTGGCTCTCTATTGCTTGAACCGGCCACTTTGTTAGTTCTACTTTCTGAATCACTTGCCAGCTCAGTCCGTTTCTCTTCTCCTTTCAGACGTTGTTTCAAATGCCTCAAGATTCCTTTGGATTGCTTCTTGTTTTTCATTTGTCCCAAGTCAACATCTTCACTATGTTCTATCTCATGGGAGAATCTCGACTCCTTCATGCAAGTTTCTGGCTGGACAATGGTGGTTCCACTTGCTATTCTCATAGTCGGATCTTCTGGAGTCCAGCTTTCAATCTCGCATCGTGACTTCTTTGTTGCTGGTTCTTGAAGGTAATCTGAGTCTGTCTGCTTCCTTTTCCTGTTTTCAGACAGCTCCCTAGCTGTAATCGGCTCTGAAATGCAAAAGCAAGATATAATTGTGATTATGAGGGTTGGAGATAAACTGTTTATAAGATGACTTACATATGAATATTACTAAGGGAATAAATGTGTGCTTCGGAGGTTTTTATCACTCTGTTTAATACCACTTAGAGTCTGGGTGCTGATAATTACCCGAGCCGGAGGCGAGGGTAATTATCAGCACCCAGACTCTAAGTGGTATTAAACAGAGTGATAAATACCGACGGAGTACATATTTATTCCCATTCATAAATACCTTTTCGGTAAAAAAAAAATAATATAATTCGTTCAAAACATCCCGATTTTGTTCAACAAATTCAATTTATGCTTTTTGAAACATCCCTCCTGCAAAATAATGGAGTGTTCAGCTGGCGAGTAAGATGAAAACAACCCTTTTATGGAGATTGACGCGCGCGTATCATGTTCTACGCGATGTCGCGCAGAACGCACCTGGCGCGTTGCGTTTTGAATTTAGAACTATAAAATTCTAACTCCCTGGTAGTGTTGCGCATGCCTACGTGAGGATTGTGGACGTTCAACCAATGAAACGATAAGAGGCACTGGATATTTAGGAGTCCACATTTTATTGTGACACTGGAAAAGTGTTTAAGACCAGCTAGCCATGTCTTTATCATCCGTTTAATACCGGCCACGTGACGGGCTCTCGACCAATAGGAATGGCTAAACTGTCTGAGGTATTTATGAATTGTGATTGAATGCACTATCTGCTGCATTATCAAGTTCAAACCAGCAAGCCAGGCTCAGCTGTCAAAAAGTAAGATGCCTGCAATAGTACATAGGACGTCGTGGGTTCGAGTCCCATTCTTCCAATCCCTCGGACAGCACTGAGTACACAGTGCATATGAAAGGAGGACTAAGTCCAATATTGAATTAAAAAATGAAACTTGTTAATGCCAAACCAAAACTTTTAAAAGATGTCGCAAAAAGAATGTTATCAAGTTCTCCTTTAGCCATAACAGTCATGAATCATCAAATTTTAATTTAATTTTTTTTCACACACCTGAGGGAATAGGATTAAAGACCTTAACAAACCACAATAATCCTGATGCTTTCATACAATCTTACCTCCTAGATCCATAGAGGGCGCTAGACTTGGTGCCATGGCAACATCTTTGCCATGGAGATCTCGGTCTATGGATGATGCTGATATGGCTGCTTCAGGTGTTGCTAGGTTAGCTGCAGGAAACATGTTGTCTAGCAGGCTGGAGCTTGTCTTCTTGGAAGTCTGGTCTCTATAAAATTAAGTGGAAAAGAAAAAGTAAAAAACCAAACATATTACTAGTCTAATGTTAATTTCACATTGCTTTAATTTTTCCTTTAAAGAGCCCAAAAAAGGTTAAATTCTTCGTTTGCAACACTGTGGAAACAGTCACAACATGTATGCCTTTTCTGGTATTTAGTTGTTTGCATTCTTGCATATATAGGGTGTGTCAAAAAAAGCGGAACCCAAACCCCAATTATATTTCATATTAAAAAAAAAGATGTAGCACCAAACATAACAATGACTGGAAAGCCAATTTCATAAGTTTTTTAGATGAAAATTACTGAAATTGCTCAATTTGTTCACAGAAAATCACCACTTAAACACAATGACCCTAAAACCTCTTTCGTCCAAAAGTGCGATTTCAAGAATCATCGTCACAATTGTCTTCAAACATCACCAGCGAAAAAAAGTTTCAAAGTACAAAATATTCAACAAAGTCCTTTTGAAGGCTCCTCTTTTTAAAAAAAGTTGATTTTATAAATCATTTTGTTTGCCTAACCAGGGTTGTTAATAATGATATTGTGTACTACAGTTGATGACAGTTGTTGAAACAAGTATTATGTGTCATTTTCTTTGTTGTTCCAAACAATCAGAATACACACTAAACTGCTTGTTTAGGACAAAACAGGTTTTAGGGTCATTGCATTTAAATGGTGATATTCTTTGAACAGATTGAGCAATTTCATAATTTTTTTCATCTGAAAGTAGTTTATGAAATTGGCTTTCCAGTCATTATTACCGGTATATGCGCTACAAATTTTTTCAATATGAAAGATATTTTTTTGGGTTTGGGTTCCGCTTTTTTTGACTCAGCCTGTATTTCTACTACTAGCCTACCATACAATGTACTTACATTGCATTAGCATATTTGTAAGGGTCGTAGTCTGGTCTCAGCCAATCATACAGACTCTGTGGAAGGACCTCACCAGCTGACATCTTGAAAACAAACACAAATTCTTTGGTTATTAAATGAAACGATTAAATCTAAAGGGCAAGAAGTTATCTGATGAAGACCAGGCAATGAAATTGGATTGGATGAGGTATTGGTAAAGGGGGATTTCACCACTAGAAGAAAATGGTCCTAATTCAAGTAACACAGGATGAACAATAGAACAATCAGCGGTTTAAACTTATTTTGTACCCCAAAAAAGGCTGCACATGCCAAACAAAATCATTCATACCAAGACTTCCATTACACATATGAAGTCAATAGAGTCAACTGGAAAAAAAATATGATTCAAGTTAGGGGCACTAGAAATAATAGATTTTCCTAATGGCTACAACTAACAACAAAAACTGGTTTAAGAGGTGTAAACAAATCCCCCAATTTTCTGTTACCAACAAGCTTAAGAACATCACAATCCATGGAGTGTCTCAACAAATATCAAAAGTACCCTTCAGAGTAGATCCAAATTGGTGGATGGTTCATCACTACATGTACTCACCCACTGCATGGATGTTGCTTTGAGCCTGTCTGCCCAGGGCCTAAGAGTTGAATACCAGGGTAGGATGTCCCTGAGCATTGCACGCATCATGACCCTGAAAGGCAACAGGTGAACTAAGATTGATCCAAGACTGATGCAGAGGGTAAGATTAGAGTCAAAACAATCTTACATTCGTCACAATTTAGCAAAAGTAGATCTTGAATTGGTTTCGACATTTAAGAACAGTGGGCACAACAGATGCAAAAACACATAGACACATGTACATGTAAGAGGATATGGAAGTGAATGACAGGTCTCACTCCAACAACTGGAAGTATGCCTGTTTTGTCAAAATGTTCTGTTTAAGTTTCAGTACAATAAACCTTAACCTTAATTATGCAACCTTAGTTGTCCAATTTCATACAATTCTTAGATTATTGATCAACTTACCAGATTCGGCTTACAATACTTGCATAGATTGTGTTGTGTGCCAGGAACTGTCCCGATGTTATGTTCTGAACAACAAATCTGTGTCATTCTATTAAGTCAATAATACTGTGTTGCCAATAAACTAGACATTTCATCATTGCCTCATCTTTATTGGTAAAAGTATGTCCTTCGTACGGTGTGTGTTTCATAATTTGTTTCACGCGAGTACGTTGAAGAGATCTCCAATATATGGTCTAAATACACCATCCTCGAGAGATGAAAGTGTGAACATTAAAGTGAAATAATGACATTTTACATTGTCCATTGATGCTTGGGTGTGTTCCTACTACACAAATGTTTGCAGAGGACACACAATACAATTTCCAGTTTTGTATGTATTTAAATGAAACTGGTCTTATGCTCAGCTTAAAGGTAGAATACATCATTTGTAATTTGAGCATTACGTTTGTATGTTCATTTGAAGCAACAAAAGTGCTCAAAATCTAAAGAAGGGTGCTTAACAACTACATGTAACCTGAAGAAGTTTTAGCTCAGTGAATGCTATTCTGAGAAAACACTATTCTAGGTTCGCAATTTCAATTCAAAAGTTGCTGAGTCATGTTTTGAATTGTGCCCGGAATCCGCATCTGGGACACGTTCTCATTCAGCGGATTGCAGCTACGCGCTGTCATGCACTGAACCGATGAATTACATTGTACAATGTATACCGGTACCAACTGCGCACGTGTGTGCGTCGTGTCAATGCTTGCGCACACCCATTCACAGCTTCGCCAAATTAAAAACGAACTACTAACAAAAATTTCCAAAAATGTATCTTAAGAAACATCTTTGGAAATGACCTTCCTTTATTTTTTTTCCTTCAAAATGACAGCATGCCAGAAAGAATAATTTCACAGGGAGTTTAGTGCCATGACTATCTTTAAACCAAGTAAGCTTTCAACAGTAATTCGGTCAGTTACTTTTTGGATAGCTGCAAATGATGTGCTTTACCTTTAACTGTAAACAATACTACATACACGTCAATAGTTTCAAGACACCGCCCTCAATCGGCTTTCGTACATGTCCAAAGTGAGTCTCATAAAATCCCTTACAACAAAGTTTACAGAAGAACACACATTGCAACTGTTGATCTCAGGCCATTCTTATTTCAAGTCTATCAAATGCTCAACTAAACTACGAAATTTGATGACGTTTTAAAGGGAATGCATCTGATTTTGTTCCGATCAATTATTATCCTGTACAGAACAACCTACCTGTACATATAGCTTGGGGATGACATACATGTAAGATGAAGGCAAAGTTTAGGAGTTGTAAAAAGGATACACATAGACTTTTTCAGCCATATTGAGGATGTACGCACACAGCTTTGCCTGGACCATCAACTTCACTAAGATATACTCCAGCATTTGACAAGCTGGTAGGTGGATTGTGATAGACCCACAGCCTGTCTGGTTACGATTACTGCAATGTGTGGAGTAAAGAGAAGAAAACAATGAAGCTAGAATGTGTTGTAGTAAAGTTAGTGTTGTGCTGCTTGTAGTTCATTTCACTGTTGGCAGATGTCAGTGGAATTGAACCAGGGGCAACATGCTGCTTGCTTGCCAGTCTCCTGCTTATGGTCAAGAATTGTACCAGGGGCAACATGCTGCTTGCTTGCCAGTCTCCTGCTTATGGTCAAGAATTGTACCAGGGGCAACATGCTGCTTGCTTGCCAGTCTCCTGCTTATGGTCAAGAATTGTACCAGGGGCAACATGCTGCTTGTTTGCCAGTCTCCTGCTTATGGTCAAGAATTGTACCAGGGGCAACATGCTGCTTGCTTGCCCCTTACAAATTTTCAGTTGCCAATTTAATTTCGTATTGTGGAAGTGTCAGTTAATAAGAAGTACCTACATGTAGTCTTGAAAATTACCCCCATCCCCCACCCCCTTCTTCCTACACTGAAACATCCTTCCCTGTCATGTTGCTTTACATGTACGTTACCGCCCTCCAGATTCAAGGACCAAGCTATTTATTGTCATTTTATACACTGAAAATTTTCCTAAATATTAAGTATGCTCAGTAATTTTTTATGAAGTTGCTTTCTTGATCTAACTGAAATGAAAACTTGCTTGTTTTGTGTCCAGATGGATGGAGACAAAGCAAATCATTGAATTTTAAAAAGTATTGTATGGACACTTAAATTATTCAATGCACTTTAAGGACTGTTAGAAAGTTACAGATTCAACAATGCATACATGTAGGGATTAGTTTGAAAGAAGGCCTATTTATAATATGGCCAATATTTCAAAGACAATCAACATTACTTTTTATATAACCAACATACAGATCCTTGTCATTTGATCATGTTGATTGGTGGAGCTCACATCACGTGACATTCATTATTGCTCCCATTCACGCCTAGGCTCAAAAAGTCCCATTTGCCCATGGGGAATGGGAAATACTATTGAACAATTAGGATCATTCTTGTTCCAAGACGCGGTATTTGTGTGTAAATGCATGCTGGTGTGCGCATTCAGTATTGCGCCAGTGCGTATTGTTCCAAAGAGCCAGCGCTACAGCTTCGGGTTCAAACATTTTCATGAAGGGGTGGTTTGGAAGAGAGAAATACATTTCCCAACAATTTTGTAATGAAAAAAAAGTTCAAATATATCAAATGACAAAGATCTATAAGTCAGTTATATAGAACAAATATCGAGTGGCTTTAAACTGTGAAATAGGAGGAATATTATCGCTCAGTAAAATCTGGACTTTTCCAGTTCACTCGGCTTAGCCTCGTGAAATGGAAAAGTCCAGATTTTACTGAGCGATAATATTCTTCCCATTTCACTCTCAGCCACTCAATATGTGTATAGCATTGACCTACATCTCTCTGGTTTTCTCCAGGTGATGATCAGGCGAACTCAACAGAATCTAAAGATGAATTGTAAAGTGTAAACTCTTCTGCGTTCAGCAGAGCCCACAGCTTTAATGGTCTTGTGTTAAGATCTTGGTGAATTCATCAGAATCAGTCAGTCATGAAGCCAAAAATGCTTTACTGAACTTACATTTGGCAACAACCAATGGCATCTTCCATGAATTTAACTGGGTTGTTTGCTTGAAGTCTTCTCAGACCCTTTTGGATCTAAAAAAGTTGAAGAAAATAACATCATAGTAAATTACAGTTTCCTTAGAACACATTGAACAACAGATTCAAGCCCTCTTTTCCAGAATTCAATGAATTACATGTAATTAAAGGGAATGTACAACATTTGCTTTTGGTGTATATATGTACATGGTTATAAACAGCCCTTTATCTTGAACTGTACTGGCTCCATGTACAGAATTTGTTGCCAAACCAATGGTTCTGTGGACAGGATGCCTCAGAACCATTTCTCCCAAACATGTGCAAAGATTCAACCTGTCATGCAATGATTAAGCAGGATTTTGCACATTAGTTGAAAACAAGACTAGACTTGGCTATCGATCTAGATCAGACAGTCTCAGTTTAGATCATTATTTGTACTGAGTGACTCAATCTGTCAGCGACTCAGTCACTTACTCATGTCAGCTCAGTTACTTGACAATTTAAGCCACATACATAACATGCTTATAGAGCTCATTACCTTTTTCAGCATCTGGTACCACCTCCAATGTCGTTGTTGATTATTTGCTTTATACAGCAATCGGCTCAGTGTGTACTGCTCACTGGATAGACCCAGTCCTGTTGTATGTGAGGTCTGTATTACTTGAAGGGCCAATTTCAAATTGTAGACATCAACTACAATCAAGGGAAATTACGTCAATTAATAATAATAACAGGTTCTTATATAGCGCTTTTAACTAAGATCAAAGCGCTTTACATTATTATTACCCCTAATCATTGGGGGCAATTCCACACCAAAGTGGACATGACACCAAAAAATTCAAATACATGTGACTTAAACAAATTTGGCATCAAATGAAAGCTAAAAGTCTATATTTTCAAGATTTGAAGTCGGAATTTTATTTTTTATACATTTCGGTACCAAAAAATAGGATTATGTAATAATCCTGTTTTAATCCTAAAAATGTGATTAATAGTGATATGAAAGTATTCTACCAATAGACACACGAAAATATGTACTAATGCCATCAGTTTCTGTCATGAGAAAGTATTGGTCTTGAAAAACCGACTAAAACTTGTTTTCAACATTTTGCGTAATTTGTTTCGCTTCAGTGACTTCTAATATTTCAGCCTTCGAAAATGTCCTTCCGTTACCGAAAAAATACATATTTCTAATTTATTTTTAAAACTTGCAGTATGAATGCATTGAAAGTTATTGTGCAAAGCAAGTTTAGGTAGGCCTTCAATATGACATTATAACTGACACTTCTGTACTTCTCGTTTTTTAATTACAATTAATTAAATCACGTCCTTCCGTTACCAAATTGGTAACGGAAGGACGGTAACGGAAGGACAAATTGTATTTTTATCAAATGTTACGACATTTGCGCTCATGTTTGAAAATTGAAAATCACTGCAAATACATGCATGTATAATGAGCATTGAAAGGACATTCATGTGACCCACCTTCACAAAAGCGGGATAAGCAGGGCAAGGTGTTTATTACAAAGGAAGGCACAGGCATGTACAACATGTTCAATCTACATGTACATATATGCCGATGTACCAGTACTTGTACATATATGGAGTTGTTGCAGAAAATCAAATCATAAAGTTGCTGCCATCAGCATTCATGGACAATAGAGAAAGATACGAATTCTGTGAAGCCATTCCAGAAGCAAATTAAGTCCAAAATGAGATGGCAGAAAGTACCGCTACTTTGGGGCACTTTCATTCAATTTACATGTGTAAGACATGTGAGGTGCAATCTTTGACAAATTATGCCGAAGTTAACAATTTCAGTTTGGATGTTTATAAATTAATTGTTACTACTCTAAATCATTGTAATTTGATTTCAAACATTGATTTTAGAGTTCAATTAAAAGCAACACCTAACTGAAGCCATCAGTTCTACCGGTAGATGTTTTTACCTTACATGTAAATGTACATGTAGGCTGGTCGCCCCCCCCCCCCCCCCCACCCCCTGCACCCTTTAGGTAAACCTTTGAACCTACCCGTATTATTATTAAAAGTTGTTGGTGAACATGTAACCAATATACTCAAAGAGTTCAAATACTGTGTATTTAAACTTTTAAGGATTGAGGTGATGGGTTTGAAGTCTATTTCTGTAGTAGTCCTGTGTTTGTGAATTATGTGTTTTGGGTTGTTTTCGTTTTTCTTTTGTTATCATTAATTAGCAGGCTTCTATCTTTATCTCAATAGTTTCTTGGGTATAATTATTTATGCCAGGTCTGCATATTGTTGATTTCACATTCAGTTACACATTTCAGCAATTTGTTTCACTTGTATAATTAGTGTAAATTCACATTTTGTTCATGCCATAATTGAGTAAACCTTTTGTCCTTCCGTTACCGTCCTTCCGTTACCAAATTATAATCTGCTTAAAACGTTGTAATTATATTACCGAAACGCTTAAAGTCAAATGAAAGGCGGTATAGTATAGATATTGCTTCAGGGATTCCATTTCCTACCTTTAAAATATAATTGCCCCATAAAATTCACAGAGTTTACGCAAAATGCGAGTAAGTTGGAAAACCCTTGTCCGTTTTACCGTCCTTCCGTTATCGACCTCATTAATATTCATAATTCATAAACGGGAGGCATTCATGCCCCCCAAAAGTGTGGAAATTGAAGGTAGCATTATAGCAATACAATTGTGACATTTGTTTGCTGTAACTATGAACAGTGTCTGTGATACACACATTTGAAATTTTGTTTAATGAGTGAAAACGTCCTTCCGTTACCGTGGAATTGCCCCAGGGCCAATTAAACATTCCATATACCATCTCAGCTCCCTGGGGAGTTTACAGCTCGATGCTGCCTGTTAGGCGCAAGGAAGCTAATTCAATCACAATAACCATCACTGCCCTCACAGGTACCCATTTACTCCTGGGTGGAGAGAAGCAATGAGTGACAAAGTGCCATGCCCAAGGGCACACGCACCATGACCCCGCCAGGACTCGAACCCACAACCTGCAGCTTTACCCACAGACCATGAATCAGTGCCCTTAACCACGAGACCATAGCACTCCACAATGTACAATTTAAATGCCAACAAAAGAACAGACTGTTGCATTGCAGTTGTATTTATGAGAACAGTAAATTTGGATTGTGTTTTGTTTTATTTTATCTTTGTATTCAATGTCTTACATTGTTATTTGACATTTGAGTAAATTACACATATGTGGTATTAAAGTTCACACATCAGACAGTTCGCTCTAAACTACATGTATGTTCTGCATATTGGTGAGGTTTGTGGCAACACCATGTGGAATAATCTCTTTCTAATGAGATGAAGTGTGGTTCTGAAAAGAACTGGCTGGTTGTGAAACTTGATGCTCCAATCAGTATGCTTTGATTATCTTAAGGGGACACAGCATACTGATGGGAACGCCGAGCTTCACAACCAACAGGTTCTGTTCAGAACCACACTTCTTCGCAAAAGAGATTTTTCCAAATGGTGTTACTGCAAACCTCACTAGTAGCGCTAGCTCTACTGAGTAGAGCGTTGAACTACGGTGCCCTTCGTACTAATGCTCCATCGATTTAGCATACTTTGGTGACATGTACACTGTCTGCATTTTGTGCATACCCTCGTGAGGACAAAAGGCCCCCAAAAAACTGGTAAAGAGAATACAAATGAGAAAGACAGTAAACCCTGGATAGATCCACACATTCATGACATTCCATAAGACCCCTTAAATTGTTCCAAACAACCGGTAATTTTGAAAAAAGAACAAAATAGTCTGAACTTACCGCTCACAATTAAATGTGTCTGCCGAGTTGTACAGTCCATTTCACTGACATGACTGATGCATAATTCATCGCGCGCGTGTGTGACGTCACTATTGAATAAAAACAAGTCGCGCTTATTAAATCAATGACTGTTTCGTGTACTGATATGTGTCCCGTGCCAAAAACCCACACTGTCAGACGGCGCGGGGCACATATGACTACATGAAACAGTCGTTGAGTAAGCGCAACTTGTTTTTCTTCAATAGTGACGTCACACGCACGCGCGATGAATTATGCATCAGTCATATCAGTGAGATGGACTGTACAACTCGGCAGACACATTTTATTGTGAGCGGTAAGTTCAGACTATTTTGTTCTTTTTTCAAAATTACCGTTTGTTTTGGAACAATTTAAGGGGTCTTATGGAATGTCATAGCACGCTGCAGTGAAGCGCGCCCTCTTGTGTGCGCTCTTCATCCGCGGTCGCGTATTGCATCCGGGCACTTTACAGAGCGCCAAAGATTTTGGAATGACAGGTAACAGCCACGGTGCGCTTTGCCAAAATTGACGCACACTCAGTAGATGATTAAAGCTTTCGTCTGGTTCCTTGACCCCTTTAGCCTCTTGACTATTATTAGGGTGGCCGGGAAACAGTCTGGAGACGCCATGCTTGTCAAAAACCGTCTTTGCCGAATTACCATGATTTTTGGATAACTAGACCTCTGAAGGTACCGAATTTAACGATTTTGTGCTATTTAGCAGTCATACTATATAGCTGGGTTGATTTTCTACTCACAAAATAATTTCGATCTTTAATTAATTTTCGGCTCCCCCTAGCAACGGGACGCTCCGCGCACAGGCTGTACGTGGCTTTGTGACTTATAATACGGAGGTAGTCCAGTATTTCAGTCACATTTATGGGACTAATGGAATGTCATGAATGTGTGGATCTATCCAGGGTTACTGTCTTTCTCATTTGTATTCTCTTTATGAGTTTTTTGGGGCCTTTTGTCCTCGCGAGGGTATGCACAAAATGCATACCGCCATGACGACCGTGTACCTGTCACCAAAGTATGCCAAATCGGTGGAGCGTTTGTACGGAGGGTACCGCGTAGTTCAACGCTACTCCTAGAACTATGAGGCTCCACGTAGTGGAGCCTCATAGGCAGCTTACCCCGCAAAACTGTTTGCCTCTACAAAACACCAACTAAGTACAAAAACGTCCATCACAACCAAGCTATTTCCCACAGAACCGCTGCACAGTTTGCCCGTAAACTCCGTACAATACCTCATGACATACTCACGTTATGTGCACCAAACAAACATCGGTGGATTCTGTCGGTTTTTCGTCAAAAATGATGAAAAATATGCCCTTTCCGCACTGAGCCAACCTGACACTTGAAACGTGCATGCGCGCAGAATGATCGCAGTCATTTTCGGTTCGATCGCTCGGAGCACGCTGTGGGGGGTACGTACTTGCACTTGTACGCATGCGCATATTATCGTTCAGCTCGTACCGTACCCCCGCGGCGCTCTCCGAGCGATCAAACCGAAAATGACTGCGATCATTCTGCGCGCGTGCACGTTTCAAGTGTCAGGTTGGCTCAGTGCGGAAAGGGCATATTTTTCATCATTTTTGCCGAACAACCGACAGAATCCACCGATGTTTGTTTGGTGCACATAACGTGAGTTAGACCCGTGAACGTGGCTTGTAAACTACGCCACGCTGTTGTGTATTTTTCGAACCTGGCGAAATTGTCCCTCTGACTCCCTCCGTTACACACACTGGACGTTACTTTGCCCATGTAATAAGTACTCACATATGAAGCTGTCTTGAAATCTGTTTGTACGTCAAAACTTGTATTTGACGAAATTTGAGGAAAATTCTGGCCCCGGTTCATGAAGGTTCATGAAGCTAG